CTTTTTGATAAAAATACAAGGCTAACCCCTTACCGTTTGGAATTTTGGATAAAAATGTTTTTTTCGTCCCTTTTTGATAAAAATGCAAGGCTAAATTCCGGATAAAAATTTGTTTTCGCCCTTATTTGATAAAAATGCAAGGCTAACCCCTTACCGTTTTGAATTTTGGCTAAAAATTTGTTTTCGCCCCTTTTTGATAAAAATGCAAGGCTAACCCCTTACTATTTTAAATTTTGACTAAAAATTTGTTTTCGTCCCCTTTTGATAAAAATGCAAGGCTAACCCCTTACTATTTTAAATTCTGGATAAAAATTTGTTTTCGCCCCTTTTTGATAAAAATACAAGGCTAATCCCTTACCGTTTGGAATTTTGGATAAAAATGTTTTTTCGTCCCTTTTTGATAAAAATGCAAGGCTAACCCCTTACTATTTTAAATTCTGGATACAAATTTGTTTTTTTCGCCCTTTTTTGATAAAAATGCAAGGCTAACCCCTTACCGTTTTGAATTTTGGCTAAAAATTTGTTTTCGCCCCTGTTTGATAAAAATGCAAGGCTAACCCCTTATCATTTTAAATTTTGACTAAAAATTTGTTTTCGTCCCCTTTTGATAAAAATGCAAGGCTAACCCCTTACTATTTTAAATTCTGGATAAAAATTTGTTTTCGCCCCTTTTTGATAAAAATACAAGGCTAACCCCTTACCGTTTGGAATTTTGGATAAAAATGTTCTTTCCGTCCCTTTTTGATAAAAATGCAAGGCTAACCCCTTACTATTTTAAATTCCGGATAAAAATTTGTTTTCTCCCTTTTTTGATAAAAATGCAAGGTTAACCCCTTACCGTTTTGAATGTTGGATAAAAATTTGTTTTCGCCCCTTTTTGATAAAAATACAAGGCTAACCCCTTACTGTTTTAAATTCTGGATAAAAATTTGTTGAAGCCCCATTTTGATTAAAATGCAAGGCTAACCCCTTACCGCTTTAAAATTTGCTTAAAAATTAACTCTTGTCCCATTTCAATAAAAACACAAGGTTCAATTCGATTCAGTTCAATTCAATAGAATTTATTTCCATACGACATTCATTGCAGAGAAAATAATTACAGTTAAAATAAATTAAACAAATGTATTGAGGTCAATTCACAGAAAAGCAAAAGCTTGTTACAGAATGCCCTGATATACACTGCATTCAGAAGAAGTACATGTAAATAAGAAAAAAATTCATATTGAAACAAAAAGTATACAATAGTACAGTACTACATGTAGTATATATCAAAAATGGGTGGAAAATATTTATCCAAAATTCACAACCGTAAGGGGTTAGCCTTGCATTTTTATCGAAATGGGGAAAAAAATGTTTTTATCACAAATTTAGAATGTAAAGGGGTAAGCCTTGTATTTTTATCAAAATGGGGGAAAGTTATTTTTTTATCACAAATTCACAACGGTAAGGGGTTAGCCTTGCATTTTTATCAAAAAGGGGGAAAAATTTTTTTTATCACAAATTTAGAATGTAAAGGGGTAAGCCTTGCATTTTTATCAAAAAGGGGCAAAAACAAATTTTTATCCAAACTTTAAAACGGTAAGGGGTTAGCCTTGCATTTCAATCAAATACAAAAAGTTAGTTCTATAACAAATTTGAAGTAGAAAGACTTGGTTTAATTCACAGAATGTCAACGAAAGAGAAATAAAGAAGTGGCTCAAGAAACTATGCCAAAAATAAAATCATCGCTTCAATGTGTGCTTTTTTGTGTGGTCTGAGAATACTTAATTTTATCAAAATGGGGAAAAGTTAAGTTTTTATCACAAATTCAAAATAGTAAGGGGTTAGCCTTGCATTTTTATCAAAATGGAGGAAAGTTAAGTTTTTATCACTAATTAAAACGGTAAGGGGTTAGCCTTGCATTTTTTATCAAAAAGTGGCAAAAACAAAATTTTATCACAAATTCAAAACTGTGAGGGGTTATCCTTGCATTTTCATCAAAATGGGGAAAAGTTAAGTTGTTATCACAAATTTAAAATAGTAAGGGGTTAGCCTTGAATTTTTATCAAAAAGGGACGAAAACACATTTTTATCATGAATTCAAAACAGGAAGGGGTTAGCCTTGCATTTTTATCAAAATGGGGGAAAGTTACGTTTTCATCACAAATTCAAACCGGTAAGGGGTTAGCCTTGCATTTTTATCAAAAAGGGGCAAAAACAACTTTTATCACAAATTCAAAATGGTAAGGGGAGTTAGCCTTGCATTTTTATCAAATTTGAGAAAGTTAAGTTTTTATCACAAATTTAAAACGGTAAGGGGTTAGCATTACATTTTTATCAAAAAGGGACGAAGACACATTTTTATCACAAATTCAAAACAAGAAGGGGTAAGCCTTGCATTTTTATCAAAAACTGACGAAAACAAATTGTTCTCCAAAATTCAAAACGATAAGGGTTTAGCCTTGCATTTTTATCAAAATGGGGGAAAAACAAATTTTTATCACAAATTCAAAATGGTAAGGGGTTAGCCTTGCATTTTAACAAAAAGGGGCAAAAACAAATTTTTATCCAAAATTCTAAACGGTGAGGGGTTAGCCTTGCATTTTTTAAACAAGGTAAGAGTCAACTTTTTAACACAAATTAAAAAGGTAAGGGGTTAGCTTTGCATTTTTATCAAAAAGTGGCAAAAACTAATTTTTATCCAAAATTCTAAACGGTGAGGGGTTAGCCTTGCATTTTTTGTCAAACATGGCAAGAGTCAACTTTTTAACACAAATTCAAAAAGGTAAGGGGTTAGCCTGGCATTTTTATCAAAAAGTGGCAAAAACAAATTTTTATCCAAATTTTAAAATGCTAAGGGGTTAGCCTTGCATTTTTATCAAAATGGAGGAAAAGTTTCAAGTTTTTATCACAGTCAAATTGGTAATGCAATATTATTGCATTCTGATTAAAATTGTACAAAAAGTTAGTTCTATAACAAATTTGAAGTAGAAAGACTTTGTTTAATTCACAGAATGTCAACGAAAGAGAAATAAAGAAGTGGCTCAAGAAACTACACCAAAAATAAAATCATCGCTTCAATGTGTGCTTTTTTGTGTGGTCTGAGAATACTTAAGTTTTATGAAAACGGGGCAAACGTCAAGCTCTTATCACAAATTCAAAACGGTAAGGGGTTAGTCTTGCATTTTTATCAGAAAGTGGCAAAACACATTTTTATCATGAATTCAAACAAAGGGTTAGCCTTGCATTTTTATCAAAATGGGGGAAAGTTAAGTTTTTATCACAAATTCGAAACAGTAAGGGGTTAGCCTTGCATTTTTAACAAAAGTGGCAAAAAAACAATTTTTTATCCAAAACTTAAAACGGTAAGGGGTTAGCCTTGCATCTTTATCAAAAAGTGGCAAAAACAAATTTGTATCCAAAATTTTAAATGGTAAGGGTTGGCCTTGCATTTTTTTTCAAACATGGCAAGAATCAAGTTTTTAACACAAATTCAAAAAGGTAAGGGGTTAGCCTTGCATTTTTATCAAAAAGTGGTAAAAACACATTTTTATCCCAAATTCAAAACGGTAAGGGGTTAGCCTTGCCTTTTTATCAAAATGGGGGAAAGTTAAGTTTTTTATCACAAATTTAATAACGGTAAGGGGTTAGCCTTGCATTTTTATCAAAAAGGGGCGAAAACAAATGTTAATCCAAAATTCAAAAGTTAAGTTTTTATCACAAATTTAATAACGGTAAGGGGTTAGCCTTGCATTGATATATCAAAAACTGACGAAAACAAATTGTTCTCCAAAATTCAAAACGATAAGGGTTTAGCCTTGCATTTTTATCAAAATGGGGGAAAAACAAATTTTTATCACAAATTCAAAACGGTAACGGCTTAGCCTTGCATTTTTAACAAAAAGGGGCAGACAAATTTTTATCACAAATTCAAAACGGTAAGGGGTTAGCCTTGCATTTTAACAAAAAGGGGCAAAAACAAATTTGTATCACCAATTCAAAACGGTGAGCCATGCATTTTAATCAAAAAGGGGCAAAAACACAGTTTTATCCAAAAATTTTAACGGTAAGGGGTAAGTCTTGAATTTGCACTAAAATGGGGGAAAGGAAAGTTAACTTTTCATCAGAAATTCAAAACGGTTATGGATCAGCTTTGTATTGTTATCAAAAAGAGGCAAAGAAATTTGTATTCAAAATTCAAAACGGTAAGAGGTTGGCCTTGTATTTTCATCAAAAATAGCACGAACGTAAGTTTTCATCAAAAAGTCAGAACGGTGAGGGGTTAGCCTTGCATTTTTCATAAAAAAAATTGCCTGTGCAAAGATGACCCGCATGATGTCAGACTTGTTTGGCGTATTGTTTTGAAAAATGAATGTGAGAATTGCAAGTTTGTACCACAGGCCTCTGATACGACCCAGAAAAATGACCTCAAATAACAACTGTTTAACTGGAAAATACAAGACTACCCAGTCAAGCCTTTAGCAGAGCTGTTTACTCTTTCAGTGCCCGCGAAATTTGAAAAGTGCCCAACTTCAAGCGTTTTTTTGTAATTGTTCAAAATTCTGTAAAAAAAAAAAGTAAATAAGGTTTACTCACTAACTTTGTTGTTGTTGCTCTCTGGTATATCCTTGGTACATTGGAAAGTCAATAGTAGTCACGTACATAGTGATACACCCTGAAACACTGTCCTGCACACAGGGGAATTCCGCACTTTTTGCAGTAAATACCAGTGTCAATGCTGCGCCCTCTCGCAAGAACTCAAATGAAACAAATAAATACAGGTCGTACCTGAATGAAAATGATCTTATTAGAAAGAGCGAGAGCATGCTTAATACTCTACCTCGTACATGTACGAGGTTTGGCGATTTTAAGTACGAACATTACCTTGTACATGTACGAGGTTGGCAATTTCGAACTGACAAATATACCTCGTACATGTACATGTACGACTTTGGCACCGAAAGAGTTAACGGAGTCACTCACAAGCATTGACAAGTCAACCAAGAGTCATCCTGCCTCAAATCAAATGAAATTACATTCAAACGAACCGTGACGGAGGCATCGCTCAGTTATTGCTCAATGTCCTCCTGACTTGACTTGTGATTTAACTTGCGACTGATCTGATGACATCTCTGCCCAAAACAGCGAAGTCCGGTTCTACTCTCTGCAAATCCTGGGTGTTCAAGCTCACGTTAGCTCCCCCTCCAAGTCTCTTCTCCAGTTTTTCACACTCCTCGTTGACAATCTGATCAACCGCATTCTCATCAGTCTGAATGGTAAAGGAAACAAAAGTTCCGTTCAAAACATTATTCTCTCTGTATCTCTGGTAACTGTGATTTTAACAAAAGCAACAAATTTTTTTCCATGTGATACTCCAAATGCTTGGCACTGAAAGCTTAGTTCTTTATTTTTCTGCTCCTGTAGTATTGATTGGTTATCTTCGGCTCAAATTAGGGCGCATGTTTCCAAAAAGTCGAGCACTGTGTGTTCACAACGTGTATGTTTAACTGGAACTGGTCGTAAGTGGAGAACTGGAGTAAGCGTGCACGCGCATAGACCAACGTTCCAACGCGGGATCACCTGGCATTCCTGGGCTGTTCCAAGTAAGAACAACGTACGGTATGTTCCTGATTGGAACAGGCGATGTTCCCCGGTGGAACGTTCTGAACGTTCCGACTTTTGAGACAATTCCTTATACTCCGGAAAAAAACCTGTTTTTTTAAAGTCTATTATTTACCGGACGTTATTCCCTTTCCGTTGAAATACTGACGCAAGAAAATGTGGCCAATGTGTAGTTAGGCCAAAAAAAAAAAGTCTCCGGTTTCTGGTATGCGCACGCGTCGCCGTAGCCATGCGCGTCGGCAAAATGAAAAAGTTTGTTTTTCAATGAAAGATGCTGTCTCAAAACCGCCAAACTCACTGGTTTGACTGGAATCCTGCTGCTGCACAATTTTAACGTGTTTTTAGATTGGGTTATGGTCGAGAATAAGCTTTATGTGGCCTCTCTGGACTCCCATATATTTGCACTAAGTTTAGTCGGGCACCATTTGCAGTCATCAGCCGACATTTGAAGCAAAAAATTCAGGTAAAAAAAAAAAAAGCCGCATCGCCGCACCACTTTTTGGGCAAGCTCCATACCAGAAACCGGAGACTTTTTTTTTTGGCCTTAAGTAACTTAAGTTATAGGTATAGGTTTTCCTGGCCAATTTCCCAAAATGTACATTCACTTGTGAAAGTTTGTCATTCGTTTTCGTCTGAATTGAGATTCCCTCTTAACACACGCTTCATTTTCGCTACAAGAGCATTCGATTCCATTTCAGTTCAATCAATTGATTGAGCAGCACTTTCGTTTATGTCCATTCAGATTCATTTACAAGACATCTTTTTCACTTCTAGAGGGTGATTTCAAACATTCACCATTCCATTTCACTTTAAGTTTAATGCCATCGGCACCAGATACAATTAGGGGTTTCTTTTCAATCAATTTTAAAAAGTATACTTGCGTAAATGAATGCACAGGTTAACGTAATTGGCCGTCTGTTTCTCAAAACCGATTGCACGGACAATAAAAACGATTGAACTTTCGTTGAATTGAAACGGGATTAAAGACGTGCATTCAGACAAAAATGAATGACTGATTTTCAGAAGTGAATGAACATTCTATGAAATCGGCCATGAAAACCTATACTTAAAAACTTTTGAATAATGCGCCTTGCAAAATGTGTGGCCACTTTTAAAAGTCACACGATATCTTCCTCCTGATCAAGGGTGCCTTTGGGAATTTGACTGAAAATCTTGCCGCTTAAATTGAGCATGAGCATTGCCAGTCTAATAACATATTCTGAAGAGATTTCTTTTTACCTTTTCAAACGCTGAATGACTTCCGGCACACAGAACCGCAGCGTGTTCTGCAACTCCTCTTCAGTGTCAGCTCTAGCTGGGCCAACTGATGCAGGCTCCTTGCATCTCAAGTTTGAAGATGCGATCCTCAAACCTCTGCAATTACAAAGAAATTCATGAAATTAGAAAGCACTCGGAGAGCACAACCTCCGCCAAGGATAAACAATTGCCATGTTGTTCGTTTATCCAACACGAGGAACTTTTTTTTATGAGAGTTGGCCATCACAACTTCACAAGGCCCTATTTAAGGGCTTCTCAAGGTATTTACCCTAACCGCCCTGAATACTTCAAAATATTCTTGCCAAAGCAGAGGAATTTGGAGGAATGAGATTTAATACATGGCAAAAGTGCGTTACTGATTTTGTAGGATGCACTTTGTCAAGGTCTTGGGCCGGACCTTGTGTTGTTTTTGCTCAGTCATGCATAAATATAGGCCAGGATTATGCTTGAAATCCTCTGTACTGCTGCAGGATGTCACTGGCTGCAAGCCTCAACATATTGCCAGTCACTGCCGCAGGATTTTGCAGGATTCAGGCGGTGGTCACCCCTCCACAGACCACATTCAAGAAATAATGGAGGAATTTGCAGGATTGAGGCTACATGTACAAGTACAATGCTATTTTTCCATGAGGCCAATTGAAGGATTTTGCAGGAACGAGGCTGCATCCTAGCAAAAAACCTAGGGAGTTAGGGGGATAGATACCGGTAAGTACATGTAGAAAGATAAATAATGACGTTACCTTTAAACTGGGACATATTGGAACAATTTTTAAGCAATTTAATTTTTCGGCCAAAATGAAAGAAAAAAAATCACAAGGCGGGGGTAAGCCTTACAATTTTATCAAATTTTGGACAAAAGTCTACTTTTCTGGGAACTAGCCAGAAACACTTTGGGATGCATGATGAACGTGTTTAAATACTCTGGAAATGATCATTTTAGAAGGGCAAACATAAAGGATTTTTGCAGAAAATGCATGTACATGTACATACAGTCGAGTCTCGTTAATACAAACTCGTTCGGACCTTGCCAAATTGTTTGTTATATCAACATTTTGTATTAAGAGGAACATCAGTCCCATTCATTGTGCACATAAATGCACAGTCGGGACCAAGGCTTTATGTTTGTTGTAACCAGAATTTGTATAAACAGAGTTTGTACTAACAAGAGTCGACTGTATTTCACGCAATTTTTCATATTTTCTGTACATCATAATTCTATTTAAAATGGCACGTCTGGCAAGAGAACTAAAGGGAATGCGTTCTAAGGGCCTTAGACATCTTCCTTGCAATTTTCAAGCAATTTGATTTTTCGGCCAAAATTGGAAACAAATCACAAGGGGTTAGCCTTACATTTTTATCAGATTTTGGTCACAAAGGCTTTTATCTGGAAACAACCCAGAATCATTTTAAGATACATGATCAACATATTTTAATACTCTTCAAGTTATAATTTCAGAGATGTTGGCAAATATAAAGGATTTTTGAAGAAAAAATAAAAGTTTTCACTCAATTTTACCAATTTTATGGACACCATTATTACATTGAACGGCACATCTTGGCAAAGGAAATTTGGGGACTGTGTTCTACATGTAAGGGCCCTCATGCAACTTCTTAGCCATTTTCAAGCAATTACATTTTTTTGGCCCAAATTGTAAAAAAAAAACAATGTATATTTTTATCAAATTTTGGTCAAAAATTGGCTTTTCTGGAAACGACTCTGAAACACTTAAGGATGCATGTTTAACATATTTTAATACTCCTCAAGTGATAATTTTAGAGATTTGGGCAAATATCAAGGATTTTTGAAGAAAAATTTACATTTCTCAATCAGTTTCAAAAATATCGTGCACGCAATATTTCCATTTAAGGGCACATTTGACAAGAAAACTTAATATATGGGAATGCGTTCTAAGGGCCCTCAGGCAACTTCTTGACAATTTTCAAGCAATTTCATTTTTCGGCCAAAATTGGAAAAAAAATCACAAGGGATAGGTTTTTATCAATTTTTTGGTCAAATTTGACATTTCTGGAAACAACCTACATGTAGAAACACTTTAGGATGCATGATAAACATTTATAAATAATCCTCAAGTGATAATTTCAGAGATTTGAGCAAATGTAAAGGATTTTTGAGGAAAAAACTTACATTTTCACTTCAACTGAGGGTCCGGCATTGATTCGTCACTGTCTTAGAAGTTGTGACTATTGCAGCAGAAAACGGCCCATCCAACAAAGGACACTGTTTTGTTCCTGATGTTTCCACCTCCGAGTTTGGCACAAATTCTTCAGTCCTTCAGAATGTGCCTTACATGTATATAGAGCAGGCCAGCATTATCCCCGCCAGTAAAATCATTCATTTGCACACCAGTTTTCACCGGTTGCTACATGTACGAGTTACCATTCAGCACTCCAGACTCAAGAACCATTGACTTTCAAGTAAATGGTCTAGGTGCTAGACACGACAACGTAAAACTTCCCAGATGTCGGCACGCGCCCATATGACTGGATGTCACTCAGTTGATGACGACTGTTTAATTCAAAACTGAGAATGTGTTTTCATCCATGAGATCGTCTATTTTTTCCCTCAACATAGCCACTATTTTCTTGGTCGATGAATAGGTGCGTGCCGTTGAGATCCCACTAAAACTTCCCGTAAATCTTCCCAGATGTCGGTGTGCTTGTCTGTATGACGACTAATACGTCACTCAGTTCATGTCGACTGTTTAATTCAAAACTGAGAATGTGTGTTCATCCATGAGATCGTCTATTTTTTCCCTCAGCGTGGCCACTATTTCTTGGTCGATGAATAGGTGCGTGCCGTCGAGATCTACAAGGATGAACCTCCTTCCCAGCGTCTGCTTCTCGTCCAAGTGAAGGAGGAACTGCTTCATGACGGGATCGCTAAAGTACGAAGAGAAAGTTATCACATTAAACGTGTTAAAGGGAATGTACATATCATTGGCTTTTGCTATAATTTTCAGAAATGAATTATTTGAGGGGTTAGTATAATAGATCAAATATTGTTACACTGACATGTTTGAAGTTTTGTGTTCGAAAATGCTAGAAAAATCAAGAAAAACAAAAGTGTTCAAGTAGTCTGGTTCCCTGACCCCACTAAAAACGAAATGGGTCAACTTATAGATGTTGGAAAAATGTAAGGTAATGGAACCAGTCTAGCTGGCCTGCACCTGTTCATGAACATGACTGTAACCAATAGCAAACAAAATTTGGACTGAAAAAAAATGGTAAATTTGGAGCAGTAGTTGAAAAATAGTTAGGTTTCTCCAGCGGTGGTCGGCCAACCACCGTTGGAAATTTATACAAAATACCACTTTTCTTGAAAATGACTTCATACCAGGTGCCATAATTTTAGAGGATGCTTTAGACTGTCATTTAATACCAACTTCCTAGTGAGGTATTTCGTAAAAAATTGGTAGTTTTGTTTTTCGATGTTTGCAAATGGTGTTTATTCCCTTTAATGCCTGCCTCGTTGAAAAACAGAAATTATAGTGCAACTGTGATGTCCTTTATGGTGAGCAGAAAGCTTTCTTCATGAAGTGAATTGCATACAAATTTGTCACCGACACCACGAAGTAACACCCAAATCCACTTCAGTGCTACTTCGTGAAAACCGCTATTATGACAAATCTCACTCGTGAGATACACGCGCTATCCACTCGGCCATAGGTCTTGCACAAATTTAATTCCTTTTTACTGTAGGCCTATTCGTACATGCATCAAAGAGGGCGCTTAATATCGTTTTATTTGGAGTGAAAGAAAGCCGGCTAAACCAAGCCGGCAAAATATACACCTTCCTTCTATTTTGTATTTTGTTTTGTTTTTGGTTAAATATACATGTACATATCTTTATGCAAGAGATTAATACACAACATTTTTGCATTTAGTTTGTAGCTAGAATTGGCAGACACTTAATTTAGATAAGAAGTTTTAAAATGGATATTAAAATGTGGAAAAAACTGGGGAAACATATTAAATAGCCCCTGCATATGGGGAATTCCATCCTGTAAAATAAAGATAGTGGATATTTTGCCGGAGGTAATGACGGCAAACTAACGTTTACTAAAGGTTTGCCGGCGGCAATCCATATCAGCAGAGGGCGCTGTACTCTTTAAGATTGGGCTGAATTATAAGATGTATTAAATTCCCACCAAAAGTTGTGTAGCACGTTTGGTGTAGTGGTTAAGCAAAGGCTCTACCAAGCGGGATGACTCGCATTCAATTCCGACCGCAGCACATTTATAAGTTTTTTTTATCTCATCCCCAAATAAATAAGAATATTCTTCTTTTATTATTTTAACATGTCTCAAACATTTTTTTGCAGAGTATTACATTTTCTTTTTCAGATATGTGGCTCTGGAGGATTTTTTTTAAAAGGGAAATAAAGTCTGAAATTATAAAATGGTCTGAATCCCATCTTGTGAATACAAGGTTACAACGATAATTTTGGCATGGAGCCAGACTAAAATTTGTCACCGGAAAATGTTGAAGTACAAAAAAACAGTAACTGCGCATGTTCAGTGCATATCCGGCAAACTAACGTTTACTAAAGGTTTGCCGTCTCCGGCAAAATATACACTGCCTAAAATAAATGTTATTGTTTACACGGAAACTCACACTTCACAGAGGCATGTACTGCACATACTAAAGTTTGTGCAATGATCAACATTTCTTTTGTAACTACGAACCCATCATTGCCCCGCCCCCCCCCCCCCCCAAAAAAACGTAGTGGCTATCGTTACGACAGCTGTAAAGCAATTTCCAAATACTATCGTTAAGGCATTGTAAAACACAATGCAAACGTATTCACTGCCCATGCTACCACAATGCTTTGGTAGCTCGGTTGGTACAGGCATTAGCTCAGTGAGCTTGGGACGCTGGTTCGAATCGCTGCCACGCTACACAACTTAAAAAAAAAAAAAAATGAATGGATTTCTTAAGTTTTAGGTTTGTAATCAAGTTGTTCTTTTCATTTAAGGGTAATCCTTACCTTTAGGACCCCTTTTCTATATAAGGTTAAAAGACTCACCAAAACAGTTGACTAAATGACAAACAAATGTGACATTCTGATATTTCTTGGCACATTTGAACATTTGGCATTGGCAATGACACCTCTTGAATATCAGCAGGTTTAATTTTGTATAAAAAGGGCCGGGCTTTGATTTATGAGGGGTTAAAGACGACGATGACAAACAGGAAATATATTAAAAAAGCAAGATGGCGAAATGCAAAAAAAGGTAGGAAAGTCACATTTTCTTGGAAAGTGCTTTCAAAATTATTACTAACATGAGTTTGTCTGAAGAAAAAAGACTTCTTTTAGCCAGCAAAAGTCACTGTGGTACTGGACAGTCATCTGCAAATGTCAGTTTTGAACAGAACTCGTACAAAATAGAGGTGTCCTAAAAGTAAGGATTACCCATTTAAGACTAAGTAGGCTAGATTTCATTTTCTTCCCTTTGAAATCAGAGGGTTTGGAGGATACATGTAATTTCCATGGTGCCGAGTTGGCAGGTGCCGAGTTGGCAGGTAGTGCCGAGCTGGCATGGTTGGCAAGGTGCCGAAGCGAATAACATTAACAAACTTCAAGTTCAACGGTTTTTCTTTCCCAACTGTACACATTCTTTCATTACTTACCATTCAACGAGAACGCCTTTAATCACGTTCACCATATTTCCCCAGATTTCTTTCCAAATTCGGGACTTTCAACACAAAAATCCGGTGGTTTGACGACGATTCCACATGCAACGCGTGACATCCAAAACACGAAAATACATCGGCGCATGTTAGTCTGCTCCCCTTTTTGATACAGTATCCAACGTACGCACGTTTCCTTCTACGCACCAGACTAGTATAGTACCGAGAATCTACACAGTAACTTTTGCATACAAATTTACTTCGGAACCAGTCCTGCAGTTTATGGTCTCTTTTCCAGTCGTTCGATCTTACTTCAAAGGAAGTCAAAATCTATTGAGTTACACACGTTATACGGCAGGAAAGCGTCTAGTGACGGGGGACAGGGGCGGGGCGAGGGGGGTTAAATGGTTTTTAAGTTTACCGAACACCGGGACATGGGGACGGACACTGGTATAAATCCATCGCAATATCTTTTTAATATGACTTATGAGGGCACCATTTATTGTGATGTTAGCTTCAATCTATTAATGGTCCAGCCAACATCATCCCCGCCCCCCCCCCCAAAAAAGGCCCAGAATTTTCCAAATTCTTCTTTAAAAAGCCCCAAAAGCTCACTACCAAGATTCCATTCTCATACAGTAAGACAAAAAAATATTTGAAAGTGCCAGATGGTGTTCCATTTTTCATAGTCCGACCCACCCCCAAAACCCCACCCCTCTCATTTCAAATTCCATACATCCGGAAACTTTCACTCTTCAAAACATATTTGACGACATAGGTCAACAAACAGAGACCAGTGCAAAAGGACACAATTCAAATCCAATTGGTTTTATTTACATTTCGCTCACTTCTTCTTTCCAAATTTAATATTATTAATTATTAAATGAATTAAAGTAAATGTTTTCGGGAAGAGTTAATTTTTACCTGTTGTATATTAAACGATTGAGTCATCTTTATTGATGTAGATATTGTTTCAATGTCCTCAATTTTCAGACGTCAGACAGACCGTTTGCAAACTCGACTCTAACCAACTCAACCGTTTTTTAAAAATTTATTTAATGCTTTTTTAACTGGGTAGCCCATTCAGTGGGACCCACTGGTCTCCCATGGGCCTGGGGTCCAGTAAAGAGAAGACAATGTGACGAAATTACAGTTTTAAAGGTGGGAGGAAAACCCCAGAAGAATATTCTGGGGGAAAACCTACGGAATCAATTAGGGACTGAAAACCCAATCCACATATTGGCCCAGGCGGGATTCGAACCCGGGTCACATCGGTGGAAGGCGAGGAAAGAACTACTTCAAAGCTACTTCAACCTGACTCCCCAATCGTTTACCAATTCCTCCTTTATATCAACAGACGACTTGCATATCTAGTTGAACAACGAAGGAGTTGGCAAAAGGTCGAGTTGTTGGTTCGAGTCGAGCTGGCAAACGGTCGAGTTGTCTGCATACCTTTTCAGCCGACATATACAACCATCGAAGAACCAGTTGATTTCGTTATCAGCACACAAAAGCAAGTTCCCCTCATAATCTAACACTTTATTCGCATGCAACCTTTCTAACGATAAAACAACAACTGAAAACCGAGACTGTCAAATATAGCACATCGTATAAAATTACCTGTAAACATGACGTAACAAAAAGCTAGTGATTTAAGTTTATTCAAACAAAAACACAAATGCAAATTTTATTTGCAATTATTCAACTGGTTTTTCTGATGAGGTATCTTACCACTCGGATGCTTACGATCCTATATACATAAGGCACAAGTAAATTTTCTTTCCTTTCCTTTTTCGAACTCAAGATTTTTTCGCAAATTTAGACTATTCAACAATTAGACACAGTTTATTTTGTAAAAACTGTGCAAATTAAAGTTTTTCAATCTATACAGTTGTCTCCAGAAATTAAATTTGTACAGAAATTACTCCAAAAGTTACCTATTACAAGTACTCCAACTTTTAAAGATTCATATAATCTAATGTCATCACACACATCAACTGAAAGATATGAAGTCTATTTTCTTTCTTTTTCAAAAAATTGAAACTCACTGAGGAGCAACAAGCCAGTACATTTTTTGTATTTTTTGTTTAAAAACAAAAAATACAAAAAATGTACGAGCTTGTATTCCAATATAGTGTTTAGTATTTGAGGATGTAGACTTAACTCTAGCTCCTGAAGTAGATTTGCTAGGATGTTACCTCAATCCTACAAAATCCTCCAACTGCCTCCATGTGAAAATAGCATACAGCCTCAATCCTGCAAAATCCTCCGTTATTTCTTGAATGTGGTCCTTGGAGGGGTGACCACTTGCCTCAATCCTGCAAAATCCTCCAGCAATCACTGTCAATATGTTTGAGGCAGAGCCAGTGACATCCTGGAGCAATGCGGAGGATTTCAAGTCTAATGTGGCCCTAAATTTCTGCAAGGCTGAGCATAAACAACACAAGGTCTGGCCCAAGACCGCGACACAGTGCATCGTTCGAAATCAGCTACACACTTTTGCCATATAGCCTCAATCCTGCAAAGTCCAAAAATTTTGAGGATTTTGTAGGATTCGGGAAGGTTAGGATTAAAGAAGATCTGTTCGTGTTCTTCAACAAATTTTATCACCAATCGAATTTACACGTGTATGTTTTATTTCTGAACAACTACTATGGGACAATTGAGGGCGTCTGCAACTTTCTGGAAACATGATGATAGATCCAGCGTTTAGCTCGTCACATACTTTTGAGGACAAATTTACACTGAAATGGATTCTGATTTTTAATTCTGTACCCCTTTCTAATGTTACTGCTGGTCAAAGCCTCATACGATAACTCAGAGATTCTGCAAAACCAAATCTATCAATGGTATAAAAAGTTTATCAGGCAGCAAAAAGTTTCAACATCATTAAAGGCATATAGGATCATTTGCTTTTCGTGCATTTTTTGTTCGTTCCCAGAAATAACACCACTCAAAATCCAAAGAAGAATGTTCAAAACCGAATCTGTTGAAGTTTCAGCTCAGTGGGTTTACACTATATCGAAAAAAAAACAGTGAAAAACCATGCAAAATTTTGATCAGGAAACACTATTCCGTAAATAAAACTCTTTATTTCCAAAAATCAATCAACTGACTGATCGTTGGAAATCACCTACATTTCTTGATTTCTTCTAAATGACAGCAAGCCAGATGGAATAATTTCACAGGGTGTTTAATACCAGTTACCATCTTTAATCCAAGTAAACTTTTTTTGATAATAATTTAGAAGGTAACATTTTGGAATAATGCAAATGATCCTATATGCCTTTAACCTTGCTGATGAGTCAGACTATATAACGAATTTTTGTTTGAGACCAGCGGTTGGATCTATTTCTTGCCGTAGGTGTAGAACCCCTCGCCGGTTTTTGTGCCCAGTTTGCCGTCTGCCACCTTCTTGTCCAGGAGCGGACTGGGTTCGAAGATTGGATTATCTGGGTACTTCTCATGCCATCCTGCGAAAATTCCAAAATTTACCAAATTAAAAATCGTGGCCTGTTTTTGTTGTTGAAGTTGATTCATCTTAGGCCCGTTCTAGACACTGCTACTGCCGTGCCGAACTCAATCAATGTGACTTTTTTTTTAATTCGGAACGGCGACAGCACGACGTTTAGAACCATTTGGCTCGGCGAATTCAATTCAGCACGGCACCACCCTTCGGCTAGACAGGTCTGCTGTGCTATGGTCATTCCGAACGGCAGTAGCACGGCATTTTTCCAAATGCCGTGCCATTGCCGTGCAAAACTCAGTTCAATTCGAAGTTGGGGCAAACATTTTAGGAATGCGCATTCTCACAATACCCTCTCTGGCGTCCGCATCAGGGGGAGTGAAATTGGCGCGAACAGAACTGCTTTAACCTGCCCATTACTCCAGATACATTGAGGTTCGACCTTTGCATTCAGCGTCTAGAGCAAATGCCGTGCTGTGGACCAACTATTGCCAGACTCATTTCAATTAAGTTCTGCGGGGCAGTAGCACGGCGTCTCGAATGGGCTTTAGCCACTGCAGCTAAACCTCAACTGATTTCAGACAAAATATCACAGAATCTTTCCCTGCTGTATCGAAACAGGTCAACTTGTAAACACCTACCGACTCATAAGCAGCTTGGTAAACTAGTACACGTGCCAACTCGTACGTATATTCAGGCATGCAACTGGGAATTTAGAAACAACGAGGAAACTCAAAACTACAAAAGTACTTGTGTTTTTCAATCTGTAATGAGCTCCGTGCGCTGACAAAAGAGGGCGCCCTTTTAACTAGCAACGACGTCCCATGGGTGGGACATTTCGCTGGTTGACGCGCACCGTTCCTCAGTGTGACACACGAACACCAGGGGATTTGTACTATGTACACGCAGTGGCCGCGCTTCGCGGCAAATGAATTGCAGTCAGGCAAGATGGCGTCGGTCGGTCACCCCCAACTGTACTTTCTTTGCTGGTGAGGGGGTACTTGTGAACGGAGCGGATAGCATTCATGAGAAGTCAAAAACGAGGAACTCAGCGGATCCGAGCAAAAGTTGCACACATTAAACTGTGCACTCACGGGGCCCCCTTCAATGGAGAAACCATTGTGCTTGCTATTGTACAAAGCAACTCCCCGTGAGGGATTATCTGAACAATAGCTAGCACAGTGCTTTCGCCATTGAAGGGGGCCATCGTGATAGAATTGATAGCGTGTTTGCTATCGGTCTGTAGCCAGGCGCCTACCATCAATGATGAATTTGGTGACATCAAGGCCCACATAGTCCGCTAACTCAAAGGGCCCCATTGGATAACCAGCACCTAGCTTCATCGCGGTGTCAATGTCTCTTGCCGAGGCATCACCTGGGGAGAAAAAAAACGACTACTGTCAGCGAAGCAGACATAGATCTGAAAATTGCGTTCCCCTTTTCTATTTTAAGTTTCATCCTAAAAAGTAGGTTCCTTTTCTAAATTACTATTTATCGAGCAATACAAAAGTTATTCACTTCTGAATTAAAGGGAAAAATACAACATTTGCAAACATCAAAAAACGAAATGATCAAATTATCACGAAATACCTTACTGAATTGTTAGGGACTGACAGTCTAAAGCATCCTTTAAAATCAAGGCTCCTGGTGTGCTGACATTTTTTTCAAGAAAACCTGTATTTTCCAACGCTGGTCGGCCGACCAGCGTTGGAGGAAACTGGCTTTTTTTCAAAAAGTGTTCTTAATTTTTCATATTTAATTAGTCTGACTTTTCTTTGCAATTGATTACACACCTATATGAAGGGGTACAAGCCTGCTAGACTGATTCTCTGACCTTACAATTCCCCAAAGTGTATTAATTGCTCCGTTTCATCTTAAGTGGGGCCAGGGAACCAGACTACAAGAACATGATAGGTTTTCTTGGTTTTTCCAGCATGTACAAGCCCAAAACGTGAATTAAGTTAGTTTACCAATATTTTCTGTAACATATTAATCCTCCAAATCCATTTATTTCTGAAAATTGAAGAAAAAGTAAATGTTGTACATTCCCTTTAAGACATCGACCCAAAAAAAATCGGTCCGTGTTTCGTTATTGAATTATTAATTTACAATTTGGAATGATTGCCTGCCAGACAATAGTTCCATTCACGCGGGGTAGGCTGGTTCCTGCCCTACCATCAGTATTGATAATGAACAGACTGAGAGCCAGTCTGCTTACAAAGCGGAGCTGTTTGTGCCCCCAATATAATTTTTTTGCAAAATCTTTTATCAGATGTAACAGGGACACGAAAAAAAATGGACCCCCAATTTATGGAATGATAAATATCTCACACATGCTGTATTTAAGCCAAAGCGCACCTGAGGTATTCTCAGAACTTCCCGAGTAGCACTGCCAAAATTCCCAAGATTTGATTTGATTTGTCTTGTTGATAGCGCCTCTAACACCACAGTGGCTTGAACGCGCTAAACCAGGGATCCGAATCGGCTGAATTATGGGAAAATCCAAGATCATGCATAAAATTACATAAGGATCCGATTCGGTGCGATTACGTAATTTGTGACTGGGCAGTGTTCGATGCAGCATTTGAGTATCTTTACCTCTTTCTAGAAGTCTGATAGATTCCATCATGTAGGGTACGAGTAGTCTGTTGACGATGAATCCCGGAGTATCCTGATGAAATCAAAAAGTAACATGAGATTCAAGACAAATAGGATCATTTGCTTTTCATGCATTTTGTTCGTTTTCAATGATAACACCGCTCAAAATCCAAAGAAGAATGTTCAAAACCTAACCTGTTAAAAAAGTTTCAGCTCAGTGGATAGTACACTTTTTCAAGAGAACAGTGAAAAAGCATGCAAAACCTTTTGATCACGAAACACAATTTCGTCTATGGAGCTCTGTATTCCAAAAATCAGTCAGTTGACCGATCGTTGGAATTCACATACATTTCTTGATTTCTTCTAAATGACAGCAAGCCAGACGGAATCATTTCACAGGGGTGTTTAGTACCAGTACGCTCTTTAATCCAAGTAAGCTTTTTCTTAATAATTCAGTAGGCTACTTTTGGGATAAATGCCTTTAAAGCATAATCGAAACAATGAATATTTAAAAACAAAAATTGCAAATCTTTAAAATCCATTGCATGAAAAATTGAAGAAGAATTTGAAAGAAGATGTCTTGCCAATCAACCACCGAGCTTGCAGGTCGGCTGGCTGGTTCGAATCTGAATAAGCTTGTGAATTGTGTCTCACAAGTATGACAAGCATTCGGACAACATCCAGTATAGGTATATAGTGTTTGTAAAATATGTTGGTGAAAGGCAAAACCCAACACTGAATTTACATTTCCCTGGTCCAAATTCAATCCTATTAATAGTTTGGTTGCAGTACTTGCTGCTATATCAAATTTAAATCAGCCAGCTGACCCTGGCAAGCTCGGTGGTCGAGTGGTAAGCCACTAAGCAGGAGGTCGTGGTTCGAGTCCCATCCGAGTGATTTTCTCAAAATCACTCAGGACGACACCGAGTATACAGTGTTTATAAACTTCGCCGGAGAAGGGACAAACCCAATATTGAAAAGAAGCCGCGATGGTTTATCTTTCACAACACACGATAAAATTGATCTAGTGCTTCATAAAATCGAACCTGGTCTGGTTAATATTCTTGCTATACTCACTTTGCATGCAACTGGCACTTTGCCTAACTTAACAACAAACTCTGTGAGAGTTTTAATCGTCGCTTCACTCTGTTCTGGTGTTCTGACGACCTACAAAAATATAAAAAAAATAACGATTACATGTTTTAAAGATGTACTGCCCTAGAATGCCATGGTCCACTCCAGTGAGCGACTCATGTACGATTGTGTCTCGGTTTGGACCCTGCCAGCAACATGGTGTTTGTGCCCTTGGGCGAGACACTTAACTACAATTGCCTCTCTCCACCCAGGAGTATGAATAAAGTACCCGTGAGGGTAGAGGACCGAATGTGCGCTGGTTTCGGCTGCCGCGTGGTCTCCTGGCCTGATGAACGGGGGAATAATTGTAAAGCGCTTTGAGATTGTTGATACAATGGAAAGCGTCATATAAGCATTAAAATTTTTATTTTATTTTACTTTTACCGTCCATGCCCTTCAACAAAGGATACTATTGTCCTTACATAATTTCAACTTTTCAAATAAATCACAAAGATAAACTGACCAGGTACATTGTAATAACTTTTTTTCCCAAGATAAACAAAACAAAATGGGTAGTCACAAAGAAAGGCCTGTATCATTTTCATGCACAGCTGAATATCAGGGAAACTTTAACAGACTGTGGTCAATACCCAGACCGAATGACGGCCGAAGAGAAACATTTGGCAACCTGTCCCGTTTTTGTGGGAGACAAGAACATATCCAAAGGGACATTTTTTGACCCACCCTGTATTTAACACGGCTACAATGGACAATGCAGTCCTTCTGTTTTGAGGCATGCGATCACACCCCGCCGCCATCACACGCCTAAAAGCTTCCAGAGAAGTGCAAATAATTGCACGCCCGAATCCCTCAGTACCGCACACTTCAGCATAGATTTACAGCATAATTATACTTCATAATTTGTGAAAAATGAAGTACGTCAGTGAAGAGAAAATGGTTTTATTGTAAACCAAGATGAATATTATGCAATAATATCACAGCTTAGACCATAGAATCACACACCAAGAAAAATCACTCGCCTAGAAAATCACACACCTAGAAAAATCACACATCTAGAAAAATCACACGCCTAAACAAATCCAGGTGTGCCATTTTCCAAACACCTGAGATTTTCAAATCAGAAGGACTGCAATGGACAATCAGCTGAACATTTTAGCACTATAAAGCGGTAATTATGTGAAAGCAAAAGTATACCCCCCCCCCCCATTACCTCGACGAGTTTCATAACAGGCACAGGATTGAAAAAGTGAATTCCGCCGAACCGATCTCTTCTGTCGGTACCACTGGCAATGTCTGAGATAGGAATTGATGAGGTATTGCTGGCAAAGATAGTCTCTCTGTGAAAATACAAAACAAAAACATGAAATGTTTAAAGATATAGTCCATCATTTGTAATTTGTGCATTTTGTTCGTTTGAAGCAACAAAAGTTCTCAAAATCTAAAGAAGGGTACTGAACAACTAACCTGACGAAGTTTCAGCTCAGCTTCAGCTGTATATTCCGAGAAAAACAGCATTCTAGGATCCTCAATTTCAAATCGAAAGTTGCTGAATCATGTTTTGAATTGGGCCTGAATTCAGCGTCCGAGACACGTTCTTACTGAGCCGATTGCAGCTACGCGATGTCGCGCACTGATCCATCGTGCCAATGCTTGCGCGCTTCGCCGAATAACAAAACGAACTACTAATTTAAGTTTCCTACTGTGCGTCTTAAGAAGCACCGTTGGAAAGGCCTTCTTTCAGCAAGTGACAGCTTGCCAGAAAGAATAATTTCACAGGGAGTTTAGTCCCCTTACTATCTTTCAACCAAGTATGTTTTTCAACAATAATTACGCCAGTTACTTTTCGGAAGCTGCAAATGATGGACTATAGCTTTAATTATGCATACGACAAAAAGGACTTTAAAATTGAACAGTTAAACATATATATACTTATGGTGTGTATTTACAGGTCGTACGGGAACCAGGTACCCTATTGAAGTCAAACACAGGTTCCCGTTAAAGAAACCCAACCCCAAAATTCAAATCCCGCAACTTTTGCGAGCGTCATCTGTCGCTCGTTAAAATGCACATAAACTTGAAATCTGTTTTGATTTAAGACGCACCGTAGGAAAATTTAAATTAGTAGTTCGTTTTGTTATTCGGCGCAGCGCGCGCAAGCATTGGCACGACGCACAGGCGCGCGGTTGCTATAATTCGTCGGATCAGTGCGCGACATCGCGTATAGCTGCAATTCAAAACAATTCAAAACATGATTCAGCAACTTTTGATTGGAAATTGAGATCCTAGAATGCTGTTTTTCTCGGAATATACAGCTGAAGCTGAGCTGAAAGTTCATCAGGTTAGTTGTTCAGTATCCTTCATTAGATTTTGAACACTTTTGTTGCTTCAAACGAACAAAATGCACAAATTACAAATGATGGACTACATCTTTAATAGTGAATAATATAAAGCAGTCTACAAATTAAATATTTATGTAACAATTGTTGCACAAATAAAGTTCATAAACTTACGCAGGGGCTACTTTGTCAAGTTGGCTGAACAGCTCTTGTTTGACTTTGACGTTTTCTACGATGGCTTCAATCACCAGATCTGTCTTTGCTACGGCGGCTAACGCATCTGTGTTTACGTCAATGAGAGACATTGCATTCTTTGTGAATGTTTCAGCTGCCTGTAGTAAAAAGATAAGAGCACAATTTATGAAAAATAAACAGGGCAACAGATCAAATGTGATACAAATTTACAATTACATTAGTGTTGGGTTTAAAATCCGGATACTTTAATATTCGGTTTGAATTCCACTACTCGGTTTGGATTTTGGAAACCGGATATTCGAAACCAAGCTTAAAAAAAATTAGGCCTTCCCTTTTTTTCATGACACAAGCTAAAGTCAAAAACAAACTGGAACATCCCCCAATTTGCTCAACGGTCTCTGATTGTGACTGCATTCACTTGCTAGTTGTCTCCTCGGTTCATGAATAGTAATAATAATAATAATAATAATAATAATTTGGGAGGCTAATCATCCTTACTCGCAGCTGGTATGCTGAATTGCGAAGGACGCGGCTACAACGTGGTCGGGCCGCTGGCACGTAAAGGCGCCTATGGCTGCCGGCCACATCGACCCATATATGACCACGGAGCACAGCCTGAGATCGAAAGTGTTGATTTTTCCGGAGGGAGGAAAACCGGAGGGCCCGGAGAAAAACCCTCGTGGCACAGGAGAGAACCAACGCACAACTCTACTCACATGCGATCCGCGGCCAGGATTCGAACCGTGGTCACCTTGGTGAGAAGCGAGCGCTTTACGCACAAGCCACCCATAGCCTGCCCATTCGTCGGATCAGAGAGTTCCCCCCCCCCACCCCACTTTTTTCAACATTACATCTCTCAAGTGTTTTTTAAATGGAATATACAACATTTCCTTTTGCCGCAATTTTCAGAAATACATGGATTTGGAGGATTGGTATGTTATAGCAAATATGTTAAACTGCCTTTTTCTTCTTCACTTTTTGGGCTTGTAGATGCTGGAGAAACCAAAGAAACAAATCATATTCTTGTAGTCTGGTTCCCTGACCCCACTTAAGATGAAACTGAGCAAATTATAAACTTTGGGGAATTGTAAGGTCAGAGAATCTGTCTAGCAGGCTTGTACTCCTTCACAGGTGTGTAATGTGTAATGTGCAAAGAAAATGCAGAATAACTCAATTTGAAAAAGTAGGAGCACCTTTTGGGAAAAAGCCAGTTTTCTTCAACGCTTGTCGAAAAATACAATTTTTCTTGAAAATGTCAGCGCACTAGGAGCTACGATTTTTACAGGATGCTTTAGACTGTCATTCCCTAACAATCCAGTAAGGTTTTTCGTGATAATGTGATCATTTCGTTTTTTGATGTTTGCAAATGTTGTATCTTCCCATTAAAGGGAATATACATGATTGGCTTTTGCTGTAATTTTCAGAAATGAACTATTTGAGGGGTTAGTATAATAGATCAAATATTGTTAGACTGACATGTTTGAAGGTTTGTGTTCGAAAATGCTGGAAAAAAACAAGAAAAACAAAAATGTTCAAGTAGTCTGGTTCCCTGACTCCACTAAATATAAAATGGATCAATTTACAGATGCCGGAAACTTGTAGGGTAATGGAACCAGTCTAGCCGGCCTGCACCCGTTCATGAACATGTAACCAATAGCAAACAAAATTTGGACTGAACATGCTGAAAGAAAAATGGTTAATTTGGAGCAGTAGTTGAAAAATAGTTAGGTTTTTCCAACTGTGGTCGGCCGACCACCGTTGAAAATTTTTACAAAAATACCATTTTCTTGAAAATGACTTCACACCAGGTGCCATAATTTTACAGGATGCTTTAGACTGTAATTTACCAACATCCTAGTAAGGTATTTCGTAAAAACTAGGTAGTTTTATTTTTCGATGTTTGCAAATGTTGTATATTCCCTTTAAAGGCTCAGCTGTCATCCGGTTCGTTAGTGTGACGTCACCTCCAGCACTTTCTGCATGATTGGAACCGGAAGTTAACGCAGCTCGAGCGTTTGTAGCCAATGGGCGCTAGTAATCAGTGGTGCGCGCGCGTGTATGACGTTTTCACTAACGAACCGGATACAGTCCTGCAAACTATGCCAAATCATTTCATGCGGCACCTCACTCGTCACTTTTTGCTGGCGTGACTGTGAGCTGGATGGGAACTTCCGGTGAAATCGGATAACCGTTATTCGGTTTGAAAAAAAAAATTAGGATAACCGGATTTTTGAAATGTCAGATTTCTCCCAACACTAAGGCAAAAAAAAAAAATAAGTTGGTCTCTGGTCAGCGCGCGCGTCGATTTTAATCATGCGCGTCGATCTTTTTTTTTCCAAAATGTTCCGCGGTAGCTCCAACAGCGCCCTCTATTTCCGCACCTCCTCAATTTTTTTTACCAAAGAGCACCAAGGAATGGGAAATTGCACCAAGGCAAATGATCGAAAGCACCAAGGCAAATTATGGAGGACACCAATGTACATGAGGTGACCAAAAAAGCAAAATAGTACCCCACCTTGTCTGTACAATCCAAGCTTGAAGAAAAAAAAAAACCAAAAAAAAACCAAAAAATAAAAAGCCGCGTGGCCGCGTCAATTCCGGAACTTTGGTCTGACCAGAGACCAAATTTTTTTTTTTGGCCTAACACACACGTGGGCATCATTTAAAAAAAAAAGCGATTAAACAAAGAAATTGGCTGGGTCGGGATTTGAATCTGCGACCTTCAGATTATCGTATCGGTAGACGCAAATCCCGACCACGTACTGACACATGCACTGATGCATGCAAACATCAACCGTACCCATAGAGCTATATTAAATTACTAGAGCGCTAACTCTTCATTCTTGCGCGCTGAGAAGCTTTGAAGCCGTCCTGGGCGCAGACATTTTGAAGTTATGTGCGTGTTTGTAGAGCACAATCAAAATAGAAGGATTGAATTTTGAAAGCGCACTCTAAATGCAATGCACAACTTAAGCATCTGCAGGGCGAAAAGCATCTGCAGCGAATACGCGCACGGGTGGCACTGTTTGCGTAGAGCAAAATGACACGCTCATTTGCTGATCGTGCGTTTCAGTTTTCGGCGTTGGTAACGCACCGGTATGGAATACAAACGCAGATATGCAAATAGACGTACAAAATACGTACACAATTTCTAGTTCTCCATACATGTAGGTTTGTGCACAAACATAGATGCGCCCATTAGGCATCACTTTGTACATATGAGTTAGCGCTCTAGTAATTTAACATATAGCTCTTTGACCGTACTGCACATGCACTTCCTCGCTTGAAAGTGAAATTCCCAACCAACACACCCAACTTGGGCTTGTAAAACTTGCAATCAGTGCATGTCGAGCATTCGAATATCCAACCGAATCCAAATTCGAACAATCAAATACTGAATTATTCAACAGCGCACAACACTAGCTAGAACTGCAATATTGATGTTACGCCCCAACTACGTCATTGTCCCAACTAAAGTCCATTCCAACTACAGTTAGGATCGTCCCAACTGACATCAGGCATTCCCAAACTATTGTTGGAACTGTCCCGATAGTTGGGACCATTGCTACATTTGTATAGTTGGGACGGAACACTGACAACAACCAAACAAACCTTAGCATCTTCCCCAAATTTCTTCTTTGCGACTCTGGCCAGACTCCGCTCTATCGTCAGTCTGGAGTGAGCAAGGATTTCCTCTGATTGGTCGACCACGGTCACATGATGTCCTGTCTGGGCGGCAACCTGCACACAAATTAATTTGAAAACAGAATAGGAAAATTTAAAAGCAATGTCACCTTTATCCTGTAATTTTGAGGGGAAATTTGGAGAAAGACTAGTCTGAAATGACTGGATGATTTTTTACCATGTTTACAGGGTAACTTAGTAGATCATGACCAGGTAGGCCTTAACGTCTATTGTAAGACGGATTTCATGATCCCCCGGCATTGTGCGTCAAGAGTACGTCAAAAGTGCATCATGTTGTCCACATCTGTGACACAGTTATCTCTTCAACATTTGGCTTAGCTGGATAATGTCATGGTTTTGAGGCTCAGCTGGATGTCATGGTTTTGAGATCGGAGGTTGTGATCGTAAGTTCAAAACCATTTTTTCAAGGCAGTGTATATTTTGCCGGAGACGGCAAACCTTTAGTAAACGTTAGTTTGCCGGATATGCACTGAACATGCGCAGTTACTGTTTTTTGGTACTTAAACATTTTCCGGTGACAAGTTTTAGTCTGGCTCCATGCCAAAATTATCGTTGTTACCTCGTATTCACAAGATGGGATTCAGACCATTTTATAATTTCGGACTTTATTTCCCTTTTAAAAAAAATCCTCCAGAGCCACAAATCTGAAAAAGAAAAAGTAATACTCTGCAAAAAATGTTTGAGACATGTTAAAATAATAAAAGAAGAATATTCTTATTTATTTGGGGATGAGAAAAAAAAAACTTAAAAATGTGGTGCGGTCGGAATCGAACGCGAGTTATCCCGCTTACTAGAGCCTTTGCTTAACCATTACACCAAACGTGCTACACAACTTTTGGTGGGAATTTAATACATCTTATAATTCAGCCCTATTTTAAAGAGTACAGCGCCCTCTATTGATATGGATTGCCGCCGGCAAACCTTTAGTAATCGTTAGTTTGCCGTCATTACCTCCGGCAAAATATCCACTATCTTTTTTCAATTTGTTTTCTTTTCTAATAGTAATTTGCGACTTTGGAGGATTTTTTTTAAAGGGAAATTAAGTCAGAGTTAATCATAAGGTTCGAATTCATTTCTCTTTTTTCCTTTAGTTTATACATTTTGTTCTCATGTTTTTATTGAAGTAAAGGGAGTGCCAAATAAAGTCCAAACATCTCACAGCGTAAACAGTAAACCCCATTCGCTTATGTCGGAAAAAATGTTGCAACCTGATGCCACTTCCGCGATTGCGTACAAAGTCTATCGTGTCTATGGAGAGTCAAGACTCAAGACAATTTTCTAAGAAGTATTTCCTAACAAAATTGGAAATGTTTCGGTCCCAGATTCATGGCTTATCATCATTTTTGCAATGAATGACCTTCATTCAATCTTCATTTGAGAATGAGATGATTTATGAAGAAAAAAAGTGGCGTCAGGTTGCAACATTTTTCCCCTTATGTTGTTTGGGGCGGGCCGGGCTAGACGCGATCGGTGGACCACACTATGTACACGCCGCATGCTCACCGCCGGCACAGCCCGCCTGGCGTCGGTCATGCCGGCCCCGGCATCTTACGACTTACCTGCGCAATTCCCGCACCCATTTGTCCGCCGCCGATGACCGTTACGTTCTTTATGGCTGCCATCCTCAACGCAGAGGTGGTCAAACCCCTGTGTATCACCTTTGTGACAAAAGACATCGTCTCAATTCCGCTGATTTCTCTTGCAAAATGAAGTGAATTTCTCACGAACTTGGAAAGCAAAGTTTGCACGTTCCCTGTCGACTCAGTTCAATTCGCTGAATATCGTGTCAAAGGTCAACGTACCTAGCCGGCTAGGTAGCCTTTATACCAGGCTTGTGTAGCTTGACCTTTTATTGTGTTGCCCAATCGGATACAGCGCCGTTATAATGGCGTGAAACAACACATGAAAAGAGGCTACTGATTTCTAGTAATTTTTCGTTCCCAGGGCTAAACAGCAGACACGCTTCATTACATTAACTAGGCTGGTCAATGGGTACGGTTAGACCCGCCCACTTTTGACGTGCTACAAAAGATTGCTTGGCCATTCAATCGCCCACTTTTCAATATTTCCCTGAACTATTGACCTACCAGTGCCCAACATGCTGACCATATCCCACATGTACATGGGGATCACCCCACTTGTGAAACTTATAGAAAAACATCACCCCGGATGTGAAATCTTTAGCAAAAGGGATAAAAGGAACACAATGCCATCATCCCACATAATTATGTTCATCCCGTAAAGTCGTCCGTTCGCGGGCACAAAAGCCTTGAACTCGATGTATTCACATGGCCAGTTGTCTGCAGTTTATTTATTTAGAGTAAATTACGCGTCCAGACATTTTGTCATTCACCCTGTTTTGATCTATATTGTGATCTGGTTATTTTACAAGGCTATCCAAAGCATGCATGTACATGTACTCAGTGTGTAAGAACTTTACAACATGCAATGGAAATAAATATCACCAAGTACACGATATAAGTTCAAGGCGGGATCGAATCAGAATAAGAAGCAAGGTTGCCTCCCAGGGTCTGCCACTGTCCCGAGGTCGAATGTACGCCCTGGGAACGAGGTTAGGTCGGGCTCGTCACATTGAGATGTCCGTCTGCGCAACGGATCTTCCTAGTAGGTGATGACGAGCAGATCTGATGAAGTGTCTCGGGTATAAGAGGTTCTCGGGTATTTCTCAGACTGTGTAACGGCACGATGGCGGAGGCAAGTGATGCAGCGAAGCCGTGGACTCCCCGCGAAGGCGAGACAGGATTCCCAGGGCTTTTCCGGTCTTTCAGCAAGGAACAAGCGGAACCTTTAGAGGCAAAAATCAAAGGTCGGTCACCGTTTTAAGAAATCGTTTATTTTTGTTTGGCCGTGTCTTCTTTTTCGAAGTGGGAGACGTTCAAGAGTTATCAGTAGACGATGTAGACATTGAATCTTAAACGGATCTTGCATGAATGAACGTTCGTTCTATATAATCTATTTCTTTAGATTCTCAGCTGGAAACGTTGGGTAAAATGTATTCGAATTAATTGGGTCGTGAAAATTCACACATTATAGACATCTAGAAATAACCTTTGCGGGCAAATATTGTTTTTACTTTGTCGTGCCAGGTTACTTGAGGATGTCATATACGTTTTATATTATAATTTTGTTTTTAAAATATTCATTTTCGCATAAATAAGTTGTGTTTATTTCGTCGTGTTTTTCTTGAGATTGGCGTTTACGTTTCATATCATGATCTAATTTTTATATTTATCTTCACGTAAATAACTTGTATTTCGTCGTGTTTTTTTTAGATTGGCGATTACGTTTCAGATTATAATCTTATTTTTATATTTATTTTCACGTAAATAACTTGTTTTTATTCCGTCGTGTTTTAAGTAAGAATGACGTATTTTTTTTATACTATGATTGTAGTTTTATAATACCAATTTTCACGTAAATAAGATGGTTTTATTTCGACATGTTTTACTTAAGAATGGCGTGTAGTTGTTATATTATATGTTTCATAATTGCACATTCAGAAATCAGTTCATATTCACACATCATAAATATGATTTTCTTTTTCATTAGGGCCTATGTATCTATGCCTCAAACACAATTGCCGAAACATCTGTCGATATTTACAAGGGAATTCCGATTAAAAAAAAATACAGATCAATTTCAAATGTTTTTATAGGAACTGTTGTTGGCCCCTTCTTGTCGCATTTAGAATGGTGTGCCATTTTTGTTAAGCCGCGCGTCCTGTTGATGCCAAAATCTCGTGTGTATTGTGGAATATGCATGGTCTATATCCAATTATCCCATGTGAGTTTGTATTCATGGAATTTCAATCAAGACGAAGCATTCAGCTTCGTTTTCGATCACTTGTCTGAAATGTCACCGTCGAGGCAGGTGCATATTTTTAAACCACATTCATAACGTTATAAAGGTAACATTCGTCTGGAAATATCGTCAAAATTTACTGACTTTATTTTAAATGTCTGGGTCACCAAAAATTAAAGTCTGACATCTACGGTGAAAATGCTACAAAGGCCCCAGCTGCGATTTATTACCAGTCGTTGACGAAATAAGCCATCGAATTTTTAGTAAAATAAAATTCAAGTTAAATACATGCATGGATCCTAGAGCACTCGCCAGTTTAAAATCATGTTGCGACCTTTAATGAGCAGTTTCAGCCCATCTGTCTTTGTTTTCTTTTTCAGACATTATGTTCTATTTTGGTCCACCCATCGGTTTCTGCAGCTAGCTAATGAACGTTTTTTATGTTTTCATGTCTCTTTATAAATGGTCTCTCATCGTTTTGTTTGCTTGACAAAAGCGTCTTATTAGTACGTATTTCCAAGTAAAAGTAAGGACGAGACATCGAAATGTTGTCTTCACACCGGCGTGTATATTGTGCTTGTATGCCTACGATTATGGTTTTAAAAATCTAAATAAGTCGAGTTTGAAGAAGCAAGAAGACAAAACAAATTGAATGATTACAAACGTACTGGATTGTAACAATTAAAATTATGCACGTTGGTCATTGTATAAATTTAGGGTCATAAAACAAGTGTGACTTTTTTTCTGTCCTTACCTTGGTACTTTGTAATTTGCCATTCAAGTATCATTAAGAATGACTTCAAATGATTGTTTATTTGTTGAGTAGGTAGTTTGCTATTCATAATCACTCTTAGAGGACGACTGCATTAAGGAGTGCATCAGAATTATAAAATCATAGATGTCAGATGTAACAGGGACAGGAAAAAAGACCCCAAATCTATAGAATGACCCATAGCCTACAGTTCAGCACCATGGCAATTAATGCGCAATCGTAGCTACAGCATACGTGCCCTAGTAGCGTGCTGGTTTTAATAGGAATTAGCAGAAAAAAAAGTATGCCGATACATTTTTATTAATAATAGTCTATGAACAAAATAATACAAAAATATTAATTTTTTTCCTTTATGTTTTGCATTACCTCCAGGCATCCCAGTATATTGTGTGCCTCTAAGTACCCGTAACTTTGATCATATAGTAAATATTGTGTATTTCTAAAATTTGAACACTGATGTTTACGTTCTTGAATGTCCGTGAAATATTTTGTATCATACTTGGTATCGTATACGAAAGCCTGTCTGTCGAAGTATAGGCCTATAAATTGTAAACGCTAATAAAAAAAAAACGATTTACAAGGTTCACTCGAAAGACAAAGGAAAATACACGTACACACTTTTTATAATCGCCAACATGTCCATTTCAAAAACGGATGTCCGAAATAATATACTTGACTTTTTAAAAATGTATTCCTGATTGCACTAACGGGCTTTCATACTGTGCAAAAAATGTGGGTACGAAAAAGACTGTAAGGATTTTTACAATGTATAGAAAGGATAGCATCGTTGCCGCAGGCAAAGTCAATAATCTTTTGTTGCATTCTGTGCTATACAGTACTGTGGCTTTTTAAGATGTCGTCGACCTCAGGAAAAAGTAACAACTGACAAGATGTTATCTGCACAAAAAAAAGCTTTTCTGTGTAGGTGCATCGTTAATCCCTTCCCTATAGACAAACGAAATTGAATCCAACTGCAAATTCCAAAAAGGAGTAGCAATATTGCAATTGCGAGGAAAAGATGATATAGGCCTAGATAAAGGTCGAAAACATGACTTAGGGTTTTAAAGGGGTTAGAGCAACCTCGCTCCCATGCTTTTAACCTCGAGATAAGAGTAGACCCCGGTAGAAAAACCTGCTTCTGTATTCTGATTCGATCCCACCGTGTAGCCGATCCCACTGTGTAGCAAGTAATGGATTCATATCGTGTAGTTGGTGATTTTATTCTAAACGTGTATTGCGTGTTTTTAATTTTACGTTCATTGTCGTCAACTCCCCCTCAAAAAGCAATCTTCTCTTTTCCACCTTGCTTATTACATACATGGTGAGTAAAAAAAAAAGCGGAACCCAAATCAAAAGAAATATAATTCATATTTAAAAACAAATATGTAGCACCAATTATGATTGCTAAGCCAATTGAATAAATTACTTTTTAGATGGAAAAAAGAAGACTTTTAACATGTAGAACAAGTGACATATTTTCTCACTTCAAAGTAGTTTAATAAATGGGCTTCCAACTCATAATTAACTTTGGTGCGCCATAGTTTTTTTTTATATGAAATATCTTTGTTTTTGGATGCCGCATTTTTTTTACTCGCCCTGTATTTAAGCCTATTGCTGGATGGATACGATTGTGTGTTACATTACAACTTTGGATGGGTAACATTACAAATTTGGGAAACAAATCATATGTTTTTTTCGATCTCACGACGAATCGATTCCGTCTGTACCCTGGACACCGCATACAAAAACAAACACTGATTTACAGGACAGGCAGGCACTAGACTATTCCGTACCTAATTATAATGATATACTCTGGACTGTTGTTACCTAACACTTCCCCTATAGATATCTCAGAAGAATTCATGAGATTCCGGTAACACAATGACCAACACAAAAAGGGGGGGGGGGGGCTCTGCTACATAATTTTGCTACATAATTATAAGTACATGTATAGGCTAGGACTAATAAGAAAGATTTTTGAACACGCAATTGATAGAGAGCTGCTATAGTGGGCGCGTACTGCTCGACGGCAAGGGGATGAGGTTGAATTCGCTCAAAATATCTCATGCAACACTTCAAGAAACCGATTTCTTTGTAAGAAAATATTTATGAAGAAATTATAATACACGGCGGATCGGAGCAGCTGTTTTTTTCCCCGAATCGCGGACGACGAAGATCTGATAATAATCTTAATGGATGGGAAAGGTAATTCCTTCTGTTGGAGTATTATACGAGACCTTCCATTTTCCAGCGGAGATGAGATATAAATCATGTACGACATTGGGACAGGTGTGTGACTTAACGCCCGTTGAACACAATAAGCGGCCAGATAATGGCAAACCGTAGACATAATGGAAGTTTAAATTGGTAAGGCTTACTTCAAGGTTCGACATTGAGTAAGAGTAATAATGGAGTGCATTTTTGATAATTATGAGCTACGATGATGCTTTCGGTTTACTGTCTCGAGGCCAACCGATAGGACTCGATTTAAAAAAATGAAAAATGTATTGAAAGAGCGTCTGCAGTGCGCCGTTTGGTTATCACGAAATGATTACACATGCAGTTGGAAAGATCATAAGTACAATACAAACGCACACACCTCACAAATATTTTTGGTTTTCTTGTAAATAACGCGCGAAAGAGTTTTTGGGATGAATGCCGGAGGCTTATAGCGCATGTCTACCAACCATTAGGTACCTCAAGGCGACGCGTCGCCTTGAGTTACCGTCGCGACGGTAATAATTGTCTATATTTAAAGACAGATAAATGAGTAGTTTACGAGAAATATGAGACCCATTTTTGTAGCACCTTAATAAAGGGTAAACAAGGTGCAAAATTTGTCATAAAAAATCGGCCTTTTGAGTGATGATTCTAGTCTCGATTCCAGTCCCACGTTTATTTCAAAACCTTGCTCCAAACACACGTTTTTTTCAGTATGGCGCTATAGCCTGATGTTGAAAGTTTTCGCTCATGATCTGATGGCAATCCGTACGTCACTGCTGGAAAATACGTCTAGATAAAGGGAAAAAGCGACTCCCATGCGTCAGCTGTAAGCGAATCGGATTTTCAAAATTTCCTCCAAAAGTGTAAGACTTCTTTTCACCCAGACCTTAAAATGGTCGTAAATAAACAATTCAAAACACAACATTTAAGCGATCTCCTGGTGAAAGTAGACCTTTAATCTTTTCCGTTTTCAATCAAGGCAAAGTCCCGGACTGGGTGGAAGGTAGTTTGCTTCGCAACGGGCCGGGAAAGTTCGAAGTCGGCCCGGATACCTACGAACATTGGTTCGATGGACTGGCGGTATTACTTCGCTATAATATCCACAAAGGCAGGGTAAGGAAACTATATATATATTCAAATTTAGAGGTTGTTGTAGAAAAGTAGAGGAAAGGGTTCAAAGATAACGCCGTGTGAAGAACACATTCGTTTTTTTAATTACCAATAATAATTTTCATAAATCGTTTGGTTGGCACTTTTTGCTATAACCACGGGTTGCCAAACTATGGTAGGCCAACACTTCAAAAATAATGAAATGTTAATAATTTCCAAACATTATCACTGGATTAGTGAAAAAAAATTAACCAACACCTGCTACCAAATGCAATTTACATAATTTTATGCATGAGCAAATTCAGTAGGATGTCACTTCAGGTAGAAACTTAAATGTTATATAGTCATTTCAGCACCAACAAAATGTCAGAATGGTATTTTGCAGTCATAAATTTTCTTTTCTTTGGCGATTCGTTGTTTCAGTAAAGAGACAGTAAGCCAATGAGCGAACTTTTCTCACAAACGTTTTCAGTGAGCAAATTTCTGGGTCAGTGTCTCCCTGAAATGACATCACAGCAACAGCGCCCTCAAGTTGTCGGGAAAACCATGGACACTTTTAAACGTTAAAAGAAGTGCACTTTTCAAACAAATTAACCAAAAAAGGGATGTAAAATAGTTTTCAGACATATAAGAGTAGAAGTTGCACAAAATATGTTCCCAAGTGAAATTATCTCCTGATCCCTTTTATTCTATGCTCTTGTTGCATGCTTCTCATACAAAATGGCGCTCAAAGTTTACTAACGAAAGAAAGGTTTAACATTTTTTTTGTTTTTGTTAGGTGACCTACCAGAGCCGATTCCTCCAGAGCGATTCGTACATCAAAGCAATGGAGCAGAATCGGATAGTCATGTCTGAGTTCGGCACGGTGGCGCATCCGGACCCCTGCCAGAGCTACCTGGGCCGGTTCCTGTCCCGATTCGTCCCTCGGACTTTCACGGACAACTGCAACATCAACTGGGCTCAGTACGGAGACGAGTTCTACGCCGTCACGGACGGCACGCTGATGCGCAAAGTAGACCCCAACAGTTTGGAGACATACGAAAAGGTGTGTCAATTCAAGTGGACTCAAACATCTTCTTTTTTTTCGGTCATTGTCTCAAATTAATCAAAATCACGTGTCGCATTCGGTCATTTCAAAAGACTGTCACTTGTGAATTAGACTGGTTACCTATCTCACTGACTGACTGTCACTTGTAAATAGACTGGTTACCTATCTCACTGACTGACTGTCACTTGTGAATTAGACTGGTTACTTATCTCACTGACTGACTATCACTTGTGAATTAGACTGGTTACCTACACTGACTGACTATCACGTGTGAATTTAGACTGGCTACCTATCTCACTCACTGACTGACTGACTCCCCCGTGTGAATTAGACTTGTTACCGATCTCACTGACTGACTGTCACTTGTGAATTAGACTGGTTACCTATCTCACTGACTGATTCGGAATCAATTGGCCCAAAAAAAATGCACAATGGGACCGCTTTACTAGACTTGTCCAGTCTTTTTTTTCACCTTGATTACAGGTGGATGTTGCTGATCGCATTGCCGTGCATTCGACCAGCTCCCATCCACACACTGCGAAGGACGGCACCGTGTACGGCCTAGGATCTCGCTTCTCCTATCAGAGCACATACAACATCATTAAGATACCTCCACAAGACCCAGGTTCGGTACAGAGCAATCCGGGCACGCGGTCAATTTGGTCACGGAGGCCCCCTTCAATGGTGAAAGCACTGTGCTAGCTATTGTTCAGATAATCCGTCATGGGGCAGTTGCTTTGTACAATGGCATGCACAATGGTTTCACCATTGAAGGGGGCCTCATGAATGTACAGTGACCGCGTGCCTGCAGATTCATCTATCCGCTCCGTTCACACGTACCCCCGGCCCCTCACCGGCAAATGAAGTGAATTGGGGGTGACTGTGTATATGGAGATCAATGGGGGTGACCAATGGGGGTGACCGACCGACGCCATCTTGCCTGACTGCAATTCATTTGTCGTGACGCGCGGCCACTGCGTGTACATAGTACAAATCCCCTGGTGTACGTGCGTCACACACAAGGAACGGTGCGTGTCAACCAGCGAAATGTCCCGCCCATGGCACGTCGTTGCTAGGTAAAAGGGCGCCCTCTTTCGGTGGCGCACGGAGCCCATAGACCTTTTCCTTTCAGCGGCCATCTTAGAGGTTTTCTCTTTTCATTCCACAAAATTAAATACACAGTCTTCTCTAATCACATTTCTATGGAACACTAGCAAGCACCTGAAAAAGGTTGCAGTGCAAACGGTCTGTTGGCGACACACACATTGATATGGCTATAAGAAGTGGCTGGCATGCAGCTCTATTTTATTTTCGAAGTTTGGATTTCAAACAACTTCAACAGGTTCTTATATTTTGTGTTACTCTTTTATTTGTGGCTTTAAACACCACAATCGTACATTAGGTATATTACTAAATCTTTTTAATCTATATATGCTATCAGTGTTCACGATTTGCATTGAAGGTTTTATGTCCGTGTCATTTTCGAGTTTCAACCGATAGATGCATCATAGACAAAATAAATCGCTGCTTTTTCAGCAATATAAAAGTTATTCAATTTGAATGAGAAATCGAACGAAAATGACTTCAATTTCTGAAAAAATCGCGGGATTTGTTTTCTTTTCAGTATGGGGTAGTAGGATTGCAGATTGGCTTTTAAAAGTTGGAAATTTATTTATATCTTTCTGGTAATGAAGCCAAGGATTCCTCAAAAGCGCCCTACGGGCACTATAGCTCGCAAGCCGAGAAACCTGTAAAAGGAAGACAATGAGAAGAAACTACATGGTTTTAGAAGTTGGAGGAAAACCCCAGAAGAATACTCTGGGAAAAACCCACGGAATCAGGTAGGGACTGAAACTTCAATCCACATGTGGGCCCAGGCGGGATTCGAACCTGGGTCACAGCGGTGGAAGGCGAGGAAAGTACCGCTACGCAAACTGAACTCCCAATCCTATTATTTTAATTCCGCTGATGTTGTCTTCCCTAATGTTATGTCGTAACAGATGTCAAAGGTGATCCGCTATGCAACGCCACTGTACTGTGTTCGATCCCCGCCTCCGGTACCTATCCTACGTTCTACCACAGCTTCGCAATGACAGACAACTACTTTATCTTCGTGGAACAGTCAGCAGTCATCAATCTGCTCAAAGTTCTTTACGCTCAACTCTTCTTCAAAAGTGGGTGAAACTTGTGCGTTGCTTTATAGACCAATTCGGGCACGCTATCAATTCTATCACGAAGGCCCCCTTCAATGGCGAAAGCATTGTGCTAGCTATTGTTCAGATCAGCCGCAACGGACAGCTGCTTTGTACAATAGCATGCACAATGGTTTCTCCATTGAAGGGGTGTGAGTGTACATGCAGTGATCACTAGCCCGGATTCGTCCATTTAGGCGATCACCCTTATTTACACGTTATTTTCGCCTCGTGGAATGGAACATTCCATCTGTCACCTCATGAAATTATTCTTACCATTGCACACAACATAAACATTCATTATTTTGTGCACTATCATGATGTTAATAAAGACAATGGTTTTTTTTCGATGTCTCGTTCGTGTATCAATTTTAACAGGCTACATAATCGGAATGGAATTCCACAACGAGAGACCCGCGAGATTTCACGTGGTTAAGCGAGACACTGGGGAGCTCCTCCCACAAGTCTACACGTCAATCCCGTTCTTGAGTTTCCATCACATTAACGCGTACGAGGAGGCGGGGCATCTGGTGATTGACATGTGCATCTACGAGGACGGTACCATTCTCAGCGATATCAATCTGAGGGACTTACGTAATGGCGATAAACCGGCGCAGTTTGGTAAAGCCAAACGATTTGTTCTACCTGTTGAAGAGGTGATTTTGAATTTAAGATTTTTTTTAAAGTTAAACAAAAGAAACTGTTTGGATGGAGCGGGGTTTGAACCTGCGACCTCCTGATTGCCGTTCCGGTGCTCCACCAGCTGAGCTATCCAGCCCTATGTTGATGGTTCCCATTTTTGTCAATGTCTTTGTTGAAGAAGTTCAAATTTAGGATAAACTGTGCGTGATATTTCGAGTTTCACCCAAAATAAAATAATTGTAAATTTTCTAGCATAATAAAGGTTATTCACTTTTGAATGAGACAACAAACGAAAAAAAATGGCCCATGTTTAGTTATTGAATTATTACTTTACAATTTCGATTCATTTGTCGCCCAATAAAATTCCATTCCGCTGGATAAACAGGTTCCCGCCCCTATCATATTCGATTATGTGGGGACCGGTAACCAGCCTATTCGTAAGGAAGATCTGTGTTGGGTTTTTTTTTGCGCATCAATAATATGAAGGCTGAATTTGTTATTATAAGAGACTTTTTAAAGGGTTGCATACGCAAGAAATAGAAAAGGGTTAGCTTTTAACGTTAAACTAAAACAGACATTACTTGTTGAAAGTTCGTTATGACAACGAAAATCGACTTTGTTGAGGGGCACGAACAGTACAGCTTTAATTCAATTGAGGTTTCTCACATGAAAGCTATAAATACTTTTTTTTTTCTCGTTTTGTATTATTTTTTTTATCGTTTTGTAATAAAAAATGTTTTTTAAGATTCCCCCTTTTTAATTTTGATTCTAGACAATTGAGGAATACCGTGATGGGAGGACGCCTGCCTATTTACAACGCTTCGAGGCAGATGTGACGATGAACGAAGACGGATCATTCCATTGCATCCCAGAGGTTATTTCTGATCGAAGTATGATGTGCCGTTTCTTTAAAAAAAAAATGGCCTTGGTATTTTATGAAAATAGATTGATCCAAATTAATCAAATGCTGTTGACGTCACGATTCCATAATTTTTGTTGGCCTATGTGCATAATCAAATGATTAGTTTTCTACCTTTCCAAACGGAACACTGGTCAATAATTTTGACAAATTTAGCTGGCAAATTATGACCTATAGGGGCGCGACGATTCCAATTCTTTGTCAGTGAAACGTGGGTCCATTTTTTGAATGCGCACGTTCATCACGTATCATGGCATTAACATGAAGATCCGTTACTGTAACGTGGAGATCCTTTTCTCACACAAGTATTTTATATACTGTATCATACTCAGTATAAGTTTAAATCACGTTATGTGTTTACCTTGCAACTTTTTTGCACTATTATACAGATGTTGAGTTTCCGCGGATGAATTACGAGTTGTACAACGGCAAGCCGTACAGGTACTTCTACGCTAACGGCGGAGAACTCAACCAAAAGGTAAACAATATTTATGCGCTCTTTTCAAAACAGCAAGGTTAGCGAACCTTCGGTTTTCTACTTTTAAACAATTTTTCCAACTAGGGCCTCTTATCATTTTTTAGGTAACTGCTGTTTCGAGCACAAATTTGTAAACATCGTAAGGAAGACCGAACCATCTAACGAATTACTCGTAAAAAGTAACTAACATGTTTTATATTTTTTTATCAAAATTTATGGCCAAATTTCCAAATTTCGAAGTGGCACCGCCTTGCTAATAAATATTATTTACTGACTTTTTTAAAAATATATTTATTCTTTAACGACTTTCAGCTCTTGAAGGTCGACACGAAGAGCGTGACGTCTAGAGAGTGGTATGAAGACGGCTGTTTCCCCTCTGAGCCGATCTTCGTCAGTGCACCGGACCCGAAGAGCGAAGATGACGGTAGGTACAGACACATCAGTCACGTGACTACTGTACACTCACGAGGCCCCCTTCAATGGAGAAACCATTGTGCGTGCTATTGTACAAAGCAACTGCTCCATGGCGGATTATCTGAACAATAGCTAGCACAATGCTTTCTCCATTGAAGGGGGCCTTCGCGAACTGCTGCACAGGATTCTATGATTTTTACATGACTTTTTTCCTTGGAAAAAAATCAACTTGACTTTTTTCATGACAAAATTCCATGACTTTTCCATGGCTTCCCACGAAATTCCAGCATTTTCCAGGATTTTTCCATGACTGTGGTCCCTTACTGTGGCACAACGCATGAGAATTGGGTTGTCATACCCAGGCATGTTTCGCATCAAATATGGCCGAGTACAATAACGCATAATAGACCTCATATTTCCGTGTTATCATTTTTTACAGGAGTGGTGTTGTCGTCAGTGGTCGATCTACGGCAGGGTAAATTCTCGTATCTTCTCGTTCTGGATGCACGAGATTTCACGGAGATGGCTCGGGCCGAAGTCGATGCGGAAGTGTCGTTTGGGTATCACGGGATGTTTCATCCGGAGTAGACATTGCGAGATAGGTTCCGATCGTATGACGTCAGAATACCACGTGACCATCCGGTTTCCCTATAATCGGCCACCATTGCAGTAGGCAAGCGTTTGGTTAATAGCAACCACGTCGTGTGTTGTAAACTAGACAGTACGGCTTATTTTCATGTAAAATAACCGCGATTTTTTTATCAAATGGTAACCTATATACCTGTGGCGTGTACGATTGCTATCATACCAACCCAGCACTAAGTGTTGGCTCCGTAATTTTCTCACAGTTGTAGCCATCCATCACAGCTTTAAAGGCTTGTTTACTACCTACTGCGCGCGGCGCTATATGATCTTTGCCTACTACAATGGCCACTTTAAACATTTTATAAAAGTTCCATTTTTCCGGACAACTGAGGGCACTGTTGCTGTGATATCATTTCCGGAAGACACTGTTCAGTTTAGGGTTTTGCTGTTTAAATTGTGAACCCAAAATTTGTGGGCAAAACATGTGTGAGAAAGGGTTGCACATTGGCGTACTGCCATGTATTTTAATACAGAACAACGAATCAAGGCGGAAAAGAACATTTATGACAGCAAAATATCACAAATTCTAGTAACTTTTTGTGCTGTAATGGCTGTACCATTGAGTTTTTTCCCCGGAATGACATCACAGTTTTGCTCATGAATATGGAAATTTGCATTAGTATAACAACCGAAAAGGCACCAAAATACCCTTCAAAATAGCAAACCAAAAATTGAAAATATGGTTAAATGGGACACAAAGGTGCATTTTCAAGGACGTCTGCATTAAAAAAATGTCATTGCATGGGCCCTTTAAATTTTCCTCAGATTTTTTGTTAATTTATGATCAGACTTTTGTGTCAGATGTACATGTACATGTACTTTGTTATTAGAAAACAAAACGCAAGTGTGACACTTTTAACTTTTTGCGATCGTGTTTTAATGCAAATTTTTTCATAAATCCTCAACAATTGTAATGGTTCAATAAGGCACGGCTCTAGATAAAAAAAATATAGCGTAACGATTATTGACGATTCAGTATTACATATTTAAAAGCCGAAGTTGTCTGTAAAATCCTGAATTTCCACCAAACACCACACATATTAATTAAAGGTTTAAAACTACATGTAAATTAAAAGTTAAATTAAATGAAGGTAACTTAATGCACTTCTTTTTTTCTTTTTTTAAATACCACCTTTAATAATTGTTTTCTTCCAAACGGATACCACTTCTAGCCGAATAATTTCACATGGTATTTGATACCAGTCCTATCTTCACTTTTAGCAAGGATTTTTTTTGGTTAAAGGGAATGTACAACATTTACTTTTGCTGCAATTTTCAGAAATAAATGGAATTGGAGGATTAGTATGTTATAGCAAATATTGTTAAACTGACTTGTTTCACGTTTTGGGCTTGTAGATGCTGGAAAAACCAAGAAAACCAATCATGTTCTTGTAGTCTGGTTCCCTGACCCCACTTAAGATTAAACGGAGAAATGTCACAGACTTTGGGGAATTGTAAGGTCAAAGAATCACTCTAGCAGGCTTGTACCCCCTTCACAGGTGTGTAATCAATTGCAAAGAAAGTGCGGAATAACAAAGTGAAAAGTTAGGAGCATTTTTGGAAAAAAGCCAGGTTTTTTCCAACGCTGGTCGGCCGACCAGCGTTGGAAAAATACAGTTTTTCTTAAAAATGTCAACACACCAGGAGCCACAATTTTACAGGATGCTTTAGACTGTCAATCCCTAACAATTCAGTAAGGTATTTCGTGATTATTTGATCATTTCGTTTTTTGATGTTTGCAAATGTTGTATCTTCCCTTTAAATTGGTAGGTACGTTTCCAAGTAATTGCAAAGATTCCTACGTGCCTTTATCATCCAAAGTTAAATTAGACAATCATTGTAACAGAAAACTATTGAACGGTAAACTGCCTCATTTTTGGCTGTTTCTAAGGCCCATATCTGGAGAACTTCTGGTCCGATTTGGTTGTAACTTGGTATGCACCTACACTGAGATGTGTTACAGATGAAAATTAAAGTGACGTCATGATGACATCATTATATGTCAAGTGCCGTCACATTAAATGTATTTTTTTCCTTCAAATGCCTACATCAACAGAATCGAATGTCCAATTTGGTTGAAACTTGGTATGTACCTGGACCAGGATGTGTTATAGATGAAAATTGAAGTGACGTCATGATGACATTGTCACATGCCATATGGCGTCACATTAAATGTACCTTTTTCAAAGGCCTACCGGTACATCTACAGAACTGTAGGTGCAATTTGTTTCTAAAGGCTCAACTTTGAAAGTCCCCCTTATTTTAATGCCTTGAGTCACTATCCCAACATTGATGTTGCGTTTTAACAGCGTGCAATCTTAAGAACTACTCGTCTGATCGCTCTGCAACTTTCTACAGCACATGCATGTCCTGTAAGTATATAACATGACAAATACATGCAAAAAACAACATGCCGAAACAGCCACTTTTGTCCTCAAACATAAATCTAGTTTAAGTTGATATGCAGTGTTATGGATAATTAGCATTTGCTTGAGTCTTGTGTGTGTCAGTCGCATTAGTAATGCAAATTAAAAATAAAATGAATGCAATTATCAGCTTTATTAAATGTTAGCCAATTTTTCTTTCTTTTTTTCTTTGTTTTAAAAAAAAATGGGCTTCAATTGATCCGGAACAATTGATTTGATATTGCAATAGATTACTAATCAAAAAGACATTTCTTTTTACTCTAATGATTTTTGGTGTGGTTTTAATAACTTACTTAAGGTCAAAAACATTCAAACTTTGGTCTTGTTTCAATTACTTACTTGAAGTAGAAATATTCAAACTTTGGTCTTTTTATAATTATTTACGCGAGGGGGAAGACGTTCAAACTTTGGTACATATATCTTTTCAAGCTTTAAATTAATATTAATTAATCAACCAATAGTTTTATCACCTTTTTTTCTGAAAGACAGAGGAAAACAAATTTTATCTAAGGCATCGAACAATTAAACATCGAAATTGAAATATGATACATTACAACTTTTTTTGAAAACGTAGTAAGATGTTCTGATAACTTCTGGGTATTGCAATTGCCACATCTTAAGGAAAATGATGAGTATATTTTGCCATTGAGTACATATCTTAGAATTTCAATATCATAGTAAAATAATATATTTGACAGGTAACTTTAGATTATTGATATAAAATAACGTCTCCTTTTTTGGTGGTAGTAAAATGATCACATGATCTAATTGCCACATCCACACAAACAAATTGAGAAATGCATATAATTTCATATAATTTCCAAGGATTACAATATTGAATATTTCAAAACAAAAACATTTCGAGCGTATGAAAATTTTACACGATACGTGAGCAAATCATGAATGGTTTAATTTAGCAGTAAAAAAAAATTGAGTCAGTCACGAGCCAATATGGCCCATCAGGCCAGCGTTTATCTCCGGTTTCAGTGGCATGAAACGACTGAGAATATTTCTACTCCCCCTGGATGGGATGCTAGTCCATCGTAGGCTACTCCCCAGCTAATGCCGGTACCCATTTATTCTCCTGGGTGGAGAGAGGCAAGTGGGGGTAAAGTGGCTTGCCCGAGGACACAACATATGACCAGCAGCTGGATTCGAACCCCTTACCCTCTGATCATGAATCACGAACCCTAACCACTTGGCCACATCCCCCCCCCCCCCATCATGATTTAATTCGGAGAATCCCCCCCCCCCCCCCCCCCCATTATGATTTAATTCGGCGAATTTTTTTTTTTTCAATGTAGTGGTGGATTTAAATCTGCCTTGTTTTTAATTTGGTTTGAATTCCACTATTCCGGTAATTGAAACAAACAAAAATAAAGCTTTCCACTTTTTTTGTGACACAGGCTAAAGAAAACAACTGGAACATCCCCCAATTTGCTCCATGGTCTCTGATTGTAACTACATTCACTTGCTAGTGGTCTTCTTGGTATGTGAATAGCCTGCCCATTTAACTTATCAGAGAGTTCCCATCCATTTTGTTTTCAACGTTACAGCTCTGGAGTGTTTTTGTAAACGCCCAGTGGTCATAGAATCCTGCAAACTATACCCAATTTTTGGGAGGGCATTGCATGTGGCACCTCACTCGAGCTGGATGGGAACTTCCTGTGAAATCGGATAACCGTTATTCGGTTCGAAAAAAATTTGGATAATCGAATTTTGAAATCTCTGACTTCTCTCACCACTACTTCAAAGAAAGCTAATTGTGATGAAGTGTAAGATCGTCTAGTTTGCGAGATACATGCCATGGATACCGAGAGTAACCTCTGCGTCAATCTCAGCTCTTGCTAGTTCCTTCATGTCGCGAGCATCCAGCACCACGAGGAAGGATGGTTTGCCCTCGCGTGTGTTGATCACCGCCGAAACCACCACGCCTACAAAACAAGATGATAGTGTATCCCTTCTGTCCGCGTGTACGTGCGTGTTCCATTTTCAGGTCAAATGTTTGGTACCGTCATATGAAAAGTCACAGTTCAATCTCAACCAAACTTGGTGACAATAATCTCGTCACCGTTTTCACGAAGAGGCGAATTTAGTATTTCACTGTCTGAACAAACATTCGAGATAATCGCGTTCAAAGTTGGTCCTTTTTTTTCATTTGACAATTTGAAATTTAAAGATTCATAAAATATGAAAGATTTAGGTATCAGATGAAAGAAGAGATTCTAATCTTCCTCAATGTAGCACACTTTAAGAAAAATAGGTGATTAGTTTTGCAGAATTAATCAATTAAGAAAAGTGGCTGTTCATGAAAACGAACAAAAAGACCAATTAGCAAATTCGCCCCTTCGTGAAAACGCAAAAGTGACTACGCGCAGATTTCGCCCTGCTGCGGTCTGAGTCAATGCATTTTTTGTACAGTACGCGCAGATTCTGGCGCATGCGCCTTTCTTTGTGAAAACGTTTTATTGCACGCGCATGGAATTCGCCCCTTCGTGATAATAACAAATTTAAAAAACAGACGATTTTCATGAAATTCGCCCCTTTGTGAAAACGGTGACGATCTGTGGGTAGGGGGACTTCAGATGACTTGAGACAATTGAGGTCAAAGGTCATCTAGGGGTCAAATAAGGTCACTGTTGATTGCGGTTAGGTCAAGTGAAAAGTGCTGTCTTGACTTACCATCGTCTTCGCTGGTTGATCCTGGGGCGTTGATGAAGATCGGCTCAGAAGGGAAACTCCCTCCCTCCATCCACACTTGAGATGTTCCTGTCGTCGTGTCGACTTTGACCAACTGAAAAAAAACACAAAGGAAAACGTGAGAAAGTCATTATTTCATCATGAAAGGATGGGGTTGAAGGTGAAGGTGGAGATGGAAGTGGGGATGGGGTGGGGGGAGTTGTGTTGAAGAGGATTTTGCCTACCCCCCCCCCCCACGTTTTTTATCTCAGAAATGAAATAACTGATTGTTGTAAAATTTGATTAGATACAAGTAAGAATGTGATGTTTTACATGTTAAAATGTTTAAACGAAACTCGACCAAATTATAGAAAAGGGACAGTACAAGCTAATGGTTTGCCTATTTAAAGCCAGAGTCCATCATTTGCAGCTAGCCAAAAAATAACTGGCGTATTTATTGTTGAAAAACATACTTGGTTGAAAGATAGTGAGGGGACTAAACTCCCTGTGAAATTATTCTTTCTGGCAAGCTGTCATTTTGAAGAAATCAACGAAAGAAGGCCTTTCCAACAGTGCGTCTATAAGAATCACCGTTGGAAATTTCCGTTAGTAGTTCGTTTTTTTTCAATAGGCGAAGTGCGCGCAAGCATTGGCACGACGCACAAGCATGCGCTGTTGCTATAATTCGTCAGATCAGTGCGCGACATCGCGTATAGCTGCAATCGGCTCAGTGAGAACGTGTCTCGGACGCTGAATTCAGGCCCAATTCAAAACATGATTCAGCAACTTTTGATTTGAAAACGAGATCCTAGAATGCTGTATTTCTCGGAATATACAGCTGAAGCTGAGCTGAAACTTCATCAGGTTAGCTGTTCAGCACCCTTCTTTAGATTTTGAGCACTATTGTTGCTTCAAACGAACAAAATGCACAAATTACAAATGATGGACTATACCTTTAATTTACAAAACAGTAGAAGCACTGCATTACTTGATTACATTCGGGATGCCGTTGTTACGTTTTCACTTTTTCACTGACTGCCTGCAACAGTGAAATCTCGATAATTAGTCAAACCTCAAGAGAACGGTTCAAAATTTGACTTAAGCAGAGTTTTGAGTTAAGCAGGGTTGCATATCATTGTTATACTAATGAAGGCAATGGATTCTTTCTTTGACTTAACAGTTGTTTTGAGTTATCAGTGTTTGACTCATCGAGATTTCACTGTGTTTATTATGTCAATCCTTGTTGATTTATCATGTCAATCACGCCGTCTGCAGACATAACGGGCAGGTGTCAGCTTTTGCAAAAATGGCTAAATGTTTAAACGTTTCTTAAAATAGTTGCTAAGGGTTTACAAAATTAAAGGCAAAGTCACACGTTTAGATACAACAGTCCTTCTGATTTGAAAATCACAGGTTTGTGGAAAAAAGCATACATGGATTTTTGAAGGTGTGTGATTTTTCTAGGCGTGTGATTTTCTAGGCGAGTGATTTTTCTAGGTGTGTGATTCTATGGTCCAAGCTGGGATATTATTTCATAATATTCATCTTGGTTTACAATTAAGCCATTTTCTCTTTACTGACGTACTTCATTTTTCGCAAATTATAAAGTATAATTATGCTGTAAATGTATGCCAAGGTGTGCGGTACCGAGGGATTCAGGCGTGCGATTATTCGCACTTCTCTGGAAGCTTTAAGGCGTGTGATGGCGTGGGGGTGTGATCGCACGCCTCAAAACAGAAGGACTGATACAAGGTTGACAGAAAAGGATATATTGAGACCCCTGCTTCAACAATTTGGCATATTTTGCACAAATTCTTACCCTGACTTTTGTTGAGATAGTGTTATAACATCTTCAAGACATTAGTCTATAAACACAAAAAGACTTGAAACAAACAAAAAAATCTGGCAATAATGATATCAGACAAAACATACAAGAGGACTGAATCTGTCCCCCCCCCCCCCCCAGCCATTTCAGGGTTTTAACAGGAATTTGGGGGTTTGAAAAAGTCATTAACAGGAAAAAATATAGAAATACCTTGTCTAGTGTACCACTCAAAGCATAGAAATATTTGTACGGTTTTCCATTGTGTTTCTCATAGTTTATCCTCGGCAGCTCAAGATCTGTAAAAAAGAAAAAGCATCAATTTTTTTAAAAAACCTTTGTTAAAAACACATCTTCTTTCCTCAATATGACACTGAAAAGTGACAATTGATATTTTTGCATCTACTACAGCTCATCATGTTACGAGGTCTTTGTTGAATTTTGGAAACTGAAAATAGAAAGCAGTGTCCTCTCTGAGTGATCCCCGTTTGCTATTTCCCAGGTTTGCAGCATTGCTGATGTTGCTAGCATCGTGACTTTGGGCGTGATCCCTGGCTACATGGGTTTATGGCTTCTGACTAGCGCCCCTTGAACAAAGACATTGACAAAATGGGGAACGGCCAACATAGGGCTGGATAGCTCAGTTGGTAGAGCACTGGAACAGCAATCCAGAGGTCGCAGGTTCAAACCCCGCTCCAGTCAATTTCTTTGTTCAATTTTCAAATTATTCTAAAAAATTGGTAAAAAACGCTTTTTGACCAATATGAACCCCCCCCCCCCCCCATGGAATGAACACGTCATGTCTGCGTACTAGTTATTGCGAATATTTGTGCAAAATACGCACAACTTCATTTATTCTGAATGTACGCAAACACATAGCGTCTTTGTATAAGCATCAGGCGTCGTTCGCAATATAGGACTGTCCATTTTCGAACAACTTACTATTTGATTACTCAGTACATAATTTTTTCATAATTTTTTGTCACTCGATGGCCGAGATCTGAGGGGGTGCTGAAACCTTGCCCACCAATTGCCCCCCCCCCCCCCCCCCCCCCCCCCCCAGATTTTAGAGTCTGGCGCCGCAACTGAGCACATAATGAAAATAAAAATAACATAGAGCTATATTAAATTACTAGAGCGCTTACTCGCCAATCTGCGCGCGGAGACGCTTTGAAGCCATCCTGGGCGCAGACATTTTGAATTCATGTGCCTGTTTGTAGAACATAATGAAATTAGATGGATTGAATTTTGAAAGTGTACTCTACATGCAACGCGCAAGTAGAACACACGCAAACAACTTAAGCGCATCACTGACGGTTCAAAAAAACGTGACGGCAAAAAGCATCTGCAGCGAATACGCACACGCGTTGTGCTGTTTGCGTAGAGCAAAATGACACGCTCATTTGCTGATCGTGCGTTTCGGTTATGGGCGTATTGGCTTCGATAGCGCACCGGTATGGAATACAAACACAGATATGCAAATAGCCGTACAAAAGCCGTACACAATTTCTAGGTCTCCATAGGTTAGTGCACAAACATGGATGCGCCCAGCAGGCATTACTTTGTACACAAAGTTAGCGCTCTAGTAATTTAATATAGCTCTATGGTCACAAATAGGACTTACACTGTTCGCTTAGGAGCTCAGGAGTACAGTGAATAGAGCCGTCTTCCTTGAGGACAGAAGTCGCCTTAGAGTAATCCAAGCCGTTCAGATTAACACCAGGAGTCTAAAAAAAATTTTAAAATGAAGTTTAAAACAAATATAATTTAATAAAGAAGACAAGGCAGGCCTATTAAAGCTGGTCCAAGAGTGCACCAAATTCTATTCAATTCGGGTGATTCACGATGCAGTGCGCCACCAAGAGTTTGACAACGGTTTATGAAAAATGACGTGGTTTGAAAAGTTTCACATTTACTGAGATTACGGGAGTGAAAATTGTCGCGCCACAATGTCACGCTGCCCAGAATGAACGGCAGGGAATATCAACCGCACAGTGCTGGCATGCATGGGAGCACACAAATTGAATTTACCCGCGCTTTGTTTATGGGCACTGCGCAGTCAATAGGGCCAATTACGGGCATGCGTGGTTACGCTTAGCAAGTTCTCCTGGCGTAATCTTTATATTTGCAACTTTTCAAACTGCATCATTTTTCATAACCTGTCGTCAATCATGGATGATTTACAGTCTTTGGTAGCAAACGGGGTATCAAAATGTAGCTAACAACATTCCCCAAAGGTCTGCATAAATGACGCCAGCATAAGACGATCAGATTCAAAATTATGACCCCTCCAATGAGTGTGGACTTTCTTTTTCTGTGGTTGTTAGTATGCGCACAGTGAATAGGGGCCAAGTTCGCGCAGGGACTATAGTTGACCAATGGTTAACTAACGTTTGCCCGAACTCTGTCTAGTCGACGGTGGTTGACTACGCTAGTCGACTATTTGGAACCAGCCTACTGGGGCTGGTTGCATCTCTGGTAACCAATAGCCGCGTGCATTCATAACGCTAGCAGAGAACCAGGAACCAGAAGTTTTGCGATGACATTTTGACCAGCGTTTGACTAGAGACGTTCGCACGTTGCTATCAGTGCGCAGGCGTAAGGTACGTCACAAATCAACCACTAGTCGACTCATGGTCCTTGCCCGAACTTGGCCCAAGTCGACTGGGCTCTCAAAAGTGGTCAAACAGTGCCCTCTCTTGTTTGGGCACGGAGCCTATAGACTGACCTCAAAAAAAGGGGGATGATTTTTACCTTCTCGTGTTCGAGTGGTAGAATAAACCTCTTGCCGACAGCGTCAACATCTGTTAATCCCTTCCCCTGCTCTGCAAAGTTCAGTCCATTCATGATCCCGATATCTCTATAGCAACACAGGTCAACAACGACATGGCCCGCCTCTTCATAGGCATTGATGTGATGGAAACAGAAGAGGGCGTCGGTCAGGAACTTTTGGGAGAGGAGCTCCCCCGTGTCGCGCTTGACCAGGTGGAATCGGGCGGGTCGTGTCTCGTGATACTGCATCGCATCTAAGAACGATTCTGTAAATTTTGTTTACAAAACATTCATTTACAAATTTGGATGTTTGATCATCACGTGATGGCATCTTTCAGAAAACAGTTCTCTTTGGAACATGCATATCTCTTGAAATAATGGTTTAAAAGTGTTGATATATACAGGGCGAGTCAAAAAGAATGACAACCCGAGATTACACACAGGTATTAAGATACAAATTTCTATCATTTTTGTCAAGACTGAAAAATTATTTTTACTGTCAGATTTTGTGTCCTCTGCAAATTTACATGCAGGCAAATCAAGTCATTCTAAGGCAGAGACTCAAATCGAGTCATTCTAAGATAGAGACTCAAATTGAGTCATTCTACGGTAGTGACTCAAATCAAGTCATTCTAAGGCAGAGACTCAAATCCAGTCATTGTAAGGTAGAGACTCAAATCAAGTCATTTTAAGGCAGAGACTCAAATCGAGTCATGCTAAGGCAGAGACTCAAATCGAGTCATTCTAAGGCAGAGACTCAAATCGAGTCATGCTAAGGCAAAGACTCAAATCGAGTCATTCTAAGGTAGAGACTCAAATCGAGTCATGCTAAGGCAGAGACTCAAATTGAGTCATTCTAAGGCAGAGACTTAAATTGAGTCATTCTAAGGTAGTGACTCAAATCGGGTCATTCCAAGGTAGTGACTCAAGTCGAGTCATTCTAAGGCAGAGACTCAAATCGAGTCATTCTAAGGTAGAGACTCAAATCGAGTCATTCCAAGGTAGTGACTCAAGTCGAGTCATTCTAAGTTACTCAAGTTGAGTCATTTTAAGAAAGCGACAAGGTGAGTCAATCCACGGCGAGTCGAGTTGAGTCCCTTGCTAGCAGTGACTCAAGTCAGGTCAAGTCATCGGCAGACAATGATATAGGAATAAATGGTTCTCACCATTACGGAATAATCTTGCAAAGCGCAACTTGAGAATGTTCAGAACCAAGGGCTGTTCCAGGAAAACGATGTAATTGTCAGTCATGCCGAAGCTGTGGTAGTAGGAAGGGAATTTATCCGAGGCTGGAATCGAACAGAGAATAGATGCCTTGCTCATCGGGTCCGCCATCACGCCTGTTCAACATAACAGAAAATAAATTAATATTAGTGCTGTGTATTTTTTGTATAATTTAGTGTTCCGTTGTTCCAAACTTTCAAACATGTTCGAATATTGAATATTCGGTTTTGAAATGCACTGATCAAGTTAATCACTTCGAGGTTTCCCCCGACTTTTCTCATGCAGTGTTGCCAAACTTCTTTATTGACAAACTTCAAATTCATTCAGTTTAATACTGGTACTATTACCTTAATAATGCTTGCTGTTGAACCTTTGTGAACAGTTTCAGTGTCATGAAATGTAGTACGAAATTCAAAAAGTGGTGGCGTCCGGAAATTGGGCACAAAATCGGCTGAGTGTTCCCTAACAGGCGCACCTTAACAAATCTCCGAAAATTCCAAGTTTAAAACTTTCTTTGAAGTTGACAAATTCTGATAAACCATTATTATCGCCGTTCAAATACCCAACTACAAGTCTGTCAGAAACTTATTTTCTTATTTTTGGGCGCATACCAAAAGAGTTCACTGCGTACTTCAAAATATAATCAAAAGTCTGCCAGAAAAAAAACATTTCTCAGTTAACTATGTAACGGCTAGTAAGTAAACTCAAGATTTATGAACGGGAATGTTTAGAGCTTGATGAAATTTCACTTACTTTGAAATTTGAGGAAAGAATTTTGCTCTAGCAAGACACTAGAGGTGAAAAATCAAAGTGCGCCACGTTAGGGGCACTGCCGCTGGAACAAACTTTTGCCAGGGGGTGCTGGAATTTCTAATTAATACGAAAGCGGAGCGCAAAGCCCTTACGTCGTGGCTTAATTTGGAATATGGATGCTCTGTGGTGCAATCTGAGTCGATTCCTGGCCACTCTCATTTGACTTTTTTAGCAAAAGTTTTTTGAGATTATAAAGATAATTTATTCCATTATTTTGTTTAGAATATACTGTTGCTCTTAAAATGTTTAACTGTACTGAAAAGTGGAGAACCCTGTATTTTTATCTCCATTTTTGGTTCCATTTAATTCTGGAAAAAGAATTGTATCATTATGCATGACATTGCATGTAAATATTATTGTTGCAAGGCTACTTTCTTACATTTAGTAAATTCCGTCGTGTATGTTTTGTTTTAGTTTCTGAGCCCTTACGGCGTGGGGCCACAGGGCCAGGGGCCAGCTTTAAGGCCCCGGAAAATGTTGGATTCTGGAAGCACTGTGATGAAATATACTGAAGTACATGTATACTGTTTTTTGGTTTACGTTAAAACAAATGGTTCCACTGGAAACGGATGAATTTCTGTTCATAAAAATATTCACATAGTTCTAACTCACCAAACGATGTAACTCTCGATATATTTGCAGTGTTATTTGTTTGTTAAAGGAAATGGCAAATATAAACGACTAAAAGACCGAATGCATCTTTATGTTTATGATCGACAGATGGCAAGTTTGGGGCTAGGCAAGGATTTATCGGTCTACTGAGTTTTTATGAGGAAAAGCTTGCAGAGGGTTAAATATGAATAGTTTTTTTATTAAAACGAAACTACACTGGAATTGGCGTTAAGCATGACTAGTTTCAATGAAAGCCGTCCCACTCCTATTAGGTTGGGGATGTGTGTGAGAACCTTGCTAATTGTTAGTGTTGAGTACAGAATGCTATAGCAACGTCAATGAACTTGTAAATGAAAAGAAAAACCTTCAGGGGAAAGGTATGAACATTTGCCCCTACTGAAAGATCGAATGAAAAAAAAATCCTGGCAAGCATTATCAACTTTGCCACCATTGTCATGGCCGAGGTTATTGCTTTCGGGTCAAAGCTTCCATCGTGGCGAAAATATCATAGACATGTCATGATTTTAGATACCTTGAGAGAAATATCGATTCTGCACTGCCTGAAGATTTAGAAAATACCTCCTCTTGATATTTTACAGTGTTTGTGCTAGACTTTCGAAGCGCCGCGCTGAGCCGCGGCAAAACTAGAAACGAACAAAACGAAGGAGATATTTGTAGAGCAAGCATAATGTGTAGCGTTGCGGCGCAATTTCATCGTCGTAGAACACTGCTGGCTGGAACACATTTTTGCCCGGGAGTAGGGGGTATGCCAGCACCCCAATCCAAAAAGTTGGGGTGCTGCAGCACCCACAGCACCCCCTGTTCCCGCGGGCTTGTGGTTAGGGGCTGCGACATCAAGAAAACATACCTGGGTCTGGTGGAGGGGCCTTGATGATGTTGTAGTGCGTCTTCTTAGCAAAATGTGATCCCATGTTGTAAAGGGTGCCGTCATTTCCGATGTGTGGGTGGGCAGTCGCGGTGTGCACTGCGACCTTTTTAGAAAGATCAACCTGTTGATGCGATAAACTATAGTTACTTAGATTGTTCAATTCGGGCGATTCACAATGCAGTGCGCCACCAAGAGTTTGCCGTGGAGAGTCCATTTTTCAAGTTTACGATTGACAAAACACAGCCCATTTGAATGAGTAGACAACTACAGAGATCAGTAGACAACTTAATTCAGCCAACTTGTTATAGATTGGGGAAAAGCATTCTGCCGCCTTACAAAAAACGCCACATTGATAACCAAAAAAAACAAGGCGGGAAAACAGATACTTGAATCATATGCTTATTAAACAACTGACCGCAAAAACTATCAATTTCAAATGTCCTGCGCTGCGAATTTGTCGACCATTTCCCACAATGCACTGGGAAAAATGAACTCTCCTTGGCAAACTCTTGGTGGCGCACTGCATTGTGAAACGCCCAAATTCATAGCCAGTTTATGAGCCCATAGCTTTGTTTTTCAGGTCAATGAAATGCTAATTTACCCATGGCAAAATGTTGAGAGTTTCCGCCCAACTCCGAAGACAATCGGACAAAACTGTTTTCAAAATGGCAGGGGGAGTTTTTTGACGAATGTTTATAGAGACAGGTATAAAATCGTCCATAAAACATCTGTCATAATAAAAGCTGTGATTATCAAAGACGATTAAAGTTTTCAAAACGTTGCTCAACTACACCAAGTTTTGATACATCATTCATAAGCTAATTGTGCAAGCTGCGCAACAACATGCGTTGCGTAAAACTCACCCATGGAATCAAGTACGCACTGTTTTGTGAAATAGGCAGCAAACAAAACATAGTAAATCGTGACATAATAAACAGGACTCCCGATGCAGCGTAGTATAAATGAGTCCTGTTTATTACGTCACGATTTACTATGTTTTGTTTGCTGCCCCCAACGATGACTTTTACACAAATTGCACGTTCGGGTCGAAACAGGACCTGAAAAACAGCTCTCAAAAGTACCTTTTGTACTCATTTCATGACAGACACAATAGTCGTTTTTATTTCATCACACCTTAGGTTACATATACCCGAAAAATGACGGAAATGTCTTCAGCATTCCACAACCTCTTTAACACACGCTTCTGTGTACGCATCGTCAATGAAAAACTTTAGCTCTTCTAAGTCATCATATGCGCATGTGGTCATTCCAAAATGCACCATGTCTAGCAACGCGTGATCTTTTTGCCTTGTGAACAAGATGGCGCATATTACCGTGAGAAAAACCTTATTGTGAAAGGGTTCACTCTGACCACCAACCTTGTCCAACGTCTCCAAACCAACAGGGTCGATTTTCCGAATACTACTGGTCTCGGTCATGACATAGCATTCATCTCCAAAGGCCATCCAGTTGACGTTGCAGTTGTCGGTCATCTCGCCCTGCTTGAACATGGACATGAAACGTCCAAAGATGCTCAGACAGGGATCGGGGTGCGCCATGGTACCGAACTCCGACACGACGATGCGATTCTGCTCCATAGCTTTAGTGTAGGAATCACTGCGCTGGAAGCGACTCTGATAGGTCACCTGTAGACGCCAAATCACAGACGAAGCCAAAACGTGACGAGACAAGTCTAATAAAACTGGTCCCAGAGATCACAAAATAGTTTTCAGTTGATTCCGAAGATCTTAGAATAAAGGGTAACGTAATGGATGAAAAATCCACTTTCGCAGCCTGCATGGAGACTTGACTTATTGCCTACACATGTATCATGAAAGTACTTGAAACAAACAGCGCCAGACTTACGCACGCGTGGTGTTGATACATCACATACATGAACAGATTAAACGTGAATCTATAAGTGATATATTAAGTTAGCAACTGTCACAGCCACGCCCCATCTATGCCCCTTCCACGTCCAAGCCTCGCCCCAGCCGCGCCCCTTAAAAAAAGTTAGTTAACAACGACAAACCATCAAACACGTAATTGTAAGTATCTTTGCCCCAGCCACGCCCCAGCTACGCCACGCCCAAGCCACGCCCAAGCTCAGACTGGGACCTGGAGTGCTCTGAAACGTGCAAAACTAAATCAGGTCCACTGTACTCACTCTTTAGCCAGCAAATTTCTCCAGAAATTCCACTGGGCAAAGAAAATGTCCTCAGTATTTCACCAACCAAGTTTGCAGACTCAATTCAATACTAAAAGGAGACATTTCTTCAGTATTTTGCACATGAGAGGGAAGTCAAGTGATTTCAAAATGAGGCTAAAGACTAGACTGGTACATGTCCAACCATGGTGCAACTAATTGGAAAAGACTGACCTCTTCATTCAGTGTCATTAGTCTGGTGGCTGACTATGGAGAAATGTGTAGTAAATAGAGACTAGTTCCCGGTTCATGCCACATGTTTCTTTTGGCACAGTTGATTGATGCAGTACTGAAGCTGTGTTGGACTGATTGTTTCAGGTGCCAGTCTACAATTCTACGTGTATTTTCTTGTATTGCATGTTTTCGATACCTTAAGTTTTGGGACTTTCATACACAAATTTTTGGACTAGCCCAAGCCATGAATGGCCATGCCCCAGCTACGCCCAGCAACTGGCTTAAAGGGAATGTACATCACTGGCTTTTGCTGTAATTTTCAGAAATGAACTATTTGAGGGGTTAGTATAAGTGGCCATTCAGAATTTTCAATGTTTTAAAATTTTGATCTTTTTTCCAAATTGTGGGTGGGTGGGTCAAGCTAAATAATTGAAAATCGAAATTCACTTTCCATGGAAAAAAGATAAAAAACAAAGAAAGATAGATCTTTTGACTTGCCTGAACTACGCGCAAACGTTCCAATATCGCGATGCGTGTTTCTTTTTCAACTTCGTCCCCTGTATGTACTGTCAGTGGCATAGCCAGGAATTTTTCGGGGGGGGGGGGGGGGGGGGGGGGGGGGGGGGGGGGGGGGGGGGGGGGCTGGAACATGTATGGGGGGGGCGTCATGTAGATCAATGATAATTTTTTTAGAAACTCAAAATCTCAGTGGGGGAGGCGACTGGGGGGCGACAAGGTTTCATGGGGGGGGGCTGTCGCCGTCTGTCGGTCTTCTATGCTGTTATTTTTACTTTCAGGTACCTTCAATGGTACTATGTTTAATTAACCTGTTCATTTGTTTAATTAAACTAATAACGCACATATAGTTGCCAAATATGGCACTAACAAGTTTGAGGTCGGCAATTTCGTCTTTAAAAATCTGGGTACGTCGGGTTACCGTACACACAATGTCCTGGAAACAACAGTACCAAAGTACAGAAAGTCATACGCAAGAGCTCCCCAGCAAGTATCGCTGACGCCATTATGATTCCAAAGTTTCTCACTGTGTCACACAGTGAAATATCTAAACAGCGTCGTTGTACATTTGTATTGTGAACACATAAAAGCATTCATGTCGCGTTCTTGCACACTTGTTGCAAGTCGACATAGATATCCTTGAACCACTGCCCCTGCTTTGCATAACAAGTGCACATGAATGAACGATTCGACTTTTATTCAAAGAAATTTCTATGTACAGTCACCAGACTCTATTCAGTAAAGTCCCCGTCAAAACTAAAGTAATCAATCCACGTGCATAACGCACGGCTACACCATCGTACAGTGTGGCAGGGACACCAACAAGTAACACAACAACTAAACATTTTAAAAAAAAAAAGATAAATATTCTGATTGAATTTCGTTAAAAGATACTTGTTGGTGAGGTATCACATAATTTTATCACATAAAAGAGGAAGGCCGACAACTTCACGCCGTCACTGAACTAGACACACATGTACATGGTGTTTAAGTACATGTACATGTAAGTGCATGTACATGTACATGTACATGTTCAGTTTTTTATTAATCGAAATTAGGGGTGGGTGGGTGGGTCAAAATAATTTGGAAAAAAAGTCGAAATTTTAAAACATTGAAAATTCTGAATGGCCCCTAATACTAGATCAAATATTGTTACACTGACATGTTTGAAGTTTTGTGTTCGAACATGCTGGAAAAACCAACAAAAACAAAAATGTTCAAGTAGTCTGGTTCCCTGACTCCACTAAAGATGAAATGAATCAATTTATAGATGCCGGAAAATTGTAAGGTAAGGGAACCAGTCTAGCTGGCCTGCACCCGTTCATGAACATGTAAATAATAGCAAACAAAATTTGGACTGAAAAAAAAGGTAAATTTGGAGCAGTAGTTGAAAAATAGTTAGGTTTTTCCAACGGTGGTCGGCCGACCACAGTTGGAAATGTATACAAAAACACCATTCTCTTGAAAACGACTTCACACTGGTGTCATAATTTTACAGGATGCTTTAGACTGTCATTTCCCAACATCCTAGGAAGGCATTTCGTAAAAACTTTGTAGTTTTATTTTTGGATGTTTGCAAATGTTGTAACTTGTATATTCCCTTTAACCTACCTTTCCTTCACTAATGTTGAATCTTGTAAGCAACGACAAGCCGTCAAAGACGTGATTGTAGGTATCGTTGCCAACCTCATACTTGCCAGGGCCGTTGCGGAGAAGACTCCCATTGATCCAAGCCGGAACCTCACCTGTTAATTTGAGGGGAAATTTGGAAGTTTGTTCAATAAAATGACTGCAGGATTTTTACAGTATTTAACTAGATGCCCAAAGGTAAGGCCGAATAAAAAAAAAAATGTTTCTCGTCCGGGTTTTTGAAAAAAAGGAGGAAGAGGGGCTTTTTATTTTTTATTTTTTTCAAGATGGTCCCCATTTTAAAATTTCCTGCAACCGTTGGACAAGAGAACTGAACATATTTACAGTGTCATTTAGACTTGCATTGGTCTGCAATGAACAGTTTTAGACGAAAGTATTTATTTTCCAATGAATTTTAGTCTGGTTCCCAGACCAAAAGATTCCGACTATTCCTGATGAATCTTAGGTCAGGTAGCCTCCGGTAATACAATGTATTACAATTTACATCACGTGACTAAAACGGGAGGAATTCCTCCTTTTTCCGAAATTGTCCGAAGTTTGCCGAATTTATTTCGTCGACAATCGGATAGTGTCCGAGTATTTCCGAGTATAATATAGGTTTTATTAACTGCTAATTGCTTATTAAAAACTTTAAAAAACTAGTTGATAATTAATATCCGTTGCTTTTATTTAGAAAACTTGAAATCAACGACGATTTTGCACTCGGATCGTATACGAGGGGCGAACTTTTTGCTGCGTCATGCACTAGTTTGAATTTGACGACCGTTACCGGCATTTTTCAAAACGCGGCGTGGTCTCAACTCGGCTCCGCCTGCTAACAGTGCTGTTTGGGTGTCCAGCTTTGAAGATTCCAGGTTAAAATTAGTCAATGTTTTTTTACAGAAGTATTAAACTGTATATCATAACTGTATGATATATGAAGCAAGTGATTTATTTTCTAAAAAATTATCGGAACATTAAAAGCTTTATGTGATAAAGCGAATTCGGAAACGAAGTCGAGCTTTGAAAAAGGGCCGTCAATGTCGTCATGTTTATTTTTAGCCACGGAGGCTGCCTGACCTACAATTTAGACGTGTAGACGTTGGGGGAAATTGTCAGGTCGGGGAACCAGACTAGATGAATTTGTGGACTTTCTCGGTGTTTTTTTTTACTGCATTTTTCAAAAATAAAATTGTTTTTAAAAATCCAGGCGGCCTCCAAAAAGGAAGCGGGCAGGGACGAGAAACATGGGTTTTTTTTTACTTCGCCTGAGACATTTGATTTTTTCCCCCCTACTTTTTAAAGATGCGTACCTGTGCTTCTTGACCTAAAAAAAATACTTTTATTTCAATCGTTATTTTCCTAGCAATATAGAAATTATTCAAACCGAAAAAGCTGCGAAACTGTAAATATTCATTTTCACGAAGTAGCAGTTTACAACACGAGGAAAGTGCAACTTCAGGTCAGTGCGCGTGCGCTCATACAAGGAGAGTGTTACTTCGTGAAAACGTTTTTGCTCACATTTGAGAAGAGTGCGCACCATGCATTACAATGGTAAATGGAACTTGAGTGTTTCGTGAAAACGAAAATTGTCACTTTTGCGCAAAAGTTGCCATGGATAATTAGCAGAATTATTAAAGTAAAGCTCTTGAAGCTTTGAAACTTCGTGCAATGGTAGGCCTCGATGAATAATGTTTACAAATGTAAAAAAACTGAAAATCGACAAAAAATATGGTTTAACATGTGGAGTGTTACTTCGTGGTGTCGGTGACGATATATTATGTCTAGGAAGGTCAGTCATTCATGAAAAAAATGTTGAAAAAACATGAATCTGGGACTGAGAAACATTTCCAATTTTGTTAGAAATAAGAACATACTTTGAAAATGCTCTCGACTCTCCATAGACTTTGTACACAACCAAAGAAGTGGCGTCTATAGATACTACATTCTTTCGAAGTCGAGTATTTGGGACACATTATATCAGCATTATGGGGCTAACCAAGACATCTAAAATGTCTGGTTTCCCTGAAAATTCTCCATAAAATTCTGAGATGAACAAAAAATCGCAAAACTCCCAACTTATAGTTATATTCAAGTTCATTTTCCAGCGTTCCAAACTGTCCAAGTAAAAAAAAAACCCAGTAACTGCGCATGTTCAGTCATTGTGTCACTGTCAGTGCATATTCGGCAAGCTAACGTTTACTAAAGGTTTGCCGTCTCCGGCTAAATATCCACTGCCAAACAGAAAAGGAAACGGCAAAATTAGCAGCAGCCTTAAAAAATAATTGGGCTATGACACTTGGCCTACCTTTGATTGTTGTTTGCAGAGGTTCTGGTTGTTCATTCTCGACAGAGAAGTACAGTGCCTTGGCGCTGGCATCACTGGACGAATTCGCTCGGATAAACGGTGCAGCATTGCGGACCAAAGGCAAGACATCTGTCGTTCTTAAACGAGCGATCGCCATTTTTTAATTGATTGGTGAATTGACCGCGTCTTGTGAAAAGGTTTCCAGAGTTACTGGGATATGATTAACGGTTCGCTCGTAGCTCGTACTGCCGCGCCGGCCCTGCAAACATAGGACGGGGCGGGGCTTCGAGCGAAGGTTAAACATGTTAAAGGGTGCATGAAGTGATTTTTTCTTCGGAACATATTTTTTGCAAATGTATAGTTCTGGGGGGGCTGGGGGTCTAACCCCCCCCCCCCCCCAGCTCTGTCAAAAAAAAATTATCATACAAATTCCTGAAAAATAATGCGACTGGATAATCGACTGGACTCGACCTTCTTGACCTAATGATTCGACTCGACTCGAGTCACAAAAATCAGTGACTCGTTACAACTCTGGCAAGTGCCCTATTTTAGTGTTCCCCCCACCATGTTTGAAAAGCGTTCCACCGCCCCCGTGTATAGGCCTTTCTCACCACTGACAATGAACACATTGAAAATTGGAGTGTTGAAACCAATAAATGAGTTGTGTTTTATTGTCCTGTGGCATACTCTCCTTGTTAATACTCATCAAAAAACAAAACAAAATCTACCAGTTTAAAATAATATGTATTCTACCTCAAAAAATATATATACCGACGTGACAAAGCCGGTTGTTTTTGTAAAGTCATATTTGTGAGTTGTTTTATAAAACATTTATATAGTTAACTTCTTTTGCTAAAAGTGGTGTTTTTTTTTAATTAACTTCTTTTGCTGAAAGTGGTGGTTTTTTTTTAAATTCACATTAGAAATAAACTGTAAAACACTTCAATTTAACATTAATAAGCACCTAACCAGAACCCACAATGTAAAACACTTTTTATGCATCAACTGTACATTGTTATACACAAATAAAAAAAAATATATCCTCAAGGGTAGTCTCAGTTCAAAACTAAATTTGGATTTTATTCTCCCGATACAGAAAATAACCAACCTTGGGAATATTGGCAACGCTACCCAGGATATTCCAAGGCATGCCTCACGCACTTGCAATATCTTGAATACAGCGCGCGAAATGCTCGGGATTTCCCAGAGGGCGCTACCGCCGGCGTAATTTTTTTTACTAGGAGGGTTAGGGGCAATGTCATGAATAATTTAGTTTTTCCTTTGAATCATTGCAAGACTTAGGTTCTCGTTCTATTTTCCCCTTAATTTAAAATTATCTCAGTGATAAATTTGGAGAAGAAAAACAGCTGATGAAAATGAGCAGCGACGACGTGGATTCGAACCAGGGATCTTTGTATCCATAGCTCATCTCGCTATCCACTAGGCTACTGTGTGGTAGCTCGACGACAACCGTTCTTTAAAATGCTTTAATGTATTGTAACTAGTTGAGTAACTAACAACAATGCTGTTGATGTCATTGTCCGTTCTCATGGATAAACATGAATTATTCATGACATTGCCCCTAACCCTCCTAGGAATAAAAATTACGCCTACCGCCGATCGCGTACTTAATTCCCAAGAATGGATTCGCTTCATCATGTTGAAAGCACTTTTCAAAGACCGGCTGTATGAGCGGAATAAAGAGCAAATCCAGTCTTGTAAGGAGACTAGGCCAAGGGTTCAAAGATTGTTACTTTATGCACATGCAGCTCAGCTATAAAGGGAAAGTGTCAATCTAATAAAACAAAATCGGTGGTCTTTAGACATCATCAGCTGCTGGAGTTACTAGCGTTATTAGGGGAATCAAATTCAAATCCAGTCTTGTAACGAGACTAGGTCAAGGGTTCAACGGTTAAAACTTCATGCATAGGCAGCTCAGTTATTGGTGAAGGTGTCAATCTAATACAAAACAAAATCGGTGTTCTTCAGACATCATATACCTCCCTGCCACATCGCAATACTCTTAACTTTGAAAATACACGAACTCTAAATTTATGTTAAATAGAAACAACTGTTAAAAAAAACCACATCATCTGTGAGATAACCCCTTTGAAAACTCATGAGCCGTTTTCTTAGCTTCATGGTTCAATATTAAAATCCGCTATAGAAAATAGGCTCAAAGATAAATTCATAATAAAAGTATTCATTGAATGTCCCCGGGTTTTACCCTGTTTCTCAAAATGCAGCTTTTTAACAGCTTAGGTTCGATACAAACGTCAATCTTCTAACACTTCCGATTCAAATATTCATTTTAAAAAAAATGAGCTTTAACGGCAGACAAGCAAATTTTTTGAAACAAGTGCCCTCAGCCTCACGGCAAGAAACTGATACAAAAAAAATCAGACCTCTGAAGTACATTTAGAACAAATTTATCGTTATAAAAAATACTGAACAATGTTCATTTGCATTGAAATAAAGTACACTTCGGCCTACACAGTAAAAAAAAACCACATTCAGACAACCTCAACAACATGAAGAAAATAGTGATTTATATTCATTTTGCATCCAATAACGTAGCAACACTGTACCCTGCTTGAGATCAATTTGACCCTCTATAAGAAACGACGAAACGTTTGATCACCTACTGTAATCCTTCGTCAGCACTTTTTTGTTGCTTTGTTTTTTCTTGCACGGATAGAGTTAGTCTCAGCCTCAACTTTTTTCAATTAAAAAAAAACACCTTGAATTGAAAAGTATATCGTAAAAAACTTCAGCCAATTTCTAAAAAAAAAGAAGCTAATACTTGTTCGTTTACTTGTTTACAGTGTTGTGATCGACTCAATCACAAGTCCTCACATGACGTCCTCACAAGGGAATAATTAGTCCTCCAATTGCAACTCAGGTCACAAGTTATGTGAATGAAATGCGACAAAAAGACTTGCGAGAGGACTGACTATTTGTGTTGTCCTCACAAGTCCATCACAAGTCCTCACAAGTCCTCACAAGTGCATCACAAGTCCTCAAAAGTCCTCACAAGTCCTCATAAGTCATCACTAGTCCACAGAAGTCATCAGCACTTGTGATGCACTTGCGATGTTTACTCGACTATACACTGCTTAGTGACATCATGCGGGTCAAAACAAAACAAAAAATTTAGAGTAAAGGGACAGAAAATCATGCATCAATTATTGCGACCTTGTTTTGCTCCGGCGGCACGGTGGACGAGCCGCCGGATGAATATAAAACCGAAACTGTCCCCATGAGTAGAAAGATCACCGCTGTGACGCCGTGAGAATAGCCTTGCTGTGTCGGAAACATCAGCGAACTCACGACCGTGGACAAGAGGAAAAGTACCGGTGGGATCCAGGCGGGAATGAAGTTGGCCTCATCGGCGGGAGTTGAGAGTCGATTCATGAGGATGAACAAACCTAGACCGCCGAACCCCCACACGACAAGGGTGAGCACACACATGTAGAAATCCAATGGGAAAAACATCTACGGGGAAAAATTGTATTCTTAATTTAACATCAAACTGTTTTTATTAAGTGTTCGATTATCAAACGATAGTGCCAGGCGAGAGGGCAGCTAGTGGGGCGCACTGCTCGACGCTAAGGAACGAGGTTGCACACTAGGCAAACAGGGTCTTCTAATAGTTGAATGCTGAAAAGAGAATAAGCAAGATATGTTTTCGTACCCTTATGTCAAGCTCGAAGATGTTGCCGTTAGATGTAAACTCGGCCCCGATGAACCCAAGAACGGTGCTAAAGAAATATAGCTGGATATGCTTCTCTGCGATTGGCCGCTTGCCGAGTTTGCTAATGTACTGAAAATGAAAAAAAGTACACATTTTATGCGCGTTCTGGCAAAATGAGACAGAACTGGACTAGGCCGTACAAAAACAACACGAATTGGGTGATTTTTTTCCCCCAATTTTCCGATTTATTGATATTATCTTTGATACGGCTATAAAAAAAACCCTCATGGAATAAAGGTGTGTTTGAGGAAAAACGATTGTCATCTTTCATTTTTACAAATACAAAACTTGAAACTTTAAAGGCCTTTTTCTCAGTACATTTGTATTTTACTTTTTTGACACGTCGATAAATATGAACTTTAAACAGCCATAACTTGTCAACGGAATGTCTGATTGAAGTGCAACAAACAGTATTGTAAGGAGAATTTTATTCTCTTTCCTGATACCAACAAACCCTCATTTCAACCTCTGCCCAGTTCCGTCTCATTTTGCCAGAACGCCTCACAATTTAGGGAAGGGACACAATTTGCCGAAAAATGTGTTTTTACTGTTCCAAGGAACAACAATACAATAATTCTGAAGCAGGTTATTATAAAATACCTGTCGACATTTCCGGTCGGTAGATTTTTTTGTTTTTAATGTGAAATGGATATCTTCGTTTTTCTCGACGCATTGCATGCGCGTAGCCATCGTGAGGAAATTATTATTCTCGAGGAAAGATTATTACAAACAGAAAGTATGGATTGACATACAAAAGGAAATTAGTTCAGCTCACTCTTTCTATAAATCACCACTATTCTTAAGCCTACATTATTTAAAGATTTTGTCTTTTTTTCTCTTAGGAAAAGTACCTCGAAGCTGTCGTACAAGAATGCCGAACAGGCGACGCCAATAAACGCTGCAAAAACCCACATCTTTGTATCCTCCTCGTACGGATAATACTGAGATGTCACAACTCCCGGACTGAACAAGACTGCTAACATGGCCGTCACTACCAGCAGCACCATAGCAACCCATGTCCGTCTTTCTATTGGTCGGCCGAAAACGACGAAACCACCGAGCGCCGTGAACACGGCGCGTGATTGGAGGAAAATGTTCCACGTGGGCGGGGCGATGTAGTACACGCAGTACAAGAAGGCACTGTTGGCTGCCACGAGAAAAAACGCGGGAAAAACAAACACGGGCGACGGCATGAAGCGCATGCGTCTGTGCTGAACGCAGAAAATAAGGTAGCAAAACAGGAATTTGGACAGCTCCGTGCAGAAGACGATGCTGCCAATGTAGAAGGGATACAGTTTGGTTGTGTTGAAATGTCTAACTGCAAACACGATGGTTTGCTTTGCAACTTCCACGAGGATTGTGAGGAGGCTGAACACGCCCGTGCCAAGCACCCCAGGCTTTGGCGATGGGTGCCCCGTCCGATGGTCAGCAACCGTCTCGCTAAACATCCTGTCGTCGACCTGACGATTCAACGTCGACTGTTTGCGTGAGCAATGATCCGAATGCCTGGAGAAAAGAAACACAAATGTTAACCCTTAAAATGCCTGTTTTCTAAATTGTTCGGGCAGCATGAGAATTCATTAAGAGTACACTATTGGCCCTCCCAAGAGGCAGCCCCTGCCAAGGGCATGCCCCCCCCCCCCGCCCGTGTAAATAAATGGGGAAATTCCCCTCCCGGTTCCGCTGACATGTACACCTACAAGCTTGAATGCTCTGAGTTGGAGCATTCCGATCACAATGGGCGGCGTGGGTGTCGGTGTGCATTCGCGCGCCACATCTTTATGTGGAGATGCCTGGCGATGTAGGCCGACGTTCATGTTATTCACATGGGAGGAATGCATCTAGACACCAGCTGCATTTCTGCATATCTGTTGTTTATTTTATCATTTTGTGATTTGTATTTTTTCTCTCTCTATTGGTATAATGTTTATTTCTGAGTATATTGGATTAATTGTGTTTATAGGGGGATATGTACGCTTTATAAATCTTCAATATTATTATTATTATTATTAATGCCGGAAGGTTAACAAATGTTTTACTTCAAAAGTTCTCGTAAATGCCGATGTTGAAGGAGATCCTGGTCCCCCGGCCCTCCTGGTTTAGCCACAATTTCTCCTACGGAAATAGTGTCTCCCCTCTAGGTATCCCCTACATCAACGGAGAATTTGCCACCCCAGGAAATTGTGTACTCAGACACGGGGTACTTCCATCTTTATAACCAATACATGTACTTCCCTCCTTCAACAAATAGGCAGATGTCTCTCCTTTTCTTACGGATGACCATTTTCCTGTGTTTTTCCAGGCCTTAAGTGTATTTTCCTTCCTCCAACTAACAAAGAAAGTTGTGTACTTCCGACCCAGGTCAGCGTCCGCCGTGATAAACTCACACTCACACAAGTCTGCGACATCGACAATGCATTCATGCAGGGTTCGAAATTAGCGGTAGCCCACTAGCCAAATGCTTGTCAAAACAGCGGCGGGCTAGTCAAACTACTCCTTAACTAGCCCGGCTGGCCAGTGAACAATTATTGGGATACGGCAAAGATGAACGTACAGGAAGAAATAAATCATTAGATTCAGAAAGAAAACCCCATCAATTTGTGTCTAATTTTATCAACTGTTTGAAAGGGTTAAATTATTAGACCTGTTAATCAAAAACACTGACAATATTGCCTGAGAATTGAGCCTAAAAATACGCAATTTTGTATTCGAGATAAGAACAAAAATGCGGGCTAGTGAAAATGCCCGCGGGCTAGTTAAGAGTCCGTTTCAGTAGTAGGCTAGTGAACAAAAAAGTTAAGGTCGACCCCTGATTATTAAAGCCCGGTTCATACTTCACGCGAAAGCAAGTGCGAAGCGAAATTCATGTCGTCAACAATGGTGGACGCGCTTCGAATGTATTGTTGACTTCAGGAATTTCGCTTCGCTTTCGCTTTCGCGTGAAGTATGAACCAGGCTTTATTAATGCACATAGCATAACTGCAAGTTTGAAGTTTCGCTTTGTAGTTTATTTGAAAATTCAAACATAAAGTGAATGAAGATTTTACTATCATACCCCGACTATAAAAAGCCAGAAACATGAAATAAATAACATCCTGTCTGGTTCAGAATTATAATATGAATGTACGACAAAAATATTTTCAAGATTTATGTCAGGAAGATTTGTATAAAAAAGAGATCAACAAAAAGTGTGTGTTTTTTCTCCATACAATGAGGTATCGTAATAAAACCTCCCCTACAATGATGAATGGAACATGCCTCGTGGGCATGTACCATGAGGCTGGTAATCCGTTTATTAGTATAGCTGCATGCATAAATACAGGAAGTTACCGGAGTGTAGTGTAGCTAACCAGATGATAACGGGTAAACGAAGACGGACTGAGAAACGCAGAAAATAAATGTAAAGCATTTCATTTTTAGTCGTTATTTGTGTTTGTTTAAGAGAAAACTGCTGAATTCAAATGAAAGATGGGATCAACAATTCTCCTACAGAATCGTACCCTGTAGTCCAGAACACATTTTTTTTGGGGGGGGGCCAAAAAAATTTTGGTCCCCCAAAAAAGTGGGTCACAAAAATTACGGCGTAGGGTTCGGGGCCCGCTTAAGGGCCCCGACATTTTTTTGGATTCTCGATGCTCCGTGGTGCGATCTGAGGCAATTTCTGACCACTTTAACCAATGTTTTTTTGAGGAAAAGATGGTGGTGTACTCATTGCCTGCCTTTATTGCGATGTCACATAAAAAAAAAAATGGTTTCTTTTGGGGGGGGGGGCATGGCCCCCTTTGGCCCCCCTGGATCCTTCCCAATATAAGCTGGGCTTAAATTTACATGAAACTCGAATGTCATGCACTACATATACATCAAGAGATAGTTTAAGTTCCACTGATGATTGATAATCCCAACTAAAAACATGGCCCAACCATAGTTGGGTCACTAGCCCCATAACAACCAAGGAAACATAAAATATGTCAAAAGTGCATGAAACTGACCCTGAGAAAAATACTGCTCTCATTTTCGGGACAAATTTCACCGGGAAATTACAGGATAACTAGACAGCTCACACAATGTATCGTACAGAATTCAATTTTTTAACCATGTAAATATAACTTCCATAGCGAAATGTCAAGGGAAAACGGTATGGATATAAATTTCAGGAAACACAACTTTTCAGGAAATGTAGCATGCATTGCTAGTGTGTGGCCACAATTCGGAGGAAGTCCATTGCACGTGTATAATGATATGAGACTCAATACAATTTATAGGGCTAGGTACTATTAAAGGGAATGTACGACATTTGCTTTTGCTGCAATTTTCAGACATTAATGGATTTGGAGGTTTAGTACGTTATAGCAAATATTGTTAAACTGACTTGCTTCACGTTTTGGTCCGGAGATGCTGGAAAATCCAAGAAAACCAACCATGTTCTTGTATAGTCTGGTTCCCTGACCCCACTTAAGATGAAACTGAGCAATTGATAGACTTTGGGAAATTGTAAGGTCAGAGAATCAGTCTAGCAGGCTTGTACCCCTTCACAGGTGTGTAATCAATTGCAAAGAAAATGCGGAGTAACTAACTGTGAAAAAGTACGAGCACTTTTTGAAAGAAAGCCAGTTTTCTACAACACTGGTCGGCCGACCATTGTTGGAAAAAATACCAGTTTTCTTGAAAATGTCAGTACACCAGGAGCCACGATGCTACACGATGCTTTGGACTGTCATTCCATAACAATCCAGCAAGATATTTGGTGATAATTTGATCATTTCGGGGTTTTTTATGTTTGCAAATATTGTATCTTCCCTTTAAAGCCCAACGATTCTATAGTATTTAAGGCATAACAAAAATACAAAAGAGCTATTAAATGATGACTAATTCGGTAGTAGGTGATGGGATTGTGCCTTTAATGATACATGTACCAGCATGGCATTTGGCACACAGTCAGAGTGTGTCATGAGACAGATATTTGGCTATAAATATCCTTTGGAAAAACATAGGCAGAATATTAACAAGCAATGGCAGCTATTTTGAAAATTTTGAACTTGTTTGTCATTCTACCTATAGCCCATATTTTTTCAAAGGATAAATCTGCGATGGCCCTTTAGCCAAATATCTTTCTATGATGACTTGCTCTGTGCTCTGACTGGATACCAAATTCCATGCTTGTATCATCAAAGGCACAATTCCCCCAAATATTTCCCCTTTCTGCCCAACTGTGTGGCAGGCAGCATGTACAAAATAATGTATTATGTAGTATTCAAAACGGCACAATTGCAGAATACCCCACCACTCGATCTATCCACCTCCTAGCCGGCTACGGAGTCACGGTTGATTGCCCTCAATAAACCTTCTCAGCGCTACATGTATGTACTATGCGTCATGCTCCACAGCACTCCCACTCCGTATCCGCGTAGCCGCCAACAGGGTAGTTGGTTTGGACTTACAATTTTTTCAGCAACTCCCATTCCTTTTGTGTTGGCTTCGTTCTCAAATAATGGACCCCCACTCAGTATCCGCGTAGCTGGCAATGGACTTGAATTGTGCACAATCCATCTCGTGGATATCCAGCACAGCAATTTTGCTTGGAATGCAAAAGCAATGAATACAGTGGTGAAAATGAAATAAGGGACATGGAGGAATAAATTATTTTACTCGTCGTGGTGTAGGCTAATCTATGGTTAATCGATTATGTACACACTACGCATATACATACCCACGGTACTGTACTGCACTCTAGTACAATGTAATGTTGACTTATTGAAGCACTCATGTCAGACGTCAACACTGGCTGTTAATGCCTCCGCCATTTTGACCATGTGGTGAATACAATTAGAGCCAAGGTCAGCCAACACTAGGTCGCGTGGCCATTCATAATGCATGCAAAGCAGACGATTTCTGTTAGTCACGTTGACCCTACATACACATACATTCACGGAGCCTACTCTTTGCTGTGGCCTACTTCTTTCGTGCCATCGCTGCGGAAGTTTCATTCAGTTGTAATAAAAAAGACGTGACTTGCCGCGGATTTCCAGCGCAGCGGCGCGGCAGTCATAGTAATTTATCCATTAAGCTAGAGGGGAACTCCCAAGAGTTCTAGTGACAAAATAGAGGGCGCCTTTCAAGAATGTAGTCTGGCTACAAGTGAAAGTAAGGCTGCAACCCTGCATTAAAATTGCCATAGACATTAGTGCTAAATGACCACACTTCAAAATTCTTTTAAAAATACTCAGAACTCTCACAGGTATTAAAGCTGCACAGAAAAATGACGATCAACATGTCATCTTTCATTTCTTTTCATTTTTTTGGTGGGTTGACCATTAACTTTTCGAGAAATTCTCACCCAAAGAAGACGACCGCTATTTTCCCAGAGCGGAAAAGTAGCCATCTTGAAAAACGAATCCCTCCACAACATGGCAAAAATGCTCAGGATTAGAAGCCCAAGTTCGAACCAGAGGTTCATTGCCGTATCTCTTCAATTCACAAATTGTATGGCTCTCAAAACTCTCTAATAGTAATAGGCCTGTAGAATATTCTGAGGGTATAACGTACTTTTATTCAAGAGCTTGGCGGGTGGGTTTTGGCCTATTTACCGGTGTGCACCGCGCGTAAAGTTTCTTTTGATCCAACATTGAGCACCATTATGTATGGACAGCCACATGGGCATAGATTTAAGCCGTGGTTGGCAACATATTTCACCAAAAATGGCATATTAACACCTTCATTGTGTAAGAAGTTTTAAAGTCTTTTGTAGCGTTTGTTGGTTCTAATTATGTAGCTTATTTTCAACAATCTAGATTTCGGAACTTGAACATTAATACGTCTTTTGCAACCTTGGCCTTTCATAGTTTGCCAACCAGTTGGCACAAAGTGAAATTTCATTCTTTAGAAATAAATAAAGAGATTCAACCTTATGTTTAAATATAAGGCTAATAACTTGGCTGATTACTTTAACACTAATGACCGCAGTATCATAAGAAACAAACAAATATTGGAATAAGATCAATCGATGCCATATTATAACATGGGGCACAACTATATCACACCTGAACACGAACCGTACATCAAGAGCTGATGATTGATAATCCCAACTATAAACATGGCCCAACCATAGTTGGTATAGCCCCATAACAACCAAGGAAACTTAAACAGAACAGATGTAGGTGTTGGCTTATAATTATCGTCCTTTAGTCACAAATCACATAAGAGGTTGAACACGAAATTTAAAACGAAACTGTCAAAATCTTGTGAAATACCCAACTTTGTTATAATTGTTAGTAATTCATTAAGCATCCTGTGAAATCGTTGAGCCTAATATATCAAGAGTGTCATGTTCAAGACCCTAACCATACAACGAGAAAAAGACAAAAAAACCCCAAATATTACTCCCAATTGACCGAATTTAGTTTAGTTTGCAATCGGTTACATATCGTGAATGAGGATTATTTTCCCGAGTGACAAACCGGGCATCATACCAAAAGAGGGCACAAGTCAAAATGTATAACGATTTCATATTACGATTTCAACTGAAACCTGGCTTAGTGTTGAGAAATATCGGAAGATATATTTTCTCAAGTATTCTAAAAAAAAAAATAATAATAATGATATGATATGATATAATCTATAGTGAGCTCAAATTTAGACAGGTTACTTAATGTTTTCTTTTGACAAAAAGGGTTACATAAATTTGCAGCATCGAAACCGCACTTTCGTAACCAATTACTTAGTATCTCTGGATAGTTGGTCTGACTTGCGAAAGCATAGAGCAAGGAACAGAAGCCACGCCCGGCACCCCTCCTTGGAAGTCTTTGTTGATGAAGGGGTGGAGGCTACTCCTTCGTCCTTTGTGTCTCATCACTGAACTCCCAGTGGTCAGAAAGCCATTTATGCAAGAGCCGTTTCCGGATGCTAACCGCATTTTGGCTATTCATAACCCGAGCCTCTGACATATAACACAATACACGGGCATCCTTTCCTCATCAACCAAGCAAGGATTGTTTAGACGCGCATCATCTTCAAGACAAGAAGTTCCTCCAACAAGCCCTCCTGTTTGTGTCCTGCCTGATCCGTACTCTCGAAAAAGGTGTTGTTGATTTATTGCTAGGGAGACCACGAAATAAACAGACGGGTTTCTTGATAAAAGGGAAAACATTTTCAAAACTCGCATTTTAATGTTAGCCTTTACGCTGCTGTCCGGACGTCGAGTTTTAAACCGTGATTACCGGGGGAAAAACAGACGTGCTCAAAGCAGTTAAGTTTACAATCCAAAAGTAGTCCAAAACGGGCTACCAAAAAAAAAACCCGGAAGGCAACAATTATTAAAACATCCTGCATACCAGGTATTGAGGCAGTTGATTTAGCATTTTAGTTGTTACAATGTCACGTTTGCGACGTTTACCAGTGATCCTGCTGCTATTTTGTGTCTGGGTTGCAGCCGTCAAGACTCAAGCCGACGACAGCGCCGTTGAGTTAGACCAGCAAATGACTGACCTTCAGGTAACAGTTGCAGATTTTTTTCTTGAAATCTAGACCATTGAGAGAAATGTTTTTTGTTAAATAAAAAGCAAGACAAATCTTGCACAATTTTACCTAAAATCGTGTGCATTAATTGTCACCGTTTTCATGAAGAGCCACGTGACATGTGGATTTTGAAGAAAAAAAAAACTATTTTAAAACTGCAAAAACTACGACATTTTGTTCAAGCCTTTTATTTCGGCTTGCTTTTGCGCCCATAGCTCACATTAAGATACGCCCGATTGAATAATTCGAAATTTGTGAAGTACATGTATACATTCCGAAATTCATCTTTGGCACACTTTTGTTCGGTGTGTCATTTGTATTGCTAGAAAAATATTACTTATGATATTTTCGGGTTGAAATTTGAAAATAGCATCCTCATATTTTAATATATCTGTGAAATCCACGTAGGATCCTTTGCATGGTCACCCAGAAAAGTACCTACCGATTTCATGACACACTGCAAAAAATGTAGTGTTAATTTAACACCATTCGGTATCTAAATAGGACAACACCAGTAAAATTTAACACCAGATGAATCCCCCACCAGATGGTCCTTTATAGATACCAATGGTGTAAATTTAACACTCCAGTTTTTGCAGTGCAGAAGCCTAGCTCAAAGTGAAGATAGGACTGGTATCAAATACCCTGTGAAATAATTCCACCTGAAATGGTGTACTTTGGAGAAATATTTAGGTGGTTTCAAAATAAGGTGCCTGCGGCATGCATTAGCAACGGAATCCGGCGATACAAGCCCCCCCCCAAAAAAAAAAAATGTGCATAATTATGTTTTCAGTCTTTTTTTTCTTCAAATTTTTGTGTAGCCTTTTGGCAAAAATATTCCCATATTGCATCATATATACTCAAGTTTTCTAACAATTTTGTTACTTCATGTGAAAAACAAATGCAAAAAGACTGACCTTTTTTTGTACCTTGAAGCTGATAGTTCTTTTGTACGTTCACTTTTTACAGAATTATCTGGAAAGGAACGGTTACCTGAATGTAAATGGAACGGATACGGACGGGAATCTAACCCAGGCTATTATAGACCTGCAGACAATGACGGGACTCGAACCAACCGGTAAGTGTTTTGATCTCTAAAACCTTTGTGTGCGAATACAGATCCTGGTAACAACCGACTGAGCATGTCGATTGTTCATGTAAAAATGTTATTTTCTAGTTGAGTGCAGTGTGATTAGTCTCCCCCCCCCTTTTTTTATTTTACTGAGGCCAAGTGTTCGGAGGAAAAAAGTGTCTACATTTCAGCACGGATGTGCAAGTGCCTTTTTCAAAAAATGTTTACCCCCCCCCCCATAAAATGACCTTGCTACGCAACAGTGGGTCCGGTTTTCTAATTTCTTAAACTCAAGCATGACGTGATCTCAGTGTTGTCAAGAATGTGTTTTCTCTTTTTTTCTATTCCAATACATTGTTATTCCTTCAACTTCCATAATCTAAACATTTTCCCCAAATCTGACAAGCAGTTCGTTGTTGGTTTGTTTAAGGGACATTCCAATTTCAATAAGCAAAATTGCCCTTTAGGGAGCGAAAACACATTTTTCCACGAAATGATAGCGTTCATGGTCGGAAAGATCATGACAAGTTATATGTAAACATTCACACGAACTAGTCCATGAAACAAATTTTGCGGTTTTCGTTGTCACCTAAAGGAATTTCTGGGTGCCAAATTTTGGTCTGAAAAAATAATATTGTTTCTAATCACACTGTAAGTTTTACTTTACGAAAGTTGCTTCAAAAGATCAAACTTAGTTTTTATAAAGCTAATTACCATGACTTCTCCTCTTAAATTTCCTTCAGGTCAAGTTGACGATTTTCTCCTAGATACGCTTCATTCCCCGCGATGCGGCATGGCTGATCTCGTACCGGAGGAGTACAGAGTACACAGTGTCAAGCACAGCAAGAACCAACTGACCTACTGGATTGAACAATTCCCGCCCTCTATGGACCAGGAATTGGTCAGGACAATCATACGAGATGCTTTCCAGGTTAGTGGTCTTTTTAATTTGTGGACATTTCCAAAAGGAAATTTCTCGAAAATAATGTTGTAGTCGATTTCATCACAACTCCATCGGTGTAGTGTTAAATGTGGACTCTTTTATGTAATGACTCCTTGGTTGTATTGCGCATGCTTAAGAGAAGATTTGACTGACAGGTCACGTGTCAGGGTTACAATCCTAAAGAGAATACATTTTCTAAGGAGTCTAAATTTCATATGACACCGGTCAGCACATGTTCGTCAAAGCCACGCAAAAGTGACCTGCTGAGGCTAACTAATGAGGAATGTCCCCTTAAACTTTCTTTTTGAGTTCTCGGCGTCTGACGTTGCCCAGGCCTATGTGTGGCAAATCATGTCACAATCGAATTCAGAATTTTCAAAGTTATAACGAAGTCATTTCACAAGTCCAGTCACAATAAACAGGAGATGAACATAAGGGCTGAGTCTATTCGAATAATTAAATATTCGAATATTCTACTTTTATTCGATCAAATATTCAAATATTCAAGTACACCGTGAGGCGGATTTCCAGTAATCCGATTTTCAGTTTTAAAAAGCCGTCATGATGGTTTTATCATAATTTACTAAAATGCTAACTTTTATACACATTCATAAACATATTCATTGACTTGCGATTGACTTGTTATTGCCTTGCGATTGACTTGTGGTTGACTTGCGTTTGACTTGTGATTGACTTGCGTTTGACTTGTGATTGACTTGTGAATGACTTGCGTTTGACTTGTGATTTGTTAATGACTTGTGATTGACTTGTGATTGACTTGCGATTGACTTGCGATCGACTTGTGATTTACTTGTGTTTCACTTGTGAATCACTTTCCGTAGGTCTGGGCTGACGTCACGCCACTGTCGTTCTCGGAAGTCTTCGGTTCCCAGGCCGACATTCGGATCATCTTCGGGGCACGGGAGCACGGGGACGGGGCGCCGTTTGACGGCCCGGGTGGGGTCCTGGCCCACGCCTATCTACCCCTCCGTAGCGACGCCCATTTCGACGCGGAGGAAAGATGGACGGCGGGAACGTTTCAAGGTAACACGACTCAATTGTTTTGAACATCTCCATTTATGAAAAATTAGTAAGATTTTTATTTCAATTTCGCACATGGGCGTCGCCAGGATTTTTTCTAGAGGGGGGCAAAAAAATTTTTTTTGCCAAAAAAAGGCTTGTATTTCTCAACACATTCTCGATTTATCAGTTTTAGAGGGGGGGGCAGGGACATTCCCCCCCCCCCCCACTCATTAAATTTACACCACTTTGTCTTCGCGCCTATTTTTTTTTTTTTTCTTTCTTTTTTTTCTTCTTCTTTTTTTTAATTTTTTTTTATGCTTTTCCGGGGGGGGGGGCAAGTGCCCCCCCTTGCCCCCCCCCTCGCGACGCCCATGATTGTGCACAATTTCAACCAATGCTTTGCCTATAATTGAGGTGATGTTCGTGTTTCAATGCCGTTAATGAAACTTGATAATATTGTTTTGCAGTTTTAGTCAACAATTACATGTATAACAATACCGAACAACAACACTAAATTTCTTTTTTTTAATTTAACGTGGTTTTTTTTTAAACTGAATTGTGTAGTACAGTAACAGCATGATATATGTATCTCGAAATCCGCAGTGATTTTACAGACTCACTGTGTAGCCATTACAAATTCGTTGTTAAACATACACAATTAACAAAAACTGGTGTCGGATTTGTTTTGTAGCGTTCTCTCTTAGCTTTTTTTATCACATCCAAAATCTGTCTGGTAGTAAATCAGAACAAGTATGTAAACGAGGTTGAAATCAAACCTTATTAATCAGTACCTTTTCTCCACCCAACTCAGGGACGAACTTGTTCCAGGTCGCTGCCCACGAGTTCGGCCACAGCCTTGGTCTGTTCCATTCAGAGGACCTAACGGCACTCATGTATCCCTACTACAGCGGGTACCAGACTGAATTCCGACTGAGTGAGGACGACAAGGAAGGGATCCGGAGTCTCTATGGGAGTACGTATACAAATTGAAGGGCAGGGTTCGGGAACCAGACTAGGCAAAACTGGTCCCAGACCAGTGTTAAGTGTATCATGTATCTGGTACACATTTGAAATGTAGCCTATTGTCGGTGACCTCCTATACAATAGCACTTCCAAGCCCTCTTTACTAGGCTATTCATGCAATTCATGCATTTGGTTTACACAGTTCGCCGGACGTAGCCCAATCATTGGCGTTATGGGGAATCATATACGATAGCACTGCCCGGTTCTCTCCACTAGTCTGCAAATCAAGTCTTTAAACAGTCAGTCAGACTCAGTCACTCAGTCAGCAGTAAGACAGGCAGTCAGTCGGTCAATGAGATAGACACAGTCGACCGAGCCAAAATGTTTGTAATATCAGAACCTTGTATTAAGTGGAGCGCCAGTCCCATTCATTGTGCACATTAAGCACAGTCGGGACCAAGGCTTTATGTTCGCTATAACCAGAATTTGTATTAACAGTGTTTGTAGTAATAAGAGGACACTGTGCAGGCCCTCTGGGAACAGCAAGAGTTTTTTTATTATTATTTTTTTTTTTTATTTAAAACAAATCAATAAAAGCGTGGGGCACCTTTCTTCAGAAAATAAGTGTCAATTATTGTTTCAATGCAAACTGAACTTTGGTTATACCACTTATTCCAAACACGGTGAACAATGTATTTATGACTATTTAATTCGCACCAATTCGTGTTATTTCTTGTAAAGATAACTACCGAAATCTTGAAGAATATCGGGGTACGCACGGTGAACCATGTGGGGCACGCTGTGTGACTTATAAGACACTAGTCCAGCAAGTGTTTCCGCAGATAAGTAGAAAATGCATAACACAACTTCCTTCCGATCATAATATTTACAATGTACTTCAATCATTTTTATAATGTCTCTTCCAGGAGAAGTCACGGTACCAGACGATGACGACACAGATGATGAGAACGATGGTATGTTATGGAATTAATTTTTATTAGATAGCAAAATGGATGGAGTGTTTTAATGGCGACAAACTTTAACTCATCAACTTAATACGTCCGAAGTAAGGCTCTCACAAGCAATTGCACGACTATAAACTCTTCGATAATTCTGTACGTTTGACTGTTTGGAATTTTGCACGGCTAATTATTGATTGTTTTGCCTTTACCTGAATCAGAATCGTAAACTTTAATTCGGTTACCCAAAGAACACATCACACTGTGTCCACAATGGTCCCAATCCCTATTGTGGATAATTTAAGTGCAGAGGACTATTTTTACAGTAGTTTAGTACAGTCTGCTCCCGTTACAGCGAAATCGTATATGACGAAATTCCGGTTATTACAAACGCATTAATCTTTGGTCCAGGCAAAATTGTGCACATAATGGGGGAAACACCGCTTAAGATAATAGTACGAAATTTCTGTTACAACGAAAGGTTTTAGCGACCCCTTTGCGTAAACAAGCATTGTTGGCGACCCATTTATAACGAACGGTCATCCTGGCTCAAGGCTTTTTCGTTCAGACCAGCATTAGTCAATAGGTGTACATGTGACGAAAAACAGTTTCCCCTCATGTGCTTACACCGTGTTAACTTAACACTGTTATCATAGTGTTCACAGTGTGAACACTATGTGACAAAACTCGTGACTTGACTTGAAATTGGATGACTTGTGAGAAGTTGTGATGGACTTGTGTTTGACTCAACAACAGAATTAATTTCTACATTTCTTTAATCTAGATATCGTCACAACACCAGCGGAGGTGTCTACCCAACTACCGCCCACTACAGCAGGGACGCCTGGCCCGCCTTCGCCTCCCCCGCCCGCGGCATGCCTGAGAAATGGAACTTTCGACGCCGTGGTGAACACCATAGACGGTCACAAATACGGATTTATTGGTAAGTATCTGAAATAACGATACTCAGTTCGTGGTACAAGAAAGTAATCAGTCAATCCAGGGCTAGTTTAACGTCATCCGATGAAAACATCGATTCATTCGCACACCAGTTTTCATCAGTTGCTGTGTATATGTGTTACCATTCAGCACTCCAGACTCAAGAACCATTGAGATTCAAGAAAATGGGTCTGGGAGCTAGATAAGCCAATGTAAAAATCCCGGATGTCCGCGCCCACCAATAGTTTGCAAATAGTGACTTGAAATATTATAAACAAGTAGTGGAATTTTGCATATTTCTGAATGCAGCATCTTAATTTATGAATCGCTTAAGACGTTCTTACTTGAAAACACAACTTCATATAGAAAGCAAGCTTAAGGTTGAGTTAAGATACACAACATAAATCAAGTAGCAAAAAGGATCTTTTAACTCAAGAAACCAAAACTACAATGAATAATATTAAATAGACCAACTAATATGAAAATATTGTTGTGTTCATATTTTTATTTCATAAAAGAGAGAAAAACCCGTATATAAATTTGGATATCCAATATCTTAACATGGAAATGCCTTCTCATTGTAAATATTTACCTATTCAAAATAATGTTTTAACATGAACATGAATGTTTTGTCTTGCTTTTGAAGGTGCGTACGTCTGGTGCCTGGACGTCTTTCCGCGGACGTATACGCTGATAAACGAGGCGTGGGAGAACCTGCCTAACTATGTGCACGCGGCGGTGACGCGGGGCAACATTACATACATTCTCAAGGTGACTATTTATGTGATTGTTTGTTTGTTGGGGTGTTGGGGGTGTTTGTTTGTTTGTTTTTGGATTGTTTTACCAAGACTGGGACCTTAACTGCAGAAAAACATGCTGAACAATCTCAGCCCAACTTTTGCTCACTCTTTAGCTGGCAAGACTCTCCAAACTTTTCATGAGACATGCCGGCAAAGACAAGGTCCTCAGTATTTCACCAGCCAAGTTTGAGGTCTCAATTCAATTGTTAAAGGAGACCTTTCTTCAACATTTTGCACATGAGAGTGAAGCCAAGTGATTTCAATATGAATCCTAAGGCTCGGACCGGTACATGTCCACCTTTTTGGAAAGATTGGCCCTTCAGCAGTCTGGTGGTCATGACCTTGAGTAGAAATAGAGCTAGTTACCAGATATTTCTTTTGACACAGTTGATTGATGCAATACTAAAGGGGTGTTGGACTGGAAACTATTTCTGGCGGAAAGATTTCACAGGGTCCCTCCTTATCTTCACTTTGAGCGAAGTTTTCGTCACATTTTACCTTTAAATTTCAAAAACTTACATGCAAGGTTGGCCCTGTCTGTGGTTTTAGTTCTATTATTCATTGATTTTGTGGACTTATTTTTTTGTTTCCTGTACTAGGATTGTTACGTGTGGAGTTACGAGAACCGGGCCTACCTTGGACGGAGGCGCATCCGCGAGCAGTGGCCTGGGCTGCCTTGCAACGTCCAGGCCGGCTATACGTCAGGCAGCGACGGCTTCACGTACTTCTTCAAAGGTAAACTTGACATGCCTATTCTCTTAAAATCCAAGAGTCATTTGACCCGAGATCGGTCAAATTTGACTGATTTTTTTCGTGGTCAAAGTAACCCAATGTCATATGAAATTTTGACTCTTGTCTGTTTTACCCTTTTATTGGTTGAACCTTCACACGTGACCAGTCGCTGTTCTAATCATCTTCACTGATAGGCATGCGTAATACAACCAGGAATCTGTGTACAGATGGAATCTAAATTTCTCACTTCACCGGTAAAAGTTGATTTAAAAGAACTACTAAAATACTCTTTGCCAACCGCGTATCGTTATATTTCACAGTCTCAACTTTTACTTGTGCGAACGAAACATTTTGGATTTCGTCTGGTTCCCTTAGCCGACTACGATATCCTGACTTTTCAACACAGATCGTAGGTCAGGTACCAGTCACATTTAATACTAGAATATGACGCAGCAAAGCTCATCTGCGTCCGAGTGAATAATTATATATTCACATCACATTTTACGGCATCAAATTTCACAAATAGAAGTTTTGATGTGATAAATTGGAAATTTCAGGACTGATAACAAGTCTAACAGACATTGTGTTGGCAAATACAACCATTTCACACACGGGAACACCCGAGCTGTCGCGAACAGGTCCGATTGTCAGCGAAGACATGTTCGGAATACTTCGGACATTTTCGAAAACGGGAGGTCTCATTTGGAGGGGGGAGCAATGCATTTTAATAATAAAAAGCTCATTTCTGTTAGACATTTTGTTGACGAATACAACCAATTCACACCAGTAAACACGCGAGCTATTACGAACATGTCCGAGTATCAACGAAAACGTCTTCGGAAAACTTCGGACATTTCCAAAAGTGGATGGAACCCCGCCCGTTTCAGTCACGTGATATTGGCACCTATACTTGACCAAAGATTTTGTCCAAAACCTAAGACCGATCCAAGTTGCAAGCCTATTTTCATTTTTTTATTGTTTACTCCGCACAGGTATTTTCGTCTACCGTTTTAGAGGGAGCGCCCTCAACAGCCGCCGCAGAATCTGGACATGGAACTGGCAAGGTCTGCCCGATCGCAACCTCCGCGTCACCGCCGTCTGCCCCAACTTGAACAACGCTGGCGACGCGGTCAGCGTGTACATGTTCACGGGCAACGTGTACTACCTTTTCGACGACTCCCTGAAACACTTTGTTTATCCTCGCCAGTACCCGCGTGCGGTCAACAGGTTTATTCTTGACGACTGTCCCAGTTCTTAGATTAATCAATTAATTAATTAAGCTTTTCATGATGAAAAAAAGAGGACATTAAAGATGACCAAGTTTTGTGATAAACTAAGTTTTGTATCACATATCACCGTTCACAAAATGCGTGCGAATTTTGACCAGAAACCACATGAATGTGTTCGTTAATTTAAAACTACTTTTTGTAGACTTTTTGCGTGTAAATTTTTCAAATCACTTTTTTTGTAAAATGTGTAAATACGTTAAAGATGGGTGTGCGAATATGTTTATACTAGCTCTCTGCTCAAATACTCTTTGATGTGGATATCAAGTTTGAATTGTGTTTTCTTTTACTTGCCTTATTTTATTGTCACTTAGGTACACATTGTATAATAGCCTGAAGTGTTATTGGTTACATTAAGTCGCATTTTGTTCCTCTTTCGCGAGTTGTCCTTGTTCTTGGCATATTACCGGACGCATGCGCACAGTGCCGGTGTCATATGAAATTTTGACTCCTGTGTAATCTGGTCCTTTTTTTTACCTTATATGGACTCCAACCCTCACACTTGACCTGTCACTCTCTATTGACCTTCACTTAGACATGCGCAATCAACCAATGAGTTCGAATTTCTTAAAGTCTAAATTTCACACCATACCGCAACGGTGCTTTCGGCACAACGCCGGCAACGGCTAGCTCGGTGAAGTTCGTTGAAAAGACTGTTGTAATTTTTTATTATTTATAATGTATGTGTAATTTATGCGAAATACTAGTGTTACTTATGATAATAAAAGAAGGTTACTTTCAATGCAGATCTTTTGTATTGTAACTATTGTTTTGTCTGGTTTGACCTTCAACGATTTTTAATACCCACGCGCACTGTATGTTCTTGCTCTGCGAGCGCTTGTAACAAAGACTAGTCTCTCGTACTTTACAAAAATCTTGTCGATTTAAATCTAGTTTTATTTGTCCGTTTTGAATCGCAATGTGTCAAACGCATGCCTACTTTTAAACCGTTGCCTTCAACTGCTTTATTTGTAGCCTCCGCCACTGAGCTTATGTTTTCATCGGCGTTGGTTGTTGGTTAAAGGGAATATACATCATTTGCTTTTGCTGTAATTTTCAGAAATGGATGGAATTGGGGGGTTGGAAATATATATCAAATATAGTTACACTGACTTTTTGGAGATTTTGGGTTCGAAAATGCTATAAAAACCAAGAAAAACGATCATTTTCCTGTAGTCTGGTTCCCTGACTCCATATAAGAAGAAACAGAGCAGTTTACATACATTGGGGAATTGTAAGGTCAGGGAACCAGTCTAGCTTGCTCGTACCCGTTCATAGGTTTGTAATCGATTGCAAACAAGTGCAATGGTCAATTGGGGCCAGTATTTGAAAAAAAGCCAGTTGTTTCCAACGCTGATCGGCCGATCAGCGTTGGAAATTGATACAAAAATACCACTTTTCTTGAGAATGACAGTATACCAGGTGCCATAATTTTACAGGATGCTTTAGACTGTCATTTACCAACATCCTGTTAAGGTATTTCGCAAAAACTTGGTAGTTTTATTTTTCGATGTTTGCAAATGTTGTATATTCCCTTTAATTGTCTGCTAACAAGATAACTCAAAAAGCCTAGGACGGATTTTCATGAAAATGTGTTTAGGAGTGCTCCTCGATATAAGTACAAATCGATTAGATTTTGGAAGTGATCCGGATCCGGGTCTGGGAGATAGTCAATCAAATTAACCAAAAAGAAATGTCAAATAGTTTTCACACAGTTAATAAGAGTGGAAAGTTGCACAAAATGTGTTCCTAAGAAAAATTCATCGCATGGACCCTCTATGCCTATGTTTAACATGGTTAATCGATATTAAGTAAAACAGGCACAGACTTCTTCGGATTGTTTTAGTTTACATACATTTTTTATTAAAAAAATCTCAGTACTTTGGTCAATACGGCCTCATGAATAAAAAAAAGTATGAAATTTATTTAATTTTAGATATACTGTACATGTACATGTACATTGTGTATACAGTGTATATTTTATTATACATGTACATGTACTCTAATGTACATGTACATGTATTCTAATGGGGTCGCTAGTACTGAAGGAAATTGTTAGTCACTTGTCGACTCAAATTCACCATTTTTTGGATAATTAGGCCTAAGGGAAGACATTTGATATAATTTTACTAAATTCTCATGCCTATTCAATCGTGCACTTTATAAATTAAATAACTTAATTTTCATGTACTGTGGTGGAAGAATGTAATATCTTTAAATAAGAAAGACTATGTGCGACGTAAAAATAAAAAAATATCATGATTTCTTAATTAAACGTTATCTTTGTAAAACAAAACTACAAACAATGGTTTCAAATAGCCAATCAATTCATATTTATAGAATTTCATTTAAGCCAACTTCATGAAAGTGCTTGTGAGGCGGTCTTTTTGCTTCTCGAATCAAGGCTGTGTTTGAGGGCAAATCTGCAGAATTATAGAAAATTTGGGGAAAATGTTTGCTTTCTTTAAAGTGTCATCTTATTCGTTAAGCACTGCAGCACATGCTGTCACAGAAGTGTTTTCTACATGTCGGTTCGTGCTTGGAAAAGAATTATATTTATTAAGGGCATGTAGGATTATTTGTTCTGTCATGCCTTTTGTTCTTTTTCCAATAAAAACACCACTCGAAATCCAAAGAAGAATGTTCGAAAGATAACCTGTTGAAGTTTCAGCTCAGTGGATGTTACACTTTTCAAGCAAACAGTGAAAAACCATGCACAACCTTTTGATCACGAAATACAATTTTGTTCGTATAACAGTGTAGTACTCTTTATTTTCAACTAGGCTATCAGTCAATTATTGAGTGATCATAGGAAATCCCCTACATTTTTCTTGATTTCTTCTGAGTGACAGCAAGCCAGATGGAATAATTTCACATGAAGTGTAGTACTAGTACTATCTTTGATCCAAGCTTTTGGATAATAAATCGGTAGCTTAAAGTTGGTGTGTACGTGCTTTTGGGGTGTGGCACCTTGAAAATAGATATAGGACACTCCTAAATAGTAAATGGTTCCGAGTAGTGTGTGCAATTTCTGAACTGGAGCGCGCCATTTCAAACCACTTTTGTTAAACATGTATAAAGGCCTGCAAAAACAAACAAGCAAATGTATTCGTTACTGGACATTAAATTCCTTTAAATTTCGTTAGGAGAAGAAAATGTTGAAAAAGCACGAAATATACCCACTTTAATTTTAGATAAACGCAAAATGATCCTATATGCCTGTAAAAATAGAAGTACAATGCACAATCTAACAGTAAGTGGTTCCCAACACAACAGGCAACATCATTGCGAGGAGGCTGGGTGCAAGACCACTAACACCACTGTCTGCTGTGGGCGTGGCCGCTTCGATGGTGTTCGCACATCCCTGCCAATCTGAGGCAACGGGCGCCGGGTACCCGCGTCCTCCTTCCACCCTGAAGTTCCGGTCGTTGTAACGGTAGTAGCCGCCGCTCGGGGTGAAGAAGTACGTCACCCTGTTGGTCCACTGCACGGCAGCAGTGACTTGGTTACCAGGGACATTCCACACGCTCAGGTCACGCGGGTAGTTTGCGTCGACCGCCCTACCGTTGTAGCGATAGTACTCATTGCCTGTTGGAAAGCACGGGGAAAAAAATGCTATTATTTCTCGGAGAATAGCATTTTTCATATCTTTATATGGCTTTATTTATCTTTTATTATGGTGAGATGGCCTAGCGGTTAAGAACACTGGACTCATGCTCTGGTGTTTCAGAGGCAACAGTGGCGCCGGGGTTCAAGCCTGGGCCCGGACACTACCCTTGAGCAAAAGTTAAAGCTGTAGGTCCCGTGTGTTGTATAATGCACGTAAAAGAACCCAGCAAACACTTATCGCTGAGAGAAGGGGTTCGCCCCGGTGTTTCTGGCAGTTATCCTCATACATACAGTATGAGGCTGCAAGGATGAAGGTTGGTGTGATATTCATTAAGTGAATTTTACAGACACAACCAGAATCTAAAACGTCTACATAACCCGTTGGGCATCCGGGATGCGATTTTTTTTTTTACACAACTATCTGGGGTACCCATTTTTCAGGCGACTTGAATCAAGGTTATAGGATTGTATCTTAAAAACGTTATTTTTCAGTCGAATACTACTTGTATAGCAGCAAATTCCTTTTTCTTTTCCTGATCTGAAGCTCTGGAGGATTTTTGAAAAAAAGGGAAATAAAGTCCGAAATCCGTACCAAGTTGAAAAATAGTAGCCTCCACTCAAGCCTGGTTATAAAAACCAAGCCCAGAAGAAAGCGCACAAAGTACCCCAGATAGTTGTGTAAAAAAAAAAAATCGCATCCGGGATTTTGTTTTTTAATTGGCTTGTCTAGCTCCCAGACTCATTTCCTTGAAACGCAATGGTTCTCGAGTCTGGAGTGCTGAATGGTAAACACATAGCGACCAGTAAAAACTGGTCACTTATGAATGAGATGTTGACATCCGGGTTCACACCTATAAATAGGCCAAAAACCCATCCGCCGAGCTCATGAATAAAAGTTATCCCTCAAAATATTTAATATTAGAGAGTTCTGAGAGCCACTAAATTGGCGAATTGAAGAGATATGGCAATGAACCTCTAGCTGGGACTTGGGCTTCCAATTCTGAGCATTTCGAATGCAATTGGGCTCGAAAGTGGCGATATTTTGCCATGTTGTGGAGGAATCGTTTTTCGAGATGGCTAATTTTCCGCATTGTGAAAAATAGGGGTCGTCTTCTTTGGGTGAGAATTTCTCAGAAAGTCAAGGGTCAACCAAAAATGAAAAGGAAATGAAAGATGACATGTTTATCATCATTTTTCTGTGCAGCTTAAATACCTGTGAGAGTTTCTGGGATTTGAGGTTTTCACAAAAAGAGACGAATTCGCACTAAGGGTATGGGCAATGGGTATCGGCAAGTTGCCAAAACAACAGGTGTGTGGGATTTAGAGTTTTCACGAACAGACAAATCGCTATGGAGATTAATTACTCCGCAATCAAATGTTCTATTGGTACATCTTTGAAGTTTAAGACCTCAGCTTACCATCTGTATCAAAAGTTAGTCGGCATGTGCTCCACAAATAGGCTAAATCTTTATTTCAAAACGTGGCCAACTTAAAACCCGGGGTTTTTTTTCTCGAGACCACTGTTCAACACCCCGTGTTGAACAGTCGTCCCTTCGTAAAAACGCTGACGAGGGGTGATACTCAGGCTAGGCTTTGGGAGCGGATATCAAACAGCAAAGCGACTTTTTTTCTGTTTACCTTTGATGAAGTAGACTTGGTTGTTCCCACTCCAAACAAATGCAGCGTCCAGGTCGCCCGGCAAGCCCCAGTCACCGGTAATAGAACGTGGAAAGTTGGCATCCATGACCTCGTTGTCAAATCGCCAATATTGACTTCCCTGAAATTGGATCAAAACAAAATCACCTCTTGAGAAAACCATTTTCTTCGAAGTTAACTCTTCCTTCCTGAATCATCCTTTAAAGTTGGTGTATACGTGCTTTTTGGGTGTGGCACTTTGAAAAATAGATTTTCAAATTGAATTGATAATTTTCTAGCATTACATTAGTTATGAGCTTTCCAATGAGACATCGCACTACAAAAAAAATCGGCCCACGACAAGTAATCAAGTAATTTTAAGTCAACTGTTGAATTAAGAGGGGGACGTCCTAATTCATTTTGAAAAGTGTGCGCAATTTCTGAACTGGAGCGCGCCATTCAAAACCACTTTTTAAAACTGTGTAAATGCCTGCAAAAAAACAAACAGCCACATTTATTGGTTACAGGTAAGGACATTATATTCCTTTAAATTTTGTTCGGAAAAGAAAATCGAAATTTTGAAAAGCAGGTATAACCAACTTGAATTAAACATAAAAGCATGATCATTTGTTTTTATCCCTATAATGACCTAGCGAAGTATTTTATGAAAAAAACTTGTTTGGATGAAAGATCATACTGACACTAAATACCCCAGAAATGATTCCGTCAGGTTTGCCAACATTTCGAAGAAATCAAGAAATATTAAGTGATGTCCAACGATCAGTCAATTGACTGATTTTGGGAAATAAAAAGTGCTAATGACGAAAATAATCGTGTTTCGTGATTAAAAGGTCGTGCCGATGGTTTTTCACCGTTTTTTCGATAAGAGTAATATCAACTGAGCATAAAACTTCACCAGGCTAGGTTTTGAACATTCTTCTTTGGATTTTGAGTGGTGTTATTATTGGAAACACAGATTTTTTCCCCACGAGTCTTGTTTTTATTTCATACCTTGAAGATGAACGTGCTCCTATACATTGGGTAGTAAAACGCAGCATCGATGTTGTCTGGAACACCGACGAAAGTCGAGGAGATAGACTTGGGAAAACCAGCGGAAATTCGGGACGCGCCCATTTCAAATTTCCAGACGTTACTCCCTGCGTGACAGCGAAAGACATATATATGATTCTTGTCTTCAAGATGAAAAGTTTGAACCTCACTATTACTTTAATTGCTCGATCAAATCAAAGCAATTAATTGTTTGGTGTGTTTTTTGGACAACAGGTTTTAGGGTCATTGCGTTCAAATGGTGATATTCTTTTCAACAGATTGAGCAATTTAAGGTTTTTTTTCATCCAGAAGTAGTTTATGAAATTGCCTATCCAGTCATTATATTTGGTGCTACATATTTTCTTAAATATGAAATATATATTTTTGGGGGTTTGGGTTCCGGGTTTTTTTTTAAATCATCCTGTATGTTTAAAAAGATGGCCGACAAACACAAGATCGTAAGCACTCACTTTTCTACAAGCCCGAATGAAAAACCTCAACTAACGAGTTAAGATTCTGCACCTACCTTCAAAAATGTAGGTGCTTTGATCTCTGGTGGTGGTGACGGCATCTACTCTGCCGGTGCAAGGTATATCGGGCGCGGGCGGGTTGGGGGCCATGGTCACATCGGGTCCTCCGGAGCCAATACCTGTAAAAAACAACAAAGACAGACCCAGATGTTAGATTAATTCATATTCATAAATACCTCAGACAGTTTAGCTATTCCTATTGGTCGAGAGCCCGTCACGTGGCCGGTCTTAAACGGATGATAAAGACACGGCTAGCTGGTCTTAAACACTTTTCCAGTGTCACAATAAAATGTGGACTCCTAAAAATCCAGTGCCTCTTACCGTTTCATTGGTTGAACGTTCACGGATAAGGTATTTATGAATGGGAATAAATATGTGCTCGGTCGGTATTTATCACTCTGTTTAATACCGCTTAGAGTCTGGGTGCTGATAATTACCCTCGCCTCCGGCTCGGGTAATTATCAGCACCCAGACTCTAAGCGGTATTAAACAGAGTGATAAAAACTCTCGAGCACACATTTATTCCCTTATTATAACAGACCTAGTCATTAGGCTCCGCCCACTGTGACGTGGCAAAATCACGGGCACCTCTCACGGAGGAAGTTGAAAAGCGACGAAAAATATAACTTATTACGAGAATTAACTCAGATTATTTAGGATTAAACATAGTCTTGCATTAATTTGATTTCAAAAAGGTTGCCGAGTCCGACTAAAACAAGCTTTGTGACCCGCCTAATCGAGCGCAAAGTGTGAAAATGCCGCCTTAGCGGATGCCTTATTTGCATATTACATTATGCATAAAGAGCGCGATGACGTATAGCGGAGTTGCCAAAGCAGTTTATTTACCTTTACATTAGACTAAAACCACAGAAATAAAAAAGGTAATTTATGAATGAAAACAACTTGTCTAAATATTAAAGATAAAAAAAATAATATAAACTTAATGTGTTGAAAAAATGTACTGTTTAGAAATACAAAATGGCGTCAAATCAGCGCCCCCAATCGATGGACATTGATAAAAACTGTCTTTACCGTAGTGTGCCTGGATGCCTAAAATATCATCAGAGTGCAGTTGGAAGTTTGGGACGTAGCCGGCGTAGAACGCCTCCATCAGCGCCCCCTGTACATTGGAATGACCCAATCCCAGGCTGTGACCGAACTCGTGCGCTGCCACCTGGAACAGGTTGATTCCTACAAGAAAACACAATTAATTCCGTGAATAAAGAGATGTATGAGACTTGTACAGGTTTGCATGGTATGAACTTGGGTTGCGTTTGTTTAGCTCACCCGGGTCGACACGGGTCAGCCCCGTGCCGTTCGATTAGCTCTGACGTCATTCTTGGGGCTCACCCGGGTCAGCCACCACAGACCCTGCTCATGGAGCAGAGTCACTGGTGGAAGTACGTCACGCATATGTTGTTCGTTCCCTAGAAACGGACAAATATGGCAGCCGGACAGCGGAAATCTCAAGTGGAGGTAAAAGTTTCGCACTTGACTAAAAAGCAGTAAATCTCAAACTAAGACCCAATCCGAAACGGGCGTTTTGTCAGTGGCTACGGCCACGGCTAAAGGCATCACGTGAGGATCGTGATAGCCCGCGGTTGAGCGTTCCATTAGCCCGGCTGTCGTGGCTGACCCGTCTGCCTTTACCCGTGTCGACCCGGGTGAGCTAAACGAACGCACCAAAAGTACGGAAGATTGCGCTGACACCATGTGAATATTATCTCGCTTGTAGTGAGTTGTGTGGTTCCGAGAGGAACCCGAGTTGTTCGTTGTCACTCTCCTGATGATGAACAGAGCACACTGTTCGAAAAGTCGAGTTTAAACAACCGGCTCTTCTTGGAACCACACAACTCAAAAAAGAGGTATCTGCTTCACTGTACCTAACTCAGGATCGGGGTAGAGATAAGATTCCAGTTGGTCATACCTGAGAAAGAGTTGATGGTCCACCGTTCTCCTTCGTCGAAATGAGCGTCCCCGTTCTCCGGGAAGAAAGCGTGAGCCAGGACACCACTCGGGCCGTCGAACGGGTTGCCGTCGCCGTGGTCCCGGTCGGTTGGGGAGAAGGAGATGACGATGTCGGCCGGAGTGTTGCCAGTAACTCGGGTGAAAGTCAACGGGGTGACGTCCGACCAGACCTAAAATAGCACAAGACAGAAAAAAAACATTATAAGGCAAGCCTAGTAAAAGTAATTTGTATTCAATTGATTCAGAATTGCTATTCGTGGAAGTCTTTTCATGCATCTGGTCTACACAATGGACCACATTAAGCGACAGTCAGTCAGTCAGTCAGCAGTCAGTCAGGTTAAAAAAAGGACCAGCAAATACAGGGCGAGTCAAAAAAAAAGCGAAACCCAAACCCCTAAAGTTATATTCCATATTTAAACAATAATATGTAGCACCAAACATAATAATGACTGGAAAGCCAATTTCATAAGCTACTTTTAGATGAAACAATTACTGAAATTGCTCAATCCGTTCAAACAATATATCCATTTAAACACAATGACCCTAAAACCCCTCTCGTCCAAAATAAGTCGCATGGTGACGCGGGATCCCGGTTCTATTTGGCCCGACACTTTTATGGGTCAAAGTCGACCTTCTTTTAGGTCGAAATGTCAAGTTCTCTGACTCATTTTCTGGGCCATTTAGACCTGGAAAACCTGGCTAAGAGTGTCATTTTGACCCGGAATGGTGTCAAATTTTGACCCTGAAAACTGGTCAAACAGAACACGGATCGCGGTCAAATTTGGCCAGGGATTTTTGAGAGTGTTGTATATACCTTCAGAGCTGCAACCATGGTTGCATCAACGTCGGCTCGGTTGGGGATGTCAGGGGTCGTGTTGTCGATGCGAAAGGTCAGGTCGGTGTTGCGCCATTTTGACCCAAGGGAGAACCGCTTCTTCCGTCTTGCGTCCATGGCGTGACCGATGTTGTCCGGCATGCCGCAGCGAGGCATGTTCATCTTTTCCATGGTGGGTGCATCAAGTACACCTGGGTGGAAAAAATACGATAGTCAGTGTGACACACGCCATGATAATGGGAATAGGGGAAATTAATTTCGAATCCAGCTGCTGGCCATAATGTCCTTGGGAAAGCCACTTCATCTCCACTTGCCTCTCTCCACCCAGGAGTATAAATGGGTATACCGGCATTAGCTGGGGAGTATCTGCGATAGACTGGCATCCAATCTGGGGGGAGTAGAAATACTCTCAGTCGTTTATGCTACCGAAATACGGAGATAAACGCCAGCCTGATAAGCCACATTGGCTTGTGACAGACTCATACTTTTTTACTCCCAACAGATGTTCAACTATAAGGTGCGTTGTCTTAGCGCAACCAGGGCTCTTCCCCCACAGGTACCCATTTATACTCCTGAGTGGAGAAGATCCAATTGTGGTAAAGTGTCTTGCCTAAGAACACTAGAACCATGTATTAATGCAGGCTTGAGTCAGAGAGACCGTTTTTCTGCAGCAGCTCGAGATCAGCGCAATCTGGTTTGTTCTACCCTCACAGGTACCCATTTTGAAGAGAGGCAATTGTAGTGAAGTATCTTGCCCAAGGACTCTTTTCTTTCGATTTCTCATTCAAAATTGCCTATTGTATAGCAGTAGCAATTCAAAGACAGAAATTATTTTGAGGGGTGAAGTTTGACAATAGTATAGGCATTCACAATAGGGTTTTCAAAGATAGTCTAGTACCCTAAATAAAAATCATGAAATAAATAAAATAGTTTTGCTGTATAAATTGTGCGAGTGAAACATGCCTCTTTAAATCCTTTGGATAGGATTTGGATAGTTTATATAATGACACAGGGTCAATGTCATGTACGCAGGATGTGCAGCACGAAACGTAGAAAAGGGTCACTGTTTTAAAGGGACACTTTCGTCCTAAATGCAGCTTTTGGGGTTTATAAAACGTGTTTTACACTTAAAAGAAAAGTCGGGTAAAACACTATTCGGTAACATTAGCATGAATTACCTAACTTGTTCGTACATGCAGGTAACAAAATGACCAACTATTGGGAAGAATTTACCCAAAGTATCGGCAGTTGGTATATTGCAGGTAACGCTTGCAACGCGCGCGCGTTGTCCAACGCAAATAGGACCACGTCGTTTTAGGGGGTCTGATGTGACCAACGTTTGGGTAAAATATCATTTTTATTTTATTTTATTTTATTTTTTATTTACGTCATCTTTACGTCATCATCCGATCAGTGCAGGGTACTGCTTTCCATGGAGGCCCTCAATATGAGAAAAATATGAGACCCATTATGTAGCACCTTTAAGGTGCTGCGGCGCATATTGCAGCCACTGCCAGAAACACCGGGGCAAACCCCTTCTCTTAGCGATAAGTGTTACTGCATGTCTTTAACGTGCATTACACAACACACGGGACCTACGGCTTTACGTCCCATCCGAAGGACGAAGCAATAATGGTTAAGTGCCTTGCTCAAGGGCACAAGTGTCCGGGCCCGGGCTCGAACCCACGCCACTGTTGCCTCTGAAACACCAGAGCATGAGTCCGATGTTCTTAACCGCTAGGCCATGACACTCCACATATCAGCCTATTTCGTTTAGGATTGTGTAACGAAATGATGACAGTTAGAAAAATCGGTAAAGCATGGAGGTAGAATCTCCATGGTTAAAATTACACAACACCTAGACAATTTGCGGTCTCCCATTTCCTAATTGTAATAATTATAATTACGGAACAAGAAGACGATTTGGTGTTTACATTGACCTTTAAAAAAAATATGTCCTCGAACACACCCATTACATCAACACCAGTAAATTCAAGATTCAACCAGTAAATTCAAGTACACCGAACGGATGTCAGCTGCAATACCGGCCCACTTCCTCTTCAGGTATTACACAACACTGAAATCAACTTCCGTGTAGATAGAGTGCACCGATGAACACTTTCAACGGATACAAACGAATAACCTTCAGAGAGTATTTTAATGATACGTTGGTTGAAGACACAGTTCAACACAAGGGTCTTGGGTTTGACATGTTGGGTCTGAAATTAAATATTCCGACTTTGTATTTTCCTTCCATTTGTTCAAACAACAAAAGAGCGAAATTTGAACCCCTGCTCTTCATCAGGATTCGGTTTTGTTTTTCTTCTAAGAAATTTAATTTTCAGTTTGTCAGTTTAATTCTTATCAAAAACGAAGGCTCTTAACTCAACTGTGGGCGTGTCTGCCACCCTCTGAAAAAGGGGTGTGTTCCGGTGTCACATGAAAATCCGACTCCTATGAAAATCGGACCCCTATTTCCCTACTATTGGTTGATCCCTCGCACGTGACAGGTCACTCTCCCGAAACGATCCTAAAAATAGCATGGTATCGTACTCACGCGTGCGCAGTACTACCAATGAGTCCACATTTCATGGAGTCGGATATTCACGCTACACCGGGTTGCCATTGCGCTTCACAAAAGCTCGTATTGTGTACAAAATGTACAAACTGCGCCTGAATGTTTGTCGGGCTAAATAATTCACAACTCGCTTATTTTCGGTTTGAAAATTCGAATGTAACAGGGACGGCAACTTTAAAGTCAAAAAGAAATCAATACAAACTGCAAATAATGACCACCAAAAACCGAATTGCATTAAATTGTTTGTTTAACTCTGTCGTTCCTATTTCCTGTCCATTTTCCGTTTAGCTCAGTACAATCACCCTCTGTCTTGTAGTTAGTGAAGTATTGTAAAAACAAACAAAAAGAAGTAAATCCGAGGAAATATAGAATAAATTAGAGATGTCTGTTCCATGAACAAGAAATAATGTGTTTTGTTGGATGCAGAGATTTTGATCAGAGCCCGAGGTTCCCTAAGTTTTTTCAGTTTAGCACTATGAGCACAGCGCACACTGAACACGAAGCAAAGCCAGGAAGTAATCCCCAAGGTGAGCCGATAAGCAAAAAGTACAACCAAAAGATAAACTCATCAGGGTTTGTTGACGGCTAACGACCGGAGCATTTTCCTCTAAATGGAGAGTTGTTTGGCCCGGACATTTGAAGGTTGGTAGAAATGAATGATTCAGGCTGTGCACCGGTCTTTGAACTTGTTTATTTGGGGTGAAATGAGACCTGAAAGTCGGACCATTTTGCAATGCAGTGGAGGGATCATCTTTCAAAATGGCGTTGGGCCTCTGGAATGCTTTGAGGAGTGATCATATTTGAAGGGGAAAATTACCCAAAAGTCATTGGTTAACCTCGGTAAATTGACCAGAAAGAGAAAGAGGGTAAATTAAGCTTTAATTTGATGTATAATTGAACACCTTGGAGAGTTTGTGAGTATTTTTCATTACAGTAAAGCTACTACTTACATTGAAACAAAGTCCCAACTTTTATTATTAGGCCTGTCACTGCACTAACAACACATTTTTAGACCGCTCCGCTAATTAGCCCCGCCCATTGATCTCCATATACTGTGTATATGGAGATCAATGGCCCCGCCCAGTGCAGTGATGAATAAAAAGTCTTTTTATTCTTTATCTATGTGTCCGACGTGCGCGCGTGCACGCGCATGTGACGAGCGCGCCTGTAACATGCAAATTAGGACAGGCACGCGCGCGTGTTGGCCACGTGTACGCAGTGGGCGGGGCATATAATGGATCAGTCCATTGTTCGCAAACTCACCGGTTTGTGTCAAGTTGCCCATGAATTGGAAGTCCAGTATCCCTTGTCGTACCTCATCCTCATCCATACCAGTCCCGTCATTCGTCTGTCTTTTTAAGTAGCCGAAGTAGCTCAGATAAGTCTGTCAAATTCAAGAAAAAAAACGTATAAATTTTGGAAAAACTTTGGTGCTTCAATTTGGCTAGTGTGAGCATAAAACCTGGGAAATATTGGAACTAAGTAGGGCCTTTTAAAAAAAATTTCATTCATTTTTGAGCTTTTGTAGTTCTTCCTTGGTTGATTTGCGTATATTCTTTTCAAATTGACTGACATCGAATTAAAGAAATTATCGTGTATATAGGGCGGAGTTGCCGTGTGACATTGTACGTCGTTTCCCTTGCCGTCCTTATTAAATTACTATTAGTTAAAAGTATTTCTGGTAATGAAACCAATGATTCCTCAAAGGTGCCCTAGGCACTGTAGCTCGCAAGCCTGAAGAAACCCGCAGGAGAGGAGACAATGAGAAGAAGTTACAGTTTTAGAGGTGGGAGGAAAACCCCAGAAGAATATTCTGGGGAAACCCACGAAAATCAGGTAGGGACTGAAAACCCAATCCATATAATGACACGGGCGGGATTCGAGCCCGGGTCACAGCGGTGGAAGGCGAAGAAAGTACTGCTATGCTAGTGCTATACGCGGACTACCCATTGTACGACCCTCCATTGTGTACACAATACTCCCTGGTGACGATTGTTCGGTCAGTTTATTTCCTGATAGGACTCAAGAGATCTTAACAGGAAACGTGCATGAAAAGAAACTTGACAAGGTGCTGCTAAGCTCTAGACTATCTTAAAACCCGGAAATAAGTCATCTGATAAAATAATCAACCCTTTTACAAAACATTATAATAGGCTAGGCCTACGGTATTAATTGCGTCAGAAATCTTCATTGCTTGTTTTTCTGCACAAAGTGCATGGATATACTTATATACGGAAGCCGTTACTCATGTTCAAAGGGCTATAGTTACCGAAATCCAATGTTACATTAATAATAATAATAATAATACCTGGATTGGACATTTGGGAGACATCCCCATAGACTTGTGCACAACATTTTTCAAGCTTAAATGTGCCCTAACCCAATATTCCCTTGTCCTTATTCCACGGATTTCGGTATGTTTACTCATTAGACCACGAGCAACAAATATAATCTAATTGCGACGGCAAAATTTTGCCTGTAACATAATGTGACAGATGTCTCCCATCGTTCGAAGAAATTACGATACCGTGTCTTCTTAATGTACCTTTACACGTATAATAACAGGTTTGAGTAGCGCTTTCAGTTCAAGATCAAAGCGCTTTATATTATTATTACCCCTGATTATTGGGCCAAATGAAACATTCTTAAAGACATAAATGGGAAGTATAGAGCTCGATGTTGCCACTTCGTCGCAAAGCAGCTAGAATCAATCACTATGTCCATCTCTGCCCTCACAGGTACGTATTTTACTCCTAGGTGGGGATAAGCAATGAGTGACAAAGTGCCTAGCCCAAGGGCACACGTACAACCCGAGACTGGACTCGAACCCACAACCTGCAGAATTACCCACAGATCACGAATTCAATGCTCTAGACCACTAAGGCCACGGCACTCCACATTTGCGAAACAATGCAAGGTTTTTAATTCGGCAAGCGAACTGGTTCAATAACTTGACAGGACAGACATTCGTTTGTTCAATTGTCCATGATATTGTTGTTTTCATGTAATATATTTAGTTCCTAAAACATGCTCTGCCTTCCTTATATTGTTTATTTAAATCCTAATCTTGGAAAGAGATTTCCTCTTTTCTTTCTTAGTCACCCTGGAGTATTTAAAAATGGAAGTAAAGTCCGAAAACCATTTGGTTGTTCATGTTCCGCAGTGGCCGACGTCCATGAATAAAAATAGCAACAGCGGTCCGAACTGTTAAACAGCCTCATTTCCAAAAATGGAAACAAAATGAATGGAAACAAACGCAATCAACAGCCAACAATCCTATTCTTATCTTAGTCCTAAACAGTTAAACGAAAAACATACAAAAAATAAATAACATAATCAATATTTTTGTTTCGTGCTTACCATAGCATCAAAGTCATTCTCCACGGGCCGGGAGTGAATAACCGTTACAGCACTGGCCAGCAGTGCCGTCAAAAGTAGCGTAAGCCCCGTCATCGTCACAGGCCGTTTCACGCTGACCCGGTGCAATTTTTCAACTTGAGGTGGTGGAAATGTTTCTAAAAACAACTGTTCTTTTTACGCCGCCAGCAGCATTTGATACCCTGCCAAGAGTCTCGGGCTCTTTTTATGTGTTGTGTGAACGTGCTTTGTCACTGTGATGACGTAAGACGATGAACGCGCTGGCGGCTGACTTCCTTTCTCGATATTGGCTGATGCGTGCGTGAAGTTTGTGGTCGCAGGGATTTTGCTTGACCAATGAGAGAGCAGTTCGAAGCGATTATACGCGGGTGGTTGAAAGCACGATTGTTCAGGGCTAACGATGATTAGACATCCAGTTACCTAACATTACCAAATTTGGTTTAAGGTCGTTTCTTTACACGATTTCCTTTCGAGTATGAATAATATTGGTCTTTCAGACAACTCATAATGCCCTCGAGTTGTCAAAAACCACAACATCACGGGCAACATGCCATAAAGTCCAAGATTTGCCTTGTCATGCAAAAAAACAAAACAGCCAAAAAATCGCAGAACAAGACACATTATTTATTGCGGGAAGGATACACGAAAGCTTCAGAAACTTAAAAATGTAATAGGGTAAAATCTATTTCGTTTCGTGTAGAATTGTAATTGATGTAACACGCTACTTGTGTCGCGTACACACCTTTATAAATTATTTCCACAACCAAAATCGCAAGAACCGTGAGCCTACGTAAATATACAGTTGGATGAAAGTTATCACAGTTGTCAGAAAAAGAAAAGGTTATTTTTTCAGCGGCATTGGATTGGGTGTCAGCAAAAATGTCGCTGCTGAGTGCTGACTTTCTTGTTTTCTTTTCAAAGCAAATTGAAAGCGAAAGCTGGGTTTATGTTCTGCAAAACAAAAGGCACGTGTTGTCAATGTGCACATTACAATGTTTCCGCACGGCTTCGCATATTTAAAGGTACTGGAATCGTTTGCTCTTTGCGACATGTTTTCATTTGAAGCAAAAATAAAATGCTCAAAATCTGAATTGACGTAGGTGCAAAACAAATAACCTATTGAAGTTTTAGTTGCTATCCTTAGTTTTGAGAAAACATAGAAAAGAAAAAGTTTACATTTTAGGGGCGAGTTTTGCTGCTAACTCAGGTTTAAAAAAGTGTGTCCGCTGACACATTTTTTAAAACAACATTCGTTGATTGTTTTCTTTCGATCAAAACCATTTCTGGTGGGATAATTCCACGGGGTATACTTTGAACCACTTTGGACAAGTTTTCGTTAATCAGCATGTACGTTTCCGGGTTCTCATCAATGTTCCCATGCGACTTTAAAGGGGTTGTTGATAATATTGTTAGTCATTAACGATGAGTCATTACCTCAAAAACCTCAGTTCACATTTGAAGACTTTACCGTGCCTCGTCTGAATCTATGTTTCGAAAGGGGGGTGGGGCTGAACGTCATTTGACGCTAGGGGCGCTCTTCTTTCCCTTTTTCTTATCTCTTTTATTATTGATATTTCACAAATGCGGAAAATAATGTAGCATCAATTAAAAATCACTCTTCTTCAATCCTCTTTTAGTTCAAGTTCTAAAACTATTGATACTTGTATGGGAGGGGCGTGGCCTCCGTAGGCCCCCCCCCCCATTTTAGGAACATCAACAGAAATTACTCATATATTGATGCATCGCAAAACAGCCCAGCAATTTGCACATCCAAAAGAAATCCGCTAATTCTTCCACGAAACGACAGTAGGAGACATTCCAATAATTATGCAAGCCCACTGTTTTCTGTTGTCTGGAGATACCCCCAGCGACGTTTTGGTGTCTCCTGGTGCCCAAATGCCAAGTTCAAGTCCAACAACACAACATTAACCAACAATGGGGTGAAATTTCAGGTGGACTAAAAGGCTGTTATTGTTCGTACAAGACTGGTTGTATGAAAATGAACCGGTGTGATGTACAATTTTGAATCTGTGAAATTCGGGGTCATTGACTGCATTACGCATGCCCTAGTGAGCACACAGGACGGTGACAGGTCACGTGTGACGGTTACAGTTCATATAAGGTAAAATAGACCAGATTTCTAAGGAGTCCAATGGTCATAGGACACCCGGACCGGTTTTCTTTTTTAGATTCCCGTGACAATGAAGTCTTGGCACTGCGGTGCCATGTACTTCCGTATCTGGTGCCGTATGGCGTCACATTGTGACTGCTTCAGACTCAGCCACGCACGCACCACGCAGACAACGCATTTACGTTCGGTTTACAGACTACGCATTTGATGTCTTTATTTTTTTTTTTAAAGATGTACTGTCCATAAAATATATAAAAATTAATCTTTTTAAATTCTTTTCCACGGCAATAAAAAAGACATTCACTTCGAATTGAGGCATGGAACAAACTACGAAAAAAAACTACATTTAGTTATTGAATTATTAAGTCAGAAGTATACCAACAATAAGTATTTAGAAATTTCTTAATCAAGACATTCACCTTATATTAATCCAGAATGAAAACCTTTTTGTTTGGGGGCGGGGCGCGGCGGGAAAGAGGGTATCTTTTTTCAGCTAAGAAAAACAAAAAGGAAAACTCAAATTTGGTGAATTTAGCTGTAAGCTATACACCATTTTGCTTTAAAACAAAACTACCAGCTCACAGTTTTGTTATAAAAAAAGGACAAAAAGTTTCCTTTCTAATCAATTCATAACTTCGGTCTATAAAACATTTTGTCAGCCCTCCCCACCCCCCCCCCCGGCATGTCAAGAGCCAACCAAAATAGTGACACTAAACACGGCTCATCATCTAAAGCGATGACGTCATCTTGAATAAAGACACTGATTATCACCAGAAACAATACAGACGTGTTCATTCGTGACGTCACATGAACATGAAGAGTGACGTCATCAGTACAGAGGCTTATTAATCTTGGAAATGTGAGGCAATGTTTACCTTTCCGCCATCTTGAAATCAGGTGACTTGTAGCACGACTCGTCTGGTGCAAGAATATACTCCCGCTCCGACCGTGTAGGCATACTCTCCCCCAACCCTCTCCCGTACCTACGGGTCGACTCTTTCTGTTCGTACGCTGAGGGGGTATGTGATCCGAGTTGCCCACTTTTTGTGATTGCAGTGGCTGTCCACCATTACTGGGTCGTTTTGAAGCTCATTTGGTAATTCCCACACTGCAAAAATCTCCAATGGCGTGTGCAGCTGAGCTTCGCAGAACGCACGTGCAATGGGCGGTTAGGCGTGGAAGCGTCTCAGATATGGCGAACAGACTTAACGTGTACGATTTAAGACAGAGCACGTCCACTGGACCTAAAACATGCCTTAAATAATCTCTCAATCTCTAAATCCTGAGATTCCGGGAACACAAAAGTTCCCCCCCCCCACGTCGCATATCTTTCTTCAAATGTAACAAAACCTTAATTCCCAAATCGGATTATAATAGGCGCAGGTGCATACCACTAAATAAATTCCTATAAACGCCACTGCTAAAACCCCACTTTAAAAAATCGGGAATTTACTTCTTCCAGGTGTTCTAGATTTACGTCAAATCAAAGCCTGATAAAACCTCTTTCACCAACCGTTCGTTTTTTGTAGGGTTGACCGATGACGATGACTTTTGAGTGATCCCAAATAAAGATGACCACCCCTAAGAAGCGGTCATGAAGCCCATCGCCATTTTGAAAAAAAAATGATCCCTCCACTGCCTTGCCATAAGTAGAGCGACTTTTAGTTCAATTCCATCCCAAATTTCTCAGAAATACGAGTTCAAAGGCAGGTTCAGAGATAGGACCCTTCATTTCTACAAACCTTTGAGTGCAGGGCCCCAAAACTCTCCATTAAGGGGGGGGGGGAGAAATGGCAGTCAACCTGCGTACTGGCCTGGTTACTGTGGTCTGTAACCACAGCTCACGGATTATTCACACCGTACTTGTCCTATATCGTGAATGACACATCCTGAGTTTCCCATTGGTTGAACACCGCACCATGATGATATCAAACCCATGGAGGAATATTCATCCACACTTGCCGTAGGCTCGTACAAGGGAAGTAGTACACGCAATTGAAACAAACATGAGGCTATTTATCAGATCTCCCGCTGCCTAACATGGAGTTGCAATAAAAAGAAAAGTGAATTAAGCAATTTGAAACAAAGTGTGGTACGTGTCGAAGGGGGGGGGGGGGCGTCTAAACCCCTCTTCGGCTGCAAACCCTGCTTTTCAACCCCCCCCCCCCATTCATACGAAAAAATGGATCTGCCCCTGAAATGTACGCATACACAAATTGTAACACTTCAAAATACAGCATAATTACGATCCCTAATTTATACAGAAACAAGTTGGGTGTTGTGATTTATGGAATCCCTACACCTTCGGTGAATGTGGCTCCGACAGTTTTCACACATTAACAGGAGTAGAAAGTCGCACAAAATGTGCTCCTAAGAAAAATGTATTCCACGAACCCTTTAAATCATTGAGCCACTGCAAGGAAGTACTTTTAAAACCTTACGGGATGGCCCCATTGTTATTGCAAAACATTCCGTGGTATTTCCCAATTCCATAATTAGAATGAGCAACCAAAACATTTCAAGTGAATGGGGCCACGAAAACATTTCACTGAAACCGCGTGTTTCGTTTGTCTTCTTTAAAGGGAAAATACAACATTTGCAAACATCAAAAAATAAAACTACCAAATCATTTTGAAATACCTTGCTGGACTGTTAGTGAATGACAGTGTAAAGCATCCTGTAAAATCATGGCACCTGGTATACTATCATTTTCAAGAAAAGTGGTATTTTTGTATCAATTTCCAACGCTGGTCGGCCGACCAGCGTTGGAAAAAAACTGGCTTTTCAAATACTTGCCCCAATTGACCATCACACTCTCCCGCTTTTCTCCCCCAATGAATTTTCAACTCAATACACGTTTTATTTTAAAGATCGAAACTACCTGGCTTTGTTGTGGTTATCTTTGCACAAAAAGAGGTCCACTTGTGGTACTGGTTCCCGATCCCTGTATTGTAGATGCTATACAGGGGCGGGAACCAGTCGAACTTAATTGATGGTGAGCCACAAATAATTTGGAATTTGTAAAACAATATTTTCCACAACTAAAATCCGGCAGATTTTTTCCCCGTTTGATGCCGTGTTAACAAAGGAATAACATTTGAATTGTTTAAAAATAGCAATCTAACAAAACAAAATCTATACTTTGCGCTAAAACTTTAAAATAGAAAGGACCGGTACATCTTTACAAGAGTCTTACATTAACCTTTAAGGAGATGATAGTTAACAAGGGGAAGACATTGGTCATCAGGATACATTTTGGGTCTCCCTAATGCTTAAACTACACCATTTCTAAAACTAGCAAAATGCTTTAAAATGGTTCATTAGGTCGACAATAGTATAGGCTAAATTAAACAGTTTGGAGGGGGTATGGAATATTGGAGTGTTTTCGTTGTTTTCAATTTCTGCACAAGCAAGGGCGGATCCAGGGGGGGGGGCAAAAGGGCCATGCCCCCCCCCCAAAAAAAAAACCCGAAACCAAATTTTTTTTTTATGTGACGTCGCAATAAAGGCAGGCAATGAGTACACCACCATCTTTTCCTCAAAAAAACATTGGCTAAAGTGGTCAGAAATTGCCTCAGATCGCACCACAGAGCATCGAGAATCCAAAAAAATGTCGGGGCCCTTAAGCGGGCCCCGAACCCCACGCCGTAATTTTTTGACCTACTTTTTGGGGGACACAAATTTTGTTTGCCCCCCCCCCCAAAAAAAAATTTGTTCTGGATCCGCCCTTGTGCACAAGTCTATGGAAAGGACTCCCTGATGTAACCCTTTCGGTAATTTAATATAATCAAAGAAATGAAGGGCCCAAATTGGAAACAAAATCCTATTTTGTTTGGAAGTTGAATATTCGGTATCGCCAGAACAGCACATCCCTTTACTTCCTGCAGTCAGAAACGTACTATTTAGTACAGCGTGCATATAACGTGTCCAACGGGAACAATTGGCAGGATATCTGCACAGTTTCCAGTTGCAACAGAGTGCGCTCATGATGTTGCAGATTGCGGGGTGCACATCCGATGCTTTGATCTTTGCAATGTCCGCTGATTATTGGGATTGATCCAGTGGTCAGTTGGCCAACGGTTAGTTGGTCAAACCATGGTGAAGTTGGCCACTATAGGTAGTCGGTCAGTCGGTCAGTAAAGTCCATCATAATATCACGAGCCAAGGGCCCAATTAGGCGGTGTTTCTCGCCAGTGTCAGTGGCATGAAAATAGCTGAGAATATTTCTATTCCCCCTGGATGGGATGCCAGTCCATCGCAGGTTACTCCCCAGCTAATGCCGGTACCCATTTATACTCCTGGGTGGATGGAGAGAGGCAAGTGGGGTTAAAGTGGCTTGCCAGAGGACACAATATATGACCAGCAGCTGGATTCGAACCTCTGACCCTCTGATTATGGGTGGTGAGAGGCAAGCGGGGTGAAGTGGCTTGCCCAAGGACACAACATATAACCTGCAGCTGGGTACGAATCCCTGACCCTCTGATCATGAGTCACAAACCCTAACCACTAGCCACACACCCCCTCAGTCGGTCAGTAGATTAGTGTATTTGTCTGTACCGGCGAATCCAAAGCCAAATTTTGGGGTAAAATTAGTCATTTCACCCAACGTTGATTAAATTTAACCAACGTTGAGCAAGATTAACTATTTCAACCAACCGTTGGTTACCAGGTGAACAGCCCAACAGTTTGTTTAAAAGTTGGTTAAAAAAATACGAACACATTTTACCCAACGTTGGGTAAAAATCATTCGTCGAATGGGAAACATTTACACGATGTTGGTTAAATTTCAACCAACTTTTCTTAACCAACCAAATTTTAACCAACGTTTGGAGAGTGTATATCGTCATGTACTGTACATGTATAGCATACATATTATTTGTGTTCTGTGTATCACAAACGCACACAATAATATTAGCCTGCAATCGGGGACCCTATTGTTGTCCCTCTTTTGTTTGTACATTTAACTTTTTAGGAAGACTTCACATAATTATGTTTTGTATACGATCGCCAAATTGGGACCTTTATGCAGTTAAAACAAACTCATAGAATTGTGTCTCCGTTTTGTCCATAATTTCTTAATGTTTGATCAATGAAGGTTTTTACACAGAGGTTTGCAAAATGAGGTAGGCCTATACAAAGTACAGAACGCATTGCGAGTTTGCAACCTTGAGGGGGGGGGGGGGGTTGTTAGTTTTGTGATTCGAATTCCGATAAAACTGTAGCCCGAAGGAAACCACAGTCAAGGTGTTCAAACTGTTGCTTCCGACCTCCGTACTTTTTTCTTTCAGAAAATGAAGAATCAGTTCTGGTGACAATTGAATTTTGCAGATCGCACTGAGAATCGGACGATATCCGGAAAATATCTATCCTTGTAAGATTTCCATGAATTGGAATTTGATTTTACCATGACGTCACAAAGGCAAACGATAGCCACTGTGTCAACATGCACAGTGAACCAGACCAACAATCCGCTATTTGACCGTCAGTTTGGTGCCTGCGAACCGCCGCCATCATGGTATGGTTTCCTGTCTCTGCCGTTCAAGGTCGTAGTGGCACCGCGCCGACTGGATGATTAACGTCTGCACTTTGATATCTCAAAACAAAAACCACCTTGACATGAACTGCATGTCAATTTTTATTTTTGGTAATGAAACCAAGGATTCCTAAAAGTGCCATAGGCACTGTAGCTCGCAAGCCTGAAGAAACCTGTAGAGAGAAGACAATGAGAAGAAATGACAGTTTTCGAGGGGGGAGGAAAACCCCAGAAGAATATTCTGGGGAAACCCACGAAACCTGGACTGAAAACCTAATTTAGTGGGCCAGGCCAGGATGCGAACCCAGGTCATAGAGGCCGCAAAGGAGAGGGACAGTTGCTGAAGCTGCCTCAACTCCATCTAACAGAAGTTTCGTTGGGAAATTAAAGAACTTTTTGCACCCGGAAATACCCGAACCGTCGCGAATATATCCGATCGTCAGGTGGTAAAGCCACCGTGACGGTAGAGGGCGGTATATCAACAACACAAAAGTTCGATCCAACCTCGTTTGCAGAGTTTTCATTCAACCTCGAGGCAATATTTGGGTTGCAGACCAGTAAATAAACTGCCATAGATAAATGCCCCCACTTCAAAAATTCAGGAAAAATACTCACAACTCTCCAAGGTATTCGAGACACACATCAAATTAAAGCTAATTTCATCATCATTCATTTTCTTTTCAATTGTCGGGGGGTTAACTGGTGACTTTTCTGAGAAATTTCCATCCGAAGATGATCACCCCTTAAGTTGGTCCTGAAGCCTGTCGCCATTTTGAAAAAAGACGCCTACGCTCCATTGCAAACTAGAGCGCTTTTAGGGCTCCAATTTCATCCCAATTGCACAGAACTACAAGTTCACAGTCCTGTGCACGGCTTCCACCCATATTTTTTACAAACCCTCAAGTTCATGGCCCACAATATGCCCAAATAACGAAGAATTTGAGGGCATGCACATCGTGATTTGGCCGGCGTGGGCAATTTTGGACCGATTTACTGGCCTGCAACCTTTAGACTAGTCTGGTTCCCTCATCGGGAAAAGTCAGAATCTTTTGGTCTTGGAACCAGACTACCTTTAGACCCGTGTTGCCCTCGCAGAGAAACAGTCTTGGTTCCAGATCTTTTCATCTTTTTCTTTTCCCTTGCATTTTTTTTCTCGAGAAAACAGCTGTAGTCCTGTAAATTGCGCCCTCTGTTGATGGAATATCCTTATTTACGAAAGTGTATATAAATGCATGCGTAACAAACACCAGATAACAACGTCTTGAACCAAGACTGTGTCGGAGAATAAAAAAAATCTGCATGAGTACATCTTTCCACACCTGCGGGCGCACAAATGGAATAACCCTCATGAATATTTATAGAAAGTTATTTTTTAGGGACTTTTATTAAAGCATAGGCGCAAAAACAGTGAGATAGCGTAACGTTCCATATCAGTAAATAATTGTGCGGCGATTTAATTGAAGTAACTTTGTCATTTGTAGATATCGCTTTCGAGTTTCATTTATGGAACATGATGGAATTTTCCATTAGAAGAAACGGTAAAGGAATTCAAAATTTAAAGAAAAACTAAATCGTTTCATTTCGTAATTATCTAGTTATTTGTTTTCATTGCTGTTGTATCAATACCCAAACAAATCTCAATTCTACATTTTCAGACATTATATCTGATTAAAGAGCTGAACCCAGTGGGGACTATTGGACTGAAAATATTTGACGAATATATACAACCTACACAAAATGTGCGGCTTTTTAATCAATTGATTAATCATGCATGCTCGCGCGCATTCCCTTCAGAAGGCTGCAATGAAAGTAATGTAACAGCAATGTGGTTGTGGTATATAGCTTTATATACTTTCACAGATACCGATCTATACTCTTGGGCAGAGAGAGGCAATTGTAGTAAAGTGTCTTGCCCAAGAACACAGGCACCATGTATTGCTAGTGCACAAGAACTGGAGAGACCAGTCTTCTGCAGCAGGCAGAAACTAGCAGCTCGAGATCAGCGCAAGGCGGGTCTCTACCTTCACATACTCCTGTGTAGATGGAGACAATTGTGGTAAAGTGTCTTGCCTGAGACAACAAGCACCCTCAACCCTTTCAGTGTGTGAACTTAATTTTCATTGTGGGTGGAGCGAGAATATTGTAGTAAAGTGTCTTGCCCAAGACCACAAGCACCCTCTACCCCTTCACGATGTGCACTCACTTTGCATTGTGGGTGGAGAGAGACAATTGTAGTAAAGTGTCTTGCCTAAGAACACAAGCACCCTCGACCCCTTCAGGATGTGCACTCACTTTGCATTGTGGGTGGAGAGAGACAATTGTAGTAAAGTGTCTTGCCTAAGAACACAAACACCCTCGACCCTTTCAGAGTGTGAACTCACTTTGCATTGTGGGTGGAGAGAGACAATTGTAGTAAAGTGTCTTGCCTAAGAACACAAACACCCTCGACCCTTTCAGAGTGTGAACTCACTTTGCATTGTGGGTGGAGAGAGACAATTGTAGTAAAGTGTCTTGCCTAAGAAAACAAGCACCCTCAACCCCTCCAGGGTGTGAACTCACTTTGCATTGTGGGTGGAGAGAGACAATTGTAGTAAAGTGTCTTGCCTAAGAACACAAGAACCCTCGACCCCTTCAGGATGTGCACTCACTTTACATTGTGGGTGGAGAGAGACAATTGCAGTAAAGTGTCTTGCCTAAGAACACAGATACCCTCCACCCTTTCAGAGTGTGAGTCGCTTTGCATTGTGGGTAGAGCGAGACAATTGTAGTAAAGTGTCTTGCCTAAGAACACAAGCACCCTCGACCCCTTCAGAATGTGCACTAACTTTGCATTGTGGATGGAGAGAGACAATTGTAGTAAAGTGTCTTGTCTAAGAACACAAGTACCCTCCACCCTTTCGGAGTGTGAACTCACCTTGCATTGTGGGTAGAACGAGACAATTGTAGTAAAGTGTCTTGCATAAGAACACAAGCACCCTCGACCCCTTCAGGATGTGCACTCACTTTGCATTGTGGGTGGAGAGAGACAATTGTAGTAAAGTTTCTTGCCTAAGAACACAAGCACCCTCAACCCTTTCAGAGTGTGGAGTCACTTTGCATTGTGGGTGGAGAGAGACAATTGTAGTTAAGTGTCTTGCCTAAGAACACAAGCACCCTCGACCCTTACAGAGTGTGAACTCACTTTGCATTGTGGGTGGAGAGAGACAATTGTAGTAAAGTGTCTTGCCTAAGAACACAAGCACCCTCAACCCCTCCAGGATGTGAACTCACTTTGCATTGTGGGTGGAGAGAGACAATTGTAGTAAAGTGTCTTGCCTAAGAACACAAGAACCCTCGACCCCTTCAGGATGTGCACTCACTTTTCATTGTGGGTGGAGAGAGACAATTGCAGTAAAGTGTCTTGCCTAAGAACACAAGTACCCTCCACCCTTTCAGAGTGTGAGTCGCTTTGCATTGTGGGTAGAGCGAGACAATTGTAGTAAAGTGTCTTGCCTAAGAACACAAGCACCCTCGACCCCTTCAGAATGTGCACTAACTTTGCATTGTGGGTAGAGCGAGACAATTTTAGTAAAGTGATTAACCATGCATGCTCGCGCCCTCAACACAAGCACCCTCAACCCTTTCAGAGTGTGGAGTCACTTTGCATTGTGGGTGGAGAGAGACAATTGTAGTTAAGTGTCTTGCCTAAGAACACAAGCACCATGTTCCCAACAGGGTTTGTACCCACGTACCACGGCACGCGAGTTGAAAACAGTAACTATTTGACTCAAGCCCCTGACCCGATGCACTTCCAAATAAGATAAGATGGAACTAGACTTTTGTTTACTTTGTAGAATTAGCAGCGCAGATGGCTGGTTGTATTTCCAAAACAAAACTGCAAGATAATAAATATTTAAGAAAAAAATTGTTTATTAGGTGCGGTTCCCTCAAAAGAATTGAACAGCGTAATGTATCTTTCCATAAACTAAAGTCTTGAGTTACAACGAATCACTCGTTTGTCGGAGGTTTCAAATGTTATGGACGCGAGCATTCTAGGGTAGCCTATTTGCCGGCTGACTATTGGCTGCCATGAGCAGGCGCGTATCCAGGGGTGGGGGGACACCTATATAGGCTTCCCGATTCGACCGGATTCTCATTCCGATGGTCACCGAGTGAAAAATCATTTTGTCATCAGTTCCAACAAAAAGCTGCATTGAGTAAGTGGTCTCTCCTTATACTTTATTTTTGTGTGTAAATGTTTCAGCTGGTCAGCTTAAACTCCTCTTTGCACCAATCTGACTGACTGACTGACTGACTCCCCGACTGACAGTCACTTGTGAATTAGACTAGCATAAGTCTCACCTTAGTTAATAAAAGTTTGACTTTGCTGGTCGAGTGCCAGCCTACGATCTTCTTTCTACCTTGTATCGCACAAACTGACTGACTGACACTCCGATCCAGAGTTACTGACGGACAGACAGACAGACTGACAAACTGACTTGACTGTCACTTGTGAATTAGACTTGCATACGTCTCACGTTCGACTAGTTTACAAAGCTGACTATACCCACTGACCCCGGTCCTAAATGTAAGACCAGCTTTACTAGACTTGTTCAGTCGTGTTACTTATATTCGTTTGAACCACCCCACGTTGATGAGCTTGTCCATACCAGTCAGCCAATGATTCAAGTTTATGCGCGCATGCGCCAAAGGCGAGCTTCTGATTTAAAAAGCACAACATATACAATTAACCACATGTTTGTTTTATCTCGTTGGAATTTCAGACTAAATACCGCCAAGATGAAGGTGTACGTCATCTTGACTTTTCTTGCGTGCGTTGGATTTGCGCTTTCTCGAGGTGAGGCCTTAACCTTCAAAATTGAGATATATTCCTGGAGGGATGAATAAGTCCGAGTAATTTTGACCCTACCACCTTGACTAAAGTTTCATTGTCATGTTGACCCTGAAAATCAGCAGGTCAAACAGAAACTGGATTCCCTGTCAACTCTGATCTGAGTAAAAACAAAACTTTTGACACAGTTTCTGGGTCAAGATGAGCCGGTGATGATATAAAGCAAAGTGTCATATTGACCCGGAGAAGTGACATATTGGCCCGGAAAAGTAGCAGGTCAAACAGAAACTGGACTCCGAGTCAGATCTGACCTGGTCAAAATGAAACTGTCGTCAGGGATTCTGGGTCAAGATCAAGCGATCTAGAGAAGTGTCATATTGACCCTGTAAACTGTCATTTTGACCCTGGAAAATTGTCATTTTCGACTCGAGTATCAGGTCAAATAGAAACTGAACTCCGGGTCAAATCTGATCCGGGTCAAAATAAAACCTTCGTAGGGGTTTCTGCGTCAGGACAATCCGAAACGATCTAGAGAAGTGTCATTTTGACCCGAAAAATTGACTCTTTGACTCGTTTTTATAGTGCGGCTTAAACTAGCTAACTGTGGGTCATACTATAAATTAGGGTTCCAAAGTGTGACTTTTTCCTGTCCATGTTACCTTGATACTTTGTAAAACGACCTCAATGACCCATGCTCCTGCAAATTTCACCTTAGAAAAATTGACTATTTTTTCAATATTTATTTTCCTCCCAATATACAAGTTTCATACTTTAGAATGAGCAACGACCGAAATAAAACCATTTTGCTTTGAAGGATTCTTGCACTAAAAAAAAAGCTCATTGATCGGGCTTTTATATCCTAAGTTTTACAGGTGCTCAGGCAAAACTTCATTCGAAAATTGGTCCCGTCATTTGGGTTTCGTTTTTTTTTTTTTTTACTCGCCCTGTAGATCCGCGCTGCAATGATCCCATCGTAAGAGGACGGTGCACGCGGCACTTCGAAGTCTTCGGTTATAACTCACTGGCCCAATCGTGCGTGAGTTTCATCTACGGAGGCTGCAACGGAAACGGCAACCGATTTGAAACCATGGAGGCGTGTAGGAAGAAATGCCAAGGTATATAGATCTTTGGCCTGGGCGAAAGTGGCCTTTTTTCTTTAAAAAAAAAAATTCGCAATGTTATTTGTCTCTTGTTTATTTCGTCCTAGAGTTGCTTGCTCACGGCCTTTTCTATATACATGTAATTGTAAATAGAGATGTTCGTGTTTGTTGAGTTATAAACGCACAGTAGTCTATTTCATTTGTCGTAAACTTTGCCATAATGATCAACTGATAATTCATTTAAAGCACTGTTTTAAACTGAACTGCCACTAGAGGGCGCTCGACCATGTTATGACGTCACCGGTATTGTTTTTCTAAAGTATAACCGAGCCACAGACTAACATCATTGAAAGCAAGTTGTGACGTGATTTCGATCGGCAGTGTGGATTAAGCTGTTGAGTGGTCAATTCGGCTGACATGGTTTGTAAAAGTTTAACAACAACTGGTTTTACGGAAAACCTTATACGGGGCGGCCGCTGAATGGTCAGAATCTGGAGGTCAAGACGCGATCTTGTTTTGAATAACAAATCGCCAAATTTGCTCTAATATCATAGACCCTTGCACACAGCAAAGGTCTTTGCATAGACTACATAAAACAAATTAAACAGATAAACAAATAGACATGATGTAATGATGTTACCCTTTGCGACGTGGTGGCGTTTAAAAAAAGGGGAGGGGCAAGCTTCCCCTCCCCCGATACGTCTTCTGTTCCCAAGGTACTTTAACAACTTCTAATTCCATCACTTTCTTTTTGACTCACCATGCAGAATGACCTCTGTACCCCTTTGTTATTTCAGACATAGATCCTCGATGCAATAGCCCCATCGTGACGGGACGCTGCAAGAGAAAGTTCCAGGTGTTCGGTCATGACCCGCTGGCCCGCTCGTGCGTGAGTTTCATCTACGGGGGCTGCGGCGGGAACTGCAACCGCTTTGAAACCATGGAGGAGTGTAGGAACACTTGTCAAGGTATATAGATCTTTGGTCCGTTTTCTCCTAAAACAATATTGGTCCAAACGTTCTTTGTCTCTTGCTCATGTCGTCATAGAGTTGCATGATTACGTCCTTTTTAAATTATAGATCACATAATAAACCTATACACGCGTATACGTTTGCTCTCTACCTCAATTTTAAGGCCGAACCCGCTTACGGCTTTGCCTATGCCCCCCCCCCCCCCCCCAGTCCACCCACCCCATCCCTAGTCTGAGTATCACCCGTTTTCCAACCAACGGAGCCCTCTCCATAAAAGTCTGATATATCTGAGCGATACACATTTTATGCACCCCCCCACACCCACACCCTTTCTAAGACAGGGGATAAAACAAATAGTGATAAATAAAGTGTGTATTTCAGCCCGTCATTATCAAGTTGAGCCCGATACTTGATGGCACTAACAGGCTTCCGTCGGGTATCTAAACATGTCACAGACATCTACAAACCGAAATGTCGTGGATTCAAACATGTCATGTGACAATGTGGGTACAATAATAATATTATCACGTGTTAAGAGATGTGTTTAGATTCTAAACACACACGTTTCTTATGGTGTACTGTCATTGAAAACTGCTATAAATGACCTGCAACATTCTCTATTAATGTTGAGGTCACTTTTCTTTTGTTCTTCGCAGTAAGTTAAACATTCGAAGTGAGCCGCCGCCTCCAGGCTCTCATCAGAAAGGACCTCTTCATTAGGTGGAAATTTACTAGGGAGGTAACACACTGAGTATACAGTGTTTACACGTCGGTGAAGGGCAAAACCTAATTTGAGAAAGGACCTCGTTCCCTTATCATCAATGGTTTCACGTTGACTTAGTACGGCAGATAGGTGATGGGATTGCGCCTTTGATGATACAAGCATGGCATAGTCAAAGTTTGTCATGAGAAACATATTTGGCTATAGGGCCATCGCACTGTCATTTGAAAAAAAAATAGGTAGAAAGAATAACAAGCAATGGCAGCCATTTTGAACATTTTGAAAATGTTTGTTATTCTACCTAGCCTAGTCTGCGATGGCCCTACAGCCAAACATACTCTGACTATGTGCCACATACCATGTTTGTTTCATCAAAGGCACGATCTCCCCAATTACAATGCTTCCCCTATCTGCCCCACTAACGGCTCATACAAACACACAACAATATTCTGAGAAGTAAACTGGATCAATGCTGTCGAAGGTCTATTCTGATTTCGTTATTATCTTAATCGATTATGAATGCTTACCAAATACTTTAGCATGCATGTTAGTTAAATTTTAAATCTAAAATTTGCACTTATAAAGCCATGTACTAGGATAGTTTGCAATTGCCCGGATAAATACCGATTTAATGACAGAAACCTAGCTCAAAGCGAAGATAGGACTAGTACCAAATACCCTGTGATATTATCCCAATAATGGAATTGTTTGGAAGAAAAGCAACCGTGTTTTCAAAATAGGGCGCAATTTTTGACGTGCATTAGGAACAAAATCGAGTTGCATGCAGGACCCACAAAAATGGGCGTTTATTATTATGTTGTCAAAATTTCCTCAATACACAAAGTATCAACTGCATGAGCGGATTCAACCAATTAGTTTTTTATGCACCCTACTAACGATTTCTGTTGCCTCAAACGGCAAAAAAAAAAACATGGCTTATAAAATTAATAGCAAATGATCCTACTTTTAGTTTACCGTATAGTTACAAGTTATCATTTCGTGTTGCACATTCTAATGTGCTACATTCAATTCCACTTGGTTTGGCAAAAATTACGTATAAGCCGGAAAATATACATGATTAAAACAATGCTTGAAACTGTCATTACATGTTAAGCTTAGAAAACGAAAGTATATACATTAGAAGATTATGCAGATTCGTATCTTGTTAATTTCATTGATTATACTTTTTCTGATAAAAAGCATTAAAGTACTAAAAAAATAAAAAGCATGTTAAAAGATCAATAATTTTGTAAAACATTATGCAGCTGTGATTGGCAATTTTAATTAACCTTAACAGAACTCAACCCATCCAATTCCAACTGCATTTTTTTGGTTGGAATCTGTCAGGATGGGTAGAGTACCCCTAAACTCACAGTCTTTTACATTGGGTTGGCACACTTCCAGAATCAAAGTCAGAAACACGTACGTGCGTGCAGTTACCGACAATCTGAAATTTGCCAGGATGGTTCCTATAGTAAATCGTGTTAGGGAGTTGGGCTATTCAACCTTGGTTATCGCGATGCGGAACGGTTTGGGCCAACGCGAGCCCTCGTACTGAGGATCCTGCCCAAACAAGCTACCGTCCCCGGGTTGGCCGTCCAGTTTGCTCACTCGGTACCCCTGGAGCAGCCGGGAGAAGGCAAGGAAGAGAACCGACTGGGCCAAGACGTAGCCAAGACACTTGCGAGTACCCATCCCGAAGGGGAGGAAGTTGTCCGGGGAGGCAATGACTGAGCCATCAGAATCGAAGAATCGATCTGGGGAAAGTGAAAGATGGGTGCGCGCTCAGTTATGAGGAGGGTGCCATTTTGTTTGAGTGAAGTGTTGTCTGAGTTTCACTCATAATTTGTCATATTTGTGCTGGTCCCAGAGAGGCAGCGTAGTGTCCTCTTTGTGCTCTTTGTATCAAAGCCCCGCACACTGCATACGTGGACACAGTGTTTCCCCTGGCTAATGAAATGAGCGAGGTGGTAAAAATTCAAATTGATGATTGAAATAAAATTGACGCAGTTTGCAAATCAAAACATGCTGCCCATACAAAAATGCAAGATGATTCCATTTGCACATCCAAATTGTGAGTTCTTGATACATAGAGGTAAAGGAAAACGATCATAAATTACACAAAATGAAAATTGTTCGATCAGTATTTCCTTTGTTGCAAATATCTTCACAGCGAGGTGGTGATATTGGCAAAAATTGAGCGAGGTGGTCACTGAAAGTAGCGAGGTGGGCCACCTCACATTTGAATGGGCAGGGGAAACACTACGTGAACAACACGACATGTTTCTCTCCAAAGCAACACTGCGTGTTCCAGCTGCGCGCGTCATACGCGCATGCACGCACTTCGGACATAAATAACGGCTTTGATAGGTCAAATTTCATCATATGGGCGGGGATTGAAGGATTGACACAATGAATATTAACTGAATACGAACCTGGGTTGAACTCGTGCGGGTTTGCATAGTTTGCCTGGTCAAAATGGGTGCCATAGATGTTGTACAGGATTACTGTACCCTTCGGGATGTTGAAGCCGCCTTAAATATGACAGACATTTTTCAACTATTCAGTTCTTCTAAATCAAAATAACTGAAAAAAAAACAGGCTCTAAACTCAAATTAATGTTTGGTGATAATAACATGGTCATGGATTTTCTTAACACAATCTCAAGGTTTGTTCAAAGCATTTCGATGCTCGACAAGTCAACTAATCCCACAACTTTAATCCACAAAGGTAATACGACCACTAAACTAAATCTGAACCTGTCGTGCCGCCGAATTACAATCCAAATTGGTCATACTGACGTCTTGGAGTTGGTTTCGTTAAAAAAAAATGAGTAAATTCTTCGTGATGATATTTGGTAAACTTGTCAGACAAAACGGCCGGTTCACATCGAACGCAACGTCCTACATTATTGTACACGTTATGCGTGTGATAATACACACAGAACGAATACACACATCAATACACAACTTTGTTTGTTTTACATACGCTGTGTGGACATTCTTTGTTTTCGTGTAGTTAAGAAAACTCGGTACAAAACTTAAACTGTGAAAACTCTTTCAACCCAAATTTTTTTTCTATGATTTCCTATAGTGTTTCTCTTCATTCTGCCACCGATAAACCTAACCCCAAAATGCCTCTAAACCTGTTATCCAGAGAGGGCGAAACGTTATGTGGACACGGCTTAGTCCACATAACGTCAACACAACCTGCATTATGTGGACATCTTTTGTTCACAAGTCCACATAGTGAATGCAAGACAAATTCACACATACACACGTCCGCAGAATGCAAACCAGCGTGCGGCTGGATTTCACAACTAGCCTCGCGGCTCGATATTTCGGGACAAAATTTCAACCTCCGGAATTCGTTCTTGCATGGTTCTGGCAGGGACGCTTGTGTGGATGTTTATATCCTACTTTTTAACTGCTCTTTACGATTAACATCATTTCGTTCATAGCGCGTTTTGTAGCCCAATTGGGCGCATATCCCGCCACGTCCTTAACCCTTCGAGCAGTGGTGCAGTGGGAAAAAAAATCTCATTGTTTTCCAAATATGGTCTTTTTTTTCAATAGGCCAATAAGGCCAAGCTTCCATGTAATCCTCACCCCTTCTACACACCACAAGCCTATAGACTCCCATTGGCCAGACCCTAGCCACTCCGGAGTAAGGAGTGTTAAAAGACAGAAGCCAAGATGGCGGCTAATGCCTCTGTGCAGTAATTGGAGATCTTAGTGGCCAACCCCTTAGTGCCGCCGATCCTTTTGTGTCAACCCCTCGTGCCGCCCAGAGCCCAGACAAGTTGTAAACAATCGCTGGCCATGTGACGACTATATCTTGTGCATGTACAGGCATGTCAGGGCTATTGACCTATAAACACGTAATGTGATAAAATTCTCATGGTGGTTTCACCACGTAATTTTTTAGGGCAAGCTACTCGAAGGGTTAATGCGCACAATAATGTGTGAATATAATGTCTTGTTTATCTTATTTTGCCTTTAAAATGAAACTTACGGATTTTGACGTCTTCATGGGCAGCGCGGGGCACACCGAGCGGCGCCACCGATCCGAACCGCAGCATCTCCATCATAGTGGCTGCCGTGTACGGCATGGCCGCACGATCCTCCACAGACGGCTGACGATCCTTACCAATGACGTCACGGATCTCATTGGCAACCCTCTGTTGGACGTCTGGGTACTCGGCCAGGAGGGCCAGACCCCAGTAGGTCGTCGTCAGAAGGCCAATAGACCCTGAATTTATGAAGGAGGAAATTCGTTAAAAAAGGGAATTTTTGTTCCTGAATTGTTTTAAAACATATAAATTTGAACAATCCTGAGTCACTGAAATGTTCAATGTCACAAGCAGAAATAAGCCGTCACTCGTTTGTAAACATTGAGCGCCATTTTGTATGGGCTGCCGCAAGCGCATAATTTGAAGCCGTGGTTGCAGATTTTTCCAAAACAAATTCCCCATAACGCCCTCAATACACAGTAAAAAGGCATGTTTAGGAATTTATGCTGTAGCTTTGTTGACAGTGTTGTATTTCCAACAATCAAACAATATTTCGGTTATCTGTAATAACTCTTCTTCATTTTTGCAGTGTTGGACCTTCCATAGTTTTGCAACCCGTGGTTGGCAAAATGTGCAGTTTGCCAACCAAGCGTAGAAAGGTCTATAGAAATTTCCCCAAAATTGCATATTAACGCCATATTTATGTCAGAAAGATGCATTTTTATTAAGTCTTTGAAAGCGTTGGAAGCCTATTCTGTATTTCAAACATTGATAACTTCCCCATATTTGTGGTCACGTGGTCATCAAGGGGTCACATGATTTCTGGTTCTGGTTCTGGTTGAGTCAGTAAAATTCACTTAACAAGCATCACACCGTGATAATAACAGATATCATGCCACTGTAATGCTGAGAATGATGGGATGTGTATTTTTTTCAATGAAATTCCCCCAAGATAACCCCGTGACCACAAAGATGGCGGTATCAGTGAAAACTGTCTATGTTGGGGCAACATGTGATGCTACATGGCATAAGAATTGATCATACTTTGTGCTCACCCCTAAACGAAGATGCGAGGACCTGAATTACGTGGACATCAGTCAGAAAGTCATATTTCTCCTCTTTTTCAGCTGCTTTCTGAGCATGCAGCAGGGCGCCGCACAAATCCGTCAACTTGTCATCTATAAAACATTTGCATGTCAAAATAAATGACGTCAGGTAACACAGAATTGAACTACGGGAATTTTCAGTGCATGCTAGGCCATCAGCCTGGGGTTTGGTCAGTAACAAATCAGGGCATAAATGATTATAGTGCGCATGCTCAAGGTATAGCATGAGAGTGGTAACAAGCATTTTGGTGGACATTTTGAAAATAACACCTAAAAAGCTAACACCGCTGCAATGCTATCCCATATTTTCAAATTCTGGAGGTGTATACCTTGCCAAAAATCGCTATGACGATTATTCCCCTCATTTGATACCGGTTGCCAAAAATTTCGACCGAGGCTGATGGCCTATGCGTACAATGAAACTAATATAAATATAGTTTCAGACAGATAAAACCATGTCTTATTTCTTCCAAGTGGACATATTTTGATGAATTTGTACTTTCAATAAATGCAAAGCTTAATGTAAATTTAGAATGTGTATAATTCTAAAAATGTATAGTGTGTATAAAATATGATACAAGATTTAAAATACTAGCTCATATTTTGTTTCATAATAACTTACATACGCTTAAAGAATGATTATTTCTCAACACAATGCTGTTTGCCTTATCTCTTGGTACTTGGTTGGTTCTTCTCCTAAGGACTTCCACAAGGGAGTATAACTAGGAGGCCTATCTCGTTTGGACACCTAGCTACATCCAGAGATGGACAGTTAATTGAATATCGATGTGGTCCAATTTGCAGCAAATGGGATCAAAGGAGATTTCCCAGCAATCGCTCTGTCGGCCAGCTTTCTTTGCCAATCAATATTTGGTTGGAACAATCTGATCTTATGCTCCAATGATTACGAAAACGAGTTACAAAATTGAAATCAACGAGACACTCGCGTTTGTTGAGTTACAAAAAACGCATAGTGGTCGAGCAGACAACTATTAAACACAGCCCAGCTAAGTTATGAATATTTTTATGTTTTGTTTAAAAAAAAATAACGGTGTGATAAATTTCAGTATAAACATTTTATTTGCATGTACATTGTACAAGTTATTTTTGGTTTGATGACGTCATCAGCCCTACGGGAAGTGAATACTGATTTAGTTCGGAGAGGATAAATGTTCGTTGTGAAGTTAAAATACTCGTATGAAAATATGGAAAATATAAGTGTATATGTAAGTGTAACTCATAGTAACTCATGAAAACTGGTGAGCACATGAATTGATGTTTTCATAATGATGACGTAATCCCGGCCACGCCCACTTTACCTTCTTGGAATGTCTGGCGACGGCTCTTGAACTCAGTCCGGAGCATGGTCATGAACTTGTCCACCACGTCCCTCATGACGCGGTTGGAGGAGAGCGGGAAATAGCGGAGAAACGGAAAGATGTCCACGGGGATGCGACGGCCAACCAGGTTCAGGCTGACATCGACGCTGACCAACTCGACCAAATCACGATGAAATTGGTCATTTCTGATCGAAACGAAAAGATCATACCAATACGATATCACGTCGTTTGTTCCAAGACGTGTGAGCCTAGAGGTCTATTACCAGACTAACTGACTGACTGACTCCCTCCCCCATGAATGACACTTTCACTTGGACTGGTGAATTGGACTGGTTACCTATCTCACTGACTGACTGTCACTTGTAAAGTACACTGGTCTGGGACCCGCTTTATGCGAGGCTTGCCTATACTCATGTAAGTCTTGTAGCATCTACACAACATGTGCATTAGTCTGGCGCCGCGTGTTTCATGTACTGTCATGATACATACATGCATATAGAATATGTCGTATGGATCTGGATCTGGATCTGGATCAATGCTGCAAAAGGCAGACTTCTCATTTTCCCGTTACCATTACAGCTTATTATACGACATTTTCAGGCATTCTGAATAAATTGACCTCCTAAATTCTTATTGCTCCAAATGTAACTAAAGTCAGTGTTTATGTTCCTAAGCACATTGAGATATACTTTAAGTTAATATTAATTAATATATGAATTAACACGCCAAATGTTTACTCCACAAATCATAAATCATCTGTTGAATATTTCATTCTCTTGGTCAAATTACCGTGATGATTTGTAAACTACTGTCTACAATTTTAAGTAGTGTGGCAGAAATACAGCTGCTATGTTTAAAAACTACAGTTTGAATCAGATTGAATTTATTTGAAGTAATGATCCATGCCATTTGAACCAACCATCCGACCTCGGCAAGCTTGGTGGTCGAGTGGTAAGACGTCTGCGCTAGTAGGCAGGAGGTCGTGCGTTCGAATCCTGCCGGAGTAGGCCTAAGCTTGTGGAAAAAAATTCTCGCTTGTCCCTTGGACAAGCAATAGAATATTAACAAAATCAGTTCGTTAAAATGTAACATTGAAGGTTATTTCATTCCCTGAACTTTGAAATTCAATCAGCCATTTTTACCCTGGTCCAAAGCACCACGTAACCACCGATCCCATGCCCATCTCCTGGCCCAGGCCGATCCCGTCCACCGACTGCCCCTCGCCGCCGGACGCCAGAAGCGGTTCCACGTACCTCGTAAACTGTTGGTTGACTACAGCGTCCATATGTTTGGTGCTATACACATCACTTCATGAAATCAAAGAAAGCATCATTGTACCTCTTAAAATACCACTTTTTACCCCAAATAAACCACTTGACAGAAACACCGAAGACAAGATTATTTTACCTCTAAAACACGAATTTTGTTTCAAAAGCTTTCATTCATTAATGTAGGCCTACATTTCAATTACTGTTCAGCATTCTCCAGGAACAAGCCTCGAAAAAATATCAAATGTTATTGATAACATGATCAAAATTCTTCAGCGAATCGCCATACTCAATCAACTGAAAATAACTTTGTGCACTCTGGGACAAGCTTTAATTAAACTTGCACTTTCGTTTCTTTCTTTTTTCTTCTTTTTTACCTGAAAGCGCCGAGAGCGAACTGTCGGTGCAGCACCCAAGTTGGGCTGTAGTTGGTATACCCAAGATCCCTGTAGTCTTCGCTAAAGAGATCAGCTGTCAAAAGAAAAGCGAAGATTTTTGTTAAGATGTGCGAAGAACATCATTCCATGTATATCTGAATTTCTTCAACTTTTTTCACACTAAGAGGGTAAAAGTCAAGTCTGTCACAAGCCAATAAAACCCAGGCCCGTCAGGTTTTTCTGAGTCAAAATGACATTTTAAGCCAGATTTCTGGGTCGAATTGACCGGGAAGAATGATCCAGATAAAAAAGTGTCATTTTGACCCTGAAAAGTACTTATGTCAAAATTGCCCCAGATTCCGTGTCAAAGTGACCTAACAAAATTATGTAGGGAAGTGTCATTTTGACCCAGAAGTCTATCGTTTTAAACCAGGAAAGTATCAGGTCAAAATATGACCCGGTTTTCGACTCAAAATGACGCGGAAAAGATCTTGGGGAGCATCGTTTTGACCCTGAAAACCATCAGGTAAAATTTGACGCGAGTTCCGGATCAAAAAGGCCTTGGGGAAAAATGATATAGAGAAGTGTCATTTTGACCCGAAAAGTATACTTTGACCCGGAAAAAATATAGGGTCGAAATAACCCAAATTCTGGCTCAAAAAAACAGGGACAATTTTTGAGTGAAGTGTCATCTTGACCCGGGTATGGGTCATTTTGACTCTCAGCTGCGGTCAATTTTTTTTTTTGTGGTCAAATATGACACGGATCTTGACACGGATCTTGACACTGATCTTTTAGTATATTGACTTACTGGAGTAGAAATGCGGTCGGTTGGCCAGTGCAACGGGTCCGGCTGCCAAACCTTCACGTATCGCCCGAAAAGAGTTGAGAACGACATACCACTTATCGCCAAGTTTGATGGAGAAAACGTCCCCGTATTCCTTGGCGAGTCGCCCCATGTTGATCCATACTGGCTGGCCATCTTTGCGAATGCCTAGGTCGGATAAAAAAAAAAAAAAATCTGGTAAAGCGCTGTTCTCAAAGCACAAATATTTCTGTTCAATATTGATTCAGAGTTTTATTCACTGGAAGTCTTTTCATGCATCTGGTCAAAACAATGGGCCGGATTTGGCCTATTCAATGGTGTAACAAGGTAATCCTATACGATAGCACTGCCCGGCTCTCTTCAATTGATTCAGAATGGCTATTCACTGGAAGTCTTTTCATGCATCTGGTTTGTACAATGGACCGGATTTTTGCCCATTCATCTGTGTTGCAGGGCAATCCTATACAATTGCACTGCCCAACTCAGCTTACACGTGACATCCAGTCAGTTAGTCATGCACAAAGGCTCTCTGGGCCCAACACTAAATACAGAATGATAACTGGATCAAGAACGCCATATTTTTTTTGAGCGTCTTAAAGTAAATTTTTCAAAAAACAAACAAACATGCACTTACTTGTGACGTTGCCGACGAATGGGATTGGCGTCGGGCCGGGAGGAAAGCCCGTTGGCCGCCTGCTACCGAGAATCCCAACGATAGCGGTGCCGGCAACCACGGCCGTCAGCCCCACGAGCAGCAGGGACGGCACGCTGCTCAGAAGACTGCCGCCATCCGCGACGAGCGTTCCAATCATGCTCATCATTTTTGACCGAGGAGTCTCGAATCGAAATCGAAAATTCTCGACACTATAAGTAGTAAAAAAAAAAGCCGAATCCTTAGACTTTACAAACGAGGATTGGGACAGATAAAGCCCAGCGAACAAGAATGGTCGATATTATAGGGAAGTAACTTTTATGAAATTGCACTTCCACAGGGTGTTTAAAAAAAAGGAAACCCAACTTCAAAGAATGAGTATGGACAGACGATATGTTTACTGGCTATAAAACTGGTGTCATCTGAAAGCGTAATCTCTATGCTTTCCAATGATACCGTGTTAAGGTTTTCTGAGTCATGCATCACTGAGCATCATTGTCTTGAAAATTAGATGCAAAAATGCAGTTGGTTCACTTTCATAAAAAAAAACCCACTGGACACGGTGTGCCTATTGTTACGTAAATGTCTGTGAAATGGCTTGAATGTTAATCCACATTGTTTTGAACGTGGCTTGGTCAAAACGAGAAATTCATGACAAACAATAAAATCCAGTTTTTGAAACCAACCCGATTTGTGTTTTGGTTTCTTTTTATGCACTCGTGTCTTCTTCTTGAACACTTATTCTCATGCACACCATGCCTATTGTGTTTGACATGAAAGTGAACCAACTGCAATTTTGCATCAAAATCTCATGACATTGGCGCTCAGTGATGCATGACCCTGGAAATGTAAACAAGGTATCATTGAAAAGCATACAGATTACGCTTTCAGATGATACCAGTTTTATAGTCAGTAAACATTTAGTCTGTCCATACTGGTTCTTCAAAGTTGGGTTTCCTTTTTATTGAAACGCCCTGTATTACTAAAAATGTGATTGTTGTCATTTATTTAAAGGCACGCCAAAAAATGGTTTCACTTCATGAACTCTTCTTGGTATGGTGAGCCACACCTAAACTACACATTAGCACTGTGGCAATCCGGCCAGCCATTCGATTTTGAGCAATTTTGTTGTTTCAAATGACCATAGACACCTTTAAAGGGTCCATGAAGTAAACTTCTCTTAGGAACACATTTTGTGCAACTTTCTACACCTTTAATGTATGAAAACTAAATATTTGATATTCCTTTGGGGTTAAATGCATTGAAAGTGCACTACTTTAAACATTACCATTTGTCCATGCTTTAGTTTAGGAGTTTTCTGTTCAAATTGTGAACCAAAACATTTGCTTTGAGAAAAATTTGCTCATTAATACTGCCACGTACTGACACAACAACGAATCACCAAAGAAAAGACAATTTATGATAGCCAAATATCCAAAATTCGGGCAACTTTTTGTACTGAAGTAGCTGTATGTAACATTGAGGTTTTTGCCTGATACGACATCACAATTTTGCTCATGAATATGGAAATTGTTATTTTAAAATCAAAACCACAACAAAATACCCTTCAAAATGGCCAAACAAAAATTGAAAATAGGGTTAAATGGGACACAAAGAAGGTGCATTTCCATTGATTGCATTAAAAACAAATACATGGATGGCCCTTTAACAACCTACACAGTAACGACTTGAAAGAGCATATTCTCACTTTAGTTTCTCTATTGCGAAAACCGCACAAAAAGGCGTTTACCCTCTTAACGTTATAGTCGAATGGGCATACAGCCTACCATCTATAGTCTAGTAACGGATGTGTGTCACAGTTTGTTCGTGCCAACGGACGTCCACCTCGGTTCAAGATTTAAAAGCAACATTGTCAAGCGTTTCAGAAAAACATCTCACATTTCAAAGTTACAGGAACTTCAGGGGCGGATCTATAGCTTTCAGGAAACGGGGGCGGGGGTTGATATGCGGGGGGGGGGGGGGGGTTGAGTGAAGGCATGCCGAAAACACGTCCTGCTGAAGGGCGTCCGGGAGCATGCCCCCAAAAATGTTGAAATCTACGATACCTTCTCCTGCATTCTATGGTAGTTTGTGAATCTAAGAAATGTGCCATTCATTATTTTTCGCCCCGTTTTACCAGTATCATAATATTAGCGGCTAAACGGAGGGGCGGGGGTAAAACCTTCACCCCTCCAGATCCGCCATGAACTCAGACAACGTCATGAGTCCGGAATCCCTGAACATTTTTGTGTGTGATCTGTTCAAAGTGTCACTTGAGCTTGCATCTGCATGTACCGCATCATCGATTATCCTTGAAATCGTTTGACTTTGACCTTTATTTGAACACATTCAATTTCGCCAGGGATAAAGCTCAGATTCCAAGCTTTAAAATGGTGTAAATATAATGGCGGTACGTGTTTCCGCGCCGAAGCTAGAGCCTTGCAAAAAAAGGTGCGGGTATTTTGGGACGCGCTGTAAATACGTTTTGAAAACAAAGAAAATGTATGCACAGTATCTGGGGTCTCTTAATAAGGACTTCGTTGCTGGCGCACATATAAAAAAGACAAATGCGAATACACAATAAGCTCTGGCAAAAAAATGCGACGCTGATGGCACATAATTTATGGAACACCATACTTTTGGTCAATTTATTTTCATTTCCTCCTTCTGGATACCGTCAAACCACTACACAAAATACCACGTGACTATAACATTACAGCACATAAATTATGTTGCCTCCATTTACAAAATTTTCAAAAACAACTTTCCGAATTGTTACAAACAATTTTTGTTAAGTAGGGGCCTGTGAATTTATTTTGTCTGCTTTTATTTTAATTTCAATTTGGTAGTTATAGTCTACGGGCAACTTATAGGGCTTATTTTGGTCAATTTTCGGGGTCGGACATATACAAAATAACCGCACATGCGCACCGATTGAAACGAAACCCGCGTTCCGAAAACTTTCGTCAAGCCTTATGCATTTTCTGACGACGGCTTGGCATTATGACAATTAGTTAATTATTTTGTTGGTCAAATATGTTTGGTCAATTTTCGGGGACAGGCCGAAATGACCTCACGATTTAGTAAAGTCGACTTCGATTGGCTGAAACGCAGGATCTCATAAATCTGCATGCTGAGATATATCAGACGTTAACATACGGAGACTGGGCTCCGTGGATAACGGGTGATACTCTAGCCTTGGTCAAGGCGTTCGTCAATATTCGTCCGTTCGCGGTAAAAGACCGGTGGCATATCCTCGTTATGCAGTGCATTAAAAAATACAAGGCGAACAGCGACCCCATGCGGCCAATCGACGAAGATATGCCGCCGATCGTTTACGCGTATACGGACGAATATTGAGGAACGCCTTGACCAAGGCTAATGATTCATCCATTCATTCATTCATTCATTTCGGTTTTATTGTTAAAAAGATGGTGACCAAAGAAAAAGTCCAAGGACTAAAAATATTTGGTTTACAGAATAATTAATATTCACAATGATTGCTAAGCATTACATCATAACAGTCGAGCTTGAACAGACAATAACAATAACAGTGACTAACAATACAGATAAAATGTGAGTAATTAAAATGGAATAACATAGGAGAAACAATTATATGAACACCTAAAAACCACAACTACTGAGAATTAATTTCAGACCTTTATGTACCGGTGTCACATGAAAATCCGACTCCTATGAAAATCGGACCCCTATTTCCCTATTATTGGTTGATCCCTCGCACGTGACAGGTCACTCTCCCGAAACGATCCTAAAAATAGCTTAGTATCGTACTCACGCGTTGCGCAGTACTACCAATGAGTCCACATTTCATGGAGTCGGATATTCACGCTACACCTGCTAGCCCATACAGGCATGGTGTGCTGTACGTGGTATCCACGTACTCATGTAAACACATATATGAGTACTTACATGACTTTTGTGAACATTGTGCATGTGCAGCATGTCTAAAAAAAAAATGTAGCAGTCGGACAACATTTTTCTCTGTGGAAACTACAAATCGTTTTTCGCAAAATAAATAATAAATGATATAGAGTGTTTCTTTACCCTTGACATAAGTTTTGTTCTGTGCGATTTGGACCTCAGTTTTGTTTAAAAGTTATGGCAAAGCTTGTAAAGACTGTCCAAAGCTGTTTGGGCCACTATAACTTCCCCATCTGAAGGCATCTCATCAGAGATAACAAGTGGCCTAACTTGGAATTCAAGTCCTGTCATTTAATTAGCTGAATCTCTGGACTGGGGTGTCCAAATGAGATGGGATAAAGACCATTGTGTAGAGTATATACTACACCTTCAGACTACGTTTGCAAAAAGAGAGTGCTGGTATTTTTAATATTTATATGGTTGACTGCTACATGCATGTACGCCGTACTGAACACTGCATGTGATACTTCAGTTGTGTGGTTTTAAAGTGGTGTTAATTAAAACCCTCCCTTTGCTTAAGAGGTCACCAATGGTCAAACTTTCTTCCTCACCTCCTGGCCTACTGTGTACAAACCAATGGGGGTCTTGACCAATATTGACCCAAGTGATAAGCAGGCTGACAATGCATGTTACCATAGGAGGGTTTCATGAATGTAATCACTGGGTGTGGTGAATCGTTATCACATTCACAGCAATACTTTCATTTCTGAAATGAAAGGATATATACCTTAAAGGGAATGTACATCATTGGCTTTTGTTGCAAGTTTCAAAAATGAACTATTTGAGGGGTTTGTATAATAGATCAAATATTGTTACACTGACATTTTTGAAGTTTTGTGTTTGCCAAATATTAAATTAGCTCAACGAAAATTACTTATAATCTGGCCCCGCTTTGCGATTGGAAATTACATTATGATTATTTTTTAAGCCTAAATGTATCCGCGTTTGTTGGCAATTAATAAAAATGGCCACATCAAATTAGAAGTTGCTGCCGCCGACACGACCCTTCGGATGCAATGATCATACATGTACAACGAAATTGATATGGCTCTTGAAAAAAACTTCAGAATTCGGTACAGCATTGCTATCTGGCATGTCTGGCTGGGTTTTTACAGACAAGTAAATTTCGGTCCCAATTGCCACATCAACATAATGTTAATGTGGCCCTTGCATTAAAGGGTTTGTAGCAATTAAGGGTCAAAGTCTGATCCGGACTCGAAACTAAAATCGCCGCCGAGTGGGAGAAATTGGATGAAATTTAAACAGAAATCCACTCTATTTTGCAATGGTGTTGATGGATCGTTCTCAAAATGGCGATGGACTTCAGAACTCCCAAAAGTCATCAGTGATCAACCCATGGAGGCCAAGGAAACCCCACATAAATTGAACAGAAGGTGAAAGAAAATTAATCATGCTTTAATCATGTCTTTGAACACTTTGGAGCCTTGTGAATGTTTTCCCCAATTGTGTTTTAAAATGGGAGTAAAGTTGTGTCTACGAGCAAATCCGGTGTAGCACCGTACCCTTGAAGACGTATACGTACATGGCGGCCATTTTTAGTCAAATTGCTTTATGATCCACGAGTCAACGATGACCTGTACTAAGGTGGAGCGGCCGCTTGCAATTGAACACAATGAAAGGCCAAGTCCATGGCCATACTACATCAAGTTTAGTGATACTACAACAAACTCACCGAATTCGACTGTGTCACGCCCAGTGTGCAATCGGCAAGATCAAATGGTGGATAGTCTCAAAACTGTTACAAGTGGAATGTACATAAGCAAGCTCCAGCACATACATGTATGTCGGTCATGCGTACGCACGCCACTGACTAGCATTGTCAGGAGTCCCTCGCGGCTTGCCTTTTGACCGCACGCGCCCCTGGCGTTCATGACATTGTGTACCACCATGGAACTCCGAAATGCCCGTTTACTCATAGGCCTACTGAACAATTTGCTGCCAATCTTTCAAGCTTCATGAAAATTCAGTGAATACCATGTTCTAGGAGCGCTGATTTTAAAGGTGTGTAGCGCGACGAGGGGTGAGTTGGGGGAGGGGGTTGGAGGGGGTTGGGGTCGAACCGCCTCAAATTCGACAGTAAATTTTCAGTGTCTTCTGTTTCTGTGTCTACTTTTGATCTTAATTAAGATGTAGATCCCTGCTCTTCGAAAAAAAAAAAAAATTTTTTCTCCGAAAGAAATTTCGACTCGTATGTTTTATCTTAATGAAAAAAAAAGAATCGTTTCAGTTTTGGGCGTCTGCAGTTTTGGCTTATTTTTGGGTTGCTATAATTTGAGCAAAATCAGAACCGCCCTGCGAATAATCTGGTTCCGGGCCACAATCGGTTCTTTACAAGGGGCGGGAACCAGTCCACCCTGGGAATACGGAAATATTGCTGGGCCGAGGCATAATTCCATTTTTTTTTTGTAATACATGTAATTCTATATCTGCCAGGGGCTGATGTGTTCGTTTCATGTATTTTTAAAGTTTTTTGTGTTGCTAGAAATTAAGCAATTTTAAAAAACAAAATCTATCTCTTGGGTTGAAACTCGGAGCAGAGCATGGACTGTACATATTTAAGAGCCGTTTTGATAATTGAGAAGTTAAACTTTCTATTTCAGCCGCAAAAACTTTCATAATTAAGTCAGTCAGTCAGCCCGGTCAGTTAGGTGCATGTCGCGTCGGATTATAGGCTAGGCCCTCCTTTAACAGTAAAATAAAATGAGACCGAAGCTCCACCCACTACGCCGCACGCGCACTGAATGTTACAGACGCGCGCGTCATATACGCGCACGGCTCAGAATTGGTCAAAACAGCAATGGGCGGGGCTTAGATGATCAGGAGATGGTGCGTGTATGTTTTCCACCTTTCTTTGTGTGCACTGATTAGATTTGTGTATCAACAACAAAATTATCAATAAAGAATAAGATAGGAATAATAATAATATTCTTCTGTTATGAACTTTCCTTTTTCTGTCTGAAAATAAATATATGACAGTTTCCATCAGAATGTGACCGTTGGATTCGCTGGCCACTCAAGTATTAACCGATGAAAAGCAGAACACCAAAACTAACGCTTAAACCCAAACAAAATAATAAAACGTTAAAGAGTCGGAATTTTAACATTGGAACTAAAATGACATGCATGATGGAGGGTACTTTTAACAAGCAATTCAAGTTAAGAGAGAAAAAATGAAATCAGAATTACGAGAATAAACATTCAACAATGATAGCTCATTTCTGACAATTATATTAACGGTGTGTTGTATTTAACTGACCACGCTGAAAATTGGAAGTAAGGTCCTTTCTGATGAGAAAGGCATCGTCGGCTCACCGGGAGTAGTTAAAAGCCTGCGAAGAACACACGAAAAAGGATCAACTTCTGTAGGCTGTTCGACTCGTAATCATAGCGGGAGCGGTGCCATCATGATTGTGGACTGATCTATTGTTTAAGCCCCGCCCACTGCGCACGTGCGTCCAAAGATATAGACTGCTGTGATTGATCAATAGTTATGCATCGTGGGGCGGGGCTTACTGCTTTGCCACGTATCCGGTGTCACGGTCTCACTTCTCCGGCGTGCTAGCTTCTCCGGGTGGATTTGGCGGACAATTGAGCACGTTACAGTGCACGTTACATGAGCACTATTCATGCTCATGTGTCCGCTGTGCTAACTTTTCCTCGGGCTGTGTTGTTGTTGTTGAAGTTGTAAAGTCTACCGGTCCACACCCAAGAATGCGTTATGTAACACTTCCTGTGGGTCAAGTCATATTGCAAGCATTCTGAAGTTGTGATCCCATGGTCATCGCGTGTGCGTTGAGGAAAAATTAAGAAGCGTGTTCCTTGGTCGGTCGTGGTCCATCAGATGCATGTCCAATTTGCAACCACGTTCAACCACGGGTTAAAATAAATGTGCATCCTTCAAGTCTTTTTGGTTATTACTATTAGGATGTTGGGAGTTAATTGTGCGCCCCACCATGCCTAGGTCTGGATTCGATGGTACCCTGTGACGTATACATACGAACATCCTAACTTCTTACGTGCACCAGTACAACCCGAAGGAACTCAGCACACACATAAAGTTGGCGAAAGTGAACGCTACTGCGCAATTTTGTGCATGCGTGTTGAAGCGAAATTTCCAACTTGGAGAAGCTAGCACGCCGGAGAAGTGAGACCGTGACACCGGTTCGTTAGTATAAACGTCATACACGCGCGCGCACCACTGATTACTAGCGCCCATTGGATAAACACTCCAGTTGCGTTAACTTCCGGTTTCGATGCGACTTAATTGCTAGTGGGCGTGGTTTAAACTGAACTGACGTCACACTAAACGAACTGGATATGTTGTACAATACATGTAAAGTGTAAGTAAATTGGTCGATACAGTGACTTCAATGCCATGCACATAACAGTGCTGTATTAAAATAATACACAATTGCAAGACTAAAAACTTCAAGATAACATTTTCACGCAAAAGAAAAGGAAGTTCATTTGAAGAAAAAATATGCAAGATTCACTGGTAAGATATATCCTTATTGATGGATTTATTGGACGGTTGTTATGTGAACACAATTAGCAAACGAGAAAATACACACTTTAAAATGTACAAATGATCTAAAGGTGAGAAAATACAGGCACCTTGGTTGATTTTTTTTGCTGTAAAATATTTACAATTTAAAACAATTCATTAGGTATTGCTCTAGGGAGCTATAATGGAATAAATTTATTACAATCTCCATATAAAAGGACGGAGTTATGAAAATTTTATATTATTATGTAAAGCAGGGAAAATAAATATTCACTTTGTAAAATGGTTTGAGTGTTTTTTAGGCCCCCTTCAATGGCGAAAGCATTGTGCTAGCTATTGTTCAGATAATCCCTCACGGGCAGTTGCTTTATACAATAGCGAGCACAATGGTTTCTCCATTGAAGGGGGCCTCGTGAATATACAGTGATAGCGTGCAAAAGATATTTATGGAAAACGCTCGATAATATTATTCCATTTTAGCCCTCAATATGCTTTATATTTGACAATTTGACTTCCGTATCAAAAGTCATTTCACATGTGTGTATGTATTATTCAGAACACCAAAGAAAAGTTCTTTTAAAAAAACAGTTGAAATAATTTCTTTCAACACTAGCTCATGTTGTCATGAAAACAGACCAAATATTACAATATATACATAAACCGCTGGTTCTATCAATGGACAGACTGAAATGAAAATGAAAAAATATGGAAATACTTCGACTTTAAGGTCAACAAATTTTCCATCTTTTGCAGAGACGAACCTTGCAGGCACTGCCCTTTTTTAAATTCATACTAGGTTCCGATTGTATGACGTCAAAGTACCACGTGACCATCCGGTTCCCCCGTGATCGGCCACCATTGCAGTAGGCAAGCGTTTGGTTCGCAACCACGTCGTGCGTTGCAAACTAGACAGTACGGCTTATCTTCACATAAAGTAACAGCCAATTCTTCATCAAATGGCATAATGGTCACTACCTGTGCCGTGTACGGTTGTCATTAGCGTGGGTGTTGGCCCCGCGTTTTTCTCATAGTTTTTGCCATTTATCACAGGTTTGAAAGCTTGCCCAAGAACTACTGCATGTGGCGCTACACAATCTTTGCCTACTACAATGGTGACGCTGACCAGTACCCGGATGTAGGCCAGGTCACGTGGATCAGTAAGATAGCCGATACGCTACACTCATGCAATTAATTCCTTAAATTAAAGTGAATTTCAACCAGCAGACTTGGGGAAAATGCTAAACAGCGCTCTCCTGGGCGGAGTTTGAGGGGCGTGGCACTATGGGCGGGATGGGTTCGGTGGCATGCAGGGGGCGGAGTATGGGCGACTGGGTGGACAGGATCTGTGCCACGGTCAGCTGGGGATGGCCGTGACCGTCGTGTCCGCCGATGGAACGGAGGGAACGCAGCTTGGCCGACGTGACGGCTTCACCGTGGCGTAGCTGGAGTTTGGGACCGCGCTTGGTGCGGTTGCCTTCCTTCACCACAACGCCGGGGGATAAGTCCATTGATTCAATCTGCGAGATGGGATGGAATCATACACAATTTCAAAGTATTCAAACACATGGGAGGTTCCCATTAACCAAAATTAACTAACTCGTTCGTTAACGGTTCGTTATCTACACATACAAGATTTTGTCGCAATGGTTTTGTCGCGCTGCAATGTTGCAGGCGCATGTGCCTCCACAAACACACGATTTTTGTTTTGTCCATCTTTTACAATCATTTCAGGAACACGTTCCAAGTGCTGTGCGATGAACTCACATCGCATTTGATGTTTAAACAAAATTGCGCGATATAGTCGCACGACTTTGTCGTAAACTCACTCATTGATTTGTGCGTATTTATACCCACATGGATAAATTTACCCACATGGATACATTTTAGCCCTAGTTGGGACCAGGGTCGAGCGGCTCTACCCGGGTGGAAAATAAAAAATCTACAGCCGGCCCATGTGCAAACCGGGATAAGTGTGAACAGTATACCAGGCCCGGTTTTCTCACAGGGGACCCTTGGTGATTTTGACATGGGTAAGCAAGAGGATAGTGTCAACAGACATCTTTACAGACACCAGTTTACCAAGCCTGGTTTTCCCACAGGGGACCCTTGGTAATTTTGACATGGGTAAGCAAGAGGATAGTGTGAACAGACATCTTTACAGAAACCTTTTTACCAAGCCTGGTTTTCCCACAGGGGACCCTTGGTGATTTTGACATGGGTAAGCAAGACGAAAGTGTGAACAGACATCTTTACAGAAACCTTTTTACCAAGCCTGGTTTTCCCACAGGGGACCCTTGGTGATTTTGACATGGGTAAGCAAGAGAGGATAGTGTGAACAGACCTCTTTACAGAAACCTTTTTACCAAGCCTGGTTTTCCCACAGGGGACCCTTGGTGATTTTGACATGGGTAAGCAAGAGGATAGTGTGAACAGACATCTTTACAGAAACCTTTTTACCAAGCCTGGTTTTCCCACAGGGAACCCTTGGTGATTTTGACATGGGTAAGCATGAGGATAGTGTGAACAGACATCTTTACAGAAACCTTTTTACCAAGCCTGGTTTTCCCACAGGGGACCCTTGGTGATTTTGACATGGGTAAGCAATAGGATAGTGCGAACAGACATCTTTACAGAAACCAGTTTACCAAGCCTGGTTTTTTCACAGGGGACCCTTGTTGATTTGACATGGGTAAGCAAGAGGAAAGTGTGAACAGACGTCTTTACAGACACCAGTTGAGAGTTTGGTTAACTTACCAGAGGTGGTGGCAGCGGTGTGATGCCTCCACTGACCGTGTTGCTCTCGAAGGCCGCCTTCATCTGCATTGTCATTGTGTTACTGCTACCCACCGTCATGGCACTAGCCATGACCGGACCACCTCTCTTGGAGCTTTGGCCTGCAAAAATTACGTCATAAAAGATTTCAGTTCAAGTTTCTTGGTAAATGATTTTAAAAATCTAAGCATGTCAGTCTGTCCGAAGCCAATATGGCCCATCAGGCTGGCAATTATCTCCGGTTTCCTTGGCATGAATGAACTGAGAATATATCTATTCCCCCTGGACGGGATGCCAGTCCATCCCAGGTTACTTTCCCGCTAATGCCGGTACCCATTTTTACTCCTGGGTGCGCAGCGAAAGACAAGTTGAGGTAAAGTGGATTGCCCAAGGACACAACATATAGACACAACTTACTTTAAAATCTATTTTCAACGTGGAACTCAAAAATAGCATTTGAGAGCAACTTTTAAATATGGCCCATCAGACCGGTGTTTATCTCTGATTTCCTTTGTATGAGCAACTGAGAATATTTCTATTCCCCCTGGATGGGATGCCAGTCCATCCCAGGTTACTCCCCAGCTAATGCCGGTACCCATTTTTACTCCTGGGTGTGCAGCGAGAGGCAAGTTGAGGTAAAGTGGATTGCCCAAGGACACAACATACGGACACAACATACTTTAAAATCTATTTTCAACGTGGAACTCAAAAATAGCATTTGAGAGCAACTTTGACGTTACCGAGTGCAAAATAGTCGGACTGGAGAAATACAAAAAATCAAATTCTAACTCACCGTTTCCAACCGATTCGGTGGGTTCGTTGCTGCTCTTGGCCATGTAGCCATTCATCTTTGTAGCTTTATCGGTGCTGGAGATGTAGCGGCCGGTCCTCATTGCAATCAGTCTAGCATGAGCTGCCTCGACGGCCGGATCCACGATCGCAAACTTGGTTCTTACCCTGCACGGGAGAAACAATAGTTAAAGGATAATTGGTAATTATTCCGAAAAAAAGACCTAATGATTTCATGAGAAAAACCTTGCTCGAAGTGAAGTTAGGGATGGTACCAAATACCCTGTGACATTATTCCGCCTTAAAATGGTATAGTTTGAAAAAAAAAATTGAAAGTGGTTTTTAAAAAGTGTGCCAGCAGGCACATTTTTTTAAAGTGTGTTCGCAACGGAATCCAGTGTCCTCTTTGTACTTCACTGACTGACTGACTGACTGTCACTTATGACTTAGACTGGTTGCAGGCTGCTAAAGAGAGCCGGGCAGTGCTATTGTATAGGATTACCCGTAGTGCCAATGAATGGGCTAAATCTGGCCATTGTGTAGACCAGATGCATGAAAAGACTTCCAGTGAATAGCCATTTTGAATCAATTGAATAGAATTTTGTGCACTCTGGCCCCAGCTCTACTAGGCCTGGCTAGCCCTGTTTTGCATAAATGTACGATTTGCAGGTATCTGTGACGCTGGGATGCGGGTACGTACCTGTGTGAGGGCAGTCTTTCTGGGTCTAATCGTATGACGGACACGACGTTGCCTTTCGCATCGTAAGTCACGTCCTTGCTTCCCGGAGGGCGACCTGCTTGAACCTACCAAACAACAAAGAATCAAAGGACATGGTTACAACTGAAGACTACATAGTCACAAAAACAGAATGTAACGTTTTTATTTCCTTACAAACATATGGTTCACAAAATAAGTTGACTCTGAAAACGTATCGAAAATTCTCTCTTTAAAGACATTGAAGAAGATGACAGTTAGAAAACCCTGTTTTTTTCCTCAGAAATTAGACGAAACACATCATACTCCAAAATAAGTAAAGGCTGTCACAAGCCAATATGGCCCATCAGGCCGGCGTTTATCTCCGGTTTCCTTGGCATGAAATGACTGAGAATATTTCTTTTCCCCCTCCAGGGATAGGATGCCAGTCCATCGCAGGTTACTCCCCAGCTAATGCCGGTACCCATTTATACTCCTGGGTGGAGAGAGGCAAGTGGGGTAAAGTGGCTTGCCCAAGGACACAACATATGGCCAGCAGCTGGATTCGAAATCCTGACCCTCTGAAATAAGTTGATAAGTTGAAATAATATTGAGAACTTGGAAGATGATAGAGGGAGACCCTTACCTTAAGTATCGAATGGCATGAGGAGGGCATGTGTTCAAAGATGTCTTTTTTCTCCGGTGTTGGGTCTCGTGCTCTTTGCTCGGCCAAATCTATCTCTTGGTCTGTTTCGTCGAGCGTCTTCGTGATATTCCGGAGACCAGCTGACCTCAACGGTCCTCTGTAGGGCTTGTACTTAAACTTTCGTGGCTTGGCGTCAACAGACTGGAAAATCGTGACAGAAGTTACAAGAATGCTTTGTGGTTGTGGGTGTTATTTTTTTTTTTCATTATAAATACATTCAGATTCATTACAAAATACCCTTGTTGGAAAAAATTTATTTTAACTTTCAGACAGCTGAAACTGAAACAAGTCATAGTTTGCAGGGATGTGGTAGGGATGTTTTTCAACCCTCCGTCAACCCTGCGTCAACCCTGAGATTTGTCTTGAGTGAAAAGGGCTAAAGGCATCACAATGGTCAATTCTGGCGATGCACAACGCAATGCGCCACCAAGAGCTTGCCACGGAGAGTTCATTTTTCCCAGTGCATTGTGGAAGATGGTCGAAAAATTCGCAGCACAAGACATTTGAAATTGTTCGTTTTTACGGACAGTAGTTTCGTAAGCGATTCAAGTCTCTGTTTGCCCATTTCTTTGTTTTTGATATCAATATGGTGTTATTTTCAAAGGCGGCAAGAACGCTTTGCCCCAATCTATAATAACTTATCTCAAGTTGTCTACTGACACTCATTCAAAATGGGCCGTGTTTTGTCGACCGTAAACTTGAAACATGAACTCTCCATGGCAAACTTTTTGTTGCGCACTGCATTGTGAATCGCCCGAATTGAACAAGTATAGAGTGGTATGCATTATTCAGGAAGTTAGTAAAACCTGAATGAAAACTGGTGGACTGCCGTAACCAAATATTATACGCATCGTCACATATCGGTTGTACAGGATTCTACGACTTTTCCATGACTTTTTTTGTAAAAAAATAAAATTCCATGACTTTTCCATGATTTGTTTTTGTACAAAAAAATTTGTAAAAAAATAAAATTTCCAATTTTTTTTTGTTAAAAAGTAAAATTCCATGACTTTTCCATGATTTTTTTTGTAAATTTAAAAAAAAAAAAAAATAAACTTCCATGACTTTTCCATGACCTTTTTTGTTAAAATATAAAATTCCATGACTTTTCCATGACTTTTTTGTTATAAAATATAATTCCATGACTTTTCCATGACTTTCTTTGTTAAAAAATATAATTACATGACTTTTCCATGACTTTCTTTGTTAAAAAATAAAATTCCACGACTTTTCCGTGACTTTCCATGGAAGTTTGAAATTCCAGGCATTTCCACAATTTTGTCATTACTGTGGTAACCCGGATCATCACAACACTGCATAATCACCTTGTCTGGTTCTGCCTTCGTTTCGTCTTTCTCCTGTGTCTGCTCTGTTTCCTCCTCTTTGATTTCAGCGGGCCTCGCCACCGGCGCGTACGTCTCGTCTGCCGCGACGATGGTTCCCGTCTCGTTGATGGACGTCGGCAGATCTTCCAGGATCTCTGGCTCGGAGAGCCGACTGACCGATGTCACGTCGGTGTCTGGTTCCGACACTGGCGGGGAGAGTGGCGGCTGGGGCAGTCTGGGCACGGACCCTTGCGCCCAGGCATCTGGAACTGAGGGCTGGGGTTCTAAAACGAAGATGATACGACAAAGCAAACAAATTCAGAGTCATATTTTAACAGAAAAGGAAATAATAATTGGAATTATATACATGCGTAACACTCATATACACCATACAGCTCGTCACAGCAAGATACATCATTATTATTACCCCTGCTCACTGGGCCAATGAAAATATTCCAAAGACCATCTCAGCTCCCAAGGTATACAGCTCGATGTTGCCATTTTTGCGCAAAGCAGCTAAAATCAATCACAATAACCATCTCTGCCCTCACAGGTACCCATCTACTCCTGGGTGGGGAGAAGCAAGTTGTTACAAAGTGTCTTGCCCAAGGACACACACACCGCAAACCCAGGCTGGACTTGAATCCACAACCTGTAGAATTACCCCCAAGATCTCGAGGTCAATGCCAAGACCACAAGGCTACTAAATGGGCATTTTAGGCATAATTTTTGCCATTACCTTGGTATTATCTCATGAAATTTGAAAGACTTTTTGTCTTGGAAACATTAAAAAAAGACCAGGAATTCAACGTCTTAGAGTGATGAGGCCTTACCGTCCTCTTCCTGCCACGTGAAATTTTCCTCAGGTTTTTCTTCGCCTTCGTCACGAGCGAGAAATTGCCACTGGTAAAGACACACAAAAATATCCTCCATTAATAAACATGAATTTGTTTTCCAAATTTGAAACATAACTTTTTTTTTCAATTAAAAGATTATTTGTCCATGTCCTTCAACAATTTTTTGTCTACATTAGAAGTTTTGTATTTCATCTTGTATTTCATCAACGAGAGAGGTAAGGTCAATCTTACCTCTATTATCTGAAGTATGGCGTCCCTAGCTTGCGTCACCGTGTAGGGATATAGCTGCTTCTGTATGTAGTTTTCATAGATGATATGGAGAGCTGAGTTGACGACATCTCCAACGATATCGACACTGAAATCTTCGCCTTCTTCTTTCTCCAACAATGATCCCCTTTATATTCAAGAAAACGGTGCTTAGTTCAGTATGTCATGAGAGAAATAAATAGAGAACTCCATTGAACATATTAGCTCTCCATATCCTAGGAATGTAGCTAGAATAGATGAATAAAAACCATTCCTAAAAGCAGTAAACAAGAGTTGCTGGAAATGAGAAAGTGTTGCAGGAAATGAGAAAGTATGTATATATCTATTTTTAAAAAAAAATTTCTCCTTGTGCTATTTTTGAGTTTCACCCCGAATATTTGTTTTTATAATTTTTTATATTTTTGTCAATTTTAAAAGTTAATCACTGTCTGAATGAGATTCAAACCAAAAATAGATTATCAAATAATTACTTGAAATTTTTTTTAAGCCCAACAATAATTCAGACAATTTTTTTGTGCATTAACCTTACCCCCCCCCAGCCCTTTTTGCTAGGAACTATCCTCAATCCTCCAAAATCCTCCAAAACCGCAATGAGAATTTTGGAGGAATTGTGGAGGGTTTAATAGGGCTAAAGGCAAAGTGTTAGGAGGACAAATCTATTTTCTTTAATCAAAGAGCATATTGAGACCAACATTAAAACTGGACTTCTGTTGATTGTATACCACGTAGAATTTTCAAGTGTACATGTTGGGCGCGATTGGTGGTTTGCGCGATCGCTCGATTGCACAGCACAGAAATGTGTTTGCGTGATCGGTAGATCCCAAACGAAGTCCAAGACTTCAGTGCCCATTTTAAACACAATCCTCCAGAGCCGTGAATTAGAAAAAGGTGACTGACTGATGGCACTGGCAGCATGATCGTCCAATGGCGGCACGATCGACTGATGGCGCAGCGCGATCGACTGAAAGCAGAGTGCGATCAAACGATTGTGCAGATCCCCGGATCGCTCCAACTTACCAATCAGTTTCAGTGAATCGTCCAGGGATGACGTCCGTGTTGACGGGAGGCACAGGAACCGAAGTACTGCCACCACGATCCTTGTCTTTATCTTTACCTTTATCGGCACGGGATTTGGACACTGTTGCCCGAGACATTTTTCTCAATTAGGCCTAGTCCTCAGAAAATTAATTGACTTCACTTCCATCAGTTATTAACCTGCACAAAAATCCAACAAAATCCAACAAAACATTCAAACAAAATGAAGAAACAATCGATTGGGGGGGGGGGGGGGGAGATGGGGGACGCGGGCGGGGCTGGGAAACTAAGTCATGTGACACTAGGGGGGAACACTTTTTCTTACATTTTTGTTACAAACTAACATTCGACTACAATTTACTAACAATAGTACGGTGACTGCTCTATGTTCCGACACCCCTATGTTCCGACAACCTAGATTGTGTTACTCCCGGTTAGGGTTAGGGTTAGGAATAGGAATATGTGCAGTCGGAACATAGCCTCATAGGGGTGTCGGAACATAGAGGTGTAACCCAATAGTAGTACAGACAACAATGACCAATGTCAGTTAAAAAAAGAAATTGCACTTAATTGGGGGGGGGGGGGGGGGTGTCATAGCCACCATTCCCCCCCCCCCCCCCCCCCTCACGATTCCGCCAGTGGGAGTGTTCCACTTCCAAAACTTTTTTAAACAAATTGGGTAGGTTAGGCCTATTCCCGTAACTTAACATGGTTAACGTCATTTTATTAAATTACAGCAATAGGACCTAAATAATAATAATAACCAAAATGTGATAAAATTTATATTTATTCACAATCTTGATAATGATATTCTTCTAGGCCTAAGTAACGCTTTTTGTGCGCCCTTTTGAAGTAAAGTTGTGAACTTGTCGGATGATGCATTCGTTCACGTGCAAATAAAATGGGTAGCCGGCGCGCGCGGCCCCGGGCCGGCGACGGCTAGTGCTCTCCACATAACAAGTGCAGCGCAGGGCGGGCTGTGTTCAGCCAACAAAAAGACCGCTGAAAAATACTGTTTCAGCACGTCCTAATGAAAACTTACAATTATTATTAAGTGTGTCCTACATCTTTTCAAGCGCTTCTTGCACACTTTTACTGAACTAAAGGAAAATATCGTAAAATGAGTTCACATCATGTTTTTCGTAGACGTAGACGTGTGCATTCCACATTTCAACACGACACGGTGATTCAACATGGCGGCATGGTTGCTGTGGAAACCGCGCATGGCAATTATCGATACCCATAACTCTATCATCTCATTGGTCACTTTTCTGGGATTGGGTCTGACGTCATACATTGTTGTGCTGATCTTTCAAAATGGAGTTGACTTTGCACCGAAATGTGTAAGGAGTTTTCATCAAATGTAAGCCGCAAAATGACGTTTTTCTTAAAATAGTGATCACTGTTTGGGTTTTTAAACTATCGGGAAAAGTAAAGGAGATCTGCCTCTGGGGATCCTCAAGGTTTTTGTATGAGTAGGCTCTACGTCATATTAAATTTGCCTCGTTGATCATCATGATCATGTTGATTTTATCGTAAAGACGGTTCACATTTATTTGTAGTTGTACGTAGGCCTGCGGTTTTTAAACATTCAACAGTGGCTATTGTTACGGCAGCCGTAACGCAATAGTAAACAGCTATCGTACCATGCTGACCCCTGCTGACCTAATAATAGTATTCAACGTCAGGATCTTGGCTGTTGCCTGTTGGAACCAGACTTCAACCGAATGATTTTTGGACTTTATTTCCTTCTTTTTTTTAAATCGTTTAAAAAGCCACGGATTATGAAGAACAAAATGAAATCTAGGCCTAATTAAAGCCCCCCTAGAGGCTAGGCTACTTAATGTTGCAAGTTGACGCTACTCTTTTCTTCATTAATTATATTATCTCAAATTCTCAATGACGGTCAGTCATGTCAGTCATTGCAGTGATGATAAGACATGAATCTGGGACTGAGAAACATTTCCAATTTTGTTAGGAAATACTTGTACACAACTGCTGAACTGGTGTCAGGTTGCAAAATTTTTTCCAAACGATTTGTTAGAAACATGAAAGTAAAGAAAACTATTAAACTTTTTTGTTTAAAACGTGGCACCGGAATAAGCACTTTTTACGGTAGGCCTAGGTCTGGATCCAATAATCGTTCTGTATTTAGTGCTGGAGCCACTGTATGTTCAGTACTTACGTACTAAGAGTTTAATCCAAGAACTTCCAGTGGCATAGGATCTATCATTCCAAAGAAATTTGAGGAAAAAATGCTATTTAACATTTAAATTTGAATTGATTGTATTTTTTTTCACAAGAGCCTAGTTCCTCATCCAAGATGATGCTGTCTAGCCCCTATGCAACAGACCCAGCCTACGGGGGCAGTAAAGACGCCTGTTGGGTCGACGTTGACAGTAACCCGCAACCGCGAGTACGTCCAGAAGCAGACGAGATCTATAAGAAGAGTCAGGGTTGCGTCGGAAGACTGTTACAGGTCCAAGGGGAACCGGTGTACAGACCACCGAGTAGGCAAAGTATGTCGCCCTAGTTGAAAACCAGACTGTGTGCAAAAAGGCACATCAACAAAATCAGGCCAACTTTACTCGCCCATGAGCCAACAAAATCCTCCAAAATATTCATGAGGCAAAGACAACGTCCTCAGTATTTCACCAGCCAAGTTTGAGGTCTCAATTCAATTTTTAAAGGAGACTTTTCTTCAACATTTTGCACCTGAGAGTGAAGCCAAGCGATTTCAATTTGAAGCCTAAAAGACTAGACTGATACATATCCAGCTTTTTAAAAAGATGGATCATTCAGTAGTCTGGTGGCGTGACTATGGAGAGAATGTGTAGAAATAGAGACTAGGTACCAGATTTTTCTTTTGACACAGTTGATTGATGGGTGTTGGACTGGTTGTTTCATGTGCCAGTCAATTTTCTTGTATTGTATGTCTACACTCATCTCATGTTTTGGGACCACCTTAGACACTTCAATTTCACTCAGTACAAATTTTTAAATAATACTTTCTAAATTATAATTGCAATCTCCAGAGCCAGAGTCCAAGGATTTCGGGCGAGACAATGTGCGCAAGATGCGACAAATCCAGTCCATGAACCGACGCAAGAAGAGAGAAGATGACAAAGTGGCTGGCGAACCGATAAAAGTCCTGCCTCAATCTGTCAAGTATAAGGAGGTGTCGTCCAAGGTTGCTGAACATGTCAAGGTAGGTTGTGCCCCAGGGTGGGGGAGGGGGTGGGGCAGGGGAGAGGGTAACTAGTTAAAAGTGTGAGAAGAAAATCCCAGAAATTGTAAAAAAAAAGTTAAGAAAAGTCTGTCACGAGCCAATGTGCCTGATCAGGCCGGCGTTTATCTCCGGTTTCAGTAGCATGAAACGACTGAGAATTTTTCTGTTCCCCCTGGATGGAGTGCTAGTCCATCGCAAGTTACTCCCCAGCTATTAATGCCGGTAACCATTTATACTCCTGGGTGGAGAGAGGCAAGTGGGGGTGAAGTGGCTTGCCCAAGGACACAACATATTGCCAGCAGCTGGATTCGAACCACGACCCTCTGATCATGAGTCACGAATCATAACCACTAGGCAACATTACTTTTTAAGTCAACAAAGTATGGTAAAGCATAATAATCTCCACACACATATCCAACAACGTGGTTGTCAGAAAATTACTTTCTCTTTGGATAAAAAACAGTCATTGTTCAGTAAACTCAAGATTTTAGGAACATAGAATTTTGAACTTGCCAGAACGTCACGTCCTGTGAAATTTGGGGTGAAACTTTTGCTCTGGCCATGTGTTAGAAATTAAATCTGAAAAATGTTGTAACCGTACTGTATTTGTCAAGTCTTTCTTAATTTGTGAAAATGTTCTCGTTATTTTGTTAAGCAACCCCCTCAGCAGCCCAGGCCCGCATCAGCCAACTTTCTCCGGTCTCACAGCCGGACAGGCGGCACCCCTAAGGTCAGGGGAAGGTCACCGAGTCCCGCCCCTAGACCCAAAACGGCCCCCGAGGTAAGTTACTCACGATCTCTTAGCATTAAAACTCTCCTAGTCTTCGGCTCTTCACAACCCTTCAAGTTTTTGCAAAAACCACTTTTGCCCGTAGAGTTAGCGCCCACACTTCAAAATTCCTTTGAGGTCATCTTCTGTGGAGTATGGATAACACTTCAAATCCCTGCACAATTCTTTGGCGTGGTTAAGCTCAGGGCAAGCAGGCAGATTCAGTCACGCTTCACTGCTCTCCACAGTGCTGTTTTTGTGTGTGCAGTGACTCTCTGTGTGACACGGTTTAAATACTTTATTACGTCATATTCCTTCACCTGAAACTGACCAGCGTTTCGCAAAGGCAAAAAAAAAAGGTTAATGTTAAGATTTTCTTTTAGGAAACAGAACTGAATGCTCTGCGATTAATGCTTTTGTAGAAACTCCAGTGCCATTTTATAAAAAATGCAGCATGTCTTTTTTTCATGGCAGGCGAAAACACAGACCGACGCCAATTTCATTGCCCACAACGCCCGGCTGGTCAAGAACCACAAACCACCCCGCCCACCCTCAGCCCTAGCCGAAGAGTCGCTGAAGATAAAACAAATCAAAGATATGCAAACCTACGAGAAAGGAGCTGTACCCAAATAGTAAGTACTGCATCCTTTCACCTGTATACTTAACAGTATAACTTAGGATTCGGGAAAGGTTAAGTAAGTTTTTTTATTTCTGGTAATGAAACCAAGGATTCCTCAAAAGCGCCCCAGGCACTGTAGCTCGCAAGCCTGAAGAAACCTGTAGAGAGAAGACAATGAGAAGAAATTACAGTTTTAGAGGTGGGAGGAAAAACCCCAGAAGAATATTCTGAGGAAAACCCACAGAATCAGGCAGGGACTGAAAACCCAATCCACATATTGGCCCAGGCGGGATTCGAACCCGAGTCACAGCGGTGGAAGGCAAGGAAAGTACCACTACGACTTCTAATGTTTTGGCCATTTACAGCATGTCCTGTAAGGGTTGCGTCGCACAGGAAAACTTACTGGCAACTTTCTAAAGGCGTTCTCCAAGAAATACACGACTGGCAGATTTTCGTTTCTCGTAACGTCCCGAGGAATTTCATAAGCTGTTAAAAGTCTTCCTATGAATTGTTTCTTGCAAACTTCTGACAGCCTGTGATTCGCAAAATTTGTTTTTTTTTCAGCTTGAAGGGACGGCAAAAACAGTGGGCAAAACAGGAAGAGGAAAGAATACGCAACATCCCCGATCCGGACATGCCGCCGGGACACAAGATGATGGCCCAAGAGGAACGTCTTAAGACCCTAGGGGTCCTCAAGGAAAGTAAGTTCTCACTGTCAAAAATCTTTGTGTTGAACCCCAGAGATTTCAGGAACCCTTTGACGCTAGCACGAATCTAACACGGCTTCTACATGGGTCCGGCTCTACCTGGGTAAAATCCACATACCCTGGGTAAAATCCCAAACCCGGGTCAAAAGTCCCGAATCTACAACCGAACCATGTTGATTATGCAAGACTTATGTTGAAGTATGCAAGACCTAAGGCGTTTTTGAGGGATTGCGATTTCATGTGAGCGTGCAAGTCTTGCCAGTTCACGTTCACTTTTCAAGTGAACGTCTTGGTACTAAACACTGACTAGTCTTAGCGTCAGACTTCCGTGTTAGAGTTTACCCACTTGTTATCTGTGTGGTGGATTGAACGGACGTTGAGGTCACAAATTCTCATTTTATTGTAGCCATTTCTTTGTTTTACCCAACGGACGTTGAAGTCACAAATGTTCATTTTATTGTAGCCATTTCTTTGTTTTACCCAACGGACGTTGAAGTCACAAATGTTCATTTTATTGTAGCATTTTCTTTAATTTACCCAACGGATGTTGAGGTCACCAATGTTCATTTTATTGTAGCCATTTCTGTGTTTTACCCACATTTTCAGAGGAGAAAGAACTTCAGCAGCAGTTGCATAAACTGCCGCTGAAAGCAGAAACGCTCCGAGCGAAGACCAGAGAAGCCGAGGTCAACTCTCAGTTAGCGGAGGTGGAGGAAGCCATCAAGATCTTCTCAAGGTCGAAAGTCTTTATCAAGATCGACAGCTGATAGTTGACATTGATAGCTGAACTCATACCATGGAACTGCCTTAATTTGAGGGGATATAGTAAGCACTCTTGTCCAGAATGCACCCCTATGGGCTCCGAGGCCAAAAGGAAGAATTGTTTATTTGCAGAAACCCAACCTACGTGGAATTTTTTTTTCCAGCCAAATTGCCATCCTCAAAACTTTTCCTGAAAATAAAAAATCTTCCCTGTTGGAGTTTTTTGTGGTACTGGTTAATACAATTGATCAGGTTTATTAAACAGAATACCATAAACCCTAACTCCCCAGCCTAATTTACATGTACTAGGAACCATACCCATTCTGGCAAATTCCAACACCCACATGGGAAATTGTACACACACACTGTTGGACTTAGTTTCTGGAAGTATGCCGACCCCAGTGTAAAAGACTATCAGTTTAGGGGTACTGTACCTATCCCAACAGATTTAAACAAAACCTGCTGTTGAACTTTGATGGGTTGAGTTCAGTTATGCTTAAAGATATCCTAAAGTAAACATATTCAGTATAACAGATCCACAGGCAAGCAAAGATGAAACTTTTAAAATAAAGTTATTTTCCTACTTACATACCTGGATAATTTTTATAGCATAACTGTACAAACACTTTTTTGTCTTAAAACATGTTTCCCATGAATCGATAACAAACGGACGCAATTTGGTCAGTCCATGCAACTTTTGTCAAATTCACAGCCACCTAAAATTGTTCAAGTATCATTTTGAGTATGTATATACATGTGTTGTAAATGTTGTGTATAGTTAAACGTTTTTGTGATATAATTCTTCAGCGTTGCACAGGGTTTATAAAGTCTTGTTCAAGTGTAAATTATCCATTATTATCTAGAATCTCCATTATTGCCTTGAAACTTTTACTTTTGATGTTACATTTCATGTTCCGAATGTGGCAATTTGTGTATCGATCGACCAAACCTTATTATGTGAAATTTAGTCAACAGTAAACGCATTTGGCATTACATCTGTATTATGCCGCACGTTCATATCATAGCACAACACAATCTCAAACTTCATTTGCAGTTGAAATATTTTCTTATTATTTCGGTCTTGAAATTTACATTTTTCCAATCCCTTTCCTCCAAAAACCTGTCGTTAATTCTGTTTCTTTGCGTTTTTCCCATTGATTCAAATTATTGATACATGTTTATTTTATAATTGCAAAAAAAAAATTGTTCTAGCATATTTTGCTGATCATTCGCATTTGAACTTCTGAAAAATGGTTTTGACCCCAAACCTGCAATTGGCCTATCGCTGTTTGCGAGTTAGCCATGCCCCTTAGAAAACCCTATGGAATTTTGCACGTTAAGTTTTGGTTGTCTCAGATTTTGCACGTTCTGTGTCCATTTGTATAGCAAAGTGGACAATATTTCACAAGCTTGACGAGATTCCACCGCGATAAGTCAATTGCCTGATTAATTTGTTTTGTCTGAAATTGTTTATAACATATAATATTGGCACCATTTGTGTAAACCTTTGCTAATACCTCAAATTTCAGGCAAAACTGTCCCAGTCCGTTGACATCCCTGTGAATAGTTAAAGGGTCGAGTAGAATTTCTGTAAATATTTGTAAACTTATATCTTCAATTTCCTTGAAGTATTCTCGGGTCTTGACTTTTGCAACTCTGTTAATTTATCAAACTTAGATTGCAGTGATGATTAAAAACTGATTGTAACTAAAATCTGAAGCAATAAAAGCAGAATGCACCATTTAATTGCTAAAATGGAGTTGGAATGTGTGTTAGGCTTTTTTCTTGCAAGTTTCATTTTTCAGCCAAAATTGATAGAAATTGCAAGGGGTTAACCTTACATTTGTAACAAAATTTGGCTAAAAAAATATTACTTTTCTCCAAACAATGCAGAAATGCCTTTGGATGCAAAAGGAACATCAATATTCAAACACCCTAAATTTCAAAGATTTTGGCAAAAATCACTTATTTATTGGGGAATAACAAATTTGACTGATATTCTCCTAAACATCACGATTTTTCTTTTAAATGGCATATCTGTCCAAAAATTGAGTTGGAATGTGCTCTGGGATCCCATAGGCATCTTCCCTGCAAGTTTCAAACAAGTTCCTTTTTTTGGACAAAATTGGAGAAAAAAATGCAAGGGGGTTAACCTTACATTTTAAACAAAATTTGGCCCAAAAATGACTTTTCTCCAATCATCGCAGACATTCCTTTGGATGCAGAAGGAACATGAATCAATAATGAAACAGCTTTCAATGATTTGGGCAAAAATCACCTAATATTGGAAAAATCTTAATTTGACTGATTTTCCCAAAACTTTCAACACATTGTTTCCTGTTGCATGGCATATCTTTCCAAAAATTGAGTTGAAATTTGCTCTGGAGTCTTGTTTGCATCTTCCCTGCAAGTTTCAAGCAATTTCATTTTTTGGCCAAAATTGGAAAAAATCACAAGGGGTTAACCTTACATTTTTAACACAATTTTACACTGTTTTTTACAGCCTGCAAGTTATAATAAAAGAATGACGAAACGCTCTCCTACTCTCAAATGCTCTTTATTTCAATACCACGAGGTTAAACTTAAAATGTTTAATAAAAGCAGATGGACGATAACCCATCTTAAAGTATTCTGACAAACGAAGCCAAAATACCATCTATTTGTCTAAAACAGCACCAATTCTAATAACTTTTAAAAGCAAAATGTAATACTAAAAAAAAAAAGAGTGGTGGTCAGTACCATATGCCGATTTGTGACCCTCCATTAACTTATATTTTCCTGAATCGAATATCTACAAAATTTCTCTGCAAAATACGCAGAGATGATTGTCTGATCACCTTAAGTTTTGTCAAATATAATGCAAAATACATTTTGTCCGTTGAGGATTCATAAATACAATGTGATGAAATAAATGGATTAAAACCGTTAATGGCAAGAATGTTATGCGACACACAAGACTTGACTCAAGTCTTTGGTCTGTGATAATACCGAGATCAGGAAATTCAAATGTGGTTCATCAAACCACAAAACTTCTTTTTTTGGGGGGGGGGGGACATTGACAACCCTCTGAAAAAAACCAGGTTTTTATTTTTGGCACCAACAGATTCACCTTACAAACAGACCGGCCCCGGTCTGTACATGTACATTATCGATACTGATTGTGGGGCGGGAACCAGCCTATGTTCACATAAGTGGAACACACGCCTGTTTACACCAAAAAAAAGGCAAAACTAATGACTTAAGACAAGTCTAACTTGTCACTGGCTAGACTTGTAACATTTGGCACACAACGGATTTATAATAATAATAATTATAATGTGTATTTATAAATCGCACGTATCCACCAGTATTGGTGCTCAAGGCGCTACATCGTTATTACCCTGCTCATTGGGCCAATGAAACATTCCAAAGACCATCTCAGCTCCCTGGGGAGTATACAGCTCCATGCTGCCATTTCGGCGCAAAGCAGCTACAATCAACCACAATAACCATCTCTGCCCTCACAGGTACCCATTTACTCCTGGGTGGGGAGAAGCAATGAGTGACAAAGTGCCTTGCCCAAGGGCACACGCATCATGACCCCAGGCTGGACTCGAACCCACAACCTGCAGAATTACCCGCAGACCACGAAATCAATGCTCCAGACCATGAGGCCACAGCACTCAAACTACAAACTAAAAACAAAGAAATGCCAAAGAATGATAATAAGTTGCATAAGTACTAAGATAATAAGTGCATAACGCACTTTAGTTTTAGGGGTTTTTGGGGGTTACATTTGGTTATGACAAAAGTCTCATGTGTAAATGACAGAAATACTGGACTGAAAAATTCACTTGTTTGTATATTAATTACAACAAGTGGCAGTTATGTAAAGTCTATGTTTAATGTTTTTTCAGTAAGGCACTCAGGAACTGGAGAAATGCTTCCAATACAAATTCATGTACATGCACAAATTGCATTTTGCAATGCACACACATGTACAAGTGATATATGAAAATTTTATATATTTACAAAAAAACGACACAGTGGTATCACATACAGCACCAGTATTTTAAAAAACGATTTCAAAAAGTTGGAGAAATCCCTCGAACCACAAAAAAAATCTTGAAACGAACAAAAGAAAGTGGAACTTAATCACATCACGACCCTGTGTCTGTTCAACGTTCGTGTGACCTGTAGATGAAAATCACAAATCTTAAATGTAATGTACAACATTTGCAAACATTTAAAAATACAACTGCCAAATGATTATGAAAGTCCGTCACAAGCCAATGTGGCCCATCAGGCCAGCGTTTATCTCCGGTTTCAGTAGCATGAAACGACTGAGAATATTTCTACTCCCCCTGGATGGGATGCTAGTCCATCGCAGGTTACTCCCCAGCTAATGCCGGTACCCATTTATACTCCTGGGTGGAGAGAGGCAAGTTGGGGTGAAGTGGCTTGCCCAAGGACACAGCATGCTCCCAGCAGCTGGATTCGAACCCCTGACCCTCTGATCAAGAGTCACGACCCTTAACCACTAGGCCACACTCCCTCTGAGTAATTTGTAAAGTAAATAATAATAATCAAGCATTCTGTGAAATCGATGAGCCTGGTATGCCGTCGTTTTCAAGAAAGTCGGAATTGTGTATTCATACTTACAATGGTTGAACCGACCAAATTTCATTTCATCAAATTATGCAAATATTGTACATTACGTTTTTGAGGATGCGTTCTTGGGAAGATCAGAATTTGCATAAGTGAAAAAAAATTAAAGATTTTAAAAATGGATCTTTGCATTTAACACTTGATCTAGAGTTTTACTTATGGCACTGTTGACCATTCAAAACAAGTGTTGAATTTGAACGGGAATATATTTCATTTCTCGAAATGGAAGAAGTATTTCTAATAAATCGCACTTTCATAAACACCTTTTAAAATACTGTTTAAACGTTCTGCCGAATTCGATGAAATTGATGCTTTAAAATTATTGCTAATTTTTTTGTTAATCTCATCAGCACTTGTTCCTTCAACACACTAGAATAAATGATACACAATCAAAACACAAATCACAGAATTATAATTACCAAAATGTCTCATACAAATAAGCAATACCTAACACTTGCGGCAAATACGATGGCAACAAACTCCATAATTAAAGCAAAATCATCAAGCATCCAATGATATACACCGATCATCTCGTTTGATACATGATTTTTATTTTGATGATTTCGGTTTTGTCAAATTATTTGGCAGTTATTATAAATTTCTTTTTCAAAATTACTTTAAAAGAAAAAAAAAATTGAAACTATAGTTACAAATTTAAAGGCAAAAAGAAAAAAGCCAAATTCTGAAGATCCAGTTATCAGACGGTTCTAATATTTGACGTCTGGGGTTATTCCACATTTGCGACGGAACTCCTGTCCGTGCTCATGGATCCATATGTTGGAAACTAGAGAGAGAAAAAAATATAGAAATTAATTACGGTCCTGGTAAAATTAGCCACAGTCATGGTAAAATCAGCCAGGTCTTAATGAAATAGCTGTCTTGGTATTAACCACAGTCTTGGTAAAATTTGTGATGGTCTTGGTAAAATTAGCCATGTCTTTGTCGAATTAGCCACTGTCTTGGTAGAATTAGCCACAGTCTTCGTAAAATTAGCCACGGTCTTGGTAAAATTAGCTAAGTGTTGGTAATATTAGCCATGGTCTTGGTAAAAATTTACCACAGTCTTGGCAAAATTAACCACAGTCTTGATAAAATTTGCCTGTCTTAATAGAATTAGCCACTGTCTCGGTAGAATTAGCCACTGTCTTGGTAAAATTAGCCACGGTCTTGGTAAAATTAGCAACGGTCTTGGTAAAATTAGCAACCCTCTCGGTAAAATTAGGAAGGTCTTGGTTACAAGTAACCAGGTCTTGGTTAAAAGTAACCAGGTCTTGGTTAAAAGTAACCAGGTCTTGGTAAAATTAGCAACAGTCTGGGTAAAAAAAAAACCAGGTGTTGGTAATATTAGTCAGGTGTTGGTAATATTAGCCACGTCTTGGTAAAGTTAGCCACGGCCTTGCTAAATTAACCACCGTCTTGGTAACCTTTTTCTAATTCAAAAGTCCAAGTGCGGCTCTGGTAAGACGTTACCACCAACCAGGTAAAATCTCTCAAACATTAGTTCAATGTGAACACAGTTTTAGGGATACGAGCTTACCCCACTTGGATCCTGCTAAGACGGGACACGCTGCGTGTCTTGTGTCGTAATCACCTTCACCGGACGGGAACAAATTGAACCAGAAAGCTCCCGTACCCTGTAAAAATGAAAACAACAACCATAATGACACTAATGTGATGCTTGTATAGCACCAAAGTCTCATTTGCGTTTCAGAATTACTATCCCTGTTCATCAGGCCATGAGACCATTTCTCTTCAGTACTTCGAGATCAGCGCAATCTGGTCTCTACCCTCACAGGCAGCCATTAAACCCCTGGGTGGAGAGAGGCAATTGTAGTAAAGTGTCTTGCCCAAGGACACAAGCGCCATGTATTATCGCACATGAGTTGGAGAGACCAGTTTTCTGCAGCAGTTCGAGATCAGCGCAATCTGGTCTCTACCTTCACAGGTACCCATTTATACTCCTGGGTGGAGAGAGGCAATTGTAGTAAAGTGTCTTGCCCAAGAACACAAGCCCCATAATTCCCTGTCAGGGTTTGAACCCTTGTATTATCACACATGATTCTGTAACCATGTAACCGTGTAAGCACTGTAACCATGACAAAGAAAATTGTATGTCATATACCAAAAACAGAACTTAATATGAGAAATACAAGAATTTTGTTGCCTTTTACAAGATGTTGATTGTACCTTTCTAGGGAGTACTCTGGCGCCAACCAAAGGAAACACAGTGGCCCCTCCTGCCGGTACGTCGCTCATCTACGACAAAAGTTCATTCGGAAAATATCAACGACAAAAGCCACGAACCTGTCCAACTAAGAGCAAGCTCAAATGAGGACCATTAGTCGTCTTCTGGTTGATTTGTGACGTCACTTACACCTGCGCACTAATCAGGCATGCAACTTGGAAGAAACAAAAAACGAGGAAACTCCAATCTTTACAAGACTTTGTACAGTGTTTTTCAGTTTTGAATGGCATAAGTGTGAAGTGAAAAACGAGGAAATCAGCTGATCCGAGGAAAAGTTGCATGCCTGACTAATAGCAACGTGAGAAAGTTTCCAGTCAAACGCTGGTGAAAACGTCATCACGAAACATCTTAATCCTGGCTCCCTGCTGTGTGTTATGATGGGTGCAGCTATTGGTTACCAGTGATGCAACTGTGCCCCGGGCTCCGATTGCAAATAGTCAGCTAGAGTAGTCCAACTATCCCATGCTTGAGTAAAGTTAGTTGAACTTGCTCCAATGTGAACACTTGATGTTTTCCACTTTGCGCTACTCAATTCAATATTGTTTCAGAGACATAAAGTTGAGATACATTTACCATTTCCATCAGATTTGTGACTAAAAAAAAAAAAGTAACTGTGCCTCAGAAAAAAAAATATAAGAAGAGCGGAACTGGTAAACATTCAAATTGAATAGAATGATTACCAGTTCATGTATCTTTACAATAGAAATATGCAATTGCAACTTAAAAAAATGCTTTGCGTGCATTGTTTTCGGTCCAGAACAATGATACAAAAAATCAATAGTTTTAACCAGTTCGTGTCGGTATGCGTAAACACTCAAAGGTTTTGCGGTATTCGGAACAGATGACGGATAAACACGCAACGATTGAGGCTGGAAATATCTGTCAGCGACCCGTTCGTAGCGAGCAAGGCCGGAAATATCAGGGTATGCTACCCACAGATGACGGCCTGAACCCGTCTGGCATCGAGGTTCGTGAAAAACAATCCTATGCCTGGGTCCGGTTAATGTCAAAATGATCCCAGCGCGAACCGGTTAAAACAGGTACTGTGAAACATATGAAGTTTTCTTACACACTTTTTGCTTTAAAACAAAATCAACAATTATAGGTGCATCACAAGGACTAAAAAAGACCAGTTGGATTTGTCAGCCCTAAAAATAACTGGTTTCAGTTAATCTCATCTTTTCTTGTTTTCAGTGATTTTTTGTTTTGTTTTAGGCAATTCCAGCATTATAAAAGGAAGTGAAATGTCCATGACAGAGCCAATTAACCATGATATCTAACTAACGATTCAGAGAAACGATCCAAAACTCCTAGTCTGTAATCTCCTTGACCATTACTAGATGATGGATGTATAAGCTTTGAAAAATATATTTTCAGGTTTACTCGCTGAGCTCTTAAAAAACTCTGTCACAGACATTACGTAACGCTGGAGTTGGCCTTTTCAATACTTACGTAGAACAGCATTGTGGCAATACGATTGCCGGTACCCAGGTCTTTGAACGCATTGGTCTCTTCTTTCTGCACAGGGCCATCCAGTCGCGTAGTTTTCACAGAAACAATCAATTATTACAGGGAAGAGCAAAAGTGGACAACGTATGTCACAGCGGCAACTCAACCATCAACCCAGTCCAAACGAAAAGGGCCTTATATAGTGCGTCTCCAAAAAAAATTCAAACAAAATATAACGGAATGCCAGACGTAGAATGTGTGACCAACATAGATAATATAGGTATGGTTTGAAAGATACGCCTTTCCACTTTAAAAGGAGACATCAAACGTCCAAATCTGCTAATTTTTGACAGAGTTATGAGTAATTTTCCAAGAGAGGTCAAGTGGACCATGGGACCAAGTTTTCAATTTGACGCATAGGGACAAAGGTAGCCTAATTGTCTGTGTGTGGATATTTGCCGGGCCTACAAAAAAATATGTCTAGCGAGCAAACACAATTTTAAACACTTTCTTGCTATCACCTTATGCTAAAAATGTTAAGCATGTAAACATGTTTACAAACTAGCAAGAAAGTGTTTACAATTGTGTTTTCTTGCTAAACACATTTTTTGTAGCAATTATCCACTCAGAGGCAATTAGGCTACCTTTGTCTCAATGCCTGAACTTGGTCCCATGGTCAATTCGACTTCTCTTGGAAAATTACTCATAACTCTGTCAAAAATTATCAGATTCGGACGTTTGATGTCTCATTTTAAAGTGGAAAGGCGTATCTTTCAAACCGTACCTAAATTATCTTTGTTGGTTATACATTCTACGTCTGGCATTCCGTTATATTTTGTTTGCATTTTTTTAGACACACTGTATCTAATCTCAAGTTTAAGTTCAGAAAAGGAAAAAAATACGGAGTGTACGTTGTGTTTCGATCTTCAGGACTGGGTTTTGAAAAAAAGATGAATTTGGAACGATTGCATGAGGTCCCAGGGGCATGAAATTTCCATGCTGCGTGGGGTGAAGTGTGCTCCAAAACACGCAGGAAACAAACATGAAAAAGGAAAAGAAAATGATTTGGAAACAAGTGCAAAAACGGGACTGAACTAAAACTGGGATAGTTCTGGAAAGCGGAAAACCAAATTCCCACTTTCCGTGCTGAAAAGAAAAGACACTATATAGAAATGAACGTTCTCGGTCATTCATGGAAAGTAGATAAATAATGACAAATGCAAGAATGATGAATTAGTGTTAATAAAAATGGCATTTGATTAATAGTGGTCTGCAAGCTAAACACCATTCATACACGTAATGTGACAACTGACAAGACAAAAACGTGTGTGAGTTTTGCGAAAATATTATTTCAACTTCTGAGGTGTTGACATCAGCACACAGAGCTCACCCCCGGATGGAAATGGAACAGCCCATGGGACCTCAGCCAATCGTATCCATTCATCCTCGCGTCTATTTGCTCTTCCCCAATCACGTCGCAGCTTACATGCCGGGGGTGGGGAGTGGGGGGTGGGGGCGGGGGTCGGGACGGGAACGTACACTACCCATACCTTTCGCTTTTGTTTACTTACATAGAACAACATAGTGGCTATTCGATTGCCAACCGAATAAGCATTGGGTCTCTGAAACGGAAAAAAATCACAAGAACAACACAAAACGACGTGGAAGCTGGTTCAGTCATCAATCACAAAAATTCTACTACAAAAATTTTCTTCTTATGTCTTTTTGGGATTAAAATCATCAATCAAGAGAACATCAGAAAATCTAAAAACGAGATGTTGCTCTACAAGTTTTAAACTACTAAAGCAAACTGCAAACTTATATTTAGTTTGAAAACAATTGTAAGTAAACCGACTTGCCAAAATTTGGTTTGCAAATTAGATTTTTGTTTTGGTTAAAACATTTCTGGATGAATGGCATTTAAGGTACAGACCACCATGAAAATGGAAAACTAAAGCCGATTTTTGCTCAAAACTAAATTTTTGTACATTTTCACAGTAGAACTTTGAAAGAAAACTGCACAAGCAAGCAAAGCTGGATTTCAGCAATTTTGTCCAACGAAAACTTTAATTTTTAGAAGCAGCTAAAACTTAGGTCTTGTCTTTCATGCAGATTGTCAAAACACTTACATGATACAAAATTTACAAAAAAAGACTTATGGAAACTCAGTATATTTGGTCACTTATTATCAATTCAAACCAAAATTAAACTTTCATGATGAACTATGAATGGTCATTTAAAATTTCCAAACCTCTGATAATTTATGCAAATTATCTAATTTTCATGCAGAAATCTTGCATAAAAAATAAAGACAGCCTCTTGCTCAGTACCAGCAGAACACATAATTTAAATAGTCAAAGTTTCAGGGCGGTTTGGGGCAGTACAGGGAGTAACAGGCAGGGTGGTGTGGGGCAGTACAGGGAGTAACAGGCAGGGTGGTTTGGGGCAGTACAGGGAGTAACAGGCAGGGTGGCTTGGGGCAGTACAGGGAGTAACAGGCAGGGTGGTTTGGGGCAGTACAGGGAGTAACAGGCAGGGTGGTGTGGGGCAGTACAGGGAGTAACAGGCTGGGTGGTTTGGGGCGGTACAGGGAGTAACAGGCAGGGTGGTTTGGGGCAGTACAGGGAGTAACAGGCAGGGTGGTTTGGGCAGTACAGGGAGTAACAGGCAGGGTGGTTTGGGGCAGTACAGGGAGTAACAGGCAGGGCAGTTTGGGGCGATACAGGGAGTAACAGGCAGGGCAGTTTGGGGCAGTACAGGGAGTAACAGGCAGGGTGGTTTGGGACAGTACAGGGAGTAACAGGCAGGGCAGTTTGGGGCGGTACAGGGAGAAACAGGCAGGGTGGTTTGGGACAGTACAGGGAATAACAGGCAGGGCAGTTTGGGGCAGTACAGGGAGTAACAGGCAGGGTGGTTTGGGGCAGTACAGGGAGTAACAGGCAGGGTGGTTTGGGGCAGTACAGGGAGTAACAGGCAGGATGGTTTGGGGCAGTACAGGGAGTAACAGGCAGGGTGGTTTGGGGCAGTACAGGGAGTAACAGGCAGGGTGGTTTGGGACAGTACAGGGAGTAACGGGCAGGGTGGTTTGGGGCAGTACAGGGAGTAACAGTCAGGGTGGTTTGGGGCAGTACAGGGAGTAACAGGCAGGATGGTTTGGGGCAGTACAGGGAGTAACAGGCAGGGTGGTTTGGGGCAGTACAGGGAGTAACAGGCAGGATGGTTTGGGGCAGTACAGGGAGTAACAGGCTGGGTGGTTTGGGGCGGTACAGGGAGTAACAGGCAGGGTGGTTTGGGGCAGTACAGGGAGTAACAGGCAGGGTGGTTTGGGGCAGTACAGGGAGTAACAGGCAGGGCAGTTTGGGGCGATACAGGGAGTAACAGGCAGGGTGGTTTGGGGCAGTACAGGGAGTAACAGGCAGGGTGGTTTGGGGCAGTACAGGGAGTAACAGGCAGGGCAGTTTGGGGCGGTTCAGGGAGTAATTTGTCAATAGATAATTTTATGTGGTGCCTGCTGGTACTGTACCTAGTAGTTCACACAAATGCAACAATACATACACTGTAAAGACACCACAAACAATGCATATGCAAAGCATCAGTGAGGTCAAAGGTTGCCGGGTCAAAGGTCGGCGGGTCAAAGGTCGGTGGGTCAAAGGTCGGCAAAACAAAGGCAGGCGGGGCCAATCAGCTATCTCAGAAGAGTCGCGTGCACATCACAGGGGGAGTGTGGGCAGACAGGGGAAGAGCAAACAATGCGAGGAAGCGTAGATAAAAAAGTTAAAAGCATACGGAAGAAAAAAGAATAACAAAGATACTGTTAATACAGGAAGAACATAAATGGTACATTTTTTTCAATTTCACCGAAGTTTACAAAATGACTGTTGGTTCTTGTTGTTCAAAGCCACATCAAAAGGGATTGATTTTGGAAGATTTAGAATTGAATCATCTTGGGGCTTATTCACATGAGTGCGCAATTCAGTGGCACAATACTGCACGAAATTGAACAATTACACATGGGCAGAACACCGTTATGTTAATTTATGCAAATTTATGCAAATTAATGGAAGGTTTACAGGGTGATGTCACAGCCGCTACAATAACATTGTAACCAGCAATGTGCTGATTAATCGGAATCCAGATTCACTGCTCGCTATTTTTTTGGGGGGGGGGGGGAATTGTTCCGATTTCAGTTTCAAACTGACATAATTGAAAGATTAAAAATTTTGTCAATAAATAATTTAAACCTACATGTAAAAGGAATTATGTCATGGTATACTTTTGGTACACGTTGATATTTTTTCACTTCAGTATAAGTTGATTATATGTTCAATGAAGTAATGGATATTTTAAATGAAACTAAATGTCAATCTAATAATTGTTGAAACACACAGTGTAAGCGACTGATGCGTGGCATTATATACAATAAAACAATGATGTTGGTTGGCAACTCGGCATGATGACGTTATCTTATGGCGTTTCAAATAAATGGTCAAGAAATGATATCTGAAATGGATAGAAATGATATGAATGAAAAATAAACTAACATCATTCTAATACAAATGGGATTATCAATGAATTCAGATACTTTCGTCAACTTGGAAGGGTTTTAGAAATTCCGATTTTTGAGTTATTATGTCTCTTGTGTAGAGTTTGACAAATGGTGAATGGTTGTAATATTGGGATGAAAAAAAACCATGTAATTTAACATTTATTACTTTATAAAAGGTTTGAAGATTTTAAATATTGACTGCAATGTCTTAAGAAATATTAAGCCGAAAAGGTATTATTTTCAAAATTTGTTTCAGAATTTTTTTTTTTTAGAAAGCATCATTCTACAAAACTTATTGAGGTTAGAAGGTTAGAAGTAGCTATTATTTTGCACAATCTATGTTAAGCATGCTGCTATTTGGCACCCCAAAAAAATTAATATTAATTATGAAATTTAGGATACTCACTCTGGCAAAGTCAAAGTGTGGCTCATAGTGCCCACCGATTCCGTAATTAACCACCTGAAAAAAAATTGAAAAATGTCACATCACCTAAGAGTTATAAAATATGTGCAAACAAAATATATATTTATCACCAACGAAACAACTGACAACAAACATTCAACAAAAATACAAAAAGGAGCAAGATGCCAAGATAGAAAGAATCTAAATTACGTACAAATAAAAAGAAATTCATCACTAACGAAACAACTGATGACAACAATTCTATAACTCTTAAGAATATAAAATGAAAAGTAACACGTAAAAATCTTTAACATTGTGAACAAATTTTTCAAACAAATGATGCCCAAAAAGAATATATATTTAAGAAAAGAAGTTTTCATTTTGAAAAAGGATGGAAAACAATCGTAACAAATGTTTAATTTTAACGTTAAAGTTGAACAAAAAATATGGAATTTGAATTTAAAATCTCCTCAAAATACTTGAGAACTAACCAATATATGAGTTATTTGATATATTATGGCTAAAAAATGTGACACATTTCCTGTCCCTGTTACCTTGGTACTTTGTAATTTGCCATTCAAGTATCATTAACCCTAACCCCCTAGGCCCTTGTTGCTTACAACCATCCTCAATCCTCCAAAATCCTCCAAAATTTTGCAACTCCGCCTACATTTTTCAAAATTGTCAGACAGTCCTGCCTCAAAATGCATTCATCCTCAATCCTCCAAAATCCTCCTCATCCCAAAATTTTGCACTCATGTTTAAATGAAGGATAACCCAATGCCAAATCCTTCAAAATCATCAGACAGTCCTGCCTCAAAATGCATTCATCCTCAATCCTCCAAAATCCTCTTGTGCTTCAATCACCATTCATCCTCAATCCTCCAAAATCCTCATGTGCTTCAATCACTATTCATCCTCAATCCTCCAGAATCCTCATTTGATTCAATCACCATTCATCCTCAATCCTCTAGAATCCTCCAAAACCGCCAGGAGGATTTTGGAGGAGTGAGGTGGGTTAGGGTTAAGAATGACTTTAAATAGATTTGTTATTTGTTGGGTAGGTAGTTTGTTATTCATAATCACTCTTGGAGGACGACTGCATTAAGGAGTGCATCAGAATTATAAAATCATAGATGTCAGATGTAACAGGGACAGAAAAAAAAGGGGACCCAAATTTATAGCATGACCCATTTTAACTACCAATTTCCACAATTAAGGACAATTTTAATTTTAACAATTGGTCTGGTCCCCAGACCTACCTGTAGTTCTTCTGCAGTTTTCAGTTCCAATCCTGAATAGTCAGATACCCTGGTTCTGATCGCTGTGACCATAGGGTCGAGATCCTCCCGCAGCCAGGCGCTTTTGCTGATGCGGTAGTCGGCGTATTCCAACTTGCCTGTCACTGGGTTCTGAATCGTCGCCCTGTTCAACTGCGGACGAATATTGGCGAGAATTCAGTACGTAATTTCTGGTCCCAGGGGAAAACAATTCACACACATCCCTATGTGATTTGTTTTCGTTTTGCTGAAAGAACGCTTACCTAAAATGATCCGTGGACAGTACTTTAAAACGGTGGTTGTGTTTACAATTCCGTAACTTGAAAATTACATGAGTGATTTGAATGATTCTTGTACTAATGGAAAGCTTATGAATTGGGCTTTCATATCCTAGATTTTGGAAGTGCTACATGCAGAACTTCACTAAAACAATAGTCCCAAAATTCCGTCACTTGAAAATTACATGAGTGATTCGAATGATTCTTGTACTAAAAGAAAGCTTATGAATTGGGCTTTCATATCCTAGATTTTGAAAGTGCTACACATGCAGAACTTCACTAAAACAATAGTCCCGACATTTGGGTTTCGTTTTTTTTTTACTCCCCTTGTATTGAAGAAAAGTCTCCTTAAAAATTGAATTGAGACCTCAAACTTGGCTGGTGAAATACTGAGGACCTTGTCTTTGCCTTATGATCATTTCTGAGAATTTTGTCAGCTAAAGAGTGAGTAAAGTTTGTCTGAATTTGTTTTGCATGTTTTTCAGCATTCGATGTCCCAGTCTGGCTGTAACCAGCTCGCGTTGTAAGACGTGATAACACGCACTGGCTGTTTTTATACACAGACACGGCTGATGGGTTAAGACTTCAAGATTGCCTCGACTCGCCTCCAGGTGACGTCTAAACATGCTAATCCCTCGTGCCGTTTGAACACACACACAAAGTCTGTGAAGTCTGTGGAGGCGGACCGTGTGTTGATCTTGAATTGGCCGTTGTGCAAGGCCTATTGTTGTATAATTTACGCTCCAGTGCACACCCCGGAGTATTGACATATATGAGGTTTCGGCAAGCAATATCGTACTGAAATTACTCTTGCGAATCAGTTTTTGCGGCAAAAATAATCCCGGAGCGAAGTGGTTAAAGGGAATGTACAACATTTGCTTTTGCCGCAATTTTCTGAAATAAATGGATTTGGAGGATTAGTATGTTTTAGCAGATATTGTTAAAATGACTTGTTTCATGTTTTAGGGTTGTAGATGCTGGAAAAACCAAGAAAACCAATCATGTTCTTGTAGTCTGGTTCCCTGACTCCACTTAAGATGAAACAGAGCAATTTATAGATTCTGGGGAATTGTAAGGTCAGAGAATCAGTCTAGCAGGCTTGTACCCATTCTTAGGTGTGTAATCAATTGCAAAGAAAACGCGGAATAACTTATTATGAAAAAGTAGGAGCAGTTTATGAAAAAAAAAACAGTTTTCTCCAACGCTGGTCGTCCGACCAGCGTTGGAAAAATACCGTTTTTCTTTAAAATGAAAGCACACCAGGAGCCACGATTTTACAGGATGCTTTAGACTGTCATTCCCAAACAAACCAGTGAGTAATTTCATGATAATTTGATCTTTTCAAAATGTGATGTTTGCAAATGTTGTATCTTCCCTTTAACCCATGTGATACTCACCCGTGGGGCGGCCAGGGCCTTGACTCTGGCAATCTCAACGTCATTCAGGATGTCGTGGAATATTTTCAGCCTAGGGTGGTCGAAGATGACCTCTTCCTTAGCCGGCTGGATGTACAGGCGGGGATTGTTGTAGTGTCGGTAGTGACACTTCATGATGCGCTGATTCTTTGGGGCCTGTGGAAATATTATTATTCTTTTATTCATTATTCCAATATTTATCCAGGGTTAACCCAAACTGCTTGTAGCTGGTTTTCATTCGTGCCTTGCTTTAAAAATATCAAAAACAAAACCTTAGAAGTAAAAACAAAAGTAAACATATTGAAGAGAATGTAAGATAAAAGATTTAAGCAACATGTCAATTCAAAAAGTAACGTGGTGTGTCCATCATGTCCATGCAGAAAACTTAAGTTTGATTAACCCTTACCCTACTAGACCCTCCAACGCATGCCAATATGTGCCTCAAGAAAATCTCCTATGTTTTTTGCATGGCCCTCCAATATCTGCCATGTCATTTCAAGGGTAACTGGACAGGCACTCCAATACATGCCACAGAGAACAATGAGAGTCCTCTGATAACAATCAAGTGCCCCCAGCTGGTCAGTATCAGGCACCCTCCAGGGCCTCCAACTCCTGCCAATTGGAGCCTTCACTGCTACATCAAAGTATCCTCCAATAAACTGCAGCTGGAGGGCATTGGCATAACCAACTGACATGCAGTAAACTACCCTCAGAGAGTAAGGGTTAAAGGTACGAGTCTAGCATACTGACAACACGTAGCGTGTAACCAATTTTCTTGTTGGCTCATGTGCGAAAATCAGTCAATGCCCAACACATTGTCCTACAGGCAATATGACAAGAGGTAGCCATTTTTTTTTCAATTATTTATTTTTCTCCATGCACGCAACATAAGAATATGTTTATCTGGTAGGCGAAGGGATGGAATGCCACAGTTTTTGGACAGTCAGTTGACAGTCACTTGACAGTCATCTGACAGTCACTTGACAGTCATCTGACAATCACGTGACAGTCATTTGACAGTCTTGACAGTCACTTGACAGTTACTTGATGGTCACTTGATGGTTATACGACAGATATTTGACGGTCATTTGATGGTCATTTGATAGTCAATTCATTTATCAAATAATGAAACTAGCTTGTGAAACGTCATATTTTGTATCTGACCTTAACAGCATGGGCTTCTCCCCTGCACAGCGCCTCATTTCATGGTTATATGATAGTCACTTGACCATACATGACAGTCATATGACAGTCATTTGACAGTCAATAATTCATCAAATAATGACACTAGCTTGGGAAACGTCATATTTTGTATCTGACCTTAACAGCATGGGCCTCTCCCCTGCACAGAGCCTGATACGCTTGTCTCTCTGGTGACGTATTCGGACCTAGTTCCTCTGGCTTCTTCTTGGTCTCATCCACCTCCACCCACCCCTCATCATCATCTTCATCCTCCTCCTCGTCATCCTCGCCTCGGGGCTGCTGCTTCTTGGAGACGTGGTACTCAAAGTAGCGCTTGTTGCTGTTGCCGCGCTCGTGCTCTGGGTCTTTGAAAGAGTTGTTATTGAGACGATCACAAATCAAATCACACTTTTAATTCACAAGTCAAATTGCAAGTCCAAAATCTAGTCAATTCACAAGTCGATTCACTTAAACGGGGATGAATTAAAAGGGGAACTGCAGAGTAATGCCTTTGATTTCAATAGCTTGTGTTTAGAATTGAGACTGAATGACTTGTGAAAGACTTGCGATGACTTGCAAATGACTTGTGATGACTTGTGATGACTTGTGATGACTTGTGAATGACTTGTGATGACTTGCAAATGACTTGTGAATGACTTGTGATGACTTGTGAATGACTTGTGATGACTTGTGAATGACTTGTGAATGACTTGTGATGACTTGTGATTGACTTGTGATGACTTGCAAATGACTTGTGAATGACTTGTGATGACTTGTGAATGACTTGTGAATGACTTGTGATGACTTGTGACGACTTGTGAATGACTTGTGATGACTTGTGAATGACTTACGAATGACTTGTGATTGACTTGTGATGACTTGTAACTGACTTGCAATGATTTGCGAATGACTTGTGAATGACTTTGACGACTTGTGAATGACTTGTGATGACTTTGACGACTTGTGAATGACTTGTGATGACTTGTGCTGACTTGCGATGACTTGTGACAACTTGTGAATGACTTGTGAATGACTTGTGACGACTTGTAAATGACTTGCGATGACTTTGATGACTTGTGAATGACTTGTGATGACTTGTGAATGACTTGTGAATGACTTGTGATGACTTTGACGACTTGTGATGACTTGTGCTGACTTGCAAATGACTTGCGAATGACTTGTGATGACTTTGACGACTTGTGATGACTTGTGCTGACTTGTGCTGACTTGCAAATGACTTGCGAATGACTTGTGATTGACTTATTATGACTTGTAGCTGACTTGCAATTATTTGCGATGACTTGTGAATGACGTGTGTTGACTTTTGAACAATATGTGATGACTAGTGATGACTTGCAATGACTTGTGATGACTTGTGAATGAGTTGTGATGACTTGTGACTCACTCGATTATGCTCAATGACAAGAAGAGAGATTATTTTCACCACTCACCTATTGCTAACAACTGCTCTGTGTATGACAAGGCCTGGTCCATATCGCCATTCTACATGACAAGATCGAGACAAATGAAATGATAGCAAAAAGGTTATTAAGATACACGTACAAGTAAACACAAAACCTAAACACTCAAATATCTAACTCAAGCTAGCCGCAAAAATTGAACACAATTTGACCTCCTTAGATGTCAAGTACATACAGTTCTGAATCACTTTGATTCTTTTTTTTTAAGGTTTTAGTTTCTGGCAATATTTAGATAATTTCAATGCAGTGCTGTACAGCACAAGTCCAGTCACAATGATCACAAGTCAATTCGCAGGTCCAGTCACAAAAGAGTCGCAGTTCATTTGAATATAGCTTCATGACCGGACTTGGAACTGCATGGCTTGTGATGGACTTGTAAGAACTTGTGACGAGCTGTGAGGACTTGTGATTCACTTGTGAGGACTTAAAATTGTGAGGACTTAAACTTGTGAGGACTTAGACTTGTGAGGACTGGTGATGGGCTTGTGGTGGATTTGTAAGAACTTGTGAGGACTTGTAATTCACTTGTGAGGACTTAAACTTGTGAGGACTTAGACTTATGAGGACTGGTGATGGGCTTGTGGTGGATTTGTGAGGACCTATACGTACCATGTACAATATGAATGAGAGGTAATCTAAGATGTCTGCTTTCTCCACAGTCTTGTCGGGATCGTCCTGTCGCTCCACGCGGTGCAAAGCCTCCAACATCCACAGACGAGAGTGGAAGTAATCGATGGCATTGTAGGCGATGCGGCCGATCTCAAAACACTCGTGAGCTGCCAAAAGCAATGAAGATTATATTAATTTGGCAGAGTGTTCATAAGAGGGTTAAGCCTTACAAGGGTGCACCCAAAACCAAATTTTTCCGGGGTGGGGTGGGGGTGGGGGTGCGGGACGGGGACGGGGTACCATAGTTTTGGTTTGAAGATCAATGTCTAGATCCGTTTAGCATTCCACAAAATTGACATTTTATAAATGTGGAATTGTTTTGAATGAGGCCTTAAAAAATAATCTTGTTTTTATGCTAACGTCCTAAAAATTACCCAAGTAGATGTAGACGTTGTTCTTTTTACATACTCTTTTTTTTATCATAACTTACTTTATTTCTTCGGGTTTAACAGTTTTTGGTTACTTAGTTCTGTTTAATTAACTGTTAAATTGACCAATTAAAATTTTCAGCCAAAAGTAACAATGTCAAGTTTGAGGTCGCCAATTTGGCCAAAAACTTGGTAGTTTGCGTTATCATAAACACACAATTATTATGTAAATATTATTATTATTAGTGTGATTTTTAATTTCATCATGAGAAAAAAATCCTTTGTAATTTCTCGAGTTGGTCGTGTATCCTACTATTTTGTCCTCAAAGTCCCAACACAGCTGTACAACATGTATGTATTCGTTTAAATTTAGTGCATTTTTGATGCAAGCTACGACCTTGGACATAAAATGCCATGAAGGTAGCATTCCTAAGGCCAATTAGCCCGAGGCACATCTGATATTCTCATACAGGACCCTAACAACAAGACCTGATCCCTGAAGTGACCTGGGAATAGAGAGCTGATACAGCTTGACCAAATGACCATCTGGGGATTAGAGGGAATATACATCATTTGCTTTTGCTGTAATTTTCAGAAATGGATGGAATTGGGGGGTTGGAAATATATAGCAAATATAGTTACACTGACTTTTTTGAGGTTTTGGGTTCGAAAATGCAATAAAAACCAAGAAAACAATCATTTTCCTGTAGTCTGGTTCCCTGACTCCACATAAGAAGAAACAGAGCAGTTTACATACATTGGGGAATGGTAAGGTCAGGGAACCATTCTAGCTGGCTTGTACCCGTTCATAGGTGTGTAATCGATTGCAAACAAGTGCGATGGTCAATTGGGGCCAGTATTTGAAAAAAAGCCAGTTTTTTCCAACGCTGATCGGCCGATCAGCATTGGAAATTGATACAAAAATACCACTTTTCTTGAAAATGACAGTATACTACCAGGTGCCATGATTTTACAGGATGCTTTACACTGTCATTCACTAACAGTCCAGCAAGGTATTTCAAAATGATTTGGTAGTTTTATTTTTCGATGTTTGCAAATGTTGTATTTTCCCTTTAAAGGCAAGATGGGTCCATCTCATGGCATGTCTGTAAATGTCACGGCCTTGTTGGGCGGGATTTGCGCTACCGCCTAACCGGGCAGAAATGTGATTTTTGGCGCTTCTGTGGTAGCGGGAAAGCCTTTGTTTTTGTTCTTTTTGTTTTTAGTGATGGCGTAGTTTAGGACACTTATTCCCCATGCATGAACACAATCTACTTGTACGTTGTTCATTGTGCCGCATTCCGAACAAACAGGGAAGTCTTTAAACAGACTGCATGGGTTTTTAGAGGGAAATTGTACTGGTACTGGTAGGGAACTCTATTTTTGGGGCATTTTTTTGTGTGTACGATCATATGAAGGTGTCTGCGAGTAGTCAAGGGTAAAAGGTAATAATTGATGATTTGGGGTTTTTTTCCTCATGTTTCCCCAAAAAAAATTAGGGTAGGGGCTGTCAAAATGGGGTAAGTATAGTAATCGGAGGCAGAACTATTATTTGTTTTGGCCTTACCACTACACCATTCGCGAGGCTTACACGCAGCGGACAAAAATTCAGTCATAAAGCAGCATGTACATGTAGGTACCAGTATTAGTTTTCTTTTACTGGCTTTTCCATAAATGCGGCGTGGCGTACACGGTCGTGTGAAAAAAAAAAAATCCCTCCACAACATGGCTAAATAGTGCCACTTTCTAACCCAATTGCATCCGAAATACTCAGAATTGGAAGCCCCCAGTCTGGGCCAGAGGTTCATTACCATATCTCTTCAATTCCCCAATTTCATGGCTCTCAGAACACACTAATATAGAATATTTTAAGTGTAAAACTTTTATTCATGAGCCTGGCGGACGAATCTTTGGCCTATTTTGCTTGGTTTACAAGAGTGCCGGCTAGTCTTTTGACACGGCTGATAAAGGTTGAAATGTAATTGTGCAGAACAATGTATATGCAAAAAACAATGGACCCAGTTTGCTGGTATGTATGTCATTTACAGGCCACAGCTGAATTTAGTTCTCTGGCTGCTAGTCTTGATATGTTAGGAATTTTTGAAATTAAAAAGTTGCAACTAATTTCATTACTAGTCCTGAAAAACTACACGACATCGCCAAACAAATTTAACGACTGGTCGTTACCTTTCAAGGCTACCATACGAATACAACATAAAAATTTTAAAAATAAATTTGTTAAACAATTAAACAAAAAGAACCTATTAAATTCATTTTTTTACAATATGTTTTAGGCTGAATAAAAAAAACACATGTTTCTCGTCCGGGTTTTTGGAAAAAAGGAGAGAGAGGGGCTTTTTATTTTGATTATTTTCAAGATGGCCGCCATTTTGAAATTTCCTGCAACCGTTGGTGTTTCCACTGTTCAAAGACACTTTTAAAATGAAAGACAAGTTGGACAAGAGAACTGAACATATTTACAGTGTCATTAAGAGTTGTATTGGTATTGGTATTTTATTTTCCGATGAATTTGTGGACTTTTTCTGTGGTTTTTTACTGCATTTTTCAAAAATAAAAAATAATAAAAATATCCAGGCGGTCTCCAAAAAGGAAGCGGGCGAGGACGAGAAACATGGTGTTTTTTTTACTTCCCCTTACAGACAAATTATGTTAAATTTTGTCTGGTGCAGGACGTCATTAATATAAAATTTGTATGCATTTTGAAGACAATAAAATGCGGAAAAGCGCTATAGATGTTCTGTTCATCGAACAGACATACATGTAGTTCTAGTTATTTTTTTTTTCATACTCGTACTCACACTCATGAGAATGTAGTTTGTACTCATATTTGCAAGAAAAATATTCCCTGTACTTGTATCTCGAAGGTGGAAAAACAAAAAACACAAATTTAAATCTGCTACAAGACTAGTAACAACACCTTTTGAAATGAGACAATTTGGTTTGGCATCTCTGTTGGAATGTATCAATTTCTGCAGGAGAATTTTGTCGCCTTGGGACATGTACATGTACCGGTACATGAAGTCACATGATCTGTTTCCATGAACCGGGAGTGAATCACATGTACATGTAACTACATGTACACATGTACGCAGCAGTTGGCACAGAACCAAGAAAGTGCTTCCGTGGTTAACATTCAAAGGAATTCTTCATATCCTCAAAAATACATTTGAAATGCAAATAATACTTGGATATTCATTCAAACCTAAATAGACTGTCGGCGCTATTTCAAGTTCCATTTCGAAAAATAGATTTTCTCTTTTTAAAATTACTATCTAGAAAATGCAAAAGTAATTCAATTTTGAATGAGACATCGAAAGACAAGAAAATCAGCCTTGCTTCAAAAACGTTGAATTGCACCTTGAAAATTATTCAGTTCTTGCAGGGTAAGACTGGTTCCTGTCCTTTTTTTAGAATCAATAATGTTGAGACCAGGAACCAGTCTACTCGCAGCGATAATCTATTTTCATACAAAATATCAACTGTAACCATTTTGATTTCAACTTTTATACTTCAAATTTAATGGGGGAGTGTGGCCTAGTGGTTAGGGTTTGTGACTCATGAGGAGAGGGTCAGGGGTTCGAATCCAGCTGCTGGCCATATGCTGTGTCCTTGGGCAAGCCACTTCATCCCAACTTGCCTCTCTCCACCCAGGAGTACAAATGGGTACCAGCATTAGCTGGGGAGTAACCTGCAATGGACTAGCATCCCATCCAGGGGAATAGAAATATTTTCAGTGGTTTCATGCCACTGAAACCGGAGATAGATAAGAAAAATCATGATTGCTGCAACATGACATGCATGATAATGGTCTATTCAATTCACTTTTTGAACAAACGAACCACCTGGACAAGAAAATAAATATAGTCATGAAAGTAAAAGAACATCTGACATGCCTGAGACCAACACTGAATTTTGTATAGACCAGATTACCAAATTTCTTCGGGGCCTTCAGAACAGAACATTACTCATGTGATTTAATTCAGTTTGAACATTTCTCACGGTTTGGCGCTAATCTTTCGTTACAATAGATTTGATGTGGCCGTGATTTGAATCCCGATAACTAGACGTGAAACATGTGACAAAAGGGGTTGTCAAAATTCATTACATTTTCCTTTGGGAAACGTAGCAGTGTACCGTGCAGTGCCTGGGGTGTTAACAGCAACACACAATACATGTAAGGAGTTATTTAATCTGAGAACCAAAAAAAGGAGGAAAACGCTTAAGGAAAAAGCTTAGCTCCAGTAAATGAGGCGTGAATCTAACTTGACTTTAGTAGCATTGTGAGGATTTGAGTGACGGCGCACGGTCACTAAAAAGCCGGCATGCCTGTGGCTTTATTGTTAACGGTACAAAGGATCAATCGCTTTTTTTGCACATTTTTTTTCCTGTTTGAAGCGACAAAATTGCTCAAAATCTTTGGAAGGGGGGCATAAGAACTGACGTGATGAAGTTTGAGCTACGTGGATACTACACATTTTGAGAAAACAGAGAAAACTTGCGCACAGCTTTTTTTTTTGGTGTCGTAACTGGATTCCATTGCTTAACACACATAAAAAAAAGAAGTGTACCCGCAAGCACAGTTTTTCAAAACCTCTTTCAATGTTAGTTCTATTTCAAACGATACCATTTGAGGCATTAAGTTTTCTTTTTATTTTGTGACATCACAGTTTTTCTCATGAATGTGGACATTTGCATTGAGCATATATTTTGTAAAAACCAAAAAGCCACCAAAACACCCTTTAATGGCAATATGACGGTTGAATATAAAGTTGTAAAAGGGACACCTGTGCAATTTCGAGGACTGCATAAAAAAAATTCAATTACATTTATACATTTGTAATATTTCATGCTTCAGCCTTGGCGAAATGTTACTTATATTTAGGGTTCGACTTTAGCGGTAGCCCGCTAGCCAAATGCTAGTCAAAACAGCGGCGGGCTAGTGCAACTTTTCCTTAAAGGGAATATACATCATTTGCTTTTGCTGTAATTTTCAGAAATGGATGGGATTGGGGGGTTGGAAATATAAAGCAAATATAGTTACACTGACTTTTTGGAGGTTTGGGGTTCGAAAATGCTATAAAAACCAAGAAAAACGATCATTTTCCTGTAGTCTGGTTCCCTGACTCCATATAAGAAGAAACAGAGCAGTTTACATACATTGGGGAATTGTAAGGTCAGGGAACCAGTCTAGCTGGCTCGTACCCGTTCATAGGTTTGTAATCGATTGCAAACAAGTGCGATGGTCAATTGGGGCCAGTATTTGAAAAAAAAAACAGTTATTTCCAACGCTGATCGGCCGATCAGCGTTGGAAATTGATACAAAAATACCACTTTTCTTGAAAATGACAGTATACCAGGTGCCATAATTTTACAGGATGCTTTAGACTGTCATTTACCAACATCCTATTAAGGTATTTCGCAAAAACTTGGTAGTTTTATTTTTCGATGTTTGCAAATGTTGTATATTCCCTTTAAGTAGCCGAGTCGAGTCAAAAGTTATTGGGCTACGGCAAAGATGAAAGGACAGGAAGAAATGAATATCTAATTTCAGAAAGCAAACCTGTATCACTTTGTGTCTAATTTCATTAACTGTTTAGGGTTAAATTTTTAGATCTGTTTATTAAAACACTGACAAGATTGCCTCTGGACACACTTTGTATACGTGTATGCGCATGGTTGTTTATTAGAAACTATATTTAAGGAAAAATAAAGGGGGCTAGTGAAAATGGGCTAGTTTAGAGTCTGTTTCAGTAGCCCAGCTGGCTAGTGAAAAAAAAATAGTTAAGGTCGAACCCTGTGATATGACCCTGAAGTCCAGAAGTTTCATTGTTACCCGTTGTTGAACTAGCAAACAAAACAGGAAATTTTGACTGTTTCATGATGTTTGCATAACCCTCAGGTTTACAGACCAATATAAACTGGGCACCATTGACTGGATTGACAAATACCGATACCCTTACTGAGAACTTTTGTTTGCTACAAACCTTCAAGTTTAAGGGCCGCGTAAAGTTATATTTCAAGAGAAAGTGACAGTTTGTGATATGGTTGGCATTGGCAATTTGGGGCCCATTTTAAAACTGGTCTGCAATTTTTATGTGTGTGCTTTTATACAATGTAGCACAACAGACACATTTGAGTTTCAACATCATAATATTTGGAGAACAAGTTCATTTGTAACGATTTTCCAACAACAACTTCTTGCAATTAAGTTCCGTTGTGCAGAAGCATCATTGAGCAGTTATTTTTTTTAATGATTTAAGAGACGAATGTTCAATTTTCCAAGTCTGTGTCCCCCCCCCCTCCCCGTTTTCTGCCCAATTAGTAGGAATATTTGTGTTTCTGCTCAGCATGAGTGGCAGTCAACCAAGATTTTGCAGGGAGAAACCGCAAATACACCAGTCCAAAAAATTAGGAGTTTCTTTCTCCTAGAAATTATTTCCAGGCCAGTAACTTCTTTCACCATATGAAAACATACAGGTTTTTGTGAAGAAATTTACCCTAAAGAGTTCTTGTCATTTGCTTGTGGTGGTGTTTGTTGGCTTTGACTTTCTGTTGTACAGAAATCTGGTGGAAAAATATTTACCCTAAAAAGAAGTGAACAAAAGGAAAGTGAACAGTGCACTTTTTATTCACTACAAAATCAGCTCGCATTGTCCAATTTTAAGTAGTAAAGTAAAGTCTGTCGCGAGCCAATGCGGCTCATCAGGCCGGAAAAAAAATCATGAGTGGGGAGGAGGAATATCCAGGTCTACCACAAGCTGACTTACCGGTGAGCGGAGGCGACTTCCACGTTCCTTCTATATTCCCGTCCGCGATTGACTTCGTGTCCAGTTTGTACGTGTCTTGAAGACGTAGCAAGGCAGCCCCGGCCCCCTTCAGATCCTCATTGGCGGGGAAATAGTCACGATACTGAGAGATGTTCACCAGATAATCTAAACGGACAGTCACAAAACAAAACCGAATTATTATAAAGTCGAATAAATAAATGGACTGGAGTGAGGTTTGAACCTGCGACCTCCGGATTGCCGTTCCAGTGCTCTACCAACTGAGCTTTCCAGCCCTATGTTGGTGGTTCCCCATTTTGTCAATGTCTTTGTTCAAGGGGCGCTAGTCAGAAGCCATATACCCGTAAATGCCATGCAGCCAGGGATCACGCCCAAAGTCACGATGCTAGCAACATTAGCAATGCTGCAAACCTGGGAAATAGCAAACGGGGATCAATCAGAGAAGGAACAACTTTTGTATAAATTTTCAAAATAAAAACAATTTTCACACTTTCAAATAAAGGGAAACTGACAAGGTACATTAAAATCATTTTAAAAATGAAAAAAGATATTGACTGGAGCAGGGTTTGAACCTGCGACCTCCGGATTACCATTCCAGCACTCTACCAACTGAGCTATCCAGCCCTATATTGACAATTTCCCAATTTGACAAATCTTTGTTCAAAGGCGCTGAAAAAAAAATTTTCAAAGCAATTTTCAAACAAAATCCCTTATATTTCCCTGAGAAATTTCCAAATTCCATGAGAAATATCTTCATTTTAACGAGGTTGCTGATTAGTCAAGAGGTGGTTACAGCAAAGCCACTAAGATACTGATAATATTCACAATGCATAAGCACTAAAAAGCCACCATAGCCAGCCAGTCAACGGACACAACTTGGAGTTGGACACACAGCAATACTTCTCCTATCTGGGTCACTGTCAAATTCGCCGAGTTTTCCCTGATTTGGTATTTTTCCCAAATTCCCCGTGTTTTCCCATGCTGGAAAAAAAATGGAAACTCAAAGTTTTCCCTGATTTCCAGAGTACCTGGAAACTCTGCTTTTGATGACAGTTTACCCATCACAGAAAGCCAACACAGAGGCCATACAGGACCCAGAACACTACCTGTCCCACCCAGTCAATGCCTTACCTGATTATAGATGAAGATATTTCTCATGGAATTTTGGAAATTTCTCAGGGGAAATGGAGTGTCATGGCCTAGCGGTTAAGAGCACCGGACTCATGTTCTGGTGTTTCAGAGGCAACAGTGACGTGGGTTCGAGCCCGCCGGCGGACACTTGTGCCCTTAAGCAAGGCACTTAACCATTCTTGCTTCGTCCTTCAGATGGGACGTAAAGCCGTAGGTCCCGTGTGTTGTGTAATGCAGGTTAAAAAAAAACAGTAACACTTGTCGCTTAGAGAAGGGGTTTGCCCCGGTGTCCTGGCAGTGGCCGCAGCACCTTGTAAACCCTTAACCCTTACCCCCTAGGCCCTTGTTGCTTACAACCATCCTCAATCCTCCAAAATCCTCCAAAATTTTCCAAAATTTTGCAAATCCGCCTAAATTTTTCAAAATTGTCAGACAGTCCTGCCTCAAAATGCATTCATCCTCAATCCTCCAAAATCCTCCTCATCCCAAAACTTTGCACTCGTGTTTAACCCTTACTCTCTGAGGGTAGTTTACTGCATGTCAGTTGGTTATGCCAATGCCCTCCAGCTGCAGTTTATTGGCAGATAGTTTTATTTAACAGTGAAGGCTCCAATTGGCAGGAGTTGGAGGCCCTGGAGGGTGCCTGATACTGACCAGCTGGGGGCACTCACTTTGTTATCAGAGGACTCTCATTGTTCTCTGTGGCATGTATTGGAGTGCCTGTCCAGTTACCCTTGAAATGACATGGCAGATATTGGAGGGCCATGCAAAAAACATAGGAGATTTTCTTGAGGCACATATTGGCATGCGTTGGAGGGTCTAGTAGGGTAAGGGTTAATAGACATAACTCCCAGTGCCTTGAGTACCTATACTCCGTTGCGATAATGCCTGAATAGGTCTCTGCAACGTAACCATACAGATACAGATACTTTGAAAAACCTACTTGTTTTGGGGACGTCTAGCCGGATGATGTTCTCCACCTCGGACCACTCCCAAATGAATCTCTTGACCAACAGCAAGCCGTTGACTGGATGGGACAGGTAGTGTTCTGGGTCCTGTACTGCCTCTGTGTTGGCTTTCTGCAACTCATCCATCAACCTGCGCAATTGAGAAACAAAAAAAATAACTTTAAAGTTTCTTTTGGAGATTGCTAACATTTAGAGAACTTACTTCCAGAAGTGAAGAAAAAAAAACACAAATTGTGTGCACAAATGTCAACATGCAACGTGTTTTAGAACCCAAAAGGCTGCATTCTGGATGAAAGTGCCCCTTTAACCCTAACTCCCTAGCATGATTTACTAGGAACCGTACCCATCCTGGCAAATTCCAACACCATGTGGGAAACTGCACACATATATTTCTGACTTTGATTCTGGAGGTGTGCCAACCCAATGTAAAAGACTGTCGGTTTAGGGGTACTGTACCCATCCTGACAGATTCCAACAAAGCATGCCGTTGGGGTTTGATGGGTTGAGTTCTGTTAGGGTTTAAGGACAAGATTGCTACATGTATGATGTACATGTAGGCAGATATTTTTGATCAAAAGGAAAAATTGTGAAAATGTTTTTAAGGCAAAGCGAAAGGTTCATATTCTTTGACAAAAGAGTTTTTTGTTTAATTATTAGATTCTTATAACTCCTATGTTACAAACTGTAACATAGGAGTTACCATAACGTCGGTTTACCAAAAAATATATTCCTCCAGAGATTTTATGATTGATAATTCTTTAATAACTGCTGTGGTAGTATATCACTTATACCCTTATAATCAAAGGGTACTGAAACAATTCTTCCAACAATTCACGGTATGAAGAAAGTTACAAATGCAATTGCAAGGTATTTTGATTATTGCCATGTCCTTTGTTTTGTAACATGAGTTGCCAACAAAGAAACTTATTGCCAAACCAACAGAAAGTAGTGAAGTCACATCACTTGAAGGGATCTTAGGTGAGAAAAATCCACCCTAAATGCTTTGACTTTATGAAATAACACACAGTTCAACTTGAAGGAATACCCCCTTTAAAAGTAAGTGAGTTACCATTGAATCGCCCATATTCAGTGATAAAATAAAACATGAACTACTGTACTTGACAATATAAGATCTACAGTATAAGTTAAATTTTGCATTCCGTCAATTGACTTTCAAATTTACGAATATCAGTATCACGACTTGGGCAGACATAATTCTAATACTGTACATAGGTTAGGCAGGGTGAAAGTTCCCTGACCTGCAGGCCGGGACATGACCAGTAGACACAGGAAGTTTTGGGCACAGTGCCACATGTCTAGTGTGTACGTGCTGAAACGTGTGGGTGGATAGAGGACCCAATTACTGGCCAGCCCTGCCACGTGTACACAAGTTGTCAATGTACACGTGAATACCCAGTAACCTTGCACTCAAGTATGCAATAAGAGTTTCTGTGTAATCCACCAATGCACCAACTGCACCCAATAACCAAAATTGCCTTTGCCGGCCAAATCACTATTTGTATGTTGTCATTTTTTCTCCTACATGTAATAAATTATTTAAACATTAACAGACAACTGCATTTTTGCACAACAACTTCAAGACAATGGTGCTCCATGATGCGTGACCCTGGAATGTAACCCAAGGTGTCATTGAAAAGCGCACAGCTTCAGCTTTAAGATGATATCATGCTTCTTGCTTGTAGCCAAATAGTCTGGCCATAATAACCCTTTCAAGTAGGGTTACTTTTTTTTATTCACCCTGTACACTACAATAATGGTTGAGGCAAGGTTGAGGCAGCTCTATAGTTATGAGAAGTGAAACATGAGTGACCTCGATTCTGCATTAGAGACTGTCCTTGTCCCGTTTGTTTTTCATCACCAATTGCCAGGTAATTCAATTTGTGGAAATTTTCCAACTGCAGTTGTGCAATTATTAGGCTGGTGGAAAGGAATTCCTTGGGCGATGGAAAGCAATTTGCATGAACTGAAAAGACGATTTTTTTTTTTTTAACAGGGATGAAAGTGGGTTATAACATAAACGTACATGTACCAGTAACTCTGTTAAATAATAAATTCTTAGTCGTTCAATTTTATAAAATTTTAAGCAAATTAATTGAACAATAAAAAAGACATGAAAGTATTTGGGATGTACATACATGTATGTATACTTGCTGAATAAATTCAGTTTCAGTTGAATCGGCAAAAAAATCACCGAAAAGTAAATGTATACGTGTATAGACTTTTATCATGCTGCCACCATTTCAGTCATGTTCCCTGTATCCAATAACAGTACTGAACGATAATGTTTTTTGTGCAAAAAGGAACCAGACTATTTTTCCTTCCAGCCTCGCTTTGGTTACGTTGATTTGAATGGGAAAAAATCAAGATGGCCGCAACATGATAATGGTCTATAGTGAATGATTTTGTCCTGAACAAATTTTGTTCAAGGCAAGACTAAGCAGGTCTAGTAAAGCCGGTCCCAGAGTGCACGCAATTCTATCCAATTGATTCAGAATGGTTAGTCACTGAAAGTCTTTTCATGCATCTGGTCTTCACAATGGGCCGGAGTAGCATGAATTTAGCTTTTTATGAAATACGGACTCATTGGTGGTATTGCGCATGCTCATGCACAGATAACTAGGAGAGGGACCGGTCACGTGAGAGGGTTTAACCAATAAAAGGGAAAAAGAGTCCGATTTTCATACGAGTCCGATTTTCATATGACACCGGAATTTAGCCCAACCATTGCGGGGTAATCCTATACAACAGCACTGCCCGACTCTCAGGTGACAGTCAGTGAGTCAGTCAGTGAGATCGTTACAAAGAGGACACTAGGCTGGCCCTCTGGGACCAGCACAAAGCTACAACTATATATTTTTAAACGGCGAATATCTACAAAATATATGTACATGTAAGTAAACATTCTCATTCAAAGCCAGTGTATTAAATTTTGCAAAAATTTGCAACAACAAAAATGACTGACAATTTTTTTTTGAATTATTAAAAAAAAATTATAAACTCCTTACTTTTTGACTTTCTGAATTTTCAGTTCCTCCTGCTTGACGTATTCCCTTAACGCATCCAGCATGCTGCTCTCTGTGTAGATCACATGTTCTAGATCGACCAATGACGTGAACACCTCCGCCTGACATGTTACTATCAGGCCTAGCAGGCTCAGTAACACTAACGTCCGCATTCTGCTGTACTCTCTATGTAAAACGGTAAAAGAAAATTCAAAATTTAACCAAATAATGCAAGTTAAAAAGTCAGTCAGTTTTTTTTTCGCAAGCCTTCAGACAACAATTTGTATACAGTGTTTATTAACCCTAACTCTCTATGAATTTTTGAACTTATGCATACAGCCTCAATCCTGCAAAATCCTCCATTATTTCGGATGTGGTCCGGTGGGGGGGGGGGGTTGACCACAGCCTCAATCCTGCAAAATCCTCCAGCAATCACTGTCAATATGTTGAGGCAGAGCCAGTGACATCCTGGAGCAGTGCGGATGATTTCAAATATAATCTAGGCCTAAATTTATGCACGGCTGAGCGTAAACAACACAAGGTCTGGCCCAAGACCTTGACACAGTGCATCCTCCAAAATCAGCCACACATTTTTGCCCTATACATGTAGCCTCAATCCTGCAAAATCCTCCATATTGCAAAGAGGATTTTGGAGGATTTGGGAAGGTTAGGGTTAACAGGAATTATACAACTTGGTAGCTTTTTTATTGTTCCAACCTTTTTCAACAGTGACGGGCTTACTAAAATTTAAAAGATTGTAACAACATACATGTACCAAAGGCAAAATCATTTTCTACAATTATATAGAATTCAAAGAAAATCGATCGAAAATTGAAAGAAAAATGGATAACATCACGATTGTGACAATGAATATTTAAATAATCTTGGTTTCTAAATTAAGGAAATTTACATAAATGTGATATAGTACACGTACATATATGTACATGTAGTAACTTAGTAAAACACGTGCATACATGTACCACACATTGCAATATTACTCATCATATGTTCCGTTTTATTGAACTGTAAACATTCTTCCGATTCACTCTCAAGATTGTAATAAGTTGCTGGTATCATAAATAATTCTGTTCCATAAGACTCAACCAACCGATCAAGACACTTCACTTCACTCTAAAACACTGGAGGATCAATCTTCAACAGACACTTAAGATGGCTCATCAAATCAAATTGTTAGTTTTCCTCCTAATTTTCTGCAGCGCTGTGAAGGCGGAAGTTAGCTCAAAAAGTGGTCCTAAACCTCGGGCGTCTTTGTGGGGTGACTGGCATGAATGGAGGCTCACTAAATGGTTGCTGAAGCGATGGACCACGAGTGCACTTTACACAAGCGAAAACACACTTGCCAACTACAAGATTGGCGTCGGTATCGCTGACATCACGGGACCAGCGGCAGATGTTCCTATGGTATGTTATCGAGACGTTTTCTGTTATATATACATTCTACATGTAAATTTCCATATTTTTTTTTTTCCAATTATACCAATGGTTAATGTACAACAATGCATGATAAGGCCACGACAAAAAATATTGTGTTTCCTATTACATTGAGAAAAAAAAAGGTGGATGGGTGACGAAAATTTTCCTTTTTTGTTTTGTTTTGTTCTACATTTTATATTTAGAAAGATAAGGGTGGGATGTTGGCCATTTAAAAGTACTTTATTTTAATGCAATCGTACAGTACCAGTTAGGGCAAAAAAAATAATAGTTCTGCTTCCAGTTTCCCTACCTACCCTATTTTGAGAGCCCCTACCCTAATTTTTTTATGGGAAAAATGAGAAAAAAAACGCCCAAAACCATCAATTTTTACCTTTTACCCTTGACTGCACGCAGACGCCTCCATATGATTGAACACAAACAAATCTGGCAAAAAAAAAATAATTCCCTACCTACCTACCCTATTTTCAAATGCCATGTAATCGGAAGCAGAACTATTTTTTTTTCTGGCCTTAACATATGAATCAATTGCTCATTCTGCATTTGTTGTGTTTATACATGTACATATGTACATGTAGGCTCTGCTGCAAAACGCGGCAAGACTACAATATGTCAACCAACTTACAAATAATTTAAAAAAACCAACATTTTGAAATTAAAAAAAAAATCATTGTGTTTAATATAAAAAACTGGTCGCTGATCTAATAAAATATGGCACATTTTCAACTGTATTTAAATATACATTTATGTAAATTAACGGTGAAAGTGCAACATTACTGTGACATAATTTTATCGTGTGGACAAAGCAACCTCTAAAGAATGACAAATCGGTTGCGCCTCAACTTGGTCGTCGATCCCAACATAATTTTGGATATGTTCCAGCTTGGGCCAAATGTAGCATTCTAGTTGGGCAGGCCTAACTTAGGGATTTTGTTTGGGAAATATAAGAAAGTCTAAGAACCATTAGGTTGATAGTCAGGTTCCAAGAGCCAAATATCCTGACGTTGAATATTACCAGGTCAGGGGAACTAGATGGTCAACTGCCATAACGATAGCCACTTCATTTTTATTAATTTTAAGGGAAGTAAGTCTGACATGTCCAAGAACCATTCGGTTGATTGTCTGGTTCCGAGACCAAAATATCCCGACATTGAATAATGTCAGGTCAGAGAACCAGACCGTCGACTGCCGAAACAATAGCCACTACGATTTAAAAAAAAAAAAAAAATGTGCAGCGCCACCATGCACTAGCAGTAGCAATGGGGATGGGGCGACTGCAATTATTTTTTATGCGACCAAGTATAGTCAATAACCATAATGCGCATGCGTCGGTAAACAGAATGGTTCTCAGACTTAATTTCCCTTTTTTTTTTAAAGTCCTCCAGCATGTCCAGAGGAAGAGCATGAATGAGAAGAAAAGGCTGCAATTCATTTTCACTTTATATATCATGACTGAAGATTTGATTAAACACAATTTGGGGAACAAACTTCACTTTTGAGGGAGGGGGATTTGGAAAAATGAGAATAAAATTCCCTCAGGAATTGAACCTGGAACCTCCAGCTCAACTGCGCAATTTGTGGGTCATTGACTATACTTGGTTGCATAAAAAATAATTGCGGGTTGGCTGCAACTTGCAAACTTGTTGAAGTTGAGTTTAGCTGCTCGTCCGTAAATTCATTTACAATTTATTTCCCTGAGCTGTCATAAAATAATTCATGCAATACTTACTTAGGCTGACAATTTCGGAAGTCGACAAAAATCTAGCATCCAAATTCTTAAATCCAAAATGTCCTTTGAGCGCCACGAAGTCTTCGAAGTTTTCAAGGCGAAGTTGCGTACGTGTCTTTTCTTCTGAAGATTTTTCTTTTCTGGGGACCTCTAGTTAGGACCCCTTGCTGCGTACGGTTCGAAAGAGCGGATCATGAAGTCAGGGAACCAGGTGGATCATGTTTCATCAATAAACTTGAGTCAGTTCATCGTTGAGTCACTTTTTCCCAACTCCAGTTTTGAGCAATCGAGGGCGCCCTTCAATCCCACCAGGATCACGTGAGGAGCACTCAATCACCTGACACACCAAGTTATTTCTCAACAACTTGGGTGGATCGTGATCGTTGCTTGAGAGGAAATACGTTCTTTTTTTCTGGCGAAAATCTTCCAAAGGAACCCAAAGATGGCAGGCATGACAATGTGGTGGACTTTGCTGGTGGTGTGTGTCACTGTGCTCGCCGTTCCCAGCCCAAGAGAGACTCAAAAATGGTCGAAAATCTCCGAAGATGAGATCGTAAAACTGAACACCGAGTCCAACGCCGACGCACCCAACTACAAAATCGGCGTTGGCATAGCTGACATCACAGGCCCGGCAGCAGAAGTCAACATGGTACATGATTTATGATCACAAAGTGTGGACTTTGTGATCAACTTATTGTCAAAGGTTTCTGCATAAACAGTTGTATTTTTAAGCCAAATTGTGTACAAGCAATGTATTGACAATGACAAATATAAACTATGGAAATGATTAATTTATTTCTTAATTTAAAACTCTGTTCATCATCATCCATGTCATCATGACATTATCATCATCATCATCATCCCGGCGCGGTGCGATTAATACTATAACTAGTATAAGTTGTAATCCGAATTAGTGGTCGTGTTGGGGGAGATATTACAATTAGTGGTCGTGTTGGGGGAGATTTGCATGTTGCTCGATTATGCTGTAATGCATTTTTAATTATTTGTTGATTTTGTAGGAAATATCAATTTATCCGCCCAAAGGGAATAAAAAGACTAGGCAAGTCTAGTATTAGTAAAGCTAGTCCCAGAGGGCACACAATTCTATTCAATTGATTCAGAATGGCTATTCACTGGAAGTCTTCGTACAGCTGGTCTACACAATGGGCCGGATATACCCCACTCATTGGCATGGAGGGTAATCCTATACAATAGCACTGCCCGGCACTCTTCACCAGCCTAACCAGTTTGAGTCACGAGTGACAGTCAGTCAGTCAGTCAGTGAAATAGGTACAAAGACAACACTAGGCCCTCTGGGACCAGCAAAAGTCGTAAATTCCCTTCATCACAAAATGTCAAATGCTTGAAAATTTTCTCTTTTTTTCTAGATGGGCTACGCCAACCCTTCTCAAGTAACTGGCGGTATTCACCTCCGACAGTTCAGCCGAGCGTTCATCATCGCCGACATCAACAAACCAGACAACCGAGCCGTCTTTGTCAGTATTGACGCTGGAATGCAAGATCAGCTTGTCACGCTGGAGGTAGGAATGTTTTGACAATTGTGCAATGAAGGGCCCGGTTGCTATGGGTTCTGTGCACAAGTACCCCCTCAACGGTAAGAATGGGAGAGTTGGGGGAGGACGCATTGTCGACGACGCCCGACACTCACGCAAAGACGCTATGGCCTTGTGCACATTTAGAATAAAATTAGCCATGCGTACTTCGCGCTCTACGTGCGCGAACCAGTACGTGCATGCGGTGGGTCCTCTCCACTAACTTTCGAAAGTCGTTTAAAAGCGCCCTCTCGTGTTGACGTACAGAGCCATCTGACATCTGTGATTTTATAATTCTGATGCACTCCTTAATGCATACATACTGCAATTTGTATCCTTGTGGAGTCATTTCTTTGTTCTCGTGCACTAAAATTTTAGAGTTTGAAATTGTAGTTTCAAAATGCTCCTATGTAATAACCAGAATTAATTTCCTGGGCTGAAATTCGAACTTAATATGCCTCACATAAAATACTTCAATTTGCGACGGATCAACACACATTGGAAATTCCTAGTTTGTGAGTAAAATCCACATATCTATTTCGTGATAACCTTGTGGGGACGTATTCACTTATAAAAATTGCCCAGTGGAGACGTATACAATCTTTTGTTCTCTATTATGCACATGTCTCCACAGGGTACCGTGTACCAGATCAGTCATCCTCCAAGAGTGGTTATGAATAGAAAACTACCCACCCAACATTCATTTTAAGTCATTTTTAATGATACTTGAGTGGCAAATTACAAACTACGAAAGTAACAGGGACAGGAAAAGAATGTCACACTTTGGACCTAAATTTATAGAATGACCCATTTATATTTTACTTTCTCTACAGGTTATTAAACTGCTGCAGGCCAAATACAAGGATCTGTATTCTATCAAGAATATTGCCATCAGCGGAACACATTCCCACTCCGGAGTTGCCGGCTTTCTGGAACATCTTCTTTTCCAAGTGACGTCTCTTGGCTTCATCCCGGAGGCATTCCATGCCCAAGTCAACGGCATCGCTCAGGTCAGTTTGTTTGCGAAGTTGTGAGATAGAATCAATGGGGATGTTTCATTTTAAGGGCCTTGACACTACAGAAATGTCCGGGTTGGACCCAGGGTTCAACAAAAACCTCTGGCCATGCCATGGTATGTGCCTCGTGTGTGTAGTACTAAAAATCTCCTTATATGGAAATTTGGGCATGCAGGGCGTACTGCACGATGTGGCACAGAACGCAGCGGTGTTTAACCGGCGGTTTAAATCCACCCACGTGACAGTCTCTCAACCAATAGGAATACATCAACTGTCTCAGGTATTTTATGAATTATTATTTAATATTTTGAATCTTGTTTTCTCTCTACAGAGTATAGAGAATGCCCACAACAACATGGTGGATGGCAACATCTACTACAACTCCGGCAATCTTACGAAGTCTAACATCAATCGAAGCCCCAGTGCCTACCTAAACAATCCTAAGGAAGAACGAGAAAAGTAAGATTCCTTCTCAAATTCTGACATCCTCCCTTGTGGTTACCAGGGTTGTATTACTCGGCGCGAAAGGGAACGCGAATGCAAATTGGTGACATTATGGCAAGCTTTCGTGCTGCGATTTCGCAAAAGTTGAATGTATTTCAACTTGGGCAAATATCCCAGCAAATGTTCCCTGACGTCGAATTCGCTTTGCATTTGTGTGAAATTTGAACAGGCCTTTTAACTATATTATTCTTTCAAAGATATAAGAAAATTCAAAAGATAAACTCAAGAGTTAACAAAATTAACATCTACAACTGATTCAACTGATAAATTGGACCTTTAATATTTTGCAATTGAAAGGGATGGGCTAGTTATCTTGACTGAAACATGACAAACTAAGTAATACTCTGCAAAAGTGTAAATGATTGTTAATTTTATTCGTCTAAAAAAGTGGTGTTTTTTTTCTGGTTATTTATTTCAGATACACGGCCAACGTGGACCAACTGATGACCGTCTTGAAGCTGGTCGACAAGAATGGTGGCGACCTCGGCATGATCAAGTGAGTACATAAAAGATTCGACAGAGCAATGGGCTCTATGCATGACCGAACGAAGGCAGTATTTATCCCGACAAGGAGAGTGTACGGAGGACACTTTTTGACTTATCACTTTGCATAGAATGTAAATATACTAGCAATTGTCAATTTGTATATTTTATTTCGTTTAAAACACCTCCATTCCGTTTTCGGATGTCTGCATCCCTCTGAAAAAAAAAGAAAAAGGTTTTTATTTCGGGCTCAACACAGATCTGCTTTGTAAGCAGACTGGTTCCCGGTCCGTACATTATCGATACTGATTGTAGGGCAGGAACCAGCCAACCCCACGAACAGACTAGGCCAAGTTCGGGAAAGGACCATTAGTCGACTAGTGGTTGATTTGTGACGTACCTTACGCCTGCGCACTAATAGCAACGTGCGAACGTCTGTAGTCAAACGCTGGTCAAAATGTCATCTCAAAACTTCTGGATCCTGGCTCCCTGCTGTACCTTATGAATGTGCGCGGCTATGGTTACCAGCGATGCAACCAGCCCCGTTAGGTTGGTTCCAAATAGTCGACTAGCGTAGTCAACCATCGTTGACTAGACAGAGTTCGGGCAAGCGTTAGTCGAACAATGGTTAACTATAGTCCTTGCGCGAACTTGCCCCTAATTGTCTGGCAGCCAACAATTTGAAATTGTAAGGTAATAATTCAATAAAAAAACTCCGGTTGATTTTGTTTTGGTCGATGTCTCACTCAAAAGTGAGTAAGTTTTGTATTGCTAGAAAAAAATAGCAGTTTAGAAAAGGAATCTATTTTTGGCACGAATGTCAAAGAAAAAAACGGGGAACGTAATTTTACAAAGACTTTTCGAACAATCTTTTAATTTCACACTTTGTTGCAGTTGGTTTGCGGTTCACGGTACGAGCATGAACAACACCAATCATCTCATCAGCGGAGACAATAAAGGCTACGCCTCGCAGTTGATGGAGGGTTATTTTAACAAAGATGTCAGGCCGGGCAAGGCAAGTTATGACTGCGATAATGTCTTGTACAATTGTCGTAGTACGGATAATTTTTTTGTTTTGCAAAACAAGTGGAGTATCATGGCTTAGCGGGTAAGAGCACCGGACTCATGCTCTGGTGTTTCAGAGGCAACAGTGGCGTGGGTTCAAGCCCTCCGGGTGGACACTTGTACCCTTGAGCAAGGCACTTGACCATTATTGCTTCGTCCTTCGGATTGGACGTTAAGCCGGAGATCCCGTGTGTTGTATAAGGCCTAACGCACGTAAAAGAACCCAGTAATACTTATCGTTAAGAGAAGGGGTTTGCCCCGGTGTTTCTGGCCTCCTAGTTATACTCCCTTGTGGAAGTCCTTAGGAGAAGAACCAACCAAGTACCTACCAAAACATATCATGTGTGAAACAACCATTTCACAATTTTTTAGAGTCAATTTTTGAAGCCACGTAGGTAGGATCGTTTGCAATAACCTGGAAAAGTACCTATGATTTAACGACAGAAACCTGGCTCAAAGTGAAGATAGGACTGGTATCAAATACCCTGTGAAATTATGGCACCTGAAATGGCGTCATTTCAAAGAAGACAAACATTGACAGCAAAATATAGTGACAGCAAAATATAGTGCCCCCGGGCACACTTTTTTACGTGTTAGCAACAGAATCCAGTTACGAGACTCCAAAAAATTGTGCGCACGCTTTCTCTGTTTTCATAAAATGTATAGTATCCACTGAGCTGAAAGTTCAGCAAGTTATTTGTTATGCTGCCTACTTAAGACTTTGAGCACTTTTGTTGCTTTAAACTAAAAAAATATGCACAAAATGCAAATGATCCTATGTGTCTTTAAAAGGTTTACAAGACCCTAAATGTGTAATTTAATTTATCATGGATAACTTTGAACAGAAATTTTAGTACTTTTGTAAGTCTTAGACTTTTATTTCACTTCGAAAGGTGTTTGTACCAAAAAAAATACAAAGTACACTTTTTTGAAAACTGTAACAGATTATAAGTCTGTTTATTTTTTAACTAATAACAAGATGTTTTGTTCATTGGTTTTTTCTTCAGGGGAAGTTCGTTGCTGCATTTGCGTCGTCAAATCTCGGTGACGTTTCTCCAAACACTCAAGGAGCGAAATGCATCGACACTGGCAAGTCGTGTGACTTCAACTCTAGTACCTGCGGTGGCAAGGTATAACCCCCCCCCCCCCTCTCCAAAATTTTTTAAATCAAATACAAATCAGATTTATTTCTGGACTGTAGCCTGAGATGGAAAAGTTGCAGAATATGGATAAGCTTAGCATTTAACAGAGCCGTGTCGAATATCCAGATATTCGAATATTCAATCATCAACGGAATATTCAAACAGTATGTGTTTTATTCAGTTATTGGAAAAATGCGAGCCCTCTTGGGGAGAGGATGAAAAACATATAAATTGTGTGGTTAATTGTATGTCAAATGCCACATTTTTATTTAATGCCACTTTCGGGCACGATTTTGAGAGCATCCACGAGGAATATTAGTTCAAATTTCTTCTTTAAAATTGGTCAAATATCGGCCACAGCTACCTCTTCTTTATATTATTTTAACAAGCTCTTTGTCTGTTTTCGACAAGTGTAAGTACATGCAAATCCCGAACAGTGGCCAGTTTGAGCTGGTGCATGACTTTAACTTGATCAGTGCATTTCGAAATTGAATATACGAATATCCGATAAGATCCAAGTTGGAATAAACGAATATTCAATTACTCGACATTGCACAGCGCGCTAGCTTTTTAAAAGTAATCTTTGGTAAGGACAATGGATCGAAATGAATGGGCAGATTTGTTTGTTTTCTTGCTATTAATTGTTTTTTTTTTCTTTTGTTGTATTCATTTTTTTGATCGTAGAATGAGAAGTGCATTGCGTTTGGGCCAGGGGTGGACATGTTCGATAGTACCAGGATTATTGCAGAATATCAGTACAAGAAGGCAATGGTATGTATATTGTGTGTCAATTTTAGTAAAATCACTGTCGAACATAAATATTAAATAAAAACCGCAAAAAAAAAGTCCACACTCATTGGAGGGGTCATAATTTTGAATCTGATCGTCTTATGCTGGCGTCATTTATATAGACCTTTGGGGCATGTTGTTAGCTACATTTTGATACCCCGTTTGCTACTCAAGACTGTAAATCATCCAAGATTTGACAGTTTATGAAAAATTATGCAGTTTGAAAAGTTGCATAAATGATGTTACCATAAGACGATCAGATTCAAAATTATGACCCCTCCAACAAATGTGGATTATCTTCTATTTTTTGCAGTATTTATCATAGTTTGAAGATGTTTTCAATTTCAATTGCTATTTGGGTGATTCTGTAAATTTGGGGTCCACTTTTTTTTCCCTGTCCCTGTTACATCTGACATCTATGATTTTTATAATTCTGATGCACTCCTTAATGCAGTCGTCCTCCAAGAGTGATTATGAATAGCAAACTACCTACCCAACAAATAAACAATAATTTGAAGTCATTCTTAATGATACTTGAATGGCAAATTACAAAGTACCAAGGTAACAGGGACAGGAAAAGGTTATTTTTGTGTGTCTTGTGCAAGTCGTGACAAAAACCCAATTCCTTTTCTCTGTGATGTTGTTAAAAGTGAGCTTTTTAATTGTTTTCTTTGCAGGACCTGTACAAAAGCGCAACGAAAATGTTAACCGGTCCCGTCAGTACGGTCCACCAGTATCTGGACATGACCGATCAGACTGTTGTTTACAACAGCACATTCTGGGTACGTAAGATTATGTCGTAAGTGTAGGTCCTAACTATTCAAATTAACTGACTGAATGATGTATGCAAAATCTTGATTTTACGGTAGTTTTGAGAATTATTCCAAAAAGGTGTCATAAAACATTGTTATTTTAGACTATTAAAGGTGTAGTCCATCATTTGTAATTTGTGCATTTTGTCCGTTTGAAGCAACAAAAATGCTCAAAATCTAAAGAAGAGTGCTGAACAAACTAACCTGATGAAGTTTCAGCTCAGCTTCAGCTGTATATTTCGAGAAAAACAGCATTGTAGGATCTTGATTTCAAATCAAAAGTTGCTGAATCATGTTTTGGATTGGGCCTGAATTCAGCGCCCGAGATCAATCTCACTGAGCCCATTGCAGCTACGCGATGTCGCGCACTGATCCGACGAATTATATCAATCGCGTGCCTGTGTGCGTCGTGTCAACGCTTGTGCGCGGTTCGCCAAATAACAAAACAAACTTCTAATTTAAATTTCCTACGGTGCGTCTTAAGAAGCACCATTGGAAAGGCCTTCTTTTGTTGATTTCTTCAAAATGACAGCTTGCCAGAAAGAATAATTTCACAGGGAGTTTAGTCCCCTTACTATCTTTCAACCAAGTATGTTTTTTAACAATAATTACGCCAGTTACTTTTTGGATAGCGGCAAATGATGGACTCTAGCTTTAAATAGTGTGGATAGTCTTGTGTCTTTGTTCAGCAGATACTATTTATCACATAATGATATTGTTGTGTATTATATTTACATATGAGGCTATTTTACTTGTTCATGTTGTTCAACCACGTGAAAAGAAGTCGCAACCTCTATTTTTTTTATAGTCGACTAGTCATGGCGCCGTGACTAGTTGTTGCACTGCGACTAGATATTGGAACTAGTTGGTTGCGACGTTCATGGTAAATTTTATCGGAAGATCAGCGTCTTGTTTATTCATACATTTGGTATGTATGAAATGTTCATATGACTGGAGGTTTCGCCAAACAAAATTGCTCCGTAATCCATGAAAACTGGAATAAAATACCGACGACAGGAAACTGGATCAGTCTAACGTCATTAAAAAAATTGATTATGTAGCGTACATAGACCCAGCTGTGATGCTGTAGTGCATCATTAATTGGACATGTTTTCCAAGAACTAAATAGTCATGGGTGGTCGCGACTTTTTACCACAAGACTACCACACTACTACCAAGTAATGAATTCTACTAATCGCACAGCGTAATTCTCACTGGGTTTTTTGTTCCCACAGGGTAAGACTTGCAAGGCAGCGATGGGCTTCAGTTTTGCCGCCGGAACCACGGACGGACCGGGAGCGTTTAATTTCAAACAAGGTATGGACTCCCAGAAAACTTGGGTACTAACTGAATTCCTGATGGAGTTGTAGATTATGTAGGGGTAATGGTGTGATGGCTGTAAGGTGCGGTTTAAAGGGAATGTACATCATTGGCTTTTGCTGTAATTTTCAGAAATGAACTATTTGAGGGGTTAGTAAAAAAGATCAAATATTGTTACACTGACATGTTTAAAGTTGTATGTTCGAAAATGCTGGAAAAACCAAGAAAAACAAAAATGTTCAAGTAGTCTGGTTCCCTGACTCCACTAAGGATAAAATGGATTAATTTATAGATGCCGGAAAATTGTAAGGTAAGGGAACCAGTGTAGCTGGCCTGCACCCGTTCATGAACATATAACCAATAGCAAACAGAATTTGGACTGAATAAAATGGTAAATTTGGAGCAGTAATTGAAAAATAGTTAGGTTTTTCCAATGGTGGTCGGCCGACCACTGTTGGAAATGTATACAAAAATACCATTTTCTTGAAAATGACTTCACACCAGGTGCCAGAATTTTACAGGATGCTTTAGACTGTCATTTACCAACATCCTAGTAAGGTATTTCATGAAAACTTGATAGTTTTATTTTTTGATGTTTGCAAATGTAGTATATTCCCTTTAAAACTGGTTAGGTGCCTACAACAGATTTCCCAAAACGTTACGCACTGGCGTAACTCCAATTGCGCCACAATTTATTGCGTAAGTTGCGCAACAAACACAAATATTGAACACATTTTTTTATTCTATTTGCAGGAGACACAGAAGGAGACGCGTTCTGGAAATTTATCGTGTCCTTTATCAAGAAGCCGTCTGCCCAAATGGTGGAGTGCCAAAAACCCAAACCAATCCTGCTTCCAGTCGGAGAGGTAGAGTTGTTCGATTTATTCCACCCCGAAATTTCCATTTTTTATAGGAAGAAGTTTTTTTCCAAAACTCAATAAGCGCCATTTTAGTTACCTTTTAGAATACCGCCCTCTCTTGGCTTCCCAAAGTCAGTTTCGACGGATGTTAGATGGTTTACAATTTCAGAAAACTATAAAATGAAAAATGTAGCAAATTCCATCTTGTGAATAGTTTAATTGCGGTACCCGCTGCTACATGTACATCAGATTCGAACCAGCCAACCGATCCCGCACGCTCGGTGGTCGAGTGGTAAGAGGTCTGCACTAGAAAGCAGGAGGTCGTGGGTTCGAATCTAACTTTCACTCGGGAGGTGACACACTGAGTTCATTGAATACAGTTTTTATAGGTCAGTGAAGGGCAAAACGTAATATTGAAATGTAGCTTAGAAACAACTGCTATTCTGTGTATGTTCTACAAGTTTTCACAAACGTGCAAATTTGTAACTTTTTTTGCAATGATTATGACGTAAATTCCATCTGTAGACAAAATCAGGCACATGATCAGTGATCACTGTATATCTGAGACGCCCCCATCAATGGAGAAACCATTGTGCACGCTATTGTACAAAGCGACCTGCCCGTGATGGATTATCTGAACAATAGCTAGCACAATGCTTGCGCCATTGAAGGGGGCCTTCGTGATAGAATTGCTAGTGTGCCCAGATTTGTGTGTAAGTAAAAACGTTGTTTCTATAGATGCTTGAGCCGTATCCATGGGGACCGTCCATTGTGGACACACAGATGATTCGCATTGGTCAGTTTGCCGTTGTCGCGGTACCCGGAGAATTCACGTGAGTTTACTTTCTCCGTTTTTAATATATGCCGAAGAAGTGGGAAACGCGATTCGGTAGTGAATGAAGATAGATTTCATGGGTGGATATTTGCCATGTGAAATATAAAAATTTGAAAACAGTTAACTTCGAATATAACTTTTATCTTAAAAAAGTGGATGTGTCACTGTTTACTTTTCATATGATCCGAATGTGGCCAAAAAATGTACACATTTGCCCGTTTACACTTTATGCATAAATACTGCAGGTAGCGTGAGAAACCACTGTTCTTCAGAAACACACAATATTTTTCAATATTACTCCGCGATCAATCTGTATTCTGACTTACTAGTGTATGACACATTACAGAGCTTGGTCGTGATATCACACCGTAAATACTTCATTAATTTGCATAAATTTACATAATTCTGCTCAGTTTTCTGTACATGTTTACTACATCACAATGTGTCCGTTTCATTTTTTTTCTCCATGGTATTAGTAAAGTAAAGGAAATAATTCTGAAATGTTTCCCCTGGAAATTTGATGCACAATTTTGAACGAACGTTCCTTGTTTTTTTCCGCTACAGAACAATGTCTGGGCGCAGAACACGTGACGCAGTACAGAAGGTTAGTAGATACATTTTAACAACTTTTCATTATTTAGCTGCGGGATAGCATTTCAACAAGTCACCATGTCTCTCCGTTAGTTCGTTATTTAGTAACAAACGTTGACATTGTCTATTGCTCCTACATATTTTGACCGATTTCAACCAAACTTTGTCAACAGTAGCAGTAGCCCAGCCCCAACATGTCACATGACCAGACTGGGGTCAAAGGTCATTATGGGGTCACTGGGGTCAAAAAGCTAATTTTTTTTTAACTCAAAACACTACTTTCAGAAATTACATGGCTCACGTGACTCATCGCATGAACATTGCATGAAAATGAATTCTTGGCCCCCGCAGCTTCTGAGATATTTCTGATCGAGCTTTTACTTTGGACTCGTTTACTTATTTTGGGTTTATAATTAGACGTTAACCGTGGTAATTAGACTGGTTTAATTGTTCTCGTTTTCGCAGAGCCTGATGGAGCACGGAATGTCAAACGATACAGTTGTCGTATTAGCCGGTCTCACCAATACATATGCGGATTACATCGCAACCTATGAAGAATACCAGGTAAGGACAACGTGAACCCGATTTCACGAAACACTACGTGGATTTACACAACAAAATTGTTGCGAAGCTGCAGAATAATCTTAATATCGAATAACACATTAGTTTGTACATTTTTGGGTTTTGTGACATTTTGCGAATTTTTAATGTTGATTTTATTTCTAGTTACTTTGCGTTTTTTACTGAATTGTTTATTATTTTGTGTACTGATTTTAATCATTTGTTCCTTAATTTTTTTTGTTTTTTATAAGCTTGTTTGCAAGTCTTTTTTGTTTGTTTTTTTCCCCAGAATATCCACATTTTAAGTTATCGTTAATAAATATATGTAATTTTTACATGTAATTGATTTTGAATGAGCATCTGTTAACTATTGTTAAGCGCTTTCTGGTGTTAGTTACGAAAGGTGCTATAAAAGGTTTTTTTTTATTATTACTGTTAGGGCAATTCCATTTTAAGAGCTCAATGGGTAAATCTGAAAATGTATTTTTCAAATCTTGTACATCCATCATCTAGTAATGGTCACGGAGATTACAGACTAGGAGTTTTGGATCATTTCTGTGAATTATTGATTAGATATCATGGTTAATTGGCTCTGTCACGGAAGTTACACTTCCTTTCATAACACTGGAATTGCCGTTAAAGGAAAAATACAACATTTGCAAACATCAAAAAATAAAACTACCAAATCATTTTGAAATACCTTGCTGGACTGTTGGTGAATGACAGTGTAAAGCATCCTGTAAAATCATGGCACCTGGTATACTGTCATTTTCAAGAAAAGTGGTATTTTTGTATCAATTTCCAACGCTGGTCGGCTGACCAGCGTTGGAAAAAACTGGCTTTTTTCAAATACTGGCCCCAATTGACCATCGCACTTGTTTGCAATCGATTACACACCTATGAACGGGTACAAGCCAGCTAGACTTGCTCCCTGACCTTACAATTCCCCAATGTATGTAAATTGCTCTGTTTCTTCTTATATGGAGTCAGGGAACCAGACTACAGGAAAATGATTGTTTTTCTTGGTTTTTATAGCATTTTCGAACCCAAAACCTCAAAAAAGTCAGTGTAACTATATTTGCTATATATTTCCAACCCCCCAATTCCATCCATTTCTGAAAATTACAGCAAAAGCAAATGATGTATATTCCCTTTAACTCTTTGATTATTCTGTCCTTAAGGTCCAGCGTTACGAGGGGGCTTCGACGGTCTTCGGTCCACATACCCTGCAAGGTTACATCAACCAGTTCGTTAAACTCTCCGAGTTTCTCGCAAAGGTAACGACGAAATTGAGTACAAATACAACAGGGAGGGAGTTCGTACAAGGACCATTAGTCGACTAGTGGTTGATTTGTGACGTATCTTACGCTTGCGCACTAACGCCTCTAGTAAAACACTGGTCAAAATGTTGTTGTGTAACTTCTTGATCCTGGTTCCCCGCTGCACATTCTGATTCATGGGCTATTGGTAACCAGTGATACGACCGACCGTGGTGGTCTGGTCCCGAGAACTGACTAGACTTGTCAAACTATGGTCGTCTACTCGACTAAAGATAGTATGACGAAAGTAAAGTCTGTCACAAGCCGATACAGCCCATCAGGCTAGCGTTTATCTCCGGTTTCAGTGGCATGAAACGACTGAGAATATTTCTATTCCCCCTGGATGGGATGCTAGTCCATCGCAGGTTACTCCCCAGCTAATGCTGGTACCCATTTATACTCCTGGGTGGAGAAAGGCAAGTGGGGTAAAATGGCTTGCCCAAGGACACAACATATGACCAGCAGCTTGATTCGAACCCATGACCCTCTGATCATGAGTCACGAACCCTAACCACTAGGCCACACTCTCCCAAGTATGACTATAGTAATCTATATTTCTTACTTGAAAGTGCATATAAAAAATCAACATTTAAATTCCTCTGCACAAGCTTTTAATTTCAATTTTTGTTTTACTCCTTTTTTTTTTTACAGGGTACCGAGGCTCCAACCGGTCCCATTCCAAAGAATCTCTTGAGTAAAATGGTCTCTCTACTTCCGCCGGTAGTGTTTGATGAAGTGCCTCCGTTCCAAAAGTTCGGAGGAGTGGCCCACGATGCGGAGAAATCATACAAGCGGGTGAGCTTAATGTTGAATATTTCATCGGGATGAATGGGCTCCGTGCACAAGTACCCCCTCAACGGTAAGAAAGGGAGAGTTGGGGGAGACCACTGAGAGAGACATTTGAACGCATTGCCGACGCCCCCTTACGCGCACGCAAAGACGCTATGGCTTTGTATTCAGAATATAATTAGATGTGCGTACTTCGCGCTCTACACACGTGAACCAGTACGCGCACCGGTTATGTCTGGTCCACTGGGCTCTCGAAAATGGTTAAAAAGCGCCCTCGCTTGTTTACGCACAGAGCCCATAGAGAGCTGTTGCATCCAAGCGGATGCGTTTAAGCATACATTTTTAAAATCTTTGTTGTTGTTTTTGGTTCTCAGAACACAACTGCCAGTTCCATATTCCAAAAATGGTTAAAAAAAGCGCCCTCGCTTGTTTACGCACCGAGCCCATAGAGAGGTGTTGCATCCAAGCGGATGCGTTTACGCATACATTTTTAAAATCTTTGTTGTTTTTTTTGGTTCACAGAACACAACTGCCAGTTCCATATTCCAAAAATGGTTAAAAAAAAGCGCCCTCGCTTGTTTACGCAAGGAGCCCATAGAGAGGTGTTGCATCCAAGCGGATGCATTTACGCATACATTTTTAAAATCTTTGTTGTTTTTTTTGGTTCACAGAACACAACTGCCAGTTCCATATTCCAAAAATGGTTAAAAAAGCGCCCTCGCTTGTTTACGCACAGAGCCCATAGAGAGGTGTTGCATCCAAGCGGATGCGTTTACTCATACATTTTTCAATCTTTTTGGTTTTTTTTGGTTCACAGAACACAACTGCCAGTGCCGTATTCCATGCTGGAAACCCCAGGAACAACTTGAGGGTAAGTCCGTACGAGTACGAGTACTTTTCCCTGAGTTATGAGTAAAAGGCAAATTTTTTTTTCTTTGAGTACATGTAGGAGTACTTTTCCTTGAGTTGATCACACTGCAATGGGTGAAATATGTTCCAAAGATTGGTTATGACAGGCGTATGCAAAAGCGTACCAAAAAATAGAAATTGGGTTCTTTCCTGCATATTCCTCTTATTTTTTTTTAATCCATATGGAGAACACTTTACTGAATATGAATACAAGTATGAATACTTTGCCACGAGTATAAGCATAAGTACAGATAATGTTTTTCTTGCAAGTACGAGTACGAGAACTAAAATACTGTTTCTTTTACATTTCAATTCCTGAATCCTTGGCATCATGCTTCTTATATCTTGTTGGCATGGGCGTAGCGAGGAGGGGGCAAGGGGGGGCACTTGCCCCCCCCCCCCCCCTGGAAAACCAAAAAAAAATAAAAAAAGAAGAAGAAGAAGAAAAGAAAAGAGAAAAAAGAAAAGAGAAAGAGTCGCGAAGACAAATTGGTATAAATTTAATGAGTTGGGGGGGGCAAAATGTCCCTGCCCCCCTCTTAAACTGATAAATCGAGAATATGTTGAGAAATGCAAGCATTTTTGGCAAAAAAAATTTTTGCCCCCCTCTAGAAAAAATCCTGGCGACGCCCATGCTTATTGTTTGCTGTGCCAAGGACAAATTTTTATATCTGTAGATTGTATTGGTCGAGTTTACAGGCAAATAGAGAACTAGCCAAAATGCACGACACTTCCGATTCAATATTTAACCAGTTTGCGCCGGAGGCCGTGTATACACACGCAAAAGTTTTGCGGTGTTCGGAACTGATGACAGATAAACACGCAGGGAGCGAGGCCGGAAATATCTGTCAGCGACTCGTTCGCAGCGAGCGAGGCCGGAAATATGAGTGTGCTGCCCGAGGGTGATGGCTTCAACCCGCCTGGCTTGAGGTCGAGTGAAAAGTAAACCCGCGCCTCGTTCCATTCTTGTTAAAATTAATCCCGGCGTGAACAGGTTAAATTAGGTTGCCTCCTACGTCTTAGGGCGACCCAACAATCGACGTGCTGGCCGGTATTGACTTCGGCTGTCCACAGTAATCCAGCATTTTTGAGTCTGTTTGTTACCGTTCTGTTGAGCCATTTGCTATCATTGTTTTGTTTTTTCAGACCGGCGATACCTTCATGTCGATCGAGTTCAAAGATCCAAAAACCGGAAACTTCTCGGAGATGTTCAGCGATTCGGACTGGTGTACCAGGTTCGTTTACAGCTAGTTTCCGCTTCCAGACAAAAAAAAAAAATGATTAAGTTGATTTGGTGAAATACACCAAGAACTGAAATTTGGGCAATTGTGTAGTTATGGGCCCTTCTAGGGTTTTACTTCTTTTGTCATTTTATCATTCCAAAAATGACTTCGACAACCTTTGCAGTATTGTTTTAGTTCTTAGTGACACTAATTCTTTGTAAATCTGAACAGTATTTGTTTTAAGGAAGTGCAATTTTCTTGTGCATTTTTTTTTAGTCGATGCCATGCAAGTCAGTGCGGTTTTGCGCATATACGTAGCATCTCGGTGCTTGCCATCTTTATTTTCGTGCTGTGTTGTGTCCTCTTCATCGTAATTTTAGGCCTACCCCAAAATTTCCGCTAACAAAAATCAGAACCCTTTTCAGGGTAATTTTAAAGGCTGTATTTATTAATTTTTTTCTTCATTTAGGTTCTACTGGAAGCGAACCGAGGAAATCCTTGGATATAGCAAGGCGACGACCTGGTGGCACATTCCCCCGACGGTGCCCACCGGTACCTACCGGTTCCGCGTGTACGGCAACGCAAAGCACATCATCGAAGGCGTGAAGGCATACGACGGTGTGTCGCGGGAGTTTACGGTGACCGCTTAGATGGATCAATCAGGGCCAAGTTCGGGCAAGGACCATTAGTCGACTAGTGGTTGATTTGTGACGTACCTTACGCCTGCGCACTGGTAGCAACGTGCGAACGTCTCTAGTTAAACGCTGGTCAGAATGTCATCGCAAAACGTCTGGATCCTGGCTCCCTGCTAGCGTTATGAATGCACGCGGCTATTGGTTACCAGCGATGCAACCAACCCCAGTAGGCTGGTTCCAAATAGTCGACTAGCGTAGTCAAGCACCGTCGACTAGACAGAGTTCGGGCAAACGTTAGTTAACCATTGGTCAACTATAGTCCTTGCGCGAACTTGGCCCAGATTGATGTAACCCGAGTGATGTAAAGGAATCGCCCCACACTCCCTCCTCCACCACCCCCATCCTCTATATCCCCCACCCCATCCCGTCTCTCTACCCCATCCGCCCACACCGCCACCCGACCCATTGGAGATTTTGTAGAGTTTGATATGTTATGTGAAGTAAGTTCATCGCTACAGCCTTTGTTTACTCAGCTGGTGTGAAACACGCCGTGGGCTTGAGCTGCTTATGTTGGTTGGTTGGTTGGTGGGTTTGTGGGTTGGTTGGTTGGTTAATAACAGTTTACTCGGCCATATATTGCATTCATGTAACTCAAGTATTACAGCTTTCCTTCCAAAGGCCAGTTTTGATAACGCTGATGCACATGCATCTAATTTGCATATTTTTGCGCATGCATCTAATTTGCATATTAGATCACGCCCCATTCGTTTTCGTTTTCTGTACTCTCTCAAGGTACCGATGGTTGTACCACTTAGTACTTGTTAATGTATAATCTCCCCATATAATGACATCTTATGTTATCAACATAAAAATTAATAAGAAGAAATTATTTTGAGTTCAGAAAGTCAGAAATTTAGCAGAAAAAAAGTTCACTTTAAATCACGTATTTAACACAAAATGAATGTGTAATGAGATTTTTCTTTATATGTTCATGTAAAAGCAACAAAGAAAGAGAACGAGTTTAAAATTTCACGAGAAGCTGAAATAATTTTTGTACAGTTTACGGCTTTGTTCACGACTTGCATATTTTTTTTCGAGAGTTGTCGTGAATTTAGTTTTCAAACTGAACTGCGGAAGAGATCAGTTTGCCGAAAGTTGACATCATGTGACCACAGCATCCAATTCAGGCGATTCACAATGCAGAGCGCCACCAAGAGTTTGCCATGGAGAGTCATCTTTTTAAAGTTTACGGTCGACAAAATATGGCCCATTTGAATGAGCGTCAGTAGACACTCGAGCTAATTTGTTATTGATTGGGGCAAAGCGTTCTGCCACCTTACCAAAAATCACAATATTGATACAAAGAAAAGAAAAGGGCAAACAGATACTCGAATCATACGCTTACGAAACCACTGACCGAAAAAAAAAACGAACAATTTCAAATGTCCCACTCTGCAAATTTGTCGACCATCTCCCACAATGCACTGGGAAAAATGAACTCTCCGTGGCAAACTATTGGTGGCGCTCTGCATTTTGAATTGCCTGAATTGGTAAATAAATGTCACACAGTCTATAAGTCATGTGACTTCATATATTAATGTAAACAAGTTGATCTAGTGTCTGCAGCAGTAATGTTTGAATGATTTAAGGGAATTTGATTTAAATACTTAATGAAAATGTACAATTTCATTGATGTTAAGTAGAATTCTACCTTTTTGAGCGAGCATGTAGAAAGCAACTGATCAATTTCGCTAGACATGCGTTTTCTTCAATTTTTCATTATGTAGTCAATTGTATGTATGTGGAGTTAACGTTTTATGATTTTCGTAAGCATTATTTTTAGCAGTATTCAATGATTTAATGAATATCATTTATGAGGATTGATAGTATTCTTTATATTATGCTGACATAGCTGTTTTTCCATTATAATTTGTATATTATGATTAATTTATGAATATAATATGAAGTTGTTTGAATTTGTATTGAATCATCAAATTGTATGAAAAGGATTCTATGCAGTTGTTTTGAACACAGATTAAACGCAAATCAAGAGAAGGCATACACTTGTTTAATTTTTTTTTTATTTCCGGAAGTTGGTTTTGTGAGATCATTCTACAAGTTTGTGCAGTTAAGGCTTACAAAGCGTGGATTTCAATTCTTGAAACGAACATTAATGTCTTCCATTCACTAACAGGCCGAGAAAAAAAAGTTGTCTTTCCTATTACATTAAGAAAACATAGGGTGGGTTGGTATTTTTTATTTATTGTTTTGCTCAAAATTTATGCAAGTTTTGATATCATATTTCTACTTCTTACTTTTTATATTATAAAGCCACACGTATCAAAATACACTTAAAAAGAGAATAAAAATTTCACTAAGTTTAAAATACAAAACTTATAAGCTCTAATATCTTAAATAAAATTCTTAATCATCAAATGCTAAGATTAAAAAAAAAAATTAGTAAATGAATACAAATACTCAAAGTGATTTAGATTGAGTGGCTTTATCCAACAACTTTTTTAAATATTGGTAAATTTGTGTAATTGACAAGACAAATTGCAAAAAAACCCAGACTATTTCCTTGCAAACTAATATTTGAACTTTGGAATTTTTAATCAAGCTAACGTCCATGCTATTTTACCTAATTTGTGCAAGTAGAATGTTGCCACATATAGCACTGTATTGTGTGTTTTTGTCTCGTCACAAGTCCAAAAGGAAAACATGCATTGTCTCCAAGCAACCTCAATCCTTAATCCTGATTGGTCGACCAGTGGCAACAACAATGTGATATCCTGTATTGTAGTCCATCATACAACTGTTATTCCTTTGTGATGTAGTCCATGGCATTTTATGTGCAACGTTTCATAAAAAGTCTACTCGCCTAATACTAAAATCCTTTTTTTTTATCAAAACTGGCGTAGTATAATGGTTAGAAAACACCTTCTCATGATGGGAACTTGAAACAAAAATCATGTCTTTTTACTTCTAAAATTCACGCCAGCAACTACCACTTAGGTTTAAAGGGAATGTACATCATTGGTGTTTGCTGTAATTTTCAGAAATGAACTACTTTAGGGGTTAGTATAATAGATCAGATATTGTTACACTGACATGTTTGAAGTTTTGTGTTCGAAAAACAAAAAGATTCAAGTAGTCTGGTTCCCTGACTCCACTAAAGATGAAATGGATCAATTTATAGAGGCCAAAAAATTGTAAATAACAGGACCAGTCTAGCTGGCCTGCACCCGTTCATGAAAATGTAACCAATAGCAAACAACTTTTGGACTGAAAAAAAATTGGTAAATCTGGAGCAGTAGTTTATTTTAAATTTATACAAAAAAGACTAATTTTCTTGAAAATGACTTCACACCTGGTGCCATAATTTTACAGGATGCTTTAGACTGTCATTTACCAACATCCTAGAAAGATATTTTGTAAAAATTTGGTAGTTTTGTTTTTCGATGTTTGCAGATGTTGTACATTCCCTTTAATCAAAAACCTGTCGTACAATGTTCATTTACTTTCTGGTTTTGGGTCTGGTGTAGTCCTTGCTGACAACTTCAAAATCCCCAGATCTAGTTTCAAACTTCGTGGTGAATGGCAGAATGGCATTCTGCTTCCAGCGTCCGCTGTGAACGAAACGATACATTCCGAGTTCGGCGTCTTCGGGGATCATCCACTGCACAGTGGCTCGGCTTTGCTTGTCCGCCTTTCGCCAGAAGATCCTCAAGACAAAACGTAAGAAACGAAACACGTTCAAGCACGTCGCCATTGTAGTAGGCAAAGAGCGAACAGCGCGCGCGCAGTTGGTAGTAGGCCAGCCTTTAAAGCTGTGATGGACGGCAGAAACTGTGAGAAATGTTGCGGAGCCGACACCAGTCCTGGTCGGCACGATTATGACATAAGAACGATTATGTTCACAGGAACGGAGTGCCCATCTCTCTTTCGTTAGCGATTGGGCCAGACTCATACGCTGCTGTGGGGGGATCGCCACACCTCCTCCACAGCGAGTCTGTTACCTTCCCAGCACTGAACAATGCCGGTACCCATTTAACACCTGGGTTGAGAGGAGTAATTGAGGTAAAGTGCCTTACTCAAGGGCACAACACGCATGGCCACGGCGGGGCTCGAACCCACAACCTCTCGATCACGAATCCTGTGCCCCACCGCTAGACCACACGTGCCCACCAGCACAGGTAGTGACCATTATGCCATTCGATAAAAAAATTCACAGTAATTTTACGTGAAAATAAGCCCCGTCTAGTTCACAACGCAAGACGCGGTTGCTAACCAAACAATATCCCAGACAATTGCCGAGTAACGATAATTAAGTAAACTGTAAAATTAGTATTTCTGGTTTAACTTTGAAGGTAAACTCAAGGTTTTAAGGCAAGATAAGTTTGCGGTAGCACCATGTGAATAAGTCTCTTTTGTGAGTATGTGTGGTTCTGAATACAACCGGAGGGACACAACGTTTCGAACAGTATGCTCTGCCCGTCGTCAGGAGAATCAGGGATTCATATCTTGTCTTAGTATCTTTCCACCATGCAAACCTTTAAATCTCAAACTCAAGGTTATGAACGGGATGTTTAAAGCTTGATGAAATTTCACTTTAAAACTTTTCAAGAAAAATTCCAAGTAAAACCTTTTGCTCTAGCAATGCACTGGAGGCAAAAGATCAAAGTGCACCACATTACGGGTGTGGCATGTTAGGGACATCGACGATATAATTTTGGGGGTAAAACTTACTTCGTGTTCCAATCGGCATCGTTGGCAATCACAATCCAATCTGTGCCGTCAAATTTCTCAACAGAGAAAAAGGAAGTCCCCAGCTAAAAATGAACATAAAAACAGAGAGTTTTGGTATAAAATTCTATAATTTTGTTAAGAAGAATGTTAAAAAGCTAACCTATTGAAGTTTCAGCTCAGTGGATATTACACTTTTTTGTAGAAAACGGTGAAAAGCCATGCGCACCTTTTGATCACGAAACACTATTCTGCCAATAGAACTCTTTTATTTAAAATAAAATCAGTCAATTGACTCAGAAATCACCTACATTTCTTGATTCTGTCTAAATGACAGCAAGCCAGACGGAATAATTTCACGGGGTGTTTAGTACCAGTCCAATCTTTGATCCAAGTAAGCTTTTCGATAATTTGGAAGGGTTGCTTTCGGGGTAAATGCAAATGATCCTGTATGTTTTTAATTGACAAAATGATCGTAGAATTACCGAGGCCTCGAAACCGCGTTTCGGATCTGCAGACCAGAAGATTGCCTCTGCTGTGGAGCCCTAGAAAGCAAAGAAATGATCATCAGAAAAAGTAACTTTTTTTTTTATCCAAAAGCTTTAAAAGAAATCGCCATTGAAAGCCTATGATGAAACAAAAAATAGAAAAATGCGTTTAAAATCCGGTTCCCAGATAGTATTTTGTGCGTTCCAGAACCACGAGGTGGGAGTCTGTGACACGGTGAATGTTTGTACACGACAAGCGGCCGCTGTACCGTACTGTCTTCGCAAAGTGACGCGAACATAAATGTTGCACTGTTAGTCATTGCAATTATTTTTCACAAAGCTTTGCTTTTATTTCTGGGACTCGAGTCTTATTAGCCTTCGCCAAGTCGAGTCGAGTGAGTTCAGTTGAGGCTGATGAGTCAAGGCGAGTCATTTGCTCGCGGTGACTCGAGTCGAGTCAATCATTTACCCTTTGGGACTCGAGTGGAGTTGAGACACCAAAAATTGTGCCTCGAGTCGGACTCTAGTCAAGTAATTGACTCAATTATTACAACTCTGGGACGAACTGACAAACAAACAGACAACAAGGGTCAAAGATTTACATAATGAGAGTAAATAAATATTACAATGAAAGAAGGAGCAAAACAGCTGGTCTGGAAGGAGAAAAAGAAATCAAATGCTAAATAATGATATTTTTCCATTTTTATATTAATGCATTGGGGGCAATTCCACAGTTACTCACGTTACATTTTTGATGTACTTTTGAGTTTCCTTGGGCTGTAATTACCTTACTGAAAAGGTTTAATAAGGAAATAAATGTGTGCTCCGGAGGTTTCTATCACTCTGTTTAAGACCGCTTAGAGTCTGGGTGCTGATAATTACCCGAGCCGGAGGCGTTGCGTTTTGAATTTAGAACTATAAAATTCTGACTCGCTGGTAGTGTTGCGCATGCCTACGTGAGGATTGTGAACGTTCAACCAATGAAACAGAAAGAGGCACTGGATTTTTAGGAGTCCACATTTTATTGTGACACTGGAAAAGTGTTTAAGACCAGCTAGCCATGTCTTTATCATCCGTTTAAGACCGGCCACGTGACAGGCTCTCGACCAATAGGAATAGCTAAACTGTCTGAGGTATTTATGAATAACTGTTATCCCCATGGTAGATAGAGTAGACCTAGACCTACCTAAGCACCAAAGATGACATCCAGAAAAATGTGTTATGTATGATAAACAAGACGCACAAAATCGGTTACTCGCGTTACATTTTCGTAACGTGAGTAACCGAGGAATTGCCCATTGATACGTTTTTGGGTAAATACCTAATGATAGATTAATTTTTTAAAAATGGAGAAATGACTAATGGAGGTATTAATTTTATTCAAACTTGCATTTACACTTGTGATGCGGTTTTCAGGTAAGACATACATACACCTACCTGGCGGTACTTAGAATCGACTTTCTGGTTTATATCGCCGACTTTTTTGCCCTCAGGGAAAGCGTCATTGTCTAAATCTAGTTTTGGAGGGAGTGGTTTGGATGGCGGGTCTGGGCCAGGGGTTTCAACACCTATATCCTGAACAAACAAAAAAAAATTGCGGAAAAACAAATCAGATTTTATGAAATGCTGGATATATTCACAGAGAAACGTTAGATCTGAGGATGGAACAGTGATGACTTTTGATCCGTCTTGCGGTGGGATTAAAATCTTGATTTTTATAAAATTCGGTTTGAATTCCACAAGTCGGTTTGGATTTTGGAATAACCGTATATTCGAAACCAACCATGCGACAATTAAAGGGAATATACATCATTTGCTTTTGCTGTAATTTTCAGAAATGGATGGAGTTGGGGGTTGGTTATATATAGCAAATATTGTTTCACTGACTTTTTTGACATGTTGGGTTCATAGATGTTATAAAAACCCTGTAGTCTGCTTCCCTGACTCCGTTTAAGATGAAACGGAGTAATTCATAGATGTTGGGGAATTATAAGGTCAGGGAACTAGTCTAGTTGGCTTGTACCCGTTCATAGGTGTGTAATCGATTGCAAACAAATGCGGACTAACTAAATATGGTCAATTGGGGCCAGTATTTGAAAAAAGCCAGTTTTTTCCGACGCTGGTCGGCCGACCAGCGTTGGAAATTGATACGAAAATACCACTTTTCTTGAAAATGTCAGCACACCAGGAGCCATGATTATACAGGATGATGTAGACTGTCATTCACTAACAGTCCAGCAAGGTATTTCAAAATGATTTGCTAGTTTTATTTTGTGATGTTTGCAAATGTTGTATTTTCCCTTTAAGCCTTTCATTTAATGGTTGTTTCCTTCCAAAAGACGCCATAACGAATAATTTCACAGGGTATTTGATACCAGTCCTATCTTCGCTTTGAACAAGGTTTCTGTCATTAAATCGGTGGGGACTTTTCCCGGGTAATTGCAATTGATCCTACGTCACTTTAAGAGCTCAAACCAGTACCTTCACCAGATTCTCCGCAAGCATTAAGTACTGTTGCAGGTAGGCGTCTAGGGTATGTGGGCCGTACATGGTTGACGCTCCTTCGTAACGCTGAGCCTGCGATAGCATGTCAATAAAGGAAAGGATTTTTTTTTTTTAGGAGAATAAAAGAAATAACAAGTAGAAGAGCGCTTCAGTATCACATTCTCAATTCAAGCAAACGTTATTTTATATCGGGGAAACAGCTCTGCAGACCCGAAACAGAGAACACACCAGTAGGTCAGCACCCCCCCCCCCCTTCCCTCGACAGCAGTTGGTGAACATATATCCACCCCAGGACATAACATCTCCGTGGACAATGTCAAGATCATCGCCAGGGCGGACGACCTCTGGAATCGCAAAATCCGCGAGGCCGTGGAAATCCGCAGACGCCGCCCCCATATGAACAGAGATGGAGGGTACGAGCTGGCCCATGTGTACGACCGCCTCCTGTCGTGTGACCAGACCAAGCCTAGTCACGTGACGGGACACGTGAGGGCCTCAACAGCACCAGTTGGTAAAGACACCGTGATGGTGTCTCAAGCTCCTGATACGAATTCTGTAACCAAAGTCTCAAGACAGTATCTTTTATTTAATTGTTATTTTACATGTTTTAAAAAAGTCAGTTTTACAAAATTTAACCAAAATACAGATGTCTCATCGTTTTCATACATTTCGGAACTTCAGAACAAGAAACAATTTTATGTTTACTCAGCCTCAGGCCAAAAAAAAAAAGTCTCCAGTTTCTGGTCTGCGCACGCAAGGTGATGACTCGAAACCGCCAAACTCACTGGTTTGACTGGAATCCTGCTGCTGCACAATTTTAACGTGTTTTTAGATGGGGTTACGATCGAGTATAAGCTTTATGTGGCCTCTCTGGGCCCCCATATATATTTTGCATTAAATTTAGACAGGCACCATTTGCAGACGGTGTTGTAATTTTGTAATTGTGTGTCTGGAAGCCAGACTGAGGGAGCGATGGTCGTGTATCTGGAACCTGTAAACACGTTTTAATTAGCGCAATATGTAAGGGAGCAGACTAATGACCAGCTTGGCAGCTCATGCACGATGTCGCTATATGGTCTGACGTTACCGTTTTCCCTAATTTTTGTCTTGACTATCCAAATTTCCCAAAGAATGTTCGTGTCGGTTGAGATCGTAAGAGGGTGCAGAATTCTCACTCTGAAGGATATTTTTGTGAGTTTTAAGCGGATAGAAGCCTCATCTGCAATATCTGCCAACAGTTGTAGGAAAAAAAAGTAGGGTAAAAAAAACCGCACCACTTTTGGAGCAAGCTCCATACCAGAAACCGGAGACTTTTTTTCGGGGGGCCTTATACAGATTTATCGAAAAATGAGAAAAATGCGGCAACTAAACAATTACACGGTTATCTACAGGGCGAGTCCAAAAAAGTGGAACCCAAACCCCAAAAATTATATTTCATGTTTAAAAAAATATGTAGCACCAAACATAATTATGACTGGAAAGCCAATTTCATAAGCTACTTTTAGATGAAAGAATTACTGAAATTGGTCAATCCGTTCAAAGAATATCACCATTTAAACACAATGGCCCTAAAACCTGTCTCGTCCAAAAAAAGCGATTTCAAGATTCGTCTTCACAATTGTCTTTAAACATCACCAGCGATAAAATCTCAGTTGAAACGTTTAAATATTCAACAAAGTCTTTTTGAAGGCCCGTCTTTTTAAAAAAGTAGATTTTATAAATCATATTGTTTGCCTAACCGGGGTTGTTAATAAAGATATTGTGCACTACAGGTGGTGACAGTAGTTGAAACAAGTATTCTGTGTCATTTTCTTTTTGTTGTTCCAAACAGTCAAAACACACAATAGATTGCTTTCTTGGACGAAAATTTTGGGTCGTTGCGTTTAAATGGTGATATTCTTTGAACGGATTGACCAATTTCAGTATTTTTTTCATCTAAAAGTAGCTTATGAAATTGGCTTTCCAGTCATTATTATTTTTGGAGCTACATATTTTTTTAAATATGAAATATATTTTTTGGGGTTTGGGTTCCGATTTTTTGACTCACCCTGTAATTAGCCTTATGCACAAAAATAGGAAAATAATGAAAATTTCAAGAGATACATACCGTATATTCTTCATAGGTAGTTACGTAGTTGGTGTAGGCGTTTGAAAGACTAGTAATCATAGTCACAGCATCACTACTCATGCCACTCGCAACCAATTTCTATTGTCAGAAAAAACAAATTAAACATCACATCAAAGTCAAAATAACGGTGAGGAAAATACGCTAAATATAAGATCAATGACGTTCCCAAGATAAGGGGTGTGCACTGAGCCGGGCACCCGAGTGCCCGACTGCAGTAACCAACTTTACAAATTACTTCGTTACTTCTCGGACAATGCAAAAGAAAGGTCTTGAATGCCATTTCCAAAATGACAACCGGGCTACATTTAAATTCCGACCAGATTTCACGTTTGTTTACATTTCAAATTGGGCGCTGTGGTCAAATGGTTACGGTGTGTGACTCATGTGGCGTGGTACGTGGGTTCGAACCCTGATGGGGAAACACGGTGCTTGTGTCCCTGGGCAAGGCACTTTACTACAATTTGGGCGATTCACAATGCAGTGCGCCACCAAGAGTTTGCCATGGAGAGTCCAGTTTTCTAGTTTACTGTCGACAAAACATGGCCCATTTGAATGAGCTTCAGTTGACAAGTTGAGCTAATTTGTTATAGATTGGGGCAAAGCGTTCTGCCGCCTCACAAAAAAGCCCCACATTGATGAAAAGAAAACAAAAGAGCAAACAGATACTCGAAGCATACCTTTACGAAACTGCTGACTGGACAAACGAACAATTTCAAATGTCCCGCGCTGTGAATTTGTCGACCATCTCTCACAATGCACTGGGAAAAATGAACTCTTCGGGGCAAACTCTTGGTGGCGCACTGCATTGTGAATCGCCCGCATTGCCTCTCTCCACCCAGGAGTATAAATGGGTACCTGTGAAGGTAGAGACCAGATTGCGCTGATCTCCAACTGCTGCAGAAAACTGGTCTCTTCGACTCATATGCGATAATACATGGTCCTTGTGTTCTTTGGCAAGACACTTTACTACCCAAGATTTGTCTTGACGTTAATTTTGACCTTTGTTTAAATTTAGTTCCTGATTTATCATATGATTTGCTCAAAATTTACAGGAAGCTTATTCACAGAAGGGAAAAAAAGTTCAAAATGTGCACTGTACCTCTTTCACCTTCTCCATCATCCTTCTTCCGGACATTGTTCTGCAAGAAGAAAGAAGAAATCAAATCTTTTTGTGATTGCCCTTCACCGACGTATAAACACTGTATACTCAGTGTGTTACCTCCGGAGTGAAAGTTGGAAAAAAATCACTCGGGTGGGACTCGAACCCACGACCTCCTGCTTTCTAAGGCAGACGTCTTACCACTCGACCACCGAGCAAACGGGATCAGTTGGCTGGTTTGAATCTAATGTACATAGCAGCGGGTACCGCATTAACTATTAATAAGATGGAATTCTTTTTTTTGGTCGTGGGTTCGAGTCCCGCCCGAGTGATTTTTTTCCAACTTTCACTCCGGAGGTAACACACTGAGTATACAGTGTTTATACGTCGGTGAAGGGCAATCACAAAAAGAGACACATTAGTTGATGGTTCTTAATCACATTTTCCCACAAATTCATAAATACGTAGTTGGAAAGATAAGTCAAAAGTAGAGTATATTTCACGCAGCTCCACCTAGAAAACTGGCAGTTTTTGAATAATCAGTGAGGAGGAGTATGCATACTTTGCAATGAGTATAAATATAAGTACAAGGGTTTTTTTTGTGTGAGTACGAGTACGAGTACATTTTCATGAGTCGAAGTGAGAGATCTGATACACCGTGCCCTCTGGAGACATGCACACAAGGGATTTTTTTTTTTTGGTGAGTACGAGTACGAGTACATTTTCATGAGTCTGAGTAAGAGATCTGATACACTGTGCCCTCTGGAGACATGCACACAAGGATTGGTTGGTTTTTTTTTGGTGAGTATGAGTACGAGTACATTTTCATGAGTCTGAGTAAGAGATCTGATACACCATGCCCTCTGGAGACATGCACACAAGGGTTGTTTTTTTGGTGAGTACGAGTACAAGTACATTTTCATGAGTCTGGGTAAGAGATCTGATACACAGGCCCTCTGGAGACATGCACACAAGGTTTTTTTTTTTTTTGGTGAGTACGAGTACGAGTACAAGTACATTTTCATGAGTCTGAGTAAGAGATCTGATACACCGTGCCCTCTGGAGACATGCACACAAGGGATTTTTTTTTTTGGTGAGTACGAGTACGAGTACATTTTCATGAGTCTGAGTAAGAGATCTGATACACTGTGCCCTCTGGAGACATGCACACAAGGATTGGTTGGTTTTTTTTGGTGAGTATGAGTACGAGTACATTTTCATGAGTCTGAGTAAGAGATCTGATACACCATGCCCTCTGGAGACATGCACACAAGGGGTTGTTTTTTTGGTGAGTACGAGTACAAGTACATTTTCATGAGTCTGGGTAAGAGATCTGATACACCGTGCCCTCTGGAGACATGCACACAAGGGTTTGTTTTTTTTGGTGAGTACGAGTACAAGTACATTTTCATGAGTCTGAGAAAGAGATCTGATACACCGTGCCCTCTGGAGACATGCACACAAGGGGTTTTTTTTTGGGTGAGTACGAGTACGAGTACATTTTCATGAGTCTGAGTAAGAGATCTGATACACCGTTCCCTGTGGAGACATGCACACAATAGGGAACAAAAGATTGTATACGTCTCCGCAGGGCAATTTCTATAGATGAATACTTTTCCACAAGGTTTTCACAAAATAGATATATGGATTTTACTCAAAAACTATTTCCCAAGGTATATTGATCTGTTGTAAATGGTAGAGTTTTAGAAAAGGGATATTTAGTCTGAATTTCAGCCAAGGAAATTAATTCTGGTAAAAATAAGAGCATTTTGAAACTACACTTTCAAACTCGAAAACTTTACTACACGAGAACAAAGAAATGTCTCCACAAGGATATAAATTTCAGTGTCTGTGTATTAATGTGTGTGAGTACTCAACAAAGATAGCTTTAGCCCTAACTCCCTAGGCCTTTCTGCTAGGATGTAGCCTCAATCCTGCAAAATCCTCCAATTGGCCTCATGAAAAAAATAGCATATAGCCTCAATCCTGCACTCTTTCTTGATTTATGGTCCGTGGAGGGGTGACCACTGCCTCAATCCTGCAAAATCCTGTTGAGGCTTGGCCAGTGACATCCTGGAGCAGTACGGAGGATTTCAAGCATAATCCAGGCCTATATTTAATGCATGGCTGAGCAAAAACAACACAAGGTCCGGCCCAAGACTTTGACAAAGTGCATCCTACGAAATCAGTAACGCACTTTTGCCATGTAACCTCAATCCTCCAAATTCCTCCACTTTGGCAAAGAGGGTTTTGAAGGATTCGGGGGGGGGGGGGGGGTGTTAGGGTTAATATCAACAAAGAGAACTCACGTGAACTCTACAGGGCCTGGGATGATAACGAACTGCCCAATGCGTAAAAGCTGGGTCTCTACGATATCGGGCACCATGGGATCTGCAGCCAGTAGAGCAACAATGGCCTGTATTGCCGGAGACATACCCTGCCACAAAAAAAGATCAAATCAGACGTAAATGTGAAATTAATATTCCAGAGGTTCATGATAAAACTATCAAGACCCGAGACGGAATAACAATTGGACTGTTAATAACAAATGCGGCAAGACGATTAGACAGATCTCGCTCCAAAAACTTACTAGGATTAGAGATCGTACTGGTACGAAACACCCCGTGACATTATTCCGTCTTTGACATTTCGTTGACTTACGGTTGTATTAATGTAATCTCCGGCGGGAAGGAGTACTGGCTTCGGTTCTTGGCACTCCTGCGTCGCTTCGTAATCGTTGAAGAGCGAACGTATGAGGTTGTCCCAAAAGCTTTCTCCTTTTGTCATCCCTGAGATCACAAATGAAATTCACAGTTCCACAATGTCGGACTTACATTTTTTTTTTACAATTTAACAGTGTGCACATCTAAAGTTATAATCATGAAGTGGATTTTATTTCTGATAAAACGTATCAGTTAGTTACTACAATAATTGAATAAAAAATTATTTATCCAACTTTTTTGCAGTATTAGAACACTACAGTGTCAGACCCACTAGACAAATTGATTTATTGTGTACTCATTAATTAATTTTCTAGTTTAAAGTAAAAGTGAGCTGTTGAACATTGTTAGATATTAACTACATTTCAATAAAATACAGATAATAAGCTTCACAATGATATACGTGTGTCATTTGTGGCTTTTGGATTTTATTGAAATTTGGACATTGGGTATATAATTATTTGGAATTGACTGGAAAAGACGTTCCAATTCAAAAAAATAAACTCTTCAAAGGTTTGTCTAAAACCAATATGAATTATTGAAAGACAACAATTTAGAACACAAACTTTAAAAATGAAAAATTTGAATATGAGAGAAATGGCGATTGGAATCAATTTACATACCGCTTGGATGAGTTACTCCTGTTGCAGATCATGAATAAGCATGAAGTGAAAATGAGGCATCTGATTGGCTGATGGAATGAGGTTGTCATGGCAGCCATGAGTTTGAATTGCGATGTCTCATGATGAATGCACTTCCAAAAGAGGAAAAATTGTCGAAAACATTATTTTAAATAAACTGTTGGGATAATGTGATGGATAGGAAAAAAATCAACTTTCGCCATTCGTATGGAGACCTGACTTATTGCCTGCACATGTATCATGAATGTACATGAAACAAGCGGTGCCAGACTAATTCACACGTGACAGTCAGTCGGTGAGATAGGTAGCCAGTCTAATTCACAAGTGACAGTCAGTCAGTGAGATAGGTAACCAGTCTAATTCACAAATGACAGTCCGTCAGTGAGATAGGTAACCAGTCTAATTCACAAGTGACAGTCAGTCAGTGAGATAGGTAACCAGTCTAATTCACAAGTGGCAGTCAGTCAGTGAGATAGGTAACCAGTCTAATTCACAAGTGGCAGTCGGGGAGTGAGATAGGTTACCAGTCTAATTCACAAGCGGCAGTCAGTCGGGGAGATAGGTAGCCAGTCTAATTCACAAGTGACAGTCAGTCAGTGAGATAGGTAACCAGTCTAATTCACAAGTGACAGTCAGACAGTGAGATAGGTAACCAGTCTAATTCACAAGCGACAGTCAGTCAGTGAGATAGGTAACCAGTCTAATTCACAGGGGACAGTCAGTAAGTGGGATAGGTAACCAGTCTAATTCACAAGTGACAGTCAGTCAGTGAGATAGGTAACCAGTCTAATTCACTAGTGACAGTCAGTCAGTGAGATAGGGAACCAGTCTAATTCACAAGTGACAGTCAGTCAGTGAGATAGGTAACCAGACTAATTCACAAGTCACAAATTCACCAAATCGGACACTGCGTTACCTTGTTTGAAGCTAGCGATTCCAGGCCCGTCTGTAGTGCCTGCTGCAAAACTGTAGCCAAGAGCCGGCGTGCAAGTTTTAAACTACGTATCGGAAATAATAACAAATGTTGAAAATTAGTCACATGTATAGAAGATGACATCACAGTCAGACAAAAGACATCTTTTTACCACATCCATATAAAAATGGACTTTCTCAATCAAAATTTGTATTTTACAGGTTGTCTTTAAAAAAAAGTATAAATGTATAAAAAAAATATTGTATGTCGCGAGCCAATGTGGCCAATCAGGCCGGCGTTTATTTCCGGTTTCAGTGGCATGAAACGACTGCGGCTATTTCTACTCCCCCTGGGTGGGATGCCAGTCCATCGCAGGTTACTCCCCAGCTAATGCCGGTGTAGCGTGAATATCCGACTCCATGAAATGTGGACTCATTGGTAGTACTGCGCACGCGTGAGTACGATACTATGCTATTTTTAGGATCGTTTGGGGAGAGTGACCTGTCACGTGCAAGGGATCAACCAATAATAGGGAAATAGGGGTCCGATTTTCATAGGAGTCAGATTTTCATGTGACACCGGTACCCATTTATACTCCTGGGAGGAGAGAGGCAAGTGGGGGTAAAGTGGCTTGCCCAAGGACACAACATATGGCCAGCAGCTGGATTTGAACCCCTGACCCTCTGATCGTGAGTTTCGAACCCTAACCATTTAATAGGCCAAACACCTAACTGAAGAAAAGGATACCCATTTTAAAAAGTACATTGTCAGAAATGTACTGAATATTTCAGAAAAAGGCAACTACATGAAAAAGGGTTAGGGTGTCCTCTATCTAGCTTATGAAAGTAAGTCAGTACATCGTTGCCATTAATATAAATGAGAAAACAGGGCCTCACAGACTTAAACAAGTCTAATTCACATCAGTCAGTGATATAAAAAGGTACGGTGAACTTACTGTTTCATTGCCCTTGGTGACGGTTACCGACGACATGTTCACATACTGTTGAATGGATGAAACCGGCCCGCTGACGGGCGTACCAGTCGCGTCGTACAATTCCTGCAGAGCGAATTTATCAAGAAGATTTTGATCGACATTTATTGGAAACAAGATGACGCCACGTTTCCTCTCTGCATAGATCATTCCGTGCATGCTGTCCATTGAGGCCCCCTTTAATGGCGAAAGCATTGTACTAGCTATTGTTCAGATAATCACGGGGCAGCTGCTTTTGGACAATAGCTAGCACAATGGTTGCGCCATTAAAAGGGGCCACCAGAATCGTGATAACATGTTTGAAATAATCTATACTTTATATATGAATGCGGGTCGTTCTATAAATTCAGGGTCCAAAGTGTGACATTTTTCCTGTCCCTGTTACCTTGGTACTTTGTCATTTGCCATTACGATCATTAAGAACTTCAAATTTGTTGGGTAGGTAGGCTATTCATAATCACCCTTGGAGGACGACTGCATTAAAGGTATAGTCCATCATTTGTAATTTGTGCATTTTGTTCGTTTGAAGCAACAAAAGTGCTCAAGATCTAAAGAAGGGTGCTGAACAACTAACCTGATGAAGTTTCAGCTCGGCTTCAGCTGTATATTTCGAGAAAAACAACATTCTAGGATCTCGATTTCAAATCAAAAGTTGCTGAATCATGTTTTGAATTGGGCCTGTATTCAGCGTCCGAGACACGTTCTCACTGAGCCGATTGCAGCTACGTGATGTCCCGCATTGATCCCACGAATTATAGCAACCGCGCGCGCTTGTGCGTCGTGTCAACGCTTGCGCGCGCTTTCGCCGAATACAAAAATGAACTACAAACGGAAATTTCCAACGGTGCTTCTTAAGACACACCGTTGGAAAGGCCTGCTTTCGTGGATTTCTTCAAAATGACAGCGTGCCAGAAGGAATAATTTCACAGGGAGTTTAGTCCCTTACTTTCTTTCAACTAAGTATGTTTTTCAACAATAATTACGCCAGTTACTTTTTGGATAGCTGCAACTGATGGACTGTGGCTTTAAGGAGTGCAACGGAATTAGAAAATCGTAGATGTCAATTGTAACAGGGACAGAAAAAAAAGTGGACCCCAAATTTATAGAATGACCCACCTCTATTTGGCAAAGTAGTATGCAAGTTTTCCTGTCCACTTGAAGTGCAACAAACAGTATTGTAAGGAGAAAATTATTCTCTTTCTTAATACCTGCAAACCTTCATTTCAACCCCTGCCCAATTCTGTCCTTTTTTTGCCAGGACGCATCGCAAATTATCAAAAAAAATTGAGGTAAATATTCATTTATGAAAGAGAAAAATGAAAAGTATACCTTCGCTTTTTCATAGAGCTTCTCGGCGATCATTCGAGTGTTCTCATACATGTCATTTCCTGGACCCCCACCGAGGCAATTTGTTGGCTGTCAAATAAGACACAACATTTTTTTACGCCATTCATTATAAAAGTACATTCATAAATATCTTAGACAGTTTAGCCATAAACCATTGGTCGAGAGCCTGTCACGTGGCCTGCCTTAAACCGATGATTGTGTTAGTTGGGGCCTGTAAACTCGGAAAGAATACAGTACTTTTATAAGATGGAATTTTGCGTCGGGGCGATATAAATCAAATTAGGTTTTGCCCTTCACCGACGTTTTTTAAATACTGTATACTCAGTGTGTTACCTCCCGAGTGAAAGTTGGAAAAAATCACTTGGGTGGGACTCGAACCCACGACCTCCTGCTTTCTAGTGCAGATGTCTTACCACTCGACAACCGAGCTAACGGGATCGGTTGGCCGGTTCGAATCTGATGTACATAGCAGCGGGTACCACATAAACTATAATAGTTAATAACGTCGGTGAAGGGCAAAACCTAATTTGAATAATACAGTACTTCTAACAGTACACTCTAATCTTGTTTAATCCCTCTGTCAACAAACTGGCCCCTGTTATCCCATATTGCTGCTAATCCTCTGCACTTGTCAATATCAGCTGTGTGACAGCACATGTGGCTTTATTACACTAAGTGTCAGGGATTATAAAGCCACTGTTTGGACGAAGGATTAAGATACAGCCTGTCTAAAAAAAAAATGGTACAATCAGAAAAAAATTGGTTAAATATGAAATTTCAAAATAAGTCACTCTTACTTGGCATCATATTAAAGAACAAAGACTGGGCTTTCCAATAGTATTTGTTTGATCTTATTTGCTTTTGTCAATTCAGAGATATAATCAATTTAGTGCGATACACCAAAATCGATTTTGTGCCACTTTTATGCATGGGCAGAGTTGTTTCGAGTACTGTGCCATGCTGTCTTGAAGCTCACAAAAGATTGCAACTTGGCAAAAGAGACAAAACACAGATTAAAGTACACAAAGGAAATCTGATTTTCTTGATACAAGCTTTAACAGTCAACATAATAAGTTCAATGATAAATAGTTTCTTTATGAAGTTAATCCCTTCTTTGAATTTCAAATCTGTTCAAGTGTAAATAAGGTTTTGTTTAACTAATTCTTTCACCGTTCTCACTCAACCAGAAAGTGGCACAAACTCGATTTTTGTGTTCCGCAGTAAACTGGAGTTATCTCTGGATTGACAAAAGCAAATGAGATGAAACAAAAAGTATTGGAAAACCTGGTCTTTTTTCTTTGATGTGATGCTCAAAACGACTTACTTATGTTGAGATTTAATATTGAAAAAAAAAAATCGTTTTCGATTGTACCATTTTTTTTTAGACAGGCTGTAGATTAGAGGGCTGGCCAGTTTACAGTTAGATTGACTGTTTTCTCTCTGAAGTTTCTAGTGGAGGTTACTCCCAATGGTTGTCGGCAATGTGTCTGAATGTCTCTCCTAGTGGTCCCCCCCCCCCAACTCTCCCGTTCTTACCGCTGAGGGGGTAAAGATACAAGAGCCCATTAGGCCAACAAAAAAAAGTCTCCGGTTTCTGGTATGGAGCTTGCCCAAAAAGTGGTGCGGCGACGCGTTTTTTTTTTTTTTTTTTAACCTGATTTTTTTGCTTCAAATGTCGGCTGATGACTGCAAATGGTGCCCGACTAAACTTACTGCAAATATATGGGAGTCCAGAGAGGCCACATAAAGCTTATTCTCGACCATAACCCAATCTAAAAACACGTTAAAATTGTGCAGTAGCAGGATTCCAGTCAAACCAGTGAGTTTGGCGGTTTTGAGACATCATCTTTCATTGAAAAAAAAAAATTTTCATTTTGCCGACGCGCATGGCTACGGCGACGCGTGCGCATACCAGAAACCGGAGACTTTTTTGGGGGGGGCCTTAGCCACAATCAAACCTGACCTCTCCTCCGCATGTGCTTGTCTCCTCTTCGCAAGGTTCTCCCGTGTCGATGCAGACGGTACCGTTGACATGCGGGGTTGTATCGCCGTGGTTACTATTTGGGAAGGCAGCCACAAACGAGCCCTGTGCAAAAATTGCCACAAGATAGAGAAAACAATTTTTTCAGACCGTATATTAGAAAACAAAGCATACAATGGAACGTCGCTATACCGAACACCGCTATACCAAACATTCAGCTACACCAAACACTGTCCTTAGCCCCCCGATTTTTGTGAGCAAAACGCACCGAACACTGTTGTTGAAAAATGTCAACAGAAGAGCGACAAGTGGCTATTATTTCCCCAAGAATTAGAAGGGGAAAGCCACCCATTGCTGTAGGTAGTAAGCTCAAAAACTGCGCAATTACATAATTCAATAGTCGACACGAGTTCAAAGTCGTCTTTCAGTAACTGCCAGGGCGTGCAGGGTGAAGATATGAAGGGCGCTATTTATTGAAGAGTACCGGAGCACCAGCAGCTTAAAATGGCTATACCGAACGATCGCTATTACAAAGGGGGCGCCAAATATTGTGTCATGACAATTATGTCACTGTAAGTTATGAAAGATGGTCGAATGAAAGATCATACCTCTCCCATTTTGGAGCCCGGGTTCATGTCCATCTCAAAGAGGTAGGAAGCGAAGCCTTTGTTGTCGCTGCTGATGAGCTTGTTGGTGTTCTCCATGCTGACTGGATGAACTGGAAACCAACTAGTATGCAAGAACAGAAAAAGTGGATATGAAAGGCCAAGACCAGTAGTGTACAAAGGTCCATCACAAGACCTTACACGTCCCTACAAGTCCTCAAAACTCTGTTACGTGTCCTCGAAAGTCCTCAAAAGTCCATCACTAGTCCTTGTAGGTCCTCACTAGTCCTTGTAGGTCCTCACAAGTCCTCCAAAGTCCTCAAAAGTCATCACTAAACCCCATGAGTCCTCACAAATCTTTGCAAGTCCCCACAAGTCTTCAGAAGTCCTCACGAGTCCCTCGCAAGTCATCGCAAGCCCTCACAAATCATCACAAGTCCATCAAAAATCCATCACAGGTCCTCCCTAATCCTCAAAAGTCCTCACAGGTTCTCACATCAGGTCCTCACAGGTCTTTACAAGTCCATCAAGAGTCCTAACAAGTCCTCACAATTCCATCACAAGTTTTTACAGGTCCTCACAAGTCCATACACGTCCCCACAAGTCCTCAAAACTCTGTCACAAGTCCTCAAAAGTCTGTCACTAGTCCTTGTAGGTCCTCACAAGTCCTCCCAAGTCCCCATACGTCCTCACAAGTCATCATTAATCCCCGCAAGTCCTCACAAGTCCATCAAAAGTCCATCACAGGTCCTCCCTAATCCTCACAAGTTCTCTCAGGTTCTCACAAGTCCTTACAGGACCTCACACGTCATCACAATCCATCACAAGTGCTCACAAGTCATCACAAGTCCATCACTAATCCCCACAAGTCATCACAAGTCCTTCCAAGTCCTCACAAGTCCATCACAAGTCATCACAGGTCACCACAAGTCCTCACAAGTCCTTCCAAGTCCTCACAAGTCCTTCCAAGTCCTCACAAGTCCATCACAAGTCATCACAAGTCACCACAAGTCCTCACAAGTCCTTCCAAGTCCTCACAAGTCCATCACAAGTCACCACAAGTCCTCCCTCATTGTTCCAAATTCGTTAGGAGAAAAAATATCAAATTTTGTTGACGAGCACAGACATATCTTTAAACAGCAAATATCTTGTTGTTCCCATGTCCCTAATCTATAACATCTCTCCGATCTTACCAAATAACTCCCAATCCATTTCCATCTTTATCCTCAAACTTGAGCACTGTCATTTCTTTGTCGACGTCATATAGGTATCTGGAATCATACAAGAAAGCAATTTTTTTAAAAGAATTTGATAATACACACCCTATTTTACACTGGCATTCGTTCTGAAATGCAGTGTTCTCCAACCTGTAAAAATAACCTGGTGCCCCGCCAAGCTTTCTGAGGCACCCGCCAAGCTTCAAAAGCTGCCACCAAGCTTAAAAAATTGCCCGCCATGTTTAAAAAAAAGGAAAAATTAATAAAAAAAAGACAAACAAGTGGGACTACCCTCACCCTCCAGGGTAAATTTTGGCCAGAAAGTCTGCCAAAAGCAATAGCATGCAACACTTGTCAAACTGACAATACTGCCCATTGTAGCAATCAATCAGGTCAAAAGTCTCAAAGCCAAACTGCCTCAGAGTCCCTGGTCACTGATGTGTTAAAAAAAGATGATGCTGAGCCAGTATTGTACTTAATTGTTAGTGTTAGTGTGTTAGAAATGGCCTAAAAGCTGTTATCCGTACATAAATTACATGTTCATCGAATAGCGCCCCCTAGTATGACTGCAAATCGCCCCTAATAGCGCCCCCCCCCCTCCACTTTTTGACGGCGTACCGACCTTTAATTTTTGAAGTTGGAGAACACTGGAAATGCCAGTGGTTTCAATAAATTAAGAACAGAATCTAGTTACGGGACCCCCAAAAATTGCATACGTTTTCTATTTTCTCAGAATGTATAGGAGCCACCGAGCTTTAACTTCAACAGGTTAGTTGTTACGCACCCCGGTAAGATTATGAGCAATTTTGTTGTTTTAAAACGAAAAACAAATGTACAAAAATCAACAGATTATTCACTTACTTGTCTCTTTCATCTTTTGGATTTTTCAAGTAAGCCGTCGGACTTCTGTTGATGTTAGCTCCCAACAATTCGCCCTTCTTGTATGAGATGTTCCCGTCTTGAAGGTTATTGTGAGCGTTTCTGATGCTCTGCGAGGCGCAGGAATGTGTAAGAAAAACAAAGAGAAAACAAAATGTAGACACAACAAGGAATGGGGGGGGGGGGGAACCCGTTTGGCTCAAGGGGGTAGGGAGTTAGCCCTTAATGGGTGCCCTGGGGTGGGGGTGGAGGCTAGGTAGGTCATCATCATCATCTTCCTATACTGTGCAGAAACCTCCGCTGGAGTATACTCGCACATTGGTTGAAGTGCAAACAAGCAGGTGCAGACATAACTCGAGGCATAAAAAGACAAAATATGTGCAAGTAAAAACAGCTACTTTGGGGCAGGTTGGTCATCTGAAGGTGACACCATTCACTCTGGTCTTGAAGACATCCAGGGTTGGTGACTCAGCAACTTGCTGGGGCAGTGAGTTCCACAGGCGGATGATGTCTGGGAAGAAGGAGCCCTTCGGTAAGGTTGTACGGGTGGGTGGGATGAGGAATTTCTGGCTGTTGCCTCTGGTAGATGAGTTGACCGGGATAAGGTGGTTGTCTGGGATGTCGATGAGTTTGTTGGTGATCTGGTACATCATTGTGACTTTGGAGATGGCTCTTCGGTGTTGTAGAGACTCCCAACCCAGTTTACTCAGCATGGTGTTGACACTGCTGTCTCTGGAGTAGTTATTCATGATGTACCGGGCAGCACTACGCTGGACAGATTCAATTTTGGTGATGTTCCTTTTTGTGGAAGGGTCCCATACGCAACTGGCATACTCAGCAATAGGCCGCACAAGGGTGGTATAGCAGCGGGTCTTTACTTCACGAGGGCAGTTGCTCAAGTTGCGTCGTAGGAAGCCAAGGGATCTCAAGCACTTCTTGGAGGTGGTGTCTACATGTCTGTTCCAGGATAAGTTGTCTGTGAGTTCTACCCCTAGGTATTTAGCTGATGGTACTGTCCTGAATATACCATACACTCGATCATCAACCAAAAATTCGAATAGCTCATTGCCAGTTTGAATATTCAAAAAGAAAAAAAAAACTACGCATGTGCACACACGACTGTGATGTTATTTTACTCATTAAAGTTTTTTACTCATAAAAGTTTTTTCTATTGTTAGGCCTATATGCCACTTTTTTTGTTGACGGTAACTTTTTGGTTGACGCCTTAAATTGGTCTCATTCTTCTAGCTGGGTAAAGTCCCTAGACAGTGATACAGTAATTACTGCAAAACTCTTGGATCAGCTTTACTACGCTAGTAATGTTTTCATTTTTTTGGAGCTGCCTAAAATGGGGAAGGGGGTTGCATTACCACCCCCCGCCCACTCCCCTCCCCGCCTCAGAGGCGTACTCACCTGAACAATTCCTGCCACGATGGGTTCGATGCCAGACCGTTTCATACCTAACGCAGTAATGGTGTACAGACTGTACTGGAAGTAACCGCCTGGCCCGGAGTGAGTGTGGGTGCCGCTGATGGCGACGTTAATCTCGTTGTATTGACCTTCGTATTCCTCTCTGAGCTTTTCTATCACCTGCGCCATTGTACAAGAAAACACTGTTTGTAAAATCAATATAATCATGAACTACAATATGACCCAGTACATAGCCTATATTTGCACTAGGGTTGCACTTTTCAAATAATTTAGCATTCGATTATTCTACATTGGACTTGATCAATTATTCAAATATTCAAAATGCGCTGATTAAGTTTATATAAACATGCTGCAGCCTAAACTGGCCGCCGATCAAGATTTGCGTGTGCCTGCACTTGTTGAAATTGTTCGAAGAGCCTATTAAGATAATATAAAGAACAGGTAGCAGAATGGCTGATATTTGACCGATTTTTAAGAAGAAATTGGAGCTAATATTCCTCGTGGAAGCTCTAAAATTTACTGTTTGATGTGCATTAGAAGTGTATTGACATACTTTCAAGTTCGTGAGCATCGCTGATTAAAGCACACTGAATTGTTATGGGAGTGGCACCCCTCTCCTCCCCCCCCCCCCCACTCCACATCCCCCCTACCCCCCACCCCAACGTCCTACCTCCCCCACCCACCCTCCCACAATCGCCAACCCCTCCCCCACCCCCTTACCCCGCCCCTCTTGACATACTTGTAATTTGATGAGCGTAGATGCCATTCCAATATCGGCGCTGACGAACACATTGCATTCGGTCTGGTTCAGATCGCAAGTGATGAACGCACGGCTGAATAGCCTCAAATGAATACCCTCCGAGTTCTGGCTGAAACTTGCGTAGCCCATCTGCGGACGGGAAACGAAAAAAATAGAAATAAAACGAGAAGGAAGTTTTTCACAGATGCTTTAGCCTTACCCTCCTCAATCCTCCGAAATCAACCAGGCGCTTTTGAAGGATTCTGAAGGATTTTGGAGGATCGAGGTTGTATGCCTTAAAGTGCCGGTTGATTTTGGAGGATGCATTGCGTCAACGTCTTAAACTGTACCCTACAATTATTAATTATAAATAATTTTTAATAATTATTACTTAAAAGAATGTTGGAGGATTTTGAAGGATTGAGGCAGTGGTCGCCCCTCCGCTGAGCAAACTCAAGAAATAGTGAACGATTTTGGAGGATTGAGGCTGTATTCAATTTTTACATGGAGGCAGTTGGAGGATTTTGGAGGGCTGAGGATGCATCGTAGCAGAAAGGCATAGGGGTAAGGATACTGTCCTTGTTCAACAAATATGAGTTTTTGTTCTTTACAAAGTTTATTCCTAAATGTTTCATTTAAATAATAAAAAGTATGAAAACAGGGTGTAAATGAACCCATAGTAAGCTTTCAAATTTTTAGGTTTTTTTTTTTTTTTACACATGTACCGGTAAATTTAAAAGATGTTTAGCTTATAACTACCCCAAACAATATATTTCATATTTAAAAAAAATACCTAGCACCAAAAAAATAATATCTGGAAAGCCAATTTCATAAGCTACTTTTAGATGAAAAAAAAATACTGAAATTGCTCAATCCGTTCAAGGAATATCACCATTTAAATGCAATGACCCTAAAACCTGTCTCGTCCAAAAAAAAACAATTTATTGTGTGTTTTGAATGTTTGGAACAACAAAGAAAATGACACAGAATACTTGTTTCAACAACTGTCACAGACCGTAGCACACAATATTTTGATTAACAACCCTGGTTAGGTAAACAATATGATTTATAAAATCTACTTTTTTTTGAAAGACGGGCTTTAAAAAGGACTTTGTTGCATATTGCAAACGTTTAAACTAAGATTTCATCGCTGGTAATGTTTGAAGACAATTGTGATGACGATTCTTGAAATCACATTTTTTTGGACGAGACAGGTTTTAGGGTCATTGTGTTTAAATGGTGATATTCTTTGAACAGATTGAGCATTTACAGTCATTTTTTCATCTAAAAGTAGCTTATGAAATTGGCTTTCCAGTCATTATTATTGTTGGTGCTACATATGTTTTTAAATATGAAAAATAATTTTGGGTGTTTGGGTTCCGCTTTTTTTTGACTCACCCTGTAATTCAAACAGATGAATAATATTCTTGTGATTACACAAAAGCCGGTCACTAACGGCAATAGGTAAGTATCTGCTAAAGAGATGTAAACGTTATTGAGTTTGGGCTGTTTGGATTGGCGATTATATCTGATTGATACAAATAAGTTAATATCGTACACGATTCAAAGTCTAACGACCACCCCTAGCAACACGACATGGGGTGATAACACTATGATGGAAAACTCTCTGAAGCGTATACTGTGAAATGATTTGTTTCTAGCTTACAAATGTGTAAATGTTTGCGCTCTATATTCGTTTTATTTCTCTTACTACACAGCCAACACAAAATAAAGCTTTGATTTTTTTTTTCTCTTAAAATAATTGCAATTTGACGGTTTTACTTAGAAGGAAAAAAGTCACTGTTTTCCTGTTTGGTCATTTTCAACCCTCTCGAGATTGTTAAAAAAAAAACCAAGCAATTTGGAATAACATTCTGGGGCGGTTGCAATTCACAAATGGCAACTTCTTCTTGTTTGATGACCTGTATTTTTTGTTACGGTCACTATTCTTTCATGTTTGTACTTAAATCATAACCCTTTGATGTTTATCGCATACCACATCGATGATGTGATTGCAGACCAAATAACAGAGATAAGTTATTTGACTATCATCTGATAAGAACCTCAGTGACGGATACAATAAAATGCAAAATGTATTGCATTGTATCATAACAGTTATGTACAGAATAAAATCCCCATGAATTTGACTGTTCAGCTCCATATATATGTGACCTGCTTTACAAAAATGAGTCTGCTGTGACAAAACTAACGTTTTGAGTTATCGAAATTAATGAGATGAGAATGAAATAAGCTTTCATAATATCATGGTCCACTCTAGCGTATTTGGTTGCATTGTTCAGCTTGTTTCATTATGTCAAATTTCAACAAAGCTAGAAACGTCAAAATGGGGAAAAAAGGGTTTGAAAAATGGCATTGAATATACTGTAACTTACCAAGAACAGCCGAAAAATCCTCTTTTTGTTAGTCTTTTTTCGTAAAATATTTAAATTTCTTTGTAGGACATTTAAACTAAAAGTATATCAACCAAAACAAACAAATTTAAACCAAAACAAAAAAATCCAAATGCTGATTAAGTTTTCAGTTTCCACGTCAAAATGGCGCAAGCTTGAATTCAAATTATACGACATCAGACTCAGTTGTGCAGAGCGGGTCACATATATTTTTAATAATATAGGAAAATACTGTCTACCACAAAAATACATTGTCATGATTGTGTTACATTTAACATATTAGTTACTTTTAAGTTTTAGTTTTAGGAAACCATTCCTAGTTATATGATGAACACAAATTATTGTTTTGAACTCACCTAAAAGCCACTCAAATGTTTTTGTATGATCTAGAATTTGGCAGTGATATACCCACGTTGAATATCTTGGAAAGAATGTAGTATCCAGACGCCACTTCTTTGGTTGTTATGGAGAGTTGAGTGCATTTTCAAAGTATTTTTTTAACAAAATTGGAAATGTTTCTCAGTCCCAGATTCATGTCTTTTCAACATCTTTGCAATGACCATGGAGAAATTATTTCTCCATGCAATGACTGACCTTCATTGAGATAATATACGATGGAAAAAAGTGGGGTCAGGATCGATATGCAACATTCCAAACACAATGTCTTCAACCATGGAGGTAGGAACTGCCAAAACTGGTAAGACAGTCAAATTTTCTCCCAAAAAACCAAGTTCTGTTCAAAACGATTTAAAAAAAAACGGTGTCATTCAATCTAAAAAGACTGCTTTATTTTGGAATGATAAACACCGTGCAAAGAAGTTAAAAAACCCAAGCGAACCCCCCAAAACAAAGGGCTCCTAAAAGTATTTTTCACCCAAACATGTAACATCCCCTTTCAACACACCCCCGGGTCCGCCCAAGGCCCCAAATACAATCTCACCATGTTCACATCAAGAGCAGGACCGGTGACATCTGAGATTCCGACCCCGACTTTGTAGGCCGGAGTTGCTGCCGAAACCATTGCAAAAAGCAGGGTTAAAGCCAGACAAACTGCTGCCCGTCTTGAGCACATCATGGAGGAATAAGAAGTATCAAAGTCTGTTAGTTCACAAAAACAACACCAGCCGACACCAGTCGTAAAGTCCTAAACTAAACTAACGAAAAACTGAAATAACTGACCCCAGATATTTTTTGTGGTTTTTTAATTTGTCGACACCGTGTATCTGGTATAGCGCCACCAACGGCAACATACAGAACACCTAGACGTCTTCATCAATAATGATACGTAATAGAAACTCAAGGTGATGGGATCTGACTAAATTTGACATGTGCAGGTCCAAAAATTGAAAAAAATGGCGGCAACAAAACAGGCGACGAAGACGAAGACGATTACTTTGAAGGGGTCTAGTCAAAAGGTCTCGGAGTTCTTCTGTAAGTTTGTGGCTTGTTTCAATAGAAGAGATGTTCATGTTCAATTTAAGCCAATGACACTCTTTTTAAAGATGATTTTCTCCACATAGTCAACCGGTTAAAACGAGGCTGGCAGTAGCGTTTTGTACTATCTGTTCTGATCTGACAAAAGTGACACTTGACAGACTTCGAGATGCACAAACGTTATTACAAGCAGTGGATATTTTGCCGTCACCTGCATTTTTATAGGGCCTAGCCTACTTCCTAACGCTAATTTGCCGGGAAAGATTCCCATATCTGGCCATCACTATTTTTTCCCAGTCAGCCGTGCATTTAAACAACACACGGGACCTACGAGGCTGTCACGCCCCAACTATCGCATCGGTCCCAACTATAGTTGGGACTGTCCCAACTATAGTGCGGCAGTTGGGTCGGCCCAACTATAGTTGGGACGGGAGTTGCGCCGGATGCTTCATGCTTGATAGATCTTGTTGGATTAAATGTTCCGCGGCGCTGGCACCGTGTATTCGTCGTGCATGCATGCCGCGCCGCAAGGCTGGCCGGTCACGTGGTACTGCCTAGTTGGACGAGTTGTCCAGCTGCTGGGTTTTATTATCCAGCAACATTTTGCAAAATTCAAAGATTGCCATGGCCGGCCAACTATAGATGGGCCCCACCCATAGCTAATGTCAAAGGTCCCAAGTCGGACATGTAAGCAGAGCTGTAGGGAATGTTTTATAATCGTACATCAATGTAAACTATAGTTGGGACTGCCAAATAAAAATATTGCGGTGGCCCAACTACAGATGGTCCCCACCCATAGATTGGTCCCCAGTAAAGTCAGATGTGTATTAGAGTTAATTGTAGGGAATGTTTTATAATCGTACAACAATGTACACTATAGTTGGGACCGCAACATAAAAAGATTGGGGTGGCCCAACTATAGATTCGCCCCATCAATAGCTAATTTCAGTGGTCCCCAGTAAAGTCAGACGTGTATCAGAGCTGTAGGGAACGTTTTATGGTTGTACATCAATGTAAACTATAGTTGGGACACCGCAAAATAAAAAGATCGGAGTGGCCCAACTATAGATGGGCCAGCCCAACAATGGAACTTACAGTTGGGACCGTCCCAACTATAGTTGGGACAGGCCCAACTATAGTTGGGCCAGCCCAACTGTGGAACTACAGTTGGGACAGGCCCAACTATAGTTGGGACAGGCCCAACTATAGTTGGGACCGATGCGATAGTTGGGGCGTGACAAGGCTACGGCTTTACGTCCCATCCGAAGGACGAAGCAAGAATGGTTAAGTGCCTTGCTTGAGGGCACAAGTGCCCGCCAGTGGGCTCGAACCCACATCACTGTTGCCTCTGAAACACCAGAACATGAGTCCGGTGTTCTTAACCGCTAGGCCATCACACTCCTGATACAGAGAAGGGGTGTCGGACGCTTCGCCCCATTTCCACGTCGCCCCATGTCACTTCGCCCCTAACCACTTCGCCCCATCCCCACTTCGCCCCATCCCCACATCGCCCCATCTCCGCTTCGCCCCATCCCCACTTCGCCCCATCCCCGCTTCGCCCCATCCCCACTTCGCCCCATCCCCACTTCGCCCCATGTAGTATGAAAAAGGTGAAGGCTAGGGGTGCAGACCAAATAAACTGCCAAAGACCCCAGATAATAAATGCTCCCAATTCTAGAAACTTAGGAAAAATACAAACTCTCTGATGAGGTGCTCGACACACAGATGAGAGAAATGATGGCTCTATCCCATTCAGAGACGCCTCTCCTATTGGCTTGTGAATAAAAAATGTGCGTATGGTAAGAACAACACATTGTGAGTTATTCGCGAGTGGTGTGACATTGTGTGGATTATGTTCTTCAATTGAGACACATGAAAGGGGTCTCAAAAATTGGGTAGAAATAAGAAGGAGAAATCAATGGAAGTTTTGACCGTAGCCAAGTTTACCCAGGCAGTGGGGTGGGTTAGGTTTTACCTGAGGGCAATAGCAGAATGCATATTCGTCCCTTCTGGGACTCATCAGCCGCTGGATTTAAAAGAATCTGTAGGTATGGGTCAGTGAGTTACTTACTGCCTTGAGGAAAATGTTCCGTCAAAATTTGTCTGATATGTGACACTTCACACTTACAACTTCATTTAGATGAGATTGGTTCCTCCAAGAGGATGTCAAAGGTATTGTCGTTCTCAGATAAGTGGGAGACCGGTTGGTATAGCCGGGTTGGGAACAATGAGTTGGATCTTTTACTTCGAGCTTTTTTCTCGGTGGGGAGAGCCTAGCTTGAGAGGTTGGTTATGAATTGTTCATTTTGGTGATGGGCTAATTCTTTCCGTTGGTTAGCAATTAGTGAATCTGTTGAAATTGTTTTTTTAAAGCCAATAAAATAGATGAGATTTTTTTTTTACATGTAACGGCTGGGGCGAAGTGGGGATGGGGCGAAGTGGGGATGGGGCGAAGTGGGGATGGGGCGAAGTGGGAATGGGGCGAAGTGGGAATGGGGCGAAGTGGGGATGGGGCGATGTGGGAATGGGGCGATGTGGGAATGGGGCGAAGTGGGGATGGGGCGAAGTGGTTAGGGGCGAAGTGACATGGGGCGACGTGGAAATGGGGCGAAGTGTCCGACATTCCAGAGAAGTGATGGCCAGAAGTTCAGTAGTATAACAATGATAATTGATATACAACCCTGCTTAACTCAAAACTCTGCTTAGTCAAATTTTGAACCTGCTCCCTTGAGGTTTGACTTATCAAGATTTCACTGTATTTTAATTCAAATTTTGTTTCAAAAATTGTTAACCGCAAGGTATTTGTTTGTCACCCATTGCAGTATATGGCATAAACAGTCTGCTGTATCAGAGGGGTATCTATCCTCCAGAAACGTTCACCAGAAAACAGAAGTATGGCCTGACGTTATTTGAATCGACGGAAAAAGCGCTGCAAGATTATCTAACCAACGTGCTGAAGCAACTCAATGGTGAGTATACTGTAATTCACGAAAAACATAATTAGAAGCCAATGTTGCAAAAATAAAGAATGTTAATTGTTGAAAATACAGAATAAGCAAATTATTGTTTCCAACTATATCATTGCATTATTGAAAATACAAAATAAAAACCAAAGACTTCATAAAAACGCATGTTTCTTACATAATGAGGTGTTAAAATGCACATTTTTGGGAAAATTTGTTGCCAACCACGGCTTAAACTTATGCCCTTGTGATGTTTTATCCTTTTCTTTGTGTCATTTTATTTCTTTGGAATCGTAATGAATTTATGAATTTGTAGATTTCACTCCATTAGTTTAAGTGTTTTTTAGATACTTCTGTTAAAATATTTAAAATAAAAATAATAACCAGAACTTTTTTTTCACAATTTTTTATGTGGATGAATGTTTGTGCTCAGAATTGTGAATATATTTTGTGTGTTTTACTAAAATATTCATGTTTTTTTTTCTTCCCAGAATGGCTGAACGAGAAGACAGTGCAGAAAGTAGTTGTGGTCATAACAGAGGTGGAGTCGGGGGAAGTAAAAGAAAGATGGCAATTTGACGTCGAGTGCGACAAAACCATGTCACACGACAGGTGAATTTTAATAGTTCATGAACAAATGCAAATAAGAAAGAAGTCAGAAGATGAGAAGAACCATTTTTTTTTTCTAGTCTACACAATGACCTGGATTTAACCATTCATTGGTGCTTTGGGGTAATCCTATACGATAGCACTGCCCAGCTCACAAGTTTCGCAGTCAGTGAGTCAATCAGATGTACACTAGGCAGGCCCTCTGGGACCAGCACTCCTTAGTGCAGTCGTCCTCCAAGAGTGATTATGAATAGCAAACTACCTACCCAACAAATACACATCATTTGAAGTCATTCTTTTATGATACTTGAATGGCAAATTACAAAGTACCAAGGAAACAGGGACAGGAAATATTGTCACCTTTTGGACCCTAAATTTATGGAATGACCATATGCAAACAATCGGTAAAATACTGTGAGATATTTCCAGAATGTTGTATTCTAAATTTTAAATTTATATTTTTTGCTCAAAATCTTGGTGTTTTTTTCCCCTTTTTTCATACAGTCAACCAAGAAAAAAGACAGACGAGGAAATCAACAAAGGAATCCGAGCGGTTATCACCCAAATCACGGCCACGGTGACGTTCCTGCCTCTCTTAGACAACCCATGTGAGTAGAAATGTGAAGCACATGTCCATCACATTTCCTTCACAAGTCCATCACATGTCCATCATATATCCATCACAAGTCCATCAAAAGGTTATCACATGTCCATCACAAGTCCATCACATGTTCATCACGAGTCCATCACAAGTCCATCACAATTAAGTCCATCATCACGTGTCCATCACATGTCCATCACATGTCCATCACAAGTCCATCACAATTAAGTCCATCACGTGTCCATCACATGTCCATCACAAGTCCATCACAAGTTCATTACAATTATTAGTCAATCACATGTCCATCACATGTCCATCACAAGTCCATCACAAGTCCATCACAGGTCCTCACAAGTCTATCACAAGTCAATCACATGTCCACCACAAGTCCATCACATGTCCATCACATGTTTATCGCAAGTCAATCACATGTCCTTCACAAGTCTATCACATGTCCATCACATGTCCATCACATGTCCATCACATGTCTATATGCGAGGGGGAACATAAGTATAGCACCTGAATCAACCTCTCACATTTGACCTCTTAACCATAACCCCTCACCCTCGACCTCATTCAGGTACATTCAACATCTTGATCTACACCGACAAGGACATGGACATGCCGGAGCAGTGGGAGGAATCGGGTCCGTCGCTCATCGCAAACTCACAAGTCGTCAAGCTGCGTAGCTTCACGACCTCCATACACAAGATCGACGCCGCCGTGTCGTACAAGGACGACGGAATGTAGCCAGTATACTTGTAACGCATTTTCTTGCATTTCATTGCCACACAACTTTTATTCGTGCCAAGCCTGTATGAGAATCCCCCACCCCCACCCCACAAAAAAACACCAACCCTTGTTGGTGGATATATGGGGAGGGGGATCTATGGGGGGAGGAGGGGGTAATCATAATGGGTGTAAACCTCCTCACCCCCCCCCCCCCTCCCACCCCCCCTCCCACCCCCGGGAGCCAAAAATAGAAAAATCATGCCCCAGAAAACCCTGCTATCCCCTCCCCAACAGCTACACCCCCCCCCCCCCCCCCCCCATTGAGCCAAACCTGGATCCACCCCTAAAGATGACCAAAAATGTGTGTTCTTCAAATATTAAAAGACACTTTTCATAACATTGTATAGCAATTTTTTTTTTGTTCTTCATCATGTATTTTTGAACATTTGTGAAGAAATACTGTCTTTAAGCAGTTCCTAGTCAACGTGCCATTTTATTTACATATAAAGTTTAAAAACAGTATTTCTTGTCTAAAGGCTGAATGAAAACTTCGCTTCATTGCATCATTCACACAAGTCACTTACACAAGGCCTACACATTGCAATAGCCAAACACTAGTCATGTTCCTAGTCAACATGCCGTTTTATTTGCACATAAATTTGAAAAAGCATAATTTTTGCAAAAACGGCTGAACAAAATTTTCTATTTGTTACCATTCATTGCATCATTCAAGCAAGTCACTTACACAACATAGGCCTACACATTGCAATATCCAAATACTGATTTTGTATGATGCAATATCATGTAACCGAGTTTGGGGTTTATTGGCTTTTCCGCAAAGTTGCGGAAAAGCCTTTGTTTCTCTACGAATTTTTTTTCTTTTTGGCTTTTCCGCAAAGTTGCGGAAAAGCCTTTGTTTCTCTACGAATTTTTTTTCTTTTTGGCTTTTCCGCAAAGTTGCGGAAAAGCCTTTGTTTCTCTACGAATTTTTTTTCTTTTTTATTTTTTTTTTTCCTCTTGGGACTTCCAACCAAAATGCCATAGACTTTGTGCACGTTTTTTCTAGCAAACACTTTTGGCATAAAACAAAGTCATATGACATCAAAACTTAACATAAAACACAGAACATATAGCAAAGGTCGTTCGCGAAGATAGACGTCATGATGACGTCATCATGGGTCACGTGACGTCATCATTCATGTGCATATTACAAAGTCCTATATCTACAGAACTGTTAGTCCGATTGAGTTGAAACTCGGTATGTAGGTAGATCGGGATGTGTTATAGACGAAAATTGAGGTGACGTCATCATGACGTCATCGTGTGATTTTATATAGATTTTTGAAGATTTGGACCTTTAAGCCATATCTCACTAACGCAATATGATAAATTCAAAATTCTTTTTGTATTAGGTTCGCTGGGCAATAGATAAATGCACAAAATTTGGAAAAATGTGTGACGTCATAATGACGCCAGCAAAAATGCGATTTTTTGAAAAACATATAAGGGAATGTCCGATCGTCTTGAAACTTGGTGGGTGGGTAGATAATAACACTAGTACACACAATCTTGAATGACGTCACGATGACGTCATCGGTCGATTTTTAAAGATTTTTTTAATATTGCCAATTTTATTCTGCTTAAAAAATTTAACACTTTTATCAATCCGATTTTTTTCAAACTTGGTACGGACTAAAACCACCATAAAATAATGAGCACTGCCAAGTATTGTTACGATGACGTCATCATTAGACATGTGACGTCATCGTTAACTTGTATATTTTAAGCCCCTATATCTCATGAACAGTACGTCAGGTTGGGTTGAAACTTGGTATGGGGGTAGGCCGGGATGTGTTACAAATAAATATTGAGGTGACGTCATCATGACGTCATCGTGTGATTTTATATAGATTTTTGAAGTTTTGGACCTTTAAACCATATATCACGAACCCAATATGTTAAATTTAAAATTCTTTTTGTATTAGGTTTGTAAGGCAATAGGTATATGTACAAAATTTTGAAAAATGTGTGACGTCATGATGATGTCATCAAATATGCGCTTTTTTGAAACACATATAAGATAATGTTCGATCGTCATGAAACTTGGTGGGTGGGTAGATAATAACACTAGTACACAACATCTGAAATACGTCACGATGACGTCATCAGTAGATTTTTTTACGATTTTTTTAATATTGCCAATTTTATTCTGCTTACAAAATTTAACACTTTCATTAATCCGATTGTTTTCAAACTTGGTACAGACTAAAACCGCAATAAAATAATGAGCACTGCCAAGTATTGTTACAATGACGTCATCATTAGACATGTGACGTCATCGTTTGTATATTTTAAGCCCCTATCTCATCAACAGTAATTTAGATTGGGTTAAAACTTGGTATGGGGGCATGCCGGGATGTGTTACCAATAAATATTGAGGTGACGTCATAATGACGTCATCTTGTGATTATATATATATTTTATATATGACAAATGCAATATGCCAAAATCAAATTTCCATTTGAATGAGGTTTGTTAAACAAAACGTAAATGCACACAGTTTTGCACAAAACAGAAAAACATGACCTTAATTTAAAAAAAACATAATGCGGAAAAGCCCTATGTTCTGTTGCAAACAGACATAGACCTCTAGTATTGTTTTTTAGATTGTACACAAGAACATCCCCCGATGTGAAAACACTCGGCAGGCCTTGTGAAGCTGGTCCCAAAGTGCACAAAATTGTATTCAATTGATCAAAAAATCCAATCTAATTTACAAGTGACAGTCAGTGAGATAGGTAGTCCAGTTCACAAGGACAGTCGGACGGTGAGGGACTTAAGCAAGTCTAATTCACAAGTGACAGTCAGTCAGGTGCAATGATGACGATGGGCTCCGTGCGCAAGTACCCCCTCAACGGCAAGAAAGGGAGAGGCGGGGGACCATAGTCTGATTCCCCAACCAAAAGATTCCGACTTACATTTCAGACGAATATTAGATTCATCAGAAATAGATCCTTTGGTCTGGGAACCAGACTAGGCAGCACATCAGGAGAGAAACATTCAAACGCACTGCTGACGCTCATGCGAAGACGCTTTGGCTTTGTGCGCATTTAAAATTAAAAAAGTCGTGCGTACTTGACGCGAACCAGTACGCACAGCAGTGTGTCTTGTCCAGGGCTCTCAAAATGGTTTTTTAAAAAGCACCCTCTTTGTTGGCACATGGAGCCCATAGACTGGCCCTCTGGGACCAGCACAAATGGTTGATACATTTTTTTCCAAAGATATGTGCATTTTTGATTACACTAAGACAAAATATTGTGCACATTCATCTCAAAATTAGTCGTACGAAAATTTGTAATACTCGCAATCAAATACATGTTACAGGTTGTGCGTAAATCCCATGCCATATGAAAACTGATGCAAGTCAACAAACGTCAATTGTTACTAGATAGAATATTCGCAATTGTAATCATTAGCTTTATGTACTACAGTTGTGCAGTGTGCTACTACATTGTACATGCACAATAATGGGGCGTGTTGCATCATTCCATGGGCATGCAAAACATTACCGTCATTGAACCAGGAAGTCATTGGCCAACACTTAACATGTTCCCTACAGGAAGGTCAATCATGTCATCAACATACTGTTGTAAGGCATCCTGTTTTAAAACCACCTTGAATGTTGGTTTGCTTCCAAACGATACCATTTCATGAGGCCGAATAATTTCACAGGGTATTTGATACCAGTCCTATCTTCACTTTGAGCTGGTTTTCCATTTATTTAAAGGTAGCATGCAACATTTGCTTTTGCTGTAATATTCAGAAATGGATGGCTGTGAGGGGGGGGGTTGTATTTTATATCAAATAATGTTACACTGACCTGTTTTAAAGTTTTGTGTTCAAATCTTACTTAAGTTTTGTGTTCATAGTTCAAGGGAAAAAAATTGCTGTTCTTGTAGTCTGGTTCCCTGACACTACTTCAGACAAACCGGAACGATTTGTAGACGTCGAAATTGTTAGGTCAGGGAACCAGACTAGCTGGCCTGCACCCGTTCACGGATGTTTAACTGATTGCAACCAACATGTGGATGAACTGAATTTGGTAAATTAGGGGCAGTATTTGAAGGGAAAAAAAATACATATTTTTTTCCAACGATGGTCCGTGGACCATCGTTGGAAATTGATACAAATTCCATATTTCTTGAAAATGACAGCACACCAGGTGCCATGATTTCTCAGAATGATATCACTTACAGTCCAGTAAGGTATTTGACCATAATTTGGTAGTTTGTTTTTTAATGTTTGCAAATGTTGTATATCCCCTTTATATCAGTAGGTACTTTTTCCAAAAAAGTGCATACCCCTTTTAACATTTTGAAATTGACAAGATTAAACGAAAAACCTGCACTACATGTACTAGCAACAGCAACGGGCATTGAATTTTGACAGTTGTATAAGCTTATTATTTAAGTACCGAAAGCATTGCTTTGTAAACTGGGCTATGTAGTTTCAGAAGAGCAAAAAATTTAATCAAGCATTCTCATCCCAATTTTAAAAAGGTAAAGAATGATTTGTGCATGGTTCTGCATTTATAATGTGCCTAGAAAAAAAACTAAAAAGATAATTGTAGATAAAATGTGAAAAGGTATATGCAAATTAAAGGAAAAAGATAAGAAGTTTCAAAGGGCATTTTGAAAAGATAAGCTGGTTCGTAATGTAAATAGTATATCATATTTTGTACAAATCATTTGTTTACTATGCATGATAAACAAAAAAAATTAAAGGCAGCTTTATAGGTAATCATTAAGTCATTCAATAAAGTACTAGGTATATTTTGAAACTCGGCTTCGAGTAAAAATGCGTTTTAGCCTTTTTGAAGTATGGCGGACACATTCAGAGGGCAGTATTTGAATTACGCAAATTGGAGTAATTACAAAACGTTTATGCACTGGACCTAAATAACGCCCTCTTATTTGTACACCGTACTTTAAAAAAGGTAATGGTTTCCTTGTAATACTTATTAGAAATTGTTTCATGATTTTCCTCAATTACATATTTAACGTGTAATTTAGCCAGCTTTCAGTATTATGCCACAAAAATAAC